ACTCTCAGTCTGATTGCTTTTTTTCTCGTTTGAGTATCCTAACAATTCAAATAAACGTTATGAGATTCTGAGTTTTTACCCATTTGACTTTGTACAATCTTTATAACAAAAATTCATCAAAAGCGTTTTCATTGTGCGTAAGAACATGAAATAAACAGCTCTAAAACAAATAAGGCAATCAGTGAAAGTTTGATTCTGAGTTTCCTACCTTTTTTCTCCTTAGTTCACTTTCAATTGTTTTCATAACTATTTGTTTCGTTTCTTTCACATTTCCACTTTAGGATACGAGTTTGGTTGCTGTGCTCTTGATTGCTCATTGTAAAATTTCAGCAGAATATTAGCTTCCATTCCTATATTGAATGTAAACAAGTCTGTTGGCAAAATGCTTTAAAAACAGTCAATAACTTTTCATCGAGAACTGTGCTAAAATCCGACACTTTTCAAGGCCTACACATTTAAATACATTTATTCTAATGTTATGGAGATAATTTTTCTCTGTATCCCATTCCACATTTAAATAATTTTAGGTATTTTTGGTCAAAAACTGTTTTTTTTTATAATCAAACTGGTTAGTTTTGCATAATTCGTACCCAGTTTTTCTTCATTTCACGCGGAACAAAAAAGGCGGCAATTTAATTGAAAGTCCAACGTCCAACATCTTTTCAAATATCTTCAAAAATTTTGTTCAAAAATACACTTCTTACCGACAAAAATCAACCACAAGGGTTAAAAAAGACCCTTCTTATTTCTATTTTGCCATATTGTACATTTTCACCTTGTATTTGTTCATATTTTTGTGTTGAAACGAGAAAGATGTCCGTCGCACAAGTTCTTCGCTGAAAATATATCGATTGACAAATACATGCTAAAAGTAAGGCTATTCAACAAAATTTCGTTTCGAAACACTCCACACACTAGCAAAAGGCGACAGACTAAAAGTAAAATTGAAAGAAAGACACTGAAACATAGAAAACTTGTCGTTCATGTTTTTGCGTTGAAGCGAGAAAGATGTCCGTCGCACAAGAAATTCGCTGAAAATATTTCTATTCAAAATACATGCTAAAAGTAAGTCTATTCAACAAAATTTCGTTTCGAAACACTCCATACACTAGCAAAAGGCGACACACTAAAGTGAAATCGAAAGAAAGACACTGAAACATCGAAAACTTGTCGTTTTTCTACTGACAAGGTCCTCGTGCAAAGCAAACAGACCGAGGAAGACATGAACGCGGCACGCCAAATTGCATAAAAATAACCTACGAATGGATTTACAAGTCAAACAATACATAACTATACATCAAACAAGGCTTTTGTCATCGAATTTATCCACATTTGAAGTACTTCTTTAAATAATTTATAAAAATTCCGCTAACCCACCTTTCGTTTCCTTTTCGAGTCGCGGGGCATCTAGCTGTGAGTGAACTGTGAAAAGTGATTGACGTGATCACTTGGTGCCCTGATTTCATTGGTTAATTTCAATGAGATTCTGCATTGTTAATTCGAGCTCTGATTGGCTAAAATGTGAAATAGGTTGTATACTAACTGAGTGGATGGTACTCTGTGCTTTTTTCCATATTTTTTTTTGAAAAGTAGATAATTAAAAAAAGTTTTCTGTTTAATGAAAAGAAAATAAACTAGATAAAGATTGAACATAGACAACTGTTTTTTATTGGGGCTATAAGAAATCCTATGTATTTGCTTTGAATACGTTGAAACAGTAGCTACATGTGGCTACAAATGATGTAGGTGGAGATATCCCATACGAATAGAACTTTTTTATTTTAACTCTTAAAGAATAACAACGCATATATGACTCATAAAATCACCTAAGTATTATGAAGCATGTTCTTATGTAATTTCTATCTCATATCCCTGATTCATAGATAGTAGCTACTTAGATACCATAAGATCGTTCATTGGTAATGGAACACAAAGCTATCTTGTTCATTGCTCAAAATACAAATTACAACAAATTGAAAAAATAACATCTCGTTTTCTTCATATTCAAGATAAAAAACAAGTGTTTATAAGCAGAGTAGGTAATATTTCATCTTTATTCTTAAAAGACATCTTCAAACTAAATATATGAATTAAACCCACCGTAGCAGCATTTGTTTTAGAATGTAAACAATAAATTTACTATTGTCTCTCACGAGTAGATTTCTTAGGATAAATGTTTCTTTTTGACATTTTATAGATTTCAAAAGTTCACAACAATTGTTTTGACATATTTATTTAATTAAAATAGTTGGCAATGATAACTTCAAACTGCCAGTATGGGCAAGTACAACATGCAAACAATAAATTTATTTTTGTTTCGTGAGTAGATTTCTCGCGATGCATGTTTCTTTTTATAATTAATAGATTTAAAATGAAGGAAGTCTTACGAAGACAACGATTATATCATAAAAAAATGACAAGTTAAACTTTTCCATGCAAAATTCTAAGAGACGACAACATTTTTAAATATGTGTGCACAAGTAAATCCCCATAAAGACACACAGTCTGATTGTTGTTTTTTTTTCATTTGAATATCTTTTAAATCCAAATTAAACGTTATGAGTTTTAGTGTTTTTACCCATTTGACGTTGCACAATATATCGGAAAAGAAGTTATCAAAAGCGTATTAATTTGTGTAAGAACATGAAATAAACAGCTGTAAAACAAATCAATCAATCATTGAAAGTTTTTTCGACATTTCATTTTGTGTTTCCTACCTTTTTCTCATTAGTTATTGTTTTATGTTCGATTCAAATTTTCACTTTAGTATACAAGTTCGGTTGTTGTGCTCCTTACGATTGCTCATTGTCAAATTTCAAGAGATTATTAGCTTCATTTCCTATAGAATATGAACAAGTTTATTAGAAAATGCTCTAAAAATATCCAATAGCTTTTCAATGATAACTTTTCTATCATCCGAACTTATTCAGTCAAAGAGTAGCGGTCTACACTCGTCAATTCACTTAATCCTTAGTCAAGAGGCAACGCCATTCCATTCAATTATTTTAAGTATATTCGGACAAAACTGTTTTTTCATGGTAAAGTTGGATAGTTTTGCTTAATTTGTGCCCAGTTTTTTTCCATTCCACGCAGAACAAAAAAGGCGCCAAGTCTACATATCAACATGAACCAACATTTTCATATTTTTCGAATATCGTCAAAGTTTCTCTTCAAAATTACGCTTTTTACCACAAATATCAACCACAAAGGAAAGCAAAGACCCTGCTTATTTCTATTTTGCTATATTGTACATTTTCACCTAGTATTTGTTCAAATTTTTGTGTTGAAACGAGAAAGATGTCCGTCGCACAAGTTCTTCGCTGATAATATTTCGATTGACAAATACATGCTAAAAGTAAGGCTATTCAACAAAATTTCGTTTCGAAACACTCCATATACTAGAAAAAGGCGACAGACTAAATTAAAATCGAAAGAAAGACACTGAAACATCAAAAACTTGTCGTTTTTATACTGATAAGGTCCTCGACTCCTCGTGCAAAGCAAACAGACCGAGGAAGACATGCACCAAAAAATTGCATAAAAATAACCTACGAATGGATTTACAAGTCAAACAATACATAACCATACATCAAACAAGGCTTTTGCCATCGAATTTATCCACATTTGAAGTACTTCTTTAAATAATTTATAAAAATTTCAAACCCACCTTTCGTTTCATTTTCAAGTCGTGGGGCATCTAGCTGTGAGTGAATTGTGAAAAGTGATTGACGTGATCACTTGGTGCCCTGATTTCATTGGTTGATTTTGATGAGATTCTGGCATTGTTAATTCAAGTTCTGATTGGCTAAAATATGAAATAGGTTGTATCCTAGCTGAGTGTGATGGTAATTTTTTCCACATTTTTCATTAAGAAGTAGATAGTTAAAAAGAAAAAGTCAGTTTTAATCATAAGAAAATAAACTTGTTGAAGATTAAACAAAGACAGTTGCTTTCTATTGGGCGTATAAAAATTCCTATGCATTCCCTTGAGTTAACATGATGAAACAATGGCTATAGAGTTATCTCATATAAATTAAAAGTAATATCCTTTTTATTACATCTTTCATGGAAATCAAAACATTTAAAAAATACGAGTTTCTTCTCTTCTCTCAAATAAACTAACCACTTGTTTTAGGCGAGATTTTATTCATTCTACTTCCCACCCAAAGACGCTCACCTTCAGACTGACAACAATCATAAGAGTCAATGTATATACAATAGCTTTTCATTCTTTTTATGATGCTAACGAGCCACAACAACATACTGAAACGTAGACGATTTTATCGAGGATTTTCACGACCGTCTTGGTGTTGTTTGTTCGTTGGAAATCGCACCCTTACAATATTACATCGCTGTTATCAAACCCTAACGAGCCTTTTGACAACTGCTAAGGGGATTTTTGGTTGTAATGTGACCACTGTGTATCGTTATCATTTATCATTATTGTCATGATTAATCGTACAGTGAAAGGTCTTCTCTAATCTTGTATGCACCATACATATACAAGGTATAAAAAAAACTAATAAAAATTGGCCAATTGTCAGAATTTCAATGCTTCATTGGCCCATCGGTGGATTTTTGTGCAGATTGTGTTGTTAGAAGTTACGTTTAATTCCCAGGAGGAGAAAGGCTTTTGTGATTGTAAGTTAGACGTAAGTATGCACAGTGCAATTACCATAATGATCGGTCGGTCTAGTTCGGTGCTCTCACAATCAAATTTCCTAGTTCCTGAGAAAATGCTTAAAAATTCCTCAAATTGCCATTAAATTCCTTAAATTTGTAAAAATTACTACAAGGCGTGATCACATAGGCTCAAAAAGTGTTTTTTCGAAATTTTTCCTCCTTTTTTTTGTTTTCAAGTTTGTCAACGTTGTATTTATAAAAAACATTAAATATTATTAAGTGTATGTCAATTTGACGTATAAAAATATCCTTTAAAATATCCTAAAACCCTTACAAAATCCTATTTTTAAGGATAATTCCTTAAAAGTGAGAGCACTGGTATAGTTACCAGTTTTTGGTGGTACCAATGGCGGTCAAATTCAATATGTCGGTTTTACTGTAAAAAATTTAGTTGTCCCATTTTACTGATGTGTGGTCCTCCTTCAGATTGCCAGTTCAATTAAATACAATTAACAATTGTGTAAGCGATACAAACCTTTCGTATGAAGTTTTTTTGTATAGCAGTCAGATTTGAATTCTTCGAATAATTATGAACGGTACAGAAAATAAAATATCATACAAAAACAAGAAAATTTTAGCACCCATGGTACGGATAGGAGGCTTGCCAATGCGGTTGCTTGCTTTGAAATATGGTGCTGATCTCGTGTACTGTGAGGTAATTGTGATAATATACATTTCAAATATAAATTATTAAATTTGCAACAATGTAGACGACCATGACATCATCAAACATGTTTATTTGCTCCAGGAAATTATTGACCATAGATTTCTTCGATGTACAAGAGTTGAGAATGGTGTGTACGTATTATCCTTTATCCTGGTTAAATAATTCAATAGTTTTGTACTACATTCATTTTCTTACTCTGATTGAAATGTTATTTAGCTCTTCTGCAGACCATTGATTATGTTCATGCAGATGGCAATGTTGTGTTTCGTACTTGCAACAGGGAGAAAGACAAACTGGTTTTTCAAATGGTTAGTATATTTTGACCATTTTTTTGACAAGACATTTGTATGCATTTTCTATACTACTGGTGGGTTGCCTTATTGTTACCATACTGGTTTTGGCTTGGGTTTAGGTAGGGTTAGGGGTAAAATTGGCAATTATAATTGGTGCAAGACTGTAGTTAGTGTTTGTAAATGGCCAGGTGCTCTATCCCTGCTCCATTTGTGAATAACACATATTATTTACAGGGCACTTCTGATCCTAAAAGAGCTTTGCTGGCAGCTAAGATGGTGTAAGATGGATTGACTTTAGTATTACATCTAAATGATCATAATTGTGGTAAATATATGGGTCTTTTTCTTTTTATAGAGAGCAGGATGTTTCTGCAATCGATGTTAACATGGGGTGTCCAAAAGATTATTCTATCAAAGGTGGTATGGGAGCTGCTCTTCTTAAAGATCCAGAAAAAGTTCGACAGATTCTCACAGCTCTTGTCGAGGGAATCTCGATTCCTGTGACATGCAAAATAAGAATTTTACCAACAGTGAGTAGACAGTTTTGTGTTCCAAATGATGTAATTGGTACTATCTACTTCTATGTACCATGATGGATATTTTTTATTAGATTGAAGAAACCCTTCATCTGGTGAGAGTGATTGAAAGCACCAAGGTTTCTGCAATTGCAGTTCATGGCAGGTAAATTTTTTGTAATTTTTTAAAAAAAACTGAAGTACCATATCGGAAATCTCTTTTATTGTAAGAAAAGTTGAGGAATAGGGAAACCGAACAAAAGCTTCTGTATCAAATTACTTCTATTTTATTTTATTTTTAGAGAGCAACATGAAAGACCCAGGCATCCTGTTCATAAAGATATCATACATAGAGTGGCCAAAGAATTAAATATATCAGTGATATCAAATGGTGGATCAGCAGATATTATAAACTATGAAGACATGGATCGCTTTCAAGAAGAAACTGGCACTGACTCTGTAATGGTTGCCAGAGCTGCTCAATGGAATCCATCAGTGTTTAGGTGTGTTTTAGATCCACATTTAACTCAGCTTATTGTCAGTTATTGTAGTAAACAGAAACAACCATGCAATTGTCATATTTTATAGAAAAGAAGGACCTTTACCTATTGATACAGTCATTAAAGATTTTATCAAATTTGTGAGTATGTACATATTTTCGTGGTCTGCTTTGTATAATTATTAGATATTTCAGAAAAGAGATAAAATACAATGTTAATTTCGGTTGTGTGTTTTTATCGCAGGCTGTAGAATATGATAATTCATTTTCAAACACTAAGTATTGCTTAGCACAAATGATGCATGAAGTACTGGAGTCTAGCAAGGGGATAGCATTGAAACATAGCAGAACAATGAAAGAGTTGTGGTATGAAGAAAGCATTTTAAAACTAATTCTATAAATCTTGGTGTTTTTATGTATTTTTTCTTGTGTTCAATTGCCTTGATATAGTGACATTTGGAATCTTGGTGGTTTTTTAAAGCAATGTGAAGACAAAAGACAAAAATCTGCAGAAAACCTGGAAAAGGTCTGAAAGATAAAAGAAAATGAATTCTGAACATGTAAGCAACGATTGTGAGTGTATATTTGATAGGTTGGTTTTTTATATGGCAAGCGAAAACGAGAGGATGATGTTAATGAGATGCAAGTTACTTACAAAAGGTTTTACTACACTTCATTTTTGTATTTTTCTCTTATGTTGTAATCTAAGCAATGGTATATTACTAATTCTGAAAAGTATAATATGTGCTGTTTTTTAGAAAGCATTATGGCAATATGACACCAAAATGCATTCTTTATGCATATACCAAGTATGTCTTAGACATCTCATTAAATGTTTGTGATTCAGTGGAACTACATGAAAATGTTTAAACACTTTTGTTTTTCATTTATGTACACAGAAAGCAAGGGATGAAGCAACCATATTATGAATCGGTAAGAATTCTTACTTATTATGTGATTTTATTTGAAAATTAAAGGTATTGCATATTTTCTATATGTTTATTTGATGACACTCAGGAATTTCATGTTTCCTACATGGTTATTTGGTGACACTTAGGGATTGTATGTTTTCTACATGTTCATTTGGTGACACTCAGGGATTGCATATTTCCTACATGGTTATTTGGTGACACTCAGGGATTCTTTGTGAAACTCCCTCATCCTCTTTATCTAACATTATACTGATAACACATAAATTGGGTGGAATCAAGACTAAATAACATGATGTAATTGTTTCCAGATTGCTAACGAAGAACGTGTGTACAAGAGTGTGGTCTGTGTGAATAATGAAAAGTACACGTCAACAATTGGGTATGGTAATGACTATGATCTAGCCTTGGCTTGACATCCTTCCTTACCCCCTTACATACTCTTGTGGTAATGACTATGATCTAGCCTTGCCTTGATGTTCTTCCTTATCCCTTATATAATATATTCTCATGGTAATGATATCTTGGATTGATAAGACAACATCCCTTCAGTAATTTATTTTTCACTGGTGTTAGTGTCGGTTGGAACATGACTGTGCTTGAACTTCTCTGCTTATTATTAAGTCATTGTAAGTTGCGTTGAAACTATGTTTCGTTTATTTTAGAGATAAAAATAGAAGATCCGCTGAACAGTTGGCCGCCTTGGTTTGTTTAAAGTATTTGGGTGTAGACGATATGAGAGTTCGTTGCTGACGTCAGAATTCGAGATGTTGAGTGTTTTCAAAAAGTCGTATCTTGTATGTAAAAATTCCATTCCATGGTTTCGTGACTCCGTTCAGGACATCCCATGTTCTAAACGCCTACAGTAAGACGTTTATCTATCACAGGCAAACATTGCAAGAAATTTGTTTGCAGTGTGAATTACTGAAGCTGTAAACGTTGTCGTTAACAAAGACTCGTTGAACAAACACTCGTCTGCTTTTGAACTAATGTAATTAACTCAGCAAATTATATTGGCGATATAAATTGTAAAATAAACATTCCCAAATAATGACTTTAATTTATCATTCGACTATTATTGATATAGAAACCCTAATGAAACGTCAGTGTTGAAAAGTTATAGTCGTAAGTCTTTTCTTGCATTTTTTCACCTTTTCAATTTCTTGTTGGTCATATTCTTCTCTCTCGTCGATCGCGAGTAGTGCCAGCATTTAACTGTGCTATCCCACTGATCAAAAAGAAGGAACGCATTGTGATACTATCATTTGCTTTCACACACACTGCGATACGTCGTTTATAGTAAAAAGCATGCATTGTAAGCAAGACCCATGCACTTTAAGGTTCGGCTTAAACAATCAATGAAAGCGTGAATACTTTAGGTGTGTGGCCATACAGTTGCGGTATACTTACAGAAGAGCTAATGATGTAAGGTTTTGTAGGATGCCAAGATACATCACGAACTATGTTGTTCTAGAACGTCATTGTTAAGTGAAAATCTTAAATTCAAACTTAAGTGAGAGTATGGAAGCTCTTAAGTAAGAACGCAGTAGCTAAAAGGATACATGTCCCGATATGATTTGCTCTATATCGCCTGTGTGAAGATCATAAACTACACAAACGCAAAGTGAAAAACTTAGAAGAACCATCGACAATATGTCACACTGATATACTTTCTTATATACATACTATAGATGCAGCCGTTGGCGCTTCCTGTGTAAATGTAGCGCTAAAATGAGAGTAAGAAATATCCGAATGAACACAATAGTTTGTAAAAGAAGAAGAGATACAAACGTTTACCTGTCCGGTAGTTTCCAGAGGTGAAAAATGCGCACGGCTGAGACATCTCAATAACGAGTGACCACGATAAGTCATGACGGAAACATCTCCCTCAATTTTGTAATTTTTCTTAACTAATAGAAAAGAATAAAAAAAATCACACCCTCTCTTTTGCTTATTACATTCAGCAACTTACGTACATTTTCTAGGCATATCTTCCCATCTGTAATCCCAATTTTGGTGTTTTTCAACCATTCGTCTGCAAGCCTATATGCATTGTAAAATGCACAACGCGTAAGCTTTGCCATAAAAATGCCATTTTATCAATAATCGTCACGCATATCGTGCAACCTACTTTCACACTTTCTTCGTTGGAAAATTTTCTCATATCCCAGAGTTTAATAGTTTGATCTTTACTGCTGGTAAGAAGATAACGTCCGTCTCCCTTTATCGACAAAATGAGTGACTTGTATGAACGCAGGAAAGTTCATTGAGAAATAAAGAAATCATCATGCACAAGTACATGAGTTGTCCTAGCTCAAGTTTTTACAGGAGGAGGATGTTTAAGGCTACCATCAAGATCATTTAATGCTAGTTTCCACGAGTTTATACTGACCTTGGTGTCAACACAAGCAATACCACATGCATGACCGGCAAACATTCCCACTGCTCTAGGATGACTTTCATTTAAAGCACGCCTATCCCACGCCTGAAAACATTAAGATTTCAATATATTAGAACGACCACATACACAATAGTCAATGTTTCACGTATCACCTTGCACAAACCATCGTCAGAGACAGAGAACAGCAATTGAGATGTGTTGTCACAAAAACAAACGGAATTTACGTCATCATCATGACCGATGATCTGAAAGAATCGTTACATTTCAAGATGAAAATCACAAATGCAATTTCCCTCACAAAATGATGATAAGTGCATACTCTCAAAGTTCTCTTTGCTTTACTTCTGTCATAGATGTACAGACAGCCATCATTAGATCTAGATGTGAAATAAGAAAAGAGATAAGATGAAAACACTCAAACCACTTTCATCAATTTTCAAATCACTTACCCAGTCAAGATCTCGTTATCATCTTGAGAAAATTTGATCGAGAACGCGCAAAAACTGTGAGTGCTAGGCCTAATAACGAAAAACAAAGGTAAAGATTATAGAAAATATCTTCATGAGTGTTATGGACGCCGTTGCCCAACCTCATATCTAATGCTATTTGAGATTTCCCAGCCTCGCCAGCGATATCGCAGAGGTATACTATAAAATGCCAAGATACAATTGACACCAGGTGCCGTAACTCAAAAACAATATGGCAACGATATATTTCTTGATTAATGCACTTACGATTTGATGACCAACTTGAATAGATTAGATGCCTCTGGTCGTGACTGCGGGTGAACGCAAATAATTTCCATTTACGTTGCATAGATGAAATTTCACAATATTAAGAATCAAGGATGCCCTCTTACGTACCTATATGCGGTATCGATTATACTCCAGCCAACATTTAAAGCTACGACATCCTGAAACTCTTTCAAATATACACCTGTTGTGTCATATAATTTTATGTGACAATCTATGGAAACAAATGAAAATGCACATTTCAATGTGTATAGTAGCACACTAGCGATCTCATTTCCAACCTTCTTTCATAAAAAAATCCCACCTTGACTTGCACTCATGAAAACAGAGCCATCCTGAGAAAAGTTTCCACAAAATACTTTGGCACCGTGTCTAACAATTTGCTTTACTGAATTGGGTAAATATCTGGGAAATAGGAAAAACACATAATCACTTTTTTTTTAACATGGTTGGCATTTTCCTCAAACAAACAATCATTCATAGTTTCTATCAACCTTGAAAATAAGTTTGCCTTTTCAGGTTCTGTAAGCCCTGGAGAAGGATGTCCCTTTCTGTTTATACCAGTTTCACGCTGGGAGAAAATTTAAACAAAATAGACAATGTACTATAAATGCATTTCAATAAAAATGGAGAAGGCAAGAAAATGGTGGGGAAAGAGAATGGTGGGGAAAGAGAATGGTGGGGAAAGAAAGTGGTGGGGAAAGAATGGTGGAAAGAAATGGTGGGGAAAGGAAAGAAAGGAAGGAAAAGAAAGGAATGGTGGAAGGAATGGAATAAGAAAGGAAATGGAAGGAAAGAATGGAATGGAGGAAAGAATAAAAAAATGGAAGGAAAGAATAGGCAAAAAAACAGAAATGGTGTCATGGAAAGGAAGGGGGAAGGGATATTGTGATCTTATATATACGATTTAGGGCACATGATCTTATATATACGATTTAGGTACACATGATCTTATATATACAAGATTTAGGTACACATGATCTTATATATACAAGATTTAGGTACACATGATCTTACATATACAAGATTTAGGTACACATGATCTTATATATACAAGATTTAGGTACACATGATCTTATATATACAAGATTTAGGTAAACATGATCTTATATATACAAGATTTAGGTACACATGATCTTATATATACAAGATTTAGGTACACATGATCTTATATATACAAGATTTAGGTACATGATCTTATATATACAAGATTTAGGAACATGATCTTATATATGATTTAGGTAAACATGATCTTATATATACAAGATTTAGGTAAACATGACCTTATATATACAAGATTTAGGTACACATGATCTTATATATACAAGATTTAGGTACACATGATCTTATATATACAAGATTTAGGTACACATGATCTTATATATACAAGATTTAGGTACACATGATCTTATATATACATGATTTAGGTATACATGATCAGCATGATGTATCTAGGTTTTTAAAATGAATACTTCATGTTTTCTTCACTACTTACTCTTTTGACTTCCTGACAAACGTTAAAATATTTCTTATCAATTTTCTTCTGAAATTTGGAACTAGAAATTTGGGTATTTTCTCCCTGTTAGCAGAAAGGAAATGAGGAAATGAAGCAAAATTTAATGATGCATACAATCATCATCTCATCATCATTAAACATTATAACATTTCAATTTATTTACTGTATGCGAATCAGAGAGAGCAACAGGTATTTCCAGTCTTGTGTAAGGAGTTCAGCAAAAAATCTCAAAATTTAGGCAATCACAAAACCCTTGTCATACATAAGCCTAGTTCCCAATCTCCCACATTTTATACATCTCGGAATCACAAGACCCTTGTCATACATATGTTATATAAAACAAGTGCCTAGTTCCCAATCTCCCACATTTTATATGTCTCGGCAATCACAAACAAGACCCTTGTCATACATATGTTATATAAAACAAGTGCCTAGTTCCCAATCTCCCACATTTTATATGTCTTGTAAAAATAAATTGAAAGTCATAAAACTTATCAAAAATCTTACTTCAACTTTAGATGAGTCAAGGTCTAGTGGTTCTGAAATAAATTAAACTGCAATTACATGTTCCCATGGCAGGAACAGTATTAAAGACTGTCTTCACTAATTGGGATGGAGAAATAGACAGCAGAAAGCACATACATAGAAATCACAAACTGACGTCTCTCATTCACATATCAACTATCCCAAGATCATCAAAAAATATTGCAAACACAATCATTAATCATAACTTAAATACCGTTTTCCTCAGTATTTTCTTCACCCGACGACGAATCATAGTTATATCCGCCGCCCAAAATAAGGTATAATGGATCAGAATGCGTGCCTAGCCTAAATCATAATAAGAAATATTCCGCATCAAATCACTTGCTTTCAACAAGACGCCACATGGAAATGTCCCAAATAGAATAGTGACAAACCTTGGTGCAAGACGATGAAAAATCTCATGTACTTCTAACAATTGTAACTCATCTTCTTCTTCGTATTCTTCCATTTAATTTGCCAATCTAAGACATTTAGGACATAGACCGAAAAGATCCTGCTACTTTCCACACGGTAAAAATGATAAAAACATTGTAATATTATAAATATTGTATTAAATTTCAAAACGACTGTTGTCTGCGGATTGAATTGAATCCAATAAATAAATCCAGTGGATTAATGCTGAATGATGCTTTTCTCCCCGATTAAAATCTACATACAGCCGGTTAGCACTATTTTCCCTTTACTTTGTACACAATCGTCGATCTTTAATTTATTAACGATTGTGTAAAGTAAATGGAAAATAGTGCTAACATACAGCCATCCACTGATCTTATAATGATAATTGTTAGGCACGATGTAGCTTGAGAGTGAAGTTGAGTCAACTGGGTTTTTATAAACTAAAAACTTTATTTTGAAATCCAAACGTAATAATATTTCATACAATAAACATCTTGAACTTGACTTAAAAACTTTAAAAGCATAACTATCAGTAATAAATTAAAAATTTGAATCTTTCATCCTCCTCTATGACATCTGTCTTTCTTCTGTTTCATCAAAGTAGTTCAAATGAACAGTAACGTTCTTTAATGTGCTTCACTTCAACTTTTCCAATGCAATCTTATTCAAGAGTTCGTATCTCTGGGCGGCAGGAAAAAAGACGTTCTTAAAAAAGACATTCATTTTCGCGCACCATACATTAAATGGTTCTTGAGAGTAACCATCTTCCTTAACCACATCTCTTGCTTCCTCACCATCACCTTGAACTTCAGTCAGACTAATGGTGATGTCTAAAATTTTAACAAGAAATAATCAAACAAGCTGGTATGTTAAACAGATGTTACTTTCAAAGTTAATGGAAAGACAATCCACCCTAATTACCTTGTGGCACCAATTCAACAGGTGTGGTTTCATCCTGCTGCGTCTGCTCGAAATGATCATCAATAGAAGGTTTTTTTAATTCTCCGGAAGAGGATGCTACATCGTAGAGAATGAATAAAAAATTTCTATGAAAAAATTCCTCGCCACTCGTCTGTGTAGCTTTTCAAATAAACTCAAATCAATAATTTTCACTGGCTTCACACTGTATGAACACTGCACAAAAATGTTACTTAAACAAGTCATACCAGTAATACTGAGTAAAGGTATATCCACATCTTTCGTAGGAGTGTCCAAAGCAATGGTTACAGAATTCGAATGCTGTTCTTTTCCATCAGCTTTAAGTGTTTCCTCTCTCGTATTTAACAAGGAATGAGTTGAAGAAAGGCGGCTTTCTACAAGAAACATTTACAAGCGTTAGTAACTTAATCCAACCATTACCTTTATGGTTTTAAGTCAATTCTTAAACAGCTAGTGCAGAAGCTTTGTTCCACGTTCAGATGACTGTTTTAGCTTAACTTCCGTAAGTTTTTTTCTTTGAAGTGCTTTGTTTAAAAAATTTCATTCGAGAGATAATAGAATAATCTTTATAAACTTCGTCATTTCATTATTGTCGTGAAAAATCACCGCGAAAAACTCAAGGAAGAATATGCTTACACACTGGTACACAGTTATTTAGTAAAAAACAAAGCTTTGAGCATTCCTATACGTTGAAAGAATTTACCAATGACTGGGGAGTCAAAGCAACCAGCTGATGTACTTGCAAGTCGACTTTTAGCAGTACTACAAGGCTCGGTTAAGATAACTTCATTGGATGAACGAACTGGATTCTCTTTCAACATCATCTCTGTGACATGCAACTCAGCGCATTGAACCAAAGTCTCGAAAACTTCATAGAATGACATTTCTATGTCAAGATTGATGAAATCATCTTGCAAAACTCCAGGATCATCATATGAACAAATATTGATAAAGTCCTTTGCACTCAAATCGTCGCCAATAATATTGTATTCTTTCAACATGAGAAGCAGGGTTCTCATGTTAACACATAATCCATTGGGTTTACTTCTTTTAAATTGAGACGACCAGTACTGGTATATGCAATAAGTCTTATCCAAATACTGATTCAACTCAATCGTAACACTTGGCTTGGAATATACAACGCCACCAATGCAAAATGAATGTGGCAAAATAAACGCTGTTATCAACTTTGATAAACACCATGGTAAAAGTCTATGGTTGTGATCAGCATTTTCAGCAAACAAGTGACTAGCAATAAAGACCAGAGCAGTCAAGAAGTCACGAATAAGAATATACTCCCAAGGATAATATGCATCTTTGCCATCGCTTGCAACGAGTCTAAGAATTTCTGGAACAGATGATCCAACGTGATGTATATGACTGTCTTTGATGAATCTACAGAACTGCATTCGAGACATGGCTGATGTATTGTCTAAGGACTTTTCAATTCCTAAAGCGCTATAATAACTGTAAATCTTTTTTAACTGACTGATGTGTTGTAACATTATGTTGTTTACTTCATGTAATTCCAATTGTCGTTCATCTACATTAATATTTCGATTCTCAAATAAAACTCTGATGTTAAGTTCCAATTTATTTGACCAATCAATACTGAGTTCAGAGAAAGCAGGGGTTGAAGGCCGCTGAACAGGTAACCCAGCAAAAGAAATGTCTGGTGTGGTCATTCTTAATGGATTGATATCAGGATATTCCAGCATACGATCGTTTTCGAATGTTCCTAAAAGGATAACACTTTTTATAGCATTGAACTGGTGGTAGTAATGCTTGGCAACAAAATATTGTCATCACATATACCTTCAAATATCATTCCATTTTTGAAAACAAACATTCCTGTGCCATGCTTCATGTTATTCAACCAGTCACCTTCGTACTTTGCACCACTTGCATAATGAAAAATACCATGACCATGACGTTTACCGTTGACAAAATTACCAACATAACGATTCCTTACTGGATACTGTGATCCCTTAATTCGCCTCTGGAACCATGTATGTTCGCCAAATCCTTGTTGCACACCATTTAACCATTGACCAGAATACTCTTCATTGCTTGTGAACCACTTCATTGTTCCTTCACCATGTCGTATATTATTTTTCCAATTGCCATAGTAGACATTGCCACTGGCATACTTACGCGTACCCTTACCTTGTCGTTGATTTTCAGACCATTCTCCTTCATAATAAGAGGTACCATGTTGGTTATATTTCAACAAACCCTGACCATGTCGTTTGCCTTCCTTCCACATACCAGTGTATGTACATGGTGGCAGGGTACATTTATAAATACCATGACCATGACGTAATCCATTGGTGACCTCTCCTTGATATACACTGTCATCAGGCCAGATATACACACCAGTACCATTCAATTGATTGTGAACAAAATCCCCTTCGTAAATTGTCCTGTCTTGCCAAACAAACTTTCCTTTACCATGCATTAAGCCACGCTCAAAATCACCTTTGTATATGTTCCCACCTTGAAAGCATGCGGTGCCGTAACCATGAAAGAATCTTTGTTCATCCCGCTCACCGTCGTAAAGTTCAACAAGCACGTCGGTAAGCAAAGGTTCGCTTCTCATGGCATCGTAAGGTTTTTCGTAATTTGAAGCCATTTCAGGTTCTTGAATAGCTTCAGTTGCATTCTCATTAGATTGAGAATCGCCAATTTCATCTTTATCATCGCCATTTGCGTTAGATTCCGTAAATGAACTATCCAAAAACTGAGGCATGTTTTAAATAGAAATCTCTTCGGCCATTTTATAACAACAATCGTTTCCATAACGACAAGTTTCCAATTTTTCATTCAACTTTGCTAACGACAGGATCTGAAATGACCAATCAGAGGTAGTTTTTAGTTGTAAGTTTCCACCAATAGGAACACGATGTTTCCACATGCTTTCAACAGTCAACATACTTCAAAATATTTATACATATGGAAGCATAATACAATATTCTTAAATATTTGCCCGTAATACATAGTATTTATATCAACGAAAGGAGAAATTAAAAGACTTTTTTTGAAAATCAGGAAAGTTAATGAATTTTTAAGTCGATAAATCTAATAATAAATACAGTAGGAAATAAATGAAATGTATTTTTAAAACATGAAGCCTTCAAAACAATGGTTTGTTTGGGATGGACTTGGCATCACTTGCGCTATGTTTACGTACTTTCTCATTGGCTTTGCTGAATTCGTTGTAGTTGGTGTTATACTGCTGCCCGAATTGACAACAACGGCTTGGGGATTATTTCATTCAATTTTATTTTCGATTCTTGCTCTTTTAGCTGCGAGTGCTCACATGCGATCCATGACGACCGACCCGGTAAGTTTGTGTGTTTAAACCGTTCACATTTCACTTTGTAAACATTTTTTCAATCATAAAACAAGTTAAAGATTTACATGAAATAGCAAATACTGATAGCCACAACCACATATTCATATTTTGACCGACGCGTTTATAAACACATACTTACACAATGATTCGCATGCTGTAACTAACTAGCTTTCTTTATGGTGTAAATGATTTTTAGGGAAGCATACCTTTAGGTAATTGTACAAAGGAAAATATTAGAAAATTGGACATAAAAGAAGGAGAGGTTTTATACAGATGTACAAGATGTGAGTGTATTAAGACTGATAGAGCTCATCATTGTAGCACCTGTCAACGTTGCATCAGGTAAATATATAAAAACGTTTAAGGAGAGATTATGGGTAGAGGTGAAGTATAACTCTCTCCATACCTCTACCCCCACATATTTTGCTTTATATCACTAACTATTTATTGGATGAAAAAAAATTTTGAAAATCCTTCCAATGGTCATTATTTCTAGTTTTAAAAACATTTTTTTTATTTTCTTTAAAGGAAAATGGACCACCACTGTCCATGGTAAGGCTGGAGTTTTTTAGGAGATACATGAAAAAATTCCATTCATGATTGGTTATTATTTTTATCGTTACTTATCATAAGATTTCAAAGAGTAAATTTGCCTGTAAAAGTTGGACATTCATTTATTGAAATGAACTATTGATCTCGTCTTTGATAGGATCAATAACTGTGTTGGAGAAAACAATCAAAAGTTTTTTGTCTTATTCACGGTAACATTGTTAACTTACATTTGATTGAATCACTTATAAGTATGCTTTAAATCAATTATTACTAAGAATCAATACTATTTCTAGTTTTACATTATGGTCATCTCAGTCTATGCGCTGTTCCTTTCTGTTAGACAGTTTTTTCTCTGCCAAAACACAGATTGGGAAGGTAATGTCATGTGCATCCACAGCTTTGTTCTTATCTCTTAAAACCTTACGAATGTTGATTTGTAGGTTGCATCTATCTCAAAACACCAGCTGGCATGGTGTGCATTATATTCCTTGTATTTGAAGGAATTTTGTTTGGTTTATTCACACTTGCGATGTTTTGCACTCAAGTGTGTTCAATTTGTAAAGATGAAACGGTAAAGTTCTAAGATTTCATTTTACTTTACTCATTTCAAATACAGCGAACTTTAATACTTAACTGGTTTTTGCTAATGATGCTACTTTGTTCAAATGTTCACACATTTGATAGGGAATTGAAAATTTGAAGAAAGAGAAGGTCGATAAAGAGGAAGATAAGTCTTTGTGAGTATTTACTAGTTAATTCAGAACCATATGATTTATCCACAATTTTTTCAATCAATTTCCACCTGTCTCAACACCAGATGTTCAAACAAGCAAATCTTTTTGAAACATTTTATAGATATGACAACCTTAGGGATGTATTTGGTGGACACTTTTCATTGAAGTGGTTTTCACCATTCACTCATCCAAAGATTAGCAGACGAAAGACTGTATTCAGTTATTATGAAGTTTAAAAACTTGACCCAGTGGCAATGACCTACCACAAGAGTACAACACTTATAATTTTCATCTGGACGTGTAAATTATTCATCGATTACATTGATTTCATCAATGATAACTCACCTTATAATGTACAATCAACTGTAGTTGTGTATATTCCATCACTAATGTACATTTCTCGGGTTTTAAAAACATGTTCAACATCAATTATTTAATAATGAATTTATTTCATCAACATAATTCAAGTAAACAGTTCATTTTTTCTTAAAAAGCAACAAGCATGTTTGGTAAATTTATCTACCAATGAACTAGAAAGCAACTAACAAAAAAAAAGGTAAAATCAGAAGTGTCCTGACCCACCACCACGACGTGCTTGACCCCTATTATATGGAGCATTCCTAGGATGTCCCCTCGGAGGTCCCCCGCGATTTATAGAACCCCGTCCTCTTCTATTAAATGGGCTCCCTCGTCTTGATCCATCAAATTCCATCTCCTGGCCATGGTGCCTAGGATCACCATCATGATAAAACTCATGTTGATCCCCAGGAGGTCCATGATTGTCATATGGCCCATACCTGGGAAAATAGTTTTTTAGCAACATATTACATCAAGTAAAGGTTATCAAGTGGAAATATTTATACCTGCCAGGACCCTCCATTCCTTTATGTCCGACCTCTTCAGGTCTTCTTTCCATATCAAGTTTTTGACCACCTGTCATTGATGGTTCGCAAGAATCTTTAAAACCAGGATGCTCTCTTGGAGCTTGCACTTGACCATGCTGCCATTCTCTTGGTGGGCTTCTTCTACCATAACCTGGAGGTGGTCCACCTCTATCAGGCACCATACGAGAGTCACGTGACCTCGGGTCATCATACATGTCACGTGATCGTTCCCATTCTCTGAAATCTTGTCCAGGTGCTGGTCTTTCATCCCTGGGATCTCTTCCAATAGGAGGTCTTTCCCACTGATCTCTACCAGGGGTCCTCTCTCCCATGGATCTCTAGCTTCTCTGAAATTTTCCCTTGGCAATAAGGGGACGCCATAATCGTCACGCATGCGCGATCTGGCAAATTCTTCTCTTCTAAAGTCATCATCAACAGGTGCTGTGAACCTACCATAATCTTCTCGTGCTATGGGTCTACCACGACCAAATTCATCTGCAGCACCACGATCTAATTTGTGACAACAAAATGACTCAAAGTAGTAGATGCAAGTAAAATGTCTCAATTAATTAATTAATTAACTAATGTTGTAATGTTCCTTATTCTGAAGAAGGCTCGAAGCACCGAGTCGAAAGCTCAATAAAAATCATTTTTAAAATCCGGAGAAACTTTTATTTTACAATCAGGAACAGTCATCTCCATAACATAAAAATATTTCTACTTACGTGGGAAGTCTTCTCTAGGCGGATATCGATCATAGTAGTCCCGCTCTACAAGCCTACTACGTTCAGCTAGTCTGTCGCGATCCGCTAAAACAGAAAGTCTCTCCCTCTCGGCTAGTGCCAGTCTCTCCCTTTCAATTAAACCCAGTCTATCACGATCAATCATTCCTAATCTTTCGCGGTCTGGAAATGGCAGTCTATCTCGCTCTAGATATCCAAGTCGATCACGATCAGCAAGTGATAAAGCATCGCGATCTGCCAGAGCCAATCTTTCTATATCTAGCCGTCTTCCTCGATCCAGTCTTTCTAAAGATTCTCTATTGATGAAATCTCTAGCTGCCAAGCGCTCTCTCTCGCGAGCAATAGACTGCAAAATATAATGTATACATATTTTATTAAAAATAAATGAATTCATCTAACCTCATACACCTCTCGTAAGCCTCTCGTCTTACCTCGCACACATCTCGTCTTACATCTGACACTTTTCCGCTTACCTCGCAAACCTCTCGTCTTACCTCGTACACCTATCGGCTTACCTCGTACATATCACGTGATAAAGTTTCTGAAGTATCTTGTGTTTTTTTCCGATCATAATCTTCCTGCGTTAAATATTCCTCCTTTGAAAGATATTCTTTATCTTTTGCAGGCAATCTCTCGTATTCTTCACGAGTCAGTAAAGACCGTGCCCTTGAGAGAGCTCGTCATAATCTTTTACAGAGGTTGTAACGTTGCCATCGCTACCTGCCAAGGTTGGTTGCGAAGGAAAATCGGTTTCATCGGTATTTCTGTTACCTGAGGACTGTGGCTGCTCACTATTCTCCAATAACAACAATTTTCTAGTGCTGGCCGGTAATTGAGCATACTCTTCGCGAGACAATACGTCCTTAGCTCTTTTTGAAAGTTGTTCATACTCATCAAGAGTAGCAACAGAACCGACAACCAACTTTGTCGTTAAAGATTGTTCGTCAGTGCCGGGAACAAGCAAATTGTCACCTCGTCGTCCATCATCGTTTGTTCCACTCTTTCTATCAGTGTACGCTTGAGAGGCACCACTAACAAATGGTGATCCACTTCTATCCAGTGAATGGTGATCCACTTCTCTCCAACTGTCTTGTTTTGGTTCCTGACTGGCGGTAAAGTCGTGTGATTTTTTTGCTTTATTTTCTTCCGTTTCTACCACGCTGGTGCCATCTGTGTGTGAAGTCCCAACGCCCATGGCTTGTTGAATCATTTCGTCAATTAATGGAGATTTGTGTTTCATGAACATCGCCAGATGCTTTGGACCTCGAAGATGTAAATTCTTTGCAGACAAAGTGGCAAACTGCACATCACAGAGCTGACAGAAATACTTAGCTTGTTCACCTGTGTTCACTACGTATTCTGCACCAACAACATTCTTTGGAAGACCGCTGCTCTTATGCGCCTCATCACTTTGTTCAGGGGTGAACTTAGATGACTTCTTTAAGATGGATTTAAGTGGCCTTGAGCCAGAATCATCCATGTCGTCCGACATTTCTTGATCGTCACTGTACCTCTCTCCTAGTCGATGAAGCTGATCATCGTCTCCAACACCCAAGGATTTAGAGAGAGTTGTTTTAGCTCCAGAACCTAGGGCACTGACTTGACTAAGAAGATTCTTCAGGGCTTGTTCTGTGGACGTTGATGTTTGTGACGAAGACTTTAGCGGCTCGTTCGGTCGAATGTACGTCAAAGCAGATGAGTTAAAAGGTACTTGAGAGTCTTTTGTGCTGGAAATTGTTGGAACTCTTGATCCTGAAGCAGATCCTGTGGGGTAGGGCACACCTACAGAAGGCAGCAACCCTATCGGTGGTCGTGGACCAGTCAGTGGAGGTACAGGGGGCATCAATGGCCCACCACCAATGGGGAAACTAGGTGGAATAACACGTCCAAGATTTTCCACACGCGCAAGATTAGCAAGTAGATCTCTTTGCAATTCATCCATTTCTTTGTTTTCATCATTATCGACGTCTCTACTGCGATTGCGGTCATGTGATTTCTTTCTACGTTTTTCATCACGTTCATCTGAATCTCTTCTTTTATCATCGCGACTCCGACCACCCAAGTCCCTTCTCCTGTCAACATCTTCTTTATTTCTGCTATCTTTACGGTTGATACCGTCATCAGATCTACGCTTATCTTTGTGATCGTCAGAACGACTTTTTTCAACACTTCTTGTACGATCTTTAGTTCCAATTTTTAATCCTAAATCTATTTCTTCATAGTCACCAGCATCTTCAAAGATCTTACCACTATCTCTGTTGTTATGCCGTTTCTTATCACTTTCTTCACTATAGGTTGATTCGTCTTTTTTTTTTGCATTATCCTTAGAGGATTCTTTGTGAATCTTTTCATCCCTTCTTTCGCTTTTCTTGTATTCTTTCTTGTCACCTTTCTCTCGTGAATCAATGTCTACCTTTCTATCATCCTTACCGCTTTCATTTTCCTCCCGACCAGTTTGAGACAGTCCATTTGGCAAGAGCTTTGTCTTTTGCTTCTAAACTCTTCGCCTTAGTCTCGGCCATTGCCGTATCTTTTTTCTTTTTCTCTTCAGTCAGTTCAACGTCGGCATTCGAAGAACTTTTCTCGTATCGTTTACGTTTTTCAGGGCTTGGTGTTCGTCTGGATCGCTTGCCATGTCGCTCACGAGATAAACTTCTCGATCGCTTTCTTGAACTGCTCTGCTTTTTGTTGCTACTTCTACGTTCACGACTATCACTTCTACTTCGACTGCTCCTTCGCCTAAACATTAAAGACACATGACTTCATTATCTGATTTCACTAACACAGTTAAAAGACAACACAATAAAGATCATCAGTAAACTTTTACAACGCTCTCAAAAACTTAAACTTACCTCTCAATACTGCGGTCACGACTGTAACCACTCTTTTTCTTTGACTGATATTTTTCACGTGACCGATAATCGACTGTTTCACCGACCTCCTTTATGTTTTCATCTAATTTCAACGATTGCTCATTCGTATTCTCACTAGAGGTCACAGAATCAACACCAAGACTGGCCAAACCACTCATGCCTTGCGAACCAAATATTTTCTGCATTAATTCCAATCCACCTTGTGTCTCTGCAAGATAACGGATGTCAGGAAACTGACGCTTAAGAAGTTCTAGCAGCAATGTTCTTTCCATATCTTTGTTTACATCTTTCTCAGATTCCTCGACAATCTCTGTCGCACGTTCGTCATCAAACACATCTTTTCTTTCATGATCAGTAGGAGTTTTTGATTTCTTCTCAAGATAATCTTCCTCCTTCTCCTGCTTACGAACTGTGTCTTCCTCCCTATCCTTAAGATGAGCAAAAGCTCCACCAAAGAAACCTTTCAAACCTGATCTTTCACCACTATAGTCCCCTCTTTGATGACCGTAATCAATAACAAGGGAACTTTCATTGTCATTCTCAATGATGCCACGTTGTTTGTTTATAACTTTTCTTAAATCCTCGTTATTTTCATCATCTTTACTCGAGCCTTTCTTTATGATCACTCGTTCAGTATCGGAATCACTAGTGTATTTTTCATCCTCATAATCCTTACGGCGGCGTTCAGACTTATTTCCACGCTTCTCTCGTCTTACTCAACGAGTCCTCGCGAGAGTGTCGGTCACGTGAGCCGTAATCCTTTGATCTTTCTCTCGAGTCCTCCTTGGAATAACGGCTATCTTTGGCGTACTTCTCAAACTTCTCTTTGAGACTCTTGCCATCAGGTGCAACCCACTTGTATTTATCTTCATATGCAAGCGGACCTCGTCCACGTTTTTTACTGCTGTCGCTTGTGGCAACTTTGGGATCCCACTTAGACGCTTTGAAGATTTCAGCTTTTTTCTTCCCGTATTCCTCTTCTCGTTTCTTCGCCCATCTTCCGCGTTCTTCTTCGTCTTCTTTCAACTTCCTTTCTAATTCTTTCTTTTCTTTCTTGTCCAATGTTACCTTACAATGAGAGAACAATAATCAATTGACAATCTCCCCATCCCTATGGGTAAAGAAAGGTTTTACAATATCTAAACGGGCGAATACTAGTCATCATATCTTACTCAAGACACAGACTGTCTACTTTACCATACACAATGATGCAATCCAGGTTTTGCGTTGTCAAACATATAAAAACCTGCTAATATAATCCCTAACCTTAGGCATCCCCATTGCCATGGCATCCTCTTCATCTGCATTAATGTCGACGACAACCGAACGCGAGTTCAAATCCTCTTTGGTTTCACTAGAAATGTTTACTTTGATCTTATCAAAGTTCTTAAGCGGAGGAGAGATGGTTCGCTTAATCTTGTCTCTGAGATCTTGCATGCTTTCTTTCTCCGAGTCTGGCTGTTGTTCCAATGGTAACAACCGCTGGCGAGCTGCAACGTTGTTTGCATGTTTCTTGCTTTTAAAATGAACCTTGTGATTATTCTCGCTGGTGAACGTCATACAGCAGAGATCACATTTGTACGTCATTTGACCGTGACCTTCCATGCGCACCTGATGCTCTTTGCTTGTCACGTGTTCAGTGTAAGCAACCTGAAATCCCAAATAAAACAACGTGTAAAGTAGCTATCTATAACAGCTTCAAAATTGAATTTCTTTAAAATCGTCCAAAAAAGAGACAACTTATGTCTTTGACGAAACCATTTGGACATAAAAAAGACGTAGCTAAGAGAAGAAAAACGTATGAACTTACCTCTGATCTACAGTCCATATCACATATACCACAATAGTAAGCAGAAACGCTTTGGGAGATTGGTACGATCTTATTCAAAACAGCCAAACACTTTTCGCTCGTGTTTACTTCACTGGTGTCTAAATCAACCAATGAACTTTTGCTTTGTTCCGCTCGCTTTTCCGCAGTTTTAACGTGTCGTTGTCCTTTCACGTGATCGTCGTAATGCAACACATTTACACAGTCAAGATCACACACCTCACAATAATAAGGTGAATAATACTTAATGCTTACAAACGGATCTTCTTGCTCGACTTCAGTGCATGGCTTTCCATAGACTGGATTTCTTGACTCAGTCCTTTGCAACAAAGGCAAATGATTCTGCTTCTTACAATGGACTGTCAATCTAGTGTCAAACACTTGCTGACAAGTGGTACAAGTGCGACTCTTCTTCACTTCAAATTCCTTGCCGCACTCGTACGACTTTTTGTGTTTTGTAGATTTGCTATGTGTGTCGTAGCCTTGTTCGTTTTTGAAACGCTTGCAACAAAACCTACAAGCAAAGTAAGATGAAGCCTTCAGATTTGCAGTTTGTTGATTAGTTGAGGAAACACCCTCTACACGAATTGGAGCGCTGTTTTCATCACCAGCTACATTCCCTTGTTTCTTGTTTATGCTGAATGATATTCTACTTTTTCTCGTCATAAGTCAAACGCAGTTTTCTAAAGAGTAGTTTTGAAAAAAGAGTTTCTACTTAAATGTTACTTAAGTTGGTAAACACAATCTAAAATTAGCACCTTTCTATCTTTTTTGAGAAAATGAATACTCAATCATCAATGGACGTTTGATTTCGCTGTTAAGCCGTTGAAATTTCAGCAAACCACAAGCATCCTATAAAAGTTTTTAGGTTTAGAAAATAAAAAAAACCTCAACATATATCTGACAAAACAATAAACTAAGTTCGAAGACGATAAGTAAGATCATTGTTATCCGATTTTATTCCATCCTTGCATACTCTACAAAACAGATAAAAAAATCATTAAATATTGATGGAGATATTGATTAAAATAAAACTGAAATAATTTCATGACTTACCGTTTGATTTAAGTCTTGATATAACTTGATAAAAACAAATACCAACTTCCAACCACCAAACATGTATTTCATTCAAAACGCAAATTTAATTTTCAAAATGAAACTTTGGCATTTCTTTGTGCTTTGAGTTTCTGCAGTCCCATTTTTGAATATGGTATGACTTTTAGCTTAAAACTTTTCAAAAGCGACACAAGCATCAAAGACATGTTAGTAAAGACTGTTCATAAAGACATTTTAAGAACAGCCATTCAAGGAAACTTTAGCCATACATGCAAGCATTTTGTGTTTGGTTAAAAGTAGTTGACACATGGCATTCTTTTAGTTTCTCTTCCAATAGAAGTGAAAGCATTAATAATAATTTTGACTGTAAGAGTCATGAGGAAACTGTCATAACAGTAAATTATCCACACATGTCTTTAAGTTCACAATTATTACATCCCAAACACCTCTCATAGTTAATAACTATCCATAAAATGCAATTTTTTGACAACAATTGAAGCATCACATATTACCAAATAGCATGCATGCATGATGCATACAGTAACATTTCACAATATACCAGTACATCGTACGGTTTGTATGCATCCCATTTGCCATATCATGGCGATTTTTCATGTTTTTAAAAAATGATATCGTAAGAAATTGGATATACTGTAGAGTATTGAATACACAGCAATATATAGTGAGGTTTTGTTGCTTGATATTACAAAAGACACCAAAAAAATCATGTTGAAATAAAAACAACAAGTTGGTACACTACACTAATCTAGAGTGAGTCTTTAGAAGTTTGACACTATATCTTGCTCCATATTTTGTTTGTTTTTTGTTTGTATAATCAAGTTATTTATCAGGGGCTTTGGATGCTAAAGTATGTCAATGAAGTGGGGATAGGGAACAACTAGTTGCAATCATATTAACCAAATTTTTCTTGCTAATTTTTCAGATGCAGAAAACATAATAGCAATAGACGACTCTTGGTCAACTATGAAAACTAATGACCAAAAGCAACAAAAAATATTATTTGTCCAACAGTATTTTGAAATTAATCAACCTATTTCAACCAACGACTTACAACTTACAAGAATTCGACAAACTATACCATGACTTGAAATAATTGTAAGGGGGGGGGGGGAGTGGAGATTACACACTTCCCCAGTCCCCTGACGCTACGCAATGTACTGATTGTTATATTATTCACAATGAAATATGCCTAAGGTACGTTTCATTTAAATTTAATTTCTCGTAAGGAGTAAATCGCCATTTTTTGCAAATATAATAACTTTAACAACCAAAGAGAAAGACATTTTACAAACACGCATTCAAGAGGATAATGACAAGCTATAAAATTTAGGCAACTTAAACAGCACAGAAAATGCATATATATACAGAATTGTTTAATGAAATTTTTCAAATAAATCTTTTTAGGATATAACTGTCGATCACAAACCTTTATTCTGCCTTTTTCTCCTGAAAAATACCGATATTTTTGACTAAAACTACTTCGAGTATGACTAACACAGCGTGTTCGATGATTGAGTTGGAAGACTGGAGGTGACGTGCAGTACTGACCGGAAGTACCACTTGAGAATCCTCTTTCCGGTTTTAATAGTGAGTGGAGATTTATAAAGAAAACGTTTATTAGAGAGACATTTCACCATATTTTACTACTCTTTGTTAGTAAAATTAATTTTAACGTTGTTATAAGGACAATTTATATTTATTGACAGCGCGATATTCCTCTTACAACGTTACCAACGCATTCAGTTTGTCATCTTTTTGGCAAGCTCCTGGCTGCTTTTGCAAAATATGGACAAAAAGTTTCACAAAAGCTTTTCTTTCGCGATTGATCGTGGTGGAACTTTCACAGATGTGTTTGCAGTGACACCCAGTGGTAAAGTAGTTATGAAATTGCTTTCTGAAGACCCTGCAAACTATCTCGATGCACCTCGCGAAGCAATAAGACGTATTTTGGAAAAGGTTTGTAGACAGTATACCAATAATCTTTTTACCACTGCCAGACCATACAGTTTGCGAGCCGTGTACGATTTAATGAGTAAAAAAATGCAAAACTAAATGCCAAAATGGCCTGCTAGATTATCTTTTTAGTAGAATCAAAATGATATGTTCTTGCTATTTGCAAACCCTCTAAAGTTGATGTATGATTGTGGTGGTGATTTTGATTTCCTAAAATCAGGAAACTGGTACTCCCATGCCTCCTAATGAACCTATCAATCCTTCGTACATCAAGTGGATTCGCATGGGCACTACAGTTGCAACCAATGCTTTGTTGGAAAGAAAAGGAGAGCGCGTGGCATTGGTGATAAACAAAGGATTCAAAGATCTTCTATTCATTGGTAACCAATCAAGACCAAAAATATTTGATCTGGTATGTTTACAAAGACTTGCGTGAGAATATTTTTTCTATACTTTTTTATATCATTGTTTCTATGTTTTTTCATTGTATGTACGTATAAGAAAATTGAAATGCCAGACATTTTATATGAAGAAGTGATAGAGGTAAAAGAGAGGGTGGTTTTAACTCAAGAAAACTGTAGAATTTCTTATCCGCATCATGGAAATGTGTCTGGAAAATCTGATGTTACTGTAAGAATTGTCTTTTGATGTGTTTATCTATAAAAATTATTGTCTTGCAAATTTAAATTTTTTTATTTATAATTTGTAATTTTTAGCTTCAAATTTGGGAAAAATTGGATTATGAAAGCATAAAGGAAGATTTAAAGGTAAATTGAGAAGAAATCACTGATTCTATTGATATGATTTAGTTTTTAGCATTGAAATTCATGTACTTTTCCTGATTTTAGAAAGTATATGAGAAAGGAATAAGATGTTTGGCAATCATCCTGATGCATTCATACATGTACAATATAATAAAAACATCTAAAATGACTTCATTTTACAAACCACCTCTATTTTAATATTATTAATAATTTATTTGTATTATTTTCAGCTATGAGCATCATGAACAAGAAATTGGCAAATTAGCCACAGAAATTGGATTCACTCAGGTGTCACTGTCTTCTGTTGTCATGCCAATGATAAAAATGGTTCCTAGGGGATTGACAGGTATGCTCATGTACATGAATGAACAAAATTAAGAGTTGCCAACAGTAGAATTCCATATTGTTTGATGATAATGCTCATAGCTATCATCTTTCAGCTTGTGCTGATGCTTATTTGACTCCTGTATCAAAAGATATGTCAATGGATTCGTTTCTGGCTTTCAGAATAACCTACAGGTTTGCCATTGTACTGGTACAAAATTTTTCTCTCTCTCTCTTTTCTTTTTCTGATTCTTTTCTTTGATTACCTTCTCCAAACTTTAGGATGTACGAGTTCTGTTCATGCAATCTGACGGAGGCCTTACTCCCGTTCAAAAGTAGGCAAGCAAAAATATTTTACGATTTTAGTCGCGTCGGGATTGACGTAAGTCATTTAAATCCCCGTTTGTGTTGCAATATTTCTGCAACATTTGCAAAATTTTTGAGGGCCATTGAGGACTGAGAACAACATTGAGACCTTACGAAAACAGTAAATTTTAAGCGCGGGTTTAAAAAATCACAAATACATATTTGTATATGCTCAACAATTGTAAAGGTAAATTATCTCCAAAATTATTCATGGAAACAACGTGTTCTCATTCAAGGACGTTTTCTTCATCATTGAGTGAATTGGACATGCGAAAATATGGTTTACTTTCGCTCATTTGCTGTTTTGTTTTCATACTAGGTTCACTGGTTCTCGAGCGATATTATCAGGACCTGCTGGAGGAGTTGTATGTAAAGTTGTTTGATTACAAAACAACAACATGGTGCAATGCTATAGAAGAATTTGAAAATAATTTGCTTATCTTTCAGGTTGGCTACGCAATGACAACATATAACAAGACAACTGGTCAACCTGTAATAGGATTTGACATGGGAGGTATGTTGACTTTAGGCTCAACGTGTAATCTTTGGCCTTTGCCAACAGAATCTTTTCTCATTGTGAACTTCATTGTATTCACTCACTTATCTTATAGGTACCTCGACTGACGTCTCCCGTTACGCTGGCCATCTTGAGCATGTTTTTGAGACGACAACTGCCGGGATTACGATTCAGGCTCCTCAGGTAAAATTGAATGTTATTAAGCTGGCCTAGATCAATGGCCTAGATTCAATTCCCATCGCTCACATTGATCTTGTAGTGTAGTTCACAATCGTCTTTATTATCCACCAACAGCTCGATGTGAACACTGTAGCTGCTGGCGGTGGTTCACGATTGTTGTTTCGTTCGGGAATTTTCGTCGTCGGTCCAGAATCTGTTGGAGCTCATCCTGGACCAGTGTGTTACAGGAAAGGTGCGCTTTTTGATGAAGGAATATGTTTGCTTGAATATGAAACACGTATGTTCAATGAGAAAGATAAACTTGTTTAATGTGATTTTAACTTAGGAGGAAATTTGGCCGTAACTGACGCTAATCTTGTCTTGGGAAGGTTGCTTCCGGAGTACGTCTCAGATTTTTTAAGAGAAATTACTCGCATTTATTTATAAAAGTTGCATGTTTTTTGCTATCATCTGTTCAGTTTTCAGTTACGCTGAATGGTCTGTTTCATCCTCGTCGTTCTTAGATATTTTCCATGTATTTTCGGAGCCAATGAAGACCAGCCTTTAGATATGACAGCCTCGTATGAGTATTTCCAAAAATTAACACAAGAGGTTAGTTCTTGACAATAATCTTGCCTTTTTCTGTTCTTATTTTAAATTCTTAATGGTTTTAGATCAACGAATCCCTTGCAGCTGATAAAAAGGACGCGATGCTTGTGGAAGAAGTAGCCATGGGTTTCATAAGAGTTGCAAACGAGAACATGTGTCGACCAATCAGAGCGTTGACTCAGGCAAAAGGTTATGATACGTCACGTCATGTACTAGCGTGCTTTGGGGGAGCTGGTGGTCAGCACGCATGCGCTGTAGCAAGATCCCTTGGAATGTCGACCGTTTTATTCACAAGTATGTGATGGAAATTTGTTATGATTATCAAAGCCAAATGACTTCTGTAAACTTATTGCAGTAATATGTCATTGTACAAGAAAATGAAAGATTGTCTCATCTTCATGTTTTATATGTAGATACGCTGGTATTCTTTCTGCGTACGGAATTGCTTTAGCTGACGTCGTTCATGAAGCCCAGGAGACATGTTCGAAGATCTATGCTAATGGTGATTAACTCATAATTAACGTTGACTTAATTAATAAGTTAAATCTAAGATTTCAATTACTAATCTAGTGGTAATTAATTCATTATTAACAAGCGAAAAGGTAAATAATAATTTCGAACATTTGAACGCTGAATATGTGAATTTAGGCTCGTTATTTTTGCAGTTCGGTTTTTTTTAAACAGTTGGTTACTTTGCACAGATTTTTTAAATCATGAATTGTATTTCATGTTAGTTTTGTTGTTTTGTTTTTCCAAACAAACATAGATTCGTTCGACTATTTGGACGCTCGCATCGAAGTATTGAAAAAGAGATGCCAAGACGAGTTAAGAGATCAGGGTTTTTCTAGGTACAAAATAGTGATTATTATGGTGAATCACTTTCATATCTACGTAAATTTTTTTTGTTTTTTTTTTGCTTTTATAGAGAAGATATCTTTACAGAAGTGTTTCTAAATATGCGTTATGAAGGGACAGATTGTTCATTAATGTGTACAGCTGAAAAACACGATGTACGTTTTATGTTTACTAGCACTAATTATTTAATATTGTGTGAAAAAAGTCAACAGACGTCCCTTAATAATAGACGTCTAAAGGTTGTGCACATGGAGACTTTGAAAAAGCATTTCTTACAAGGTATTATACACGTTCTCCTTAGAAATATGCATGGATACTATTTTTCTGCATAACCTTGTTCTGTTTGAATCTATTTCACAGATATTCTACAGAATTTGGCTTCACAATCCCAGACCGCACCATCATTGTGGACGATGTACGCGTGCGCGGAATTGGACGTTCGTCTATTGAACAGAATTTCGAGTCTAGTTTCTCCTCAGAAGAACCCTCGTGGGATAATGTAAGTACAAAGTTGCAATCTTTATGTTTTCATTTATATAATTATTCAGTAATAAATAATGCTTCACTGCGACATGTTTTGTATAGAACTCTATATAATGACCAAAATGGTTTAGCTATCTTTAATCATGTATAGATGACGAAATGTTATTTTGAAAATGGCTTTGTCGATACTAGAGTTTATTTGTCTGTGAAACTAAACTATGGTCATGAAATCAACGGCCCTGCAATAATTATTGATAAAGCTTGGTAAGTTAAATATTTACAGCTTTTCAATTCTTGTTGTTTTGTGTATAACTATCGATTCTTTGCAGTACTATCCTGATTGAACCCTTCTGTGTTGCATCGATTACTAAATCGGGAGACATTAAAATTCAGGTTTGAAAATTCAGGAATGTAACCTATTATTTATGGAAAGGACATAGACAAGATTGTCCTGTTTGTACATTGTAGATTGGCCAAGATACATCGTTACGTCAAATAACTACGGATCTTGATGCAATTCAATTGTCAATCTTTTCACATCGTTTTATGAGTATTGCAGAGCAAATGGGAAGGTAGTTTTTGACTAGAAACTATGACAGAAGTAAAGAGTTCTTTCTTGATGTTAGTTTAAAAGGATATTTTCTACTCCCAAGGGTTCTACAACGAACCGCTATATCTACGAATATCAAAGAACGTCTTGATTTTTCTTGTGCCATGTTTGGGCCAGATGGGGGACTGGTTGCGAATGCACCACATATTCCAGTGCACCTTGGAGCCATGCAAGAAACTGTCCAATATCAGGTAATGAAATCTTTGCAAAGAAATCTATTGATGATTTGCATCGTCTTTACCTTCCCTTTCTGTTTCAGATACAGCAGCTTGGAGAAAATATGACTAAAGGTGATGTTATTCTTTGCAACCATCCTTCTTGTGGTGGAAGTCATTTGCCTGATCTAACTGTGATTACACCGGTAAGTAATTCATTAACTAATTTAACTGTAATTATTTACTTTAATTAACTGTAATTATTTGTTGATACATTATCTCCCTAGCTTATTATCAACGAGAAAATGTAATATAACAACCATTATCATCAGTTGTCAGTGCGTTCTTCTTATATTCTCTTCGTCTAACTTTATTTCTTTGTTGTTTTTTCCGTCATCTCCTTGATCTTGTTCATTATCTTCATCTTCTTTTATTTTTATGTTCAAGGTATTTTATCCCGGGCAAGAAAAGCCCGTATTTTTTGTAGCTAACAGGGGTCACCATGCCGATATTGGGGGATTAACACCCGGTATGTAGCGCAGCTTACACTCCAATATGTGTATGACAAATATTGTAAATTTACCATTTACTCTAAAGGTTCTATGCCACCGCATTCTAAAAGTCTTTCTGAAGAAGGAGCCACTTTCAAATCATTCAAGTTAGTTCACGATGGAAGATTTGATGAAAAAGGTGTTTATAACTACTATCTTTGGAAAATAAAGTAAATCAATATATGACTTCAACATATTTGTTTTTTTTCATCAGGTGTCACCGAGAAACTTATGCAACCTAAGATCTATCCCGGTAGCAGTGGAACGCGCAATCTTCGAGACAATTTATCCGATCTTAAAGCACAAGTGGCTGCTAATAACAAAGGAATTGCTCTCATAACTGAACTCATAGAGGAATACAGTCTGGATGTTGTACAAGCCTACATGAGCCACATACAGGCAAACGCTGAACTTGCTGTTCGCAACATGCTGAGGGAAATTCGATCCAAGACTAAAGAACAAACTGGCCGAACATTGTTGTCAGCGGTTGATCACATGGATGATGGAACGCCAATATGTTTATCTGTTTGTATTGCAGATGATGGAAGTGCTGTGTTTGATTTTACTGGGACTGGACCCGAGGTTTATGGCAATACCAATGTCCCACGTGCTATCGTTCTCTCGGCAATTATATATTGCTTACGTTGTATGGTCGGCTATGATGTACCATTGAATCAGGTAGTACAATTGGGAGTAAGTTTAGGTGATTTTAAGGTACACTTAGGAACAATAAAAAGAACAATATTGAAATCTGGGGGGTATTGATTGATTAGTTTTAATTAACTTCATTTTAGGGCTGTCTAAAACCCATTCAGTTGATTATTCCGTCGGGCACAATCTTGTCGCCTTCGGAAAAAGCCGCGGTGGTTGGCGGGAATGTGCTTACGTCACAACGAATAGTTGACGTCATCTTTCTAGCGTTTGAAACTTGCGCTGCCTCGCAGGTAGGTGAAACGATAAACAAAAGATGAAGAGATTTATTGTTTGTTTTTTCATCACTTTTCCTTTCTTTTAGGGCTGTATGAATAATACGACGTTTGGAGACGAATCCTGTGGATATTACGAGACCGTGGCCGGTGGTGCAGGAGCAGTAAGTATTGCTGGCTCACAAAACATGAACTATTGTTGTCATATCTGCTACAAATATTTGCCTTTCTGGATTTAAGGGATCTCATTGGAACGGTAGAAGTGGCGTTCATACACACATGACCAACACTCGAATCACAGACCCCGAGATTATTGAGAAAAGGTTCAAATTTATCAAAGATTTTATCAATTACTTGTTCACTTTATGCACAACGCTATCTAATGTTGTTTTTGTTTGTTTCTTATATTTAGATATCCAGTTGTATTAAAGAGTTTCCATTTGAGTCAAGGTTCTGGTGGTCATGGTCTTTATAAGGGTGGGGATGGCGTCGTTCGTGAATTGATCTTTAGAAGACCGCTGACATTATCAATACTTAGCGAGAGGAGAGCTTTTTGTCCCTATGGCTTAAAAGGTATGTTATAGAATGGCCATTTTCTGTCATGCGCTGTTCATAGAAAAGTGAAATTTTGATGTAACGTTAAGGTGGCTCTTCCGGTTCACGAGGTCGAAATCTCCTTTTATGTAAAGATGGTAGAAAAATAAATTTGGGAGGAAAAGCATCAGTAAAAGTGGAAGCTGGGGTAACTCTGTTTATCAACGAGAAAATTTTGAATTTATCTATGTATCATTGCCATGACAACTTAAAGTTAGTGATACTCCTGTCATTTCATTTAATTAGGACTGTTTTCATTTGGAGACGCCCGGTGGTGGTGGGTATGGTAACGAGTTGGACGATAATGATGACGTCAATGTACGACGTAAGCGCCTGGAAGAAAAAGAAGAAAAATCATTCATTGAAAAAGGAAGTGTTCACGCTTATAGACTATTGCAAGAATCAGCTTAGGGAATGTATCTTTAATTTTAATTTTATTTTAAACTTTTAAAATTTTAGCTTTGCATAGGTAATAAATTTCTTTTTTCGATCGTAAATTCTAATAATGGACTCCGTCGATTTCGACGTATGAAGGTTCCACAAAGTGGAACATCCTGGTTACTATTATAGTGAAGGCAGCTGACCAGACTACAATCACTCGTACCCTTCACGCAACCACAACGCTGATATCAGCGTGACACAGTGTGACAAGGCTGCAACATTGCAGATGCAGGTACAGTCCATCCGAGGACATAGTTTCCTCTACCAAATTTCCCTCACATGGCTTTGGTCAACCCGGGCTAGGTTTACAGACACATTGCCAAATGTGCCACGAGCCGGGATTGAATCCGCGCCGTCTGGCTTACAGCTCACGCCATTAACCATTCAGCCACTCGCCCCTTTTTAAATTCTAATAATAAGCTCATCTATGTTTGAGGTGTAGAGGGAAATCTTTCATTTTTTTTACCTTTTGTGTTTATCGTCATATTTGAATTCCTTATCTCGTCTGTCAATACGTGAAACTAAAATGAATTTTACCTTGGTAACTGATTTTACTGTGCAGAAATATTGAAGTGTGTGCGTTTTAATGTATTACTTTTTTGCTGAATTCATCTTATCAAGAGACATGTCTTAAATTTGTATTTCCAAGCAGGATTTATGTAGAAAAACATTGCATAGTTCAAAAATTTAAAATCACTTTAAAATGCAATAAAGCTCCAAAGGGACCAACGAAGTAAACTTGAGTTCACGTTTTATTGTCTCCGAAAAACTAAACTCCTTTTTTGCCTTTTATCTGCTTACATTATATACTTGAAATTTAATTCTGTTACAGTGCATCACTCGGACGCACATACATCGCTGTCATAGCCATAATGACCTGTATCAACGACAGCTAGCGTCATCAATTATTTATTTCCGTGTTCGGTTTTTTGAAGCAGTTTGAACGCGAGAACTGAACCATGTAAATGTTGACCAGAAGTCACAGGTGACTGTTTCAATTTGGACACAAATTGAACGTTTGCCCGTAAGAGATATGTATATACGTCTTAGATGTTAAGGTGCTAGTTGATGATCACGTTTGCTGTTTGTGCGCAACATCAAATATCAAAGTAGGTTTCCGTCAAAAATGGACAACGAAGCAGAAACATTGATCTCTTTTTCAGGTTAGTTTGTACATGTTGATGAATGTAACTAAAATTTTAATAATCGTATTGTTCGACACGTTAGCTAATAAATACAAGAGGTTTACAAAAGGTTGCTCTTTTTCACCTCCATCCTTCTATCGTTTAATGTCTTGTATTTAATATTGGGCCTCGAGTGAGCGCAAAGCTACGACTCCAAAGAACAATCCTTTTGTGAAGAATTGTTCTTATGTCAATAATGACTTATAGGTTTTGAGGATGTAGGGTAAGCTGTTTTATTGACGAAATGTTCGAAGTGAACGGAAAAAAGGATTTTTGATAAGGAGATGTTTTCTTTGACAATCTAGCATAATATTGGCAAATGTTGATTGGCTAGAGATGACTGAAGATTCTACCGATGGATTGTGGTCAGGTGAGATCGAGAAGCGCTTTCAAGAAGCGCTTGCCATCTACCCTCCTTGTGGGAGGCAAAAGATTATGCTCTCTGCCAAGGATAAAATGTACGGACGCAACGAGCTTATTTCCCGTTATATATACATGAAAACGGGAAAGGTACGCTCAAGAAAACAGGTTGCCAGCCATATACAGGTGTTGGCCCGCAAAAAGATTCGTACAAGCAGTGGTCACAGGCATTTGGGTGGACTCTTGGGTAGATTCACCTCAGAGAATGGCACACCAAAATTGCAAAATGCCAAACAAAATCACGATGAGCGAAATCAATTGTCTCCAGCATCAAGACTTCAGGCAGATACATTTTTACAGCAACGCCATCTGGATACAGCAATTGTTTTCTGCAATACAAAAACGTCTAGTGACAAGATCTTACCTACTGCTAATGAAATATTTGGCGCACCGAAGCTCATTACAGACAACTCCGAGCAACAAATCCCAATGAAACGAGTCAAATCATCAAGTGAAAAAGTTAACTGTGTCGATAAAATTCCCTTGAATGACGCTCGAATTAAATATTCTGACTCATTTACGTGGGATGTTTCTGGTCTCATGGAAACGGATGCCAGTCAACAATATGTTTTCAATCTTGGCGAAGATTGGCAGAATGAAACCAAGAATTATGAGACAGTAAGGTCAAGCAAGGCACAGCTGGAACGCGTTGACAGAACTTTGTTAAAGGGTGTAAAAATTTATCCACAGCTGGACATTTTAGATTCATCTAACGATGCACCGACTTTAGAAGATTATCTTTCTGTTGATGGAGACCAAACTTGTCCGTCTTCAGAGTTTCAGGGAATTTCCTAATTATGTCTTGTGATCGAGTTTTTAAGCCATCTTGATGGACAAGTCGCGGAGACATAAATCTTGTAGATATTTGATTCCAGTGGCGTAGACCAAAGGGGAAGAGAAGAACGTTGAATCCGGGTGGAAAGTTCGGGAAATGTTACGATTTTGTGAAATTTTTAACCAAACCTGCAGAATGGAAAAATTGTATCTTTTAAAAAGACCCATGCAGTGGCGTTGCCAGCTCGATAAGCGACAGAGATTTTATTCATATATGCATGCTTTTGCATATTAAGTTCCTTTGAAATCAAATGTTTCTCAGAGATTAAAACATGCATGTATGAATACTGTCCTCTTCTCTCGCTCCTTAATTAATCAGACACGCCTCATTTCTCAAAAGCCTGAGTACTTGATAGAAGTGCTGTCATAGAAATCATCTTATCTAATTGTTGTATGCCTTAGTTACAATTAAGGCTTTATTTGGAAATAGTAAAGTTTACAGAAAAAGTGTGCGTTTTATTAGTGGTGTATGGTACTTACTGATATTGTGCATGCACTTCGTGTTTGTTACACGAAGTAGAGTCATACAAGTTGTTGCAACTGGAGGCTCATTTCTCTACAGTCAACATCAAATTTACATCATTTAATTTTAAAAATATAGAAACATTTTAGCTTTTAAATCGTTTTCAATCTGGAATATTATTCGTTTTTCTTGTTCATTTTAACCAGTTTTGTGAAAACTAGATTTATTTTACTTTGAAAATTTGTTGCTATTTTTGAAACAGTTCTTAGCTATGGGCGACGAGGTGCTCACTTCCATAGGTCGTCGTGATAGTACTTCGCCTACTGGTCTCGGAGAGTTCAACTGGTCAAAGTCTTTGGATGAGTCGAGTCCTGACGGAGTTTTGGATCCAACTCTCGACGTTTTAGACGTTGGACGAGATCAAGGAGATGACGAAGCTGTTGATGATCCAGTTCGTGTTCTTTATATTACAACCATTTCATTGTTATCGCTGTCTATTTATTTATATATAGTACAATATAAATGTCCTCAGGAGCTGGAGGCAATCAAAGCCAGAGTAAAGGAAATGGAAGAAGAAGCTGAAAAATTGAAGGACATGCAGAAAGAGATTGAAGGCTCGTTAAATTTAAGTATGAGTCCCACGAGTACAGGTACAGTTGTCAAAATTTACAATTCGACGATTTATCTTTTTAAAGAAATTATTTAAAATTCAACAACAAATTATGTTGCAGCCTTGCCCTCGCTTGAAGAGAAACAAGAAGTTGATGCAAGATCAGTTTATGTCGGAAATGTATGTTTTAAACAAACCACTAGCATAATCATTCATAAACTTTTCAATCATGATGTATAAATTGTTAAATTACTTGCAATGTTCCATTATTTGTTGTTACAGGTGGATTATTCAGCTACGGCAGAAGAGCTGGAGCAACATTTTCATGGCTGTGGTTCTGTTAACAGAGTGACAATTCTATGCGATAAATATACTGGCCATCCAAAAGGGTTAGTTTGAATTATATATTTTATCGTTACATGTTTTACTTTAACATAAAATTCATTGCAGATTTGCCTATGTTGAATTTGCTGATAAGGAAAGTGTGAGCAACTCTGTTGCTTTATCTGATTCCTTGTTTAAAGGTCGACAGATTAAGGTGTTGTACACTGTCATCTGCTAGCTTGAAAAGTAGAATAATTATGATAATTATTTTTAATCATTCAAAAAGGTTATGCCAAAGAGGACCAACCAACCTGGAGTGAGCACAACAGACCGAGGTTTCCCAAGGGGTAGAGGAGGACGTGGTAGATCAAGAGGTTTTCATTCCCCTGGTTATTTTCCTGGTTATCGACCTCGCATCAGAGGCAGAGGAATGTATAGGTGATGCATTGGAATTAGAATTGTATTTTCAACCTTTATATTTTAAACTTAAATTATTTTGTTTTAAATGTATTATTTTGTTTTAAATAAATTATTTAGACCTAGACGAGCAAGATGGTATCCTTATTAATGCAAAAGTGGAGTTTTTCATATGGATGGTTGAGTTATTTAATTACACATGATTTGTTATTTTCACCATATTCATCCTTATGTTTTTTTTTGTGTTTATTTAATACCAAATGTTTTTTATTTTTAGCAAATTATGACAGTATAACAGTCATCAGGTGATTCTCCACAGTTCTTCATTTTATAATTTAATTTCTTTTCAGTTTTCTGACAGCAGAAAGGTTTTTATCCTATCTTCGCTTTTTGATAAATTTGAAAGGGTGCACTGCTGATGAAAAAAAATAATGCAAGAGAAACAAAAAAAGAAAAGAAAAGATGAAAAAAAAAACATGCAAAATAGAAAAAAAAAATGAAAAGATTTGTGAGCATGGATTGTTTGAAAGTACATTAAAATCATGTTGACAAAAATGTACAATGAAATGTTTTTATAAAAGTCTCAGTTACAGGAAGCCTTTGCTGAATCTTAACAAAACGAACAAGGAAAGGAATTCTTTTACCTAGTTGAAAGAAAGTTCAAATAATGGTTAAACTTATTATTTCAAACTAGATTTATATTCATTTTGAGGTATTTTCCACTTTATTACATTCAGCATCAACACAAAATTTAAGATAACATGAAACAAACACCATGGATAATGATACACATAGATACAAATGGATACTCATGTAATATGTAATATCTTATTGTTATTTGTGGATTTTTATCTTATTAAATAAATTATCAAATCAGATCACTTGACTGTTTTTTGCATGAGGAGTGAAAGAAGCAAAGTGAACATTGCACATTTTCCCACTAATGACTAATTAATCTTGTTTCATCATTTCTTCAACCACTGTCTCAAATTTCCTATTCAAACAATTTTTTAAGGCAATGTTATTTTAAGGCTTTGGCAAAGTAAAAAATGATGCACTGAAATGATTGCAAACCTCGATGTTATGTTTTCACCAGGGGTGTAAAATGGATTGCAAAACATGTTGGTATATGCCACATGAAGTCGTTGGAACATCTAGAAACAAAGAATAAGTTTGTGGATTTGATTGTTGAATTTCCATTTTTCCCCGAAATTTCTTACACTTCGTATTTCATTGTCTCTGAGTTGACTGTTAGCTGATTCCACAACAACGACAAATTTGATCTTCGTATTTGTTACATAGCCATAACTTATGAAGTGAAGATGAAAATACTTCTGTCTTGAACATAGTATATCAATCAATCCAAGGTTGCATAGTACAAAACAACAATAAAGGATACACTTTATAATCTTCGGTAGGATAAAGAAGACCAAGGTAGAGTTCTCTTGGATCATTTGAGCTCTTTGTCAATGATGTCACTGTTAACAAAAACTTTTCTATTTGGTATTGCATCGTTGTCTGCGAATGTAATGACACGGACAAATAAATGTTTGTGTTTGTAGATGTGGATCATCAAAGTAAGTGGCGCCGTGAGAAGGACTGTTGACAATTGACAATGGTGTGGACTAACGTTGAGTCAGAACTCAGAAGGTTGCCATAACGTCAGACATCAACACCAACAGTCATTCTCAGAAGTAAAGACTGCAAAACCTGGACGATCGACATCTGCAAACATGTAATGTCCCAAATTTAAGCCATTCACTTTAACGACGCATAGATTCATACCTTTTTCCTCGACAACATCAAGAGAAGTATGGACAGTGTAGTGAAATTTGAGCTCATCTTCGGGTGACATTGTTCGCAAAAACAGTGGATGATTCTAAACAAACTGCAATGTTAGATACGGACAGTTCAACCTTTATCAATCAAGAAGTAGTCACAAAAATCTATAAAATAACACCATACTTCTTTCGCAATAACAGCAACACATACTGCCATTTTCTTTCACACTTATACTATTATTGTGTTTCCACCATCGCACTTCGGTATTCCCATTGAAATGATACATGAAGAAACAGGTACGCAAAGCGTACATGTGGATATATATAACCTCCATTCACGCCCAACGTGAAATGAGCACATGACGATAAAATGAAATGACTTGATAACCAAAAAAATAAATATTATGTAAATTTGAAGATCCAAATATAAAGCATCGCCCGCAATGCTTGCATTAGCATGACATCTTTAGTTATTTGGTTTGACTACCGACAGTGAAACAAATGTGGGATATTGTATTCCTTTAGTCATAGTATTAGAAAGATGGATCTTTAATAAGTTGGCTTTCCATTCATATGCAATGTACATTATGAAAGTTCTTTGTTTATTTGCACTTCCAGTTCAAACATAGAAACCAAGCCGGTCGGTTGTTCGGTATTTTCTACTTTATCGTGGTGCAACCTAGTGGCTACCCACAAAAACCAGGGTCCACGAAGCAGGGGTTGGTAGGCTCAGAGAACTCCATTAACACTTTTGGACAATGCTAAAATATCATGAATACCGACCCTGCTCCAGCCAATAAGATTGCAGGAAATGACTGATTAGACATTTTAAGTAGACAACAAGTTTTGCTAATTGAACAAACATGCTTCGGCATACTTTATGCCATCTTCTGTACGAAGTGAATAGAAAGTTTACATAGATATGAAATAATATATATAGTGTTATGTGATGAAACAGAGGTATACATTAGGTATGCATAATTATTTACAGGTGAATAAGGTGGAAGTTATAGATTGTAATTATACTAAGTTTTCCCACAAAACTACAAACTTTGTAGATGATGCTTCTTAATAAACAGTGCAACGAGTAACAACGTCAAACAGTTCGAAAATAATTAACTACAACGAACGTAAATCGGTACCGCATAAAATAACAATTCGATCCAGAAGCAACCTATCTCCATGAATGAACAAGTAGTAATATAGGATAAGTTAATTCCAGATACTTAATGAATGTTTCAAATGTTTGGTTCTCATGTCAATGCCCTCTTAACTCAACTGAAGCACACTTCATATCAAATGTCCAAGATCTTACTTTAATTACAATTTGCGTTAAATCTTGTGCTAAAGTATTCCAAAATAGGTGGCAGAAGTCTATTTTAGAATACATCGACTATTTGCAACACTTCGTTCCTAAATTAGAGAGCGAGGGAACTCTCTAATTAGGTTAGAATAGTGCAAATACTCATTTATGTGGATATTTTTGTGTTAGTGGGTTTCGATGGGATTTTGCTCTAGACATTGATGATTTTGACATAATCAAAATCTTCAACTGATCATCTGCAAACACCGATAGAGGAATTAAAATTAAAATTTTATCTTTCTAAAAATGCTTTCTTTAAAACAATAGCACTTAAAGGATAGTCTAGAAACAAGTAAAAATTATTGGTTACACTTACCATAACTCCATAAGAAACGTTGGTTGACCATGGAAGGCTACATCGTTCTAAAAGAAACTCAAGAAAAAAATGTTAAATTTGATGAATGATAGAAACACTTACAGCCCTGACTTCCACATCTTGTATCTTCTCGTCCTCCGTATCTGAAAAATACTGAATAACAAGTGAGTGGTATGTCAAAACAAACAAACGGGCAACAAACAAGCAAAAAGACAAACAAAACAAACAAATACACACCGCAGGTTTGATCTGCAACGGTTGCCATGTAAGAAGAACTGTAAGAATAATAGTAAAATACCATCATGACAAACTCTTGAAGCTCATGTATTTCGTTAAATCAGTGCTTGCAGAAGATCTGTTGAAATTTCCGTCGAAACTTGCAATTTACGATGATTAGCCGACGACAGCTGTAAACTGCAAACATTTGCAGCGACGGCTTACGTCGATGTTAACATTAAATTACTGTCAAATATTTCAATTAACTTTATCAAAAAATGTTTGTATCCACTATGTTTATCCATGAAGACACTGTTAAAACATCCCTCAATGTTATAGCAGCATCAATCATAAATAAATTAAATAGCGACTAAATGTTTAACATCGACAGAGTTTTTGATGGATACGGTAATCACTTCAAGTTCAAATAGACTGAATATAGAATAAAGATTTTGCAATACTCTGCCAGCGTATTGCAATTTCTTTGCAACTTTAAAAATTAATTGTAAATTAAATTTCAGATAATTGTTACACATGCAAGATCCGAAGATTTGAATGTTCATAAGAAGCAACCGTCTACAAACTTATTCCCTGTTATTGCTAATATCGATAGCTGGACATACAAGTAGACTTTAAAATGCAAAATGAAAGCATTATTTCATAGACTCATAGGTATAATTCCCAGCTGTTCAGTCCGAAAGAATTGATCTCGAGGGTGAGGAAGGACGTTTTGTGTTGAAGGACAATCTAATTCTTCCATTTGCAGCATCTTTCACTGACGATAACTTTATAATCTAAAAATATAAAATAATGGAGTTATCATCGTATTAACGACTTTATATGTCCGTCATGCATTAACAGTCTGTATTTCCTACAAATATTTCTTCATACTTCAACACGGCATTTTGATCAAATGATTTAGTATGTATGTTAAACGTCATAGTTCTTATTTTAAAGTTGTCGGGATATGACTAACTTCACAGCCATCTTTCCTCTTTATCTTCTGCAATTCTCAACCGTTCATTGAGTTATTAATTTTATAAATTCAGTGTTTGGTTTGAAACTGAATTTCTGAACAGATGGTTATGTTTAAAAGCATGAACATCCAAAGTATAATTTTGATGTGTATAAAACAGTTTTCATGCAATACCAAAGTTACATAAGAAGATGCTGTTGTTTGTCTGGCCCGTCTTGCAAACACTCACGGTAATACCAAAGTAAAATACTAGAGTCCATGTTCCGACAGCAAAATCGTCCGAACGATGTATCAATGTATCTTTATCCATCTTTTTTTGGGAAGACACAGAACGTCTCTTCGCCTCAATCAACCAAATGAAAAATCATGGAATAGTTGCCTCTATAGCCGATGTCTAAGTCTTCAAATACACTGAGCCTGTATCATTTACCCTAACGTCGCTACCGAGAGCTTTCTCACATTTCATCAACCCAGCAAAATTTTGACTTCTACAGTTAGACATCGTCACTCGAAAAATATCAATTAGAAAACAACATGCATGTTGTTCAAAAATATTTATACCCATTCACCTACATGATCAAAAATTATGATTGGCTTGAAGTGCAATGAAAAACAATACACTACAAAATTGATAAATCTATCGAGTGAGAGGTATTGTTTCATTTAACCAAATTTGAAAACAAGTTCAACTATGGTGATGTTGTGCAACATCGTAACTATTCCCTGACAGTGAGTGAACAATGTAATGCTCGCCATGCTGCATGATTCTTTAGAAAGTGACATTTTCAAAAGAATTAGCCAATTATAGCAAGATATATGGTTATCCTCCCCCACAGTTAACGTCTGATTAAATACATGATGACCATTGACTTGTTTTATTCATTTCAATGAAAATGACCAACGAAGACAAACTACGTATGTCTTTAAAATAGTTGTTAGATGCGCATGCGCAGCATTGTAAAATCTATTTCAATTTTCGAACTGTGGGATTATATTTTTACTTTGGCAAAAATGATCGCGATAAAAATTGCTCGAGATATAAATCGTAAAATTTGTTTTAACTTTGGATATACTCCACTCGTCGTCAGAAGCAGGTACATCTGATTTTGTGGCAAATGAAATGAAGTTGACTTTTTGTCAATATCCACTAATCCACATGCTCTTCAAAAAACCAACAAAAATATCTCTCTTTAGAGATATTTAAATTATATTTTATTATATTATTATTATTTTTACTGAGATAGTATGATCAATATAAACAAATGTCTTCCTACAGCTCCACATGGTGGTCACATGTAGAAATGGGTCCACCAGATGCCATTCTAGGAATCACTGAAGCGTACAAGAAGGACTCCAACCCTAAGAAAGTTAATCTTGGTGCAGGAGCTTACCGAGATGACCAAGGAAAACCATATGTGTTGCCAGTTGTAAGAAAGGTATTTAGAATAACAATGGAGTCATTTTTACGTAAACAAATGTTTGATCTCATGTACTGGTACTATTTCTAAGGCAGAAGCCATTATTGCATCAGAGAATCTTGATAAAGAGTACGCAACTATTGCTGGTATACCAGCATTTGCAAAGGCTTCAGCACTTCTTGCATTTGGTAAAGATATGAATGGTTTAGTAAGTGTATCTGACAATTATGACAAACTCCATGTTATTTGTAAATTTGTAACCTGTTGCTGTGCAACTTTTTCTAGAATGCAACTGTTCAAACTATTTCTGGTACTGGAGCTTTGAGGCTGGGAGCAGAATTTCTGGTGCTGACTTTCGGTTGCATACTTTTTAATTTTACTTGCACCATTTAATTGTTATGCATTAACAGGCAAAATTTTGGCAAGGGAATAAAATAATACACATGCCTAATCCCACATGGGGAAATCATATTCCCATATTAAGGTTTGTATGAATCTCTGCTTGTAGTGTATACTTGTATTGACATTAAAACTAGATGTGGTTTGTTCATTGTTTTTGTTCTCTTCATTATGACATTTTTTCAGAGATTCTGGTTTTGAGATGAAATACTATCGTTACTATGATGCTGAAACTTGTGGTTTTGACTTCAATGGCTGTTTGAAGGATCTAAATGTAAATAACCGATTGAATTTCTTTACAAATTATCTTAAAATTGGAAAGTTTACTTCAGCAATTGTTTTTAGCATAATTGTTTGAATCATTTTTATTTAGGATATGCCTGAAAAATCAATTGTATTACTGCATGTTTGTGCTCACAATCCAACTGGTGTTGACCCAAAGGTAATTTTTCATCATTAATTGTTTTTTCATTCTTCTATTTGATTCTGCATTGATCTTTTTTTGTTTCATTTCTCTTAGATTGAGCAATGGAAAGAATTATGTGAAATTTTTAAAGTATGTGTTTCAATCTATGTCGGTGTATTGAGATATATGGAAAACTTATTCATGTGCAATTCATTTACTTTTAATGGAAACTAAAGAAAAGAAAGTTGTATCCTTTCTTTGACATGGCATATCAAGGCTTTGCGCGATATTGATCGAGATGCGGCTGCGATGCGATATTTTGTCGATCAAGGATTACCACTGATAGTGACACAATCATATGCCAAAAATATGGGACTATATGGTGGGTATGGTTCAAACAATGTTTTCTATAGAAAATTATATGAAATAAGATGATGATTAGTCTACATGGTAATTATGCTATGTTGTAGTAATATGAAAAACATATAAGAAGTTGGTCAATACGAGCAAACAAGATCGATTGCATTGTTTAAGTTAATGGTGAAAGATTTTTCATTTTTCCATTTATAGGCGAGCGCATTGGAGCTTTAAACATACTCTGTCAGTCTGAGGATGAAGCTAAGGCTGTGGAATCTCAGCTTAAAATTCTCATACGCCCCATGTATTCAAATCCTCCAATACATGGTGCAAGGATTGCTCATAAAATTATGAGTAACGAGGAACTTCGATCACAGTGGCTCGTGGAGCTAAAGGGAATGGCTGATAGAATTATTTCAATGAGGAAACAACTGCGTGAAAACCTAGAGAAACTTGGTAAGATAGGTGTTTAGTGTGTGATATTTGCTTCATTCAAACCTTTTAATTAGGAGCTGTTTACTTGCAGGGTCTAAGCATGATTGGTCCCATATCACGGATCAAATAGGAATGTTTTGTTTCACTGGACTTCAGCCTGCTCAGGTATAAAATCACAATCATTCATATTTCATGTCAAATTCATATTATTGTTTGTAGCTTAGTGAACTTGTTGTTAACTGTTGCATTTTATTATACAGGTTGAAAGGCTTACAAATGAATTTTCAATTTACCTCACGAAAGATGGACGAATGTCGGTTGCTGGTGTGAGCTCCACAAATGTAGAATATCTAGCGGAAGCTGTACATGAAGTCACCAGATAGACACGTTTGCTCTCCGATGAAAAAATAGAGTATAAAATATAAAGTATAGTAAAAGTATTGGAATGAACTATTGAAATCTCAATAAGAATAATCGGTATATATAATGATAGTGTACTATTTCTTAGTGTGGTATGTTATATAATGGTACTATACTGTATGGTATATGACCACAATATGGTATGTGACCTAAGTCAACATAAATTTCTATTATAGCTCAGAGTGATAATTGACCAATCAAAAATAGTTTCATATAAAAATAAAACAAATATATTTTTCAAAATGGCCGTCGAACAAGGAGTTAACCATATAAATGTTTCCGCAAAGAGACGCAAAAACGAGCTACGTCCTTACAATAAAATCCCTGTATGGGTTTGTGAGTATCATCAGGAAGTTCTACCGTATATTTATAGGGCGATAGGTTCCAAACATTTGCCATATTCAGGAATAACTCTACTACATTTCGACTCTCACCCTGATCTTATGGTTCCATTTGATATGAAAGCGGATAGTGTTTACGAGAAAGACTTTCTTTTTGATGTGATAAGCATTGCAGATTGGATTATACCTGCTGTTTATGTTGGACATATTGGGAAAGTGATTTGGATAAAGCCACCTTGGGCAACACAAATAGCAGACAAAACATTGTGTTTTAAAGTAGGCAGACATAGAACGGAGCGAACAATAAGGTAGTTAAAGTATACGTTTTTCATTGTCTTTTTGTTATTTATTTGACTGGAATTTATTTTCAATCGTAGAGTTTCATGCAATGAGAAGTATTTCTGCGAAGATGGATTGTTTTCTCCACAAAATGAATTAGAAAATTCACAGGAATTGACTTTACTCGTAAAAACAATGCCTGTACGTGTTTTAGATATTACAAATTTGAATGCATCCTCATCTGATGTATCTTTAAAGATCACATGTGGTAAAACAGAACACAAATGTGACACAAGTTCAAATAAAGAAGAAATACTTAAAAGAAACATTGATATGTTTATAAATGACATCCTGTCAAGCTTGGAAGTGCCCTATATATTGGATATTGACATGGATTTCTTTTCAACATTAAATCCATTCAGATCCATGTTTACCCAGGTTAGGAAATATTAAATCCATTGAGATCCATGTTCACCCAGGTTAGGAAATATTAAATCCATTGAGATCCATGTTTACCCAGGTTAGGAAACATTAAATCCATTGAGATCCATGTGTACCTAGGTTAGGAAACATTAAATCCATTGAGATCCATGTTTACCTAGGTTAGGAAACATTAAATCCATTGAGATCCAGTTTTAAGCAGGTTAGCAAACATTAAATCCATTCAGATCCATTTTTCCACAGGTTTGAAAACATGAAATCCATTCAGATGCATGTTTGCCTAAGTTAGGATCTCATATACACTACCTAACCCAAGTTACTAAAAGTAAAACATTTTTTAAAAGGATTGGTGTTGGTGTTTTTGGTTAGCAACAGCCATAACTGCTATCAATATTTATATCAAATTTTAAATTATCACTCACTATTTCTGTTATCGCATGTGCAAAAGCAATCCTGCTTTTTTCACACGTAGACTCTGCTCACACCAGAAAAAACGTTTGTTTTTAGAATGAATTTCAAACGCTCGGAACTTTTTATAAATTCCCAGACGTCAAGTCAGGTGAGGTTAGTAAAATTCCGTGATTTTAAATTAAAATACAATGTTCATGTAGACGTGACTAATCTCTATTACCTACGTATGTCCATGCTATTATGACGTTTTATAAAAGCTGTATCTTTCAATTATTATTAACGACATTAATGTGATTAATGAATTTCAAACGTTCGAATTTTTATAAATTTCCTAGACGTCAATTCAGACGGTGTTAGTAAATTACGTGATTTTAATTTAAACGCAATCTTAATGAAGATGTGTAGACGTGACTAATCTCTATTACCTACGTTTGTCCATGCTATTATGACGTCTTATAAAAGTTGTGCGTTTCAATTATTATTAACGAGATTAATGAGATTCCAATGTCTACGTGTGTCATTTATGGAGTTGAAGAGGTCATATTTTATGAATTATATTGGAGATAAATCTGATTGCTAAATCAATGCTTTTATGTACGTTTTTCGTCCGCTTTGGCAATGAATCCAAACCTTTCTGACGTGGAAGCGATAGTGACACGTCACATACATATATTCAATGACGTGTTTTTTTCACAGCTGCTGAAAGCCAGTCGTGCGTACATTGGTATCCGTTTGTTATAAATATAGCATGTTCTTGCAAAGTTCATGTGTTTTATTCGTCGTTTAACTTGTACTAGTAAGCTACAATACAGTAATGGCTTGGGACAACGGCGCTTGGTGGCCTCTCTACGTTCCTCAGTGGTACAGTCCTAAGGTTTCTCGCCATTTGTTTGATCCTTACAGTTTTACACATATTTTACACGGCGTTGTTTTGTATTACTTGTGGTTTCTACTCGGTTTCGGCCCGGAGTTTGGTGCCGTCGTCATGTTTGTGTTTGAATTTACTTGGGAGGTTGTTGAAAATAGCGATGCCGTTGTGGAACGTTATCGCAGCACAAGTGGAACATCATCAGAATATAAAGGAGACAGTTTTCAGAACATTATTGGCGATCTCATAGCATGCGAAATTGGCTATTTTATTTCATTTGTTTGTCATGTAATTCTTGGAAAGTTTTGGCTCAGCATTGTCGTGTTTGTTGTCATCGAGATTAGTCTTCTGTTTTACATGAGAGACAGTTTAACTGTAACTCTGTTCACGTTAATTTCGCCCAACGAAACCATCAGCAAGTGGCAAGCGCAAGGAGTTGAAATTGCTCGAAAGGCCGAAAAAAACAGCACTTGAAATAAATAAGTGTGCAAGATAAAACAATTTATATAGACCTGCATTCACCGGAATTAGTGTTGAACATAAACTTAATTCTCTGTCTTCGAATTTACGTATATTGTAGCACAATTGTAGTATGATATTCGTGACATCTTAAAACAATAAAGAATTTTTCACTTCTTTTGTCTTGCTTTTTAATTACTATTGAGATTCGTGTATTGCTTCTTCAAAACTTATCTGCAAAACATGAACATTTTTCTAGCGCGAGCAAGCAATTTATGTTATTTTATATTTAACAAGGACATGATGGAAGCTTCGCGTTTACACAAGGAAAATGTGGACAGACTCGCGAGATCTTTAAAACAGCTGGAGTCACTCGTGTCTTCATCATGTAAAAACGATGATGTCGATGACAACTTCATTGCATTTATTAAAGAATGGAGAAAATCACGAGAGGATATTATCGATTATGATATGGTAAGACTGTATCCTGGAATTATACTTATCTACAATTTTGACTTACAACTCCGTAGGTATATTAAAGAATCTTGGTAAATATTATGTAAAGACAGGTTCTCATGTCGTCGTCTCAGTCCTTTGAGTCTTCTCGAATCATTTTAGAATTTAAGTCGCCTGGACGATAGAGCTCTGTTCTAGCTATGAGCTTGCGTTATAAACACGATTTTGACAGCAATTTTGAGAACCAAGCTTAAATAGAAAGTTTTGTTGAAAATAATTATCCCGTTCAGGTTCACTCGGCGGGCATGACTGTAAACCTTCCTGTTCACGTTACTGAAAAAGAAGACATTCTTAAAATCATCAAAGACATGGAAATCTTGCTGTGTTCAATACCTAACCCTACCATAATCACAGTGGCAAGGTACGAAATAAAAATGTACCCGATGCTTGCTTTCTACAATCTTTCTTAAAGCGTGTCACATCATTCCTACGCATGTAACCTATATAACAATAACAAAGAAAAGATATAAAAAAAAATTAATGTTGGCTTTACCTAAATCATTTCGTCTAATTCCCACTTTACAAACGATGTACCTTATTAGGAGGCTCTTGCTTATACAACTATTATTTATAGAAAGGTTACAAGATCCAATGTGCACAAGAAAGTCTTAATTGTTTTAAAGCATGCTACTATCCTTCTGCAGATCCTCTGATGATGATTACACTCCTCCAGAATCAGTGGAGTTTATTCAACAATCGCTGATTAAATGTTTAGGGAGTTGTTTCAAAGAAAATATCGAGTTTCACTACGAATATTTGAAAGAGTAAAGTGTTTTCTGTTGGTGTGCAATGAACGTATATCGCTCAAAACTGTTTTGAAATGTAAATCATCTAAATGAATATTGTCGGCGTAATCTTTGTTGGTCAATGAGTATGACATGGTTCTGATCTGACTATATTGGTTATATTGGTTGTCTATAAACAACAATGAGCGAGTCTTTATGATATTATGAGACGTGAACATGGAAAACTGAAAGTGAAATGGACTGGTGTATGTATTTATCATCAGAAGGCTCTATAAAGAGAAATGAAATTCTTCTTTATTCAGAAAATGCTTAATTGTGTGTGTATACAGGAGTGGAGTGTGATGTAGGAGTGTCTTCATATATACATGACGCGTCGTATTATGTTCTTTTGAAATCCGTTATTATCTGCGGAGATATGAATACAAGCCTCTCCAACTGTCGTTCTACTTACGGCCCTGAAGGTGGAATGTGCTAGATAGCTAAGCATATAACTCGAATCTACATATTAGAGAAAAAAATCGTGGGCGCGCTGCACTTAATGAATACTATGAGTACTCTTAAGCACCCTCGCTCAAGAGGAGAACTCCCCCTTTTCACTTTGTTGCTATGGACTTAGTTGTATATTGCTACTTGTCTCTATACTGTCGAATTTCCCGTTTTGTTTATTGAAATCTCTGTATTTCCCTTATGTATCCGACCTACGCATTAGTTATATAAGGATGATGGTGCGATTGAAATGACCATTCATTTGAATAAAAACGCCCAAAGCTTCGCCTATTTTGGATCGTAAAGGACAGTTTCATACTTATGTTATTGTCAAGTGTAAGTTATATAAATGGTGCTGCTTCCTTCGAAATTGATTGAACAAATCGATCGTTATGGAGAACACAGTGTATTTCAATGTATGGAAATTGCTTATAAGAATGTATTCAGAGAGGTAAGTAAAGTAACGATTTGGCGGAACAGATAAAAGCTGTAAGAATGTCATTGAAAAATGTTTCAATAGAAATTTCATAAAAAAATTAAAAAATCAGCGCATCATCGATAACTACGTTTTGAAATAATTCATGACGTCTAACATCGATACACATAATTGAGGAACATTCTCTTTGTTGAAAACAATATATGTAGAACTTCTTTGGACTACAATGTTATAAATGTATTATTTAAAACACTCGCACCAAAAGTTACGCGAAATGTCTATTACTTTTGCCGTAATTCTTTGTGTTTTTTTTTCGAGAGCATTTTTACTTTTCTTTCTTTTCTCATTTATATTTGCATAACATCATGCTGTTTCGTTTGTAAACTGCATAAAGAACGTTATTTTATGAATGTACTGTGACATGAATAATAATGAGTGATTTGCTCTTATTTCGAAATATACTTTCCCTCTTATTTTTTAACCAGAGAATTATCGTGGAGTCTGTTAAAAGACACAATTTATCTGCTGACCAAGAACTCCGATGAAATTTCACCCTCATTCAAAAGGGATTTATCTACGACGAGTTTAGAAGAGATCATGGAAGACATCTGGAACTTGAAACTTTTTAATGAATTAATTAACCTTGAAGCATCCGTCAGTGAAGCAAGATCTCGCCGGTAGGTAACCAAGTTTTGTAACTATGTTTCAAAGTTGTCTAGTTTTAGTAAAGTGTAGAATTTGTTAACCAGCAGTAAAAATATTCTATTTCTCAACTATCTATCTCTGCAGCTTCTTTAATGAAGGAAGTATGATCTAAACTGTATTTTGCGTTAGAAATAACGGTAATTTTTGCTTAATCCTTTTGTATTTTAATAATTTTATCATTTATGATGATCAACCACCAAATAAATAATTTGATAAGTAGAATTATTTGTTCAATTTTCATAACATTAAATTCTTAATGACGTTCAAGAGACACATGTTTCCGATTTCTACCATCTTGCATTCTACTACTTTCTTTCTTGCCAAAGCAAATGATAACTGTCTGACGGCCTGACCTTGATGATTTTAGCGTGTCATATATTCTTGATAATTTACTCTTTCAAATATCAATTAAAATCATCAAACAAGCTGATGATTTTCCGGCAACAACAATGCTTGACGACGTAACTCCACGCTAAGATCGGGTTTTTTTTGAGGATGTAAGCGTTAACGTCGAGCCTTAACTTATCCAGATAATCAGTGAACTAATCAACAGATCAATGGTAACAGATAAATGAATTGCAGCATAAGCTGAGCAAGTCCAAAATGAAGTACCTCCCTGACCCGGGGGGACTTGTTCATTGGACCACAGCACCTGAAGGTCGAGTCAAGGCTTGTCTACTTGTTTGACTCGACTGCGACTGTTCGTGGACAACTATTTTGCAATAATAGATTACGTGTTAGGTTGTAGACATGGCTGAATTATTAACACCAGAATCTTCCTGCGGACTAACTCAATGTGAAATTTCTGTGAAAGAAAGGTAGTCAAATGTAGCATGGATGTTAATTTTACGTAAATTTAAATGTCGAGTCTTTCGAAGTTTTTTTCTTCGTCAGATACCTGTCGTAAGTGATTAGATATTTTGTGATTGTTTGAAAACATCCAAAAACCGTGCTTGTCACACATTTTCAACTGATATACATGAGAAGTTAATCTTGTCTTTTATGACCACGCTATTGACTACACTGGCGTGCTTTTAGCGCTCGACTCATAATGGTTTTCTTATTTTTCCGCCTTACAGATTCTCTCTGTTATTGCTCGAGCCAGGAGAAATATATTTTGAAGATTTCAGCGTTTTCTATTTCCTGTTGGACTCACAGAAGATGAAGCTATAAAGAGGTGCTTAGTTGAATTGTACTGCCGTTAATCTTTTAAAATTAGTACAATATTTGCACGAAATACATTTATTTCTACAAACATTGAAACAAGTTCGTATTTTTAAAATGGTCACTTAGGAAACAAAGAGGTCGTTTGAAGTTATGTTCACATTCGATCCTGTTTGATCCCCTTGATACAACTTATCCAATTATGAAGGTAAAAGGATGAAATTCATTGGTAATTGATGACCATTTACTCACCTACCTTGCTGTTTCTTTCTTTCTGTTGTGTAGTTTCCATTTAAAGATATTACATCAATGAATCCATGGACCGGACCATTATTATCTCGGTATTAAGATCATAACTGTTCATTATAATATTAATCATAGTTTTATGGTTACGCACATGTTAATTGGCAAAGTTTTTTCACTTAGGATTGATTCCAAAGGCAATGTTCTTGCAGTTGAAACAAGTTTAGTGGTAAAAATGAAAGAAGGAAATGTCATAGCACCTTATGTTTTTTTAAGGGTGAGTTTGTTGTATGCTGGTTTTATCTCAGTTTTCTATCAAATGTTATTTTTAAATTGCGTTTTATCTTTAGGAGAGGAATCAATATCTATTTTCTTTCAATTTTGTGGCTTTAAGTAATGTCATTAGCCAAGTACAACAGGTTGGAATCTTTTTTGTGCATTCTAAGCATTGTTATTGTTATCAAAGTGTAACAATTATCCACTTTTTTATCATTTATTTAGTTACATAGAGCGGCATCATTGCCATTTTCAGAGCATTCAACAATGGTTAGAATTGCAGTTGATTTATTTATCTTTTGTCTTATTGTGTAAATTATTCAAAAGATATAATCTTACATGATCTTTTCATTAAATAATATGTTCGTGATTACCAGATTGAAACAATAGTGAAGGCAAGGCAAAAACAAATTGGCTTTAACCCAACTTGGTTAGTTAAAACTGTGATGAATCACATCGATTTCATATGAACTTTTATGACTCCTGTTTTTAATTTGTACATTATACAGGCTTGAAGATTTGTTTGAGAAAATCATCTTGGAAACAACTGGTTTGTTATGTATAAAGTCATTCTTATTGTAATCTTATTGACATGTCCACCTTATCTATTAAACTCTTCCATTTAGCTGAACGAATTACTCCTCTTGTTTGTCATCCCGGAAAAATATTATTGACTTCTGCAAGAATATATTTTCAACCATTTAATAATGTAGAGCCGGTAACTAAATCAGATTTTTACTGTATTTTTGAATATTTTCTATGCACTCTCATGACCTCCATTGTTTTTAATATCTTGCAACTCTTAAATAATTTATTCATATGGTGGTAGTTCTAGGAATTCCTTGATGTATCAAATTTATATTTTTTCATAGTTTCCTGTAATGAAATGCAAGCTATGCTCGGTCAGAAGAGTTGTGAAAAGAAGATACTTACTCAGACATGTTGTAAGTGTCTCAGAGACATTAGTTCTCAGAATCAGAATCAGCTTAATAATAGCTTTCTCGAAAAGAACTGGAAACGATAGGAATGACGTCACTACTCTATATATTTTTTATCACAACTTGTAAGAATTTTTTGTTTCCTTCACGTGTAAGTTATGTAATTTTTTTAGGGTGTGGAAATATTTTCCGAAGAACAATCACATTTGCTTTTGGTGTTTCCATCACAAGATAAACGTAACGAATTTTACGATTTTCTTCTGCAGCAACCTGGTAGGAAACATTTGATGGATGTTGTAATGTTGTCAATGTTTGCATGTTTTCATGTTGTCAATGTTTGTATGTTGTAATGTTGTCAATGTTTGTAATGTTGTCAATGTTTGCATGTTGTCATGTTGTCAATGTTTGTATGTAGTAATGTTGTCAATGTTTGTATGTTGTAATGTTGTCAATGTTTGTAATGTTGTCAATGTTTGTATATTGTAATGTTGTCAATGTTTGTATGTTGTAATGTTGTCAATGTTTGTAATGTTGTCAATGTTTGTATATTGTAATGTTGTCAATGTTTGTATGTTGTAATGTTGTCAATGTTTGTAATGTTGTCAATGTTTGTATGTTGTAATGTTGTCAATGTTTGTATGTTGTAATGTTGTCAATGTTTGTATGTTGTAATGTTGTCAATGTTTGTATGTTTGTATGTTGTCAATGTTTGTATGTTGTAATGCAAGGATATTTTTCATCAGACTTAGAACTTCAAGACACCGGACAGGAAAACATGACGTTAAAATGGCAAAATGGTGTGATCTCTAACTTCGACTATCTCATGTATTTGAATAGGTATGTCAGTAAATTTAGTTGCCCTGTTGAGCTGTTACGCTTTTTCTTCTCTTTCGGAATACGAGTGCTTAAGTAAATGTACATTCAATGCAAAAATCTACGTTTCTCAACAATTTACACTCTCCTTTTAAAGTTTTGTATAACGGCACGTAGTTAACTACATATGTCACTATATTTCTTTGTCAATAAAAATTCTTCATATCTATATGTATCCTCATATGTAGTTTGATTATATCAATATTTATCCATATGTATCCTCCTATGTAGTTTGATTATATCAATATTTATCCACATGTATCCTCCTATGTAGTTTGGCCGATCGTAGTTTTAACGACCTCACTCAGTATCCAGTTTTCCCATGGGTAATCGCTGATTACAAGAGTAAAGTACTTGGTATGAACTGTCACCTTGGCAACGTATGACGATATTTATAACGAACTTTGTCTTTAAAAGATCCCACATACTGCAAGAATCTCCTTTATAGCTAATCGTATTAATCTGTTTTAATCCCACGTAAAGTCATCTTTCCTCTAAAGATCCCACATACTGCAAGAATCTCCTTTATAGCTAATCTTATTAACCTGTATTAATCCCACGTAAAGTCATCTTTCCTCTAAAGATCCCATATACTGCAAGAATCTCCTTTATATCTAATCGTATTAATCTGTTTTAATCCCACGTAAAGTCATCTTTCCTCTAAAGATCCCACATGTACTGTAACAATCTCCTATCTTTTAAAGATTTGAATAATCCAAAAACGTTTCGTGATTTTACTAAACCAATTGGCGCGCTCAATGAAAGTCGTTTAAAACAACTAAAGGTGAGCTTTTAATCAACCCCCGTAGCTATCATGACAAAAGACCAGAAAGTAGCCATCTATGTATGAAGTTCTTTTATCAAATCTCATCGTAGGAGTAGAAAGTATCTATCTATGTAGTTCTTTTATCCTTATGAACGACAAATTCAACCTACGTCTTTATCCGTGGTATCTTCAAAACTTTTTAGTTTCATAAAATATCTCTGCTATTTTTATTGCCATATTCTGCAAGTTCTATAAAGTGATTACTATTTATTGGTGATGTGCTCAGTAAGATGTTGAAATAGATTTGAAACATACCTTCAGGATTTTTGTTATAGGACCGCTGTAAAGATATGCCGGAGCCCAAGTTCTTATACGGCAGTCATTATTCTACGCCTGGTTATGTATTGTATTATTTAACACGAGTTGGTTAGTACTTCATGAAGGCACAAATATTTATGAAAAACATTACCGTCAAGATTTGACCATAGTAAACTCATATATTTTTTAGCACCAGAATATTTATTGTGTTTACAAGGAGGAAAGTTTGATCAACCTGACAGATTGTTTAATAGGTTTGATTATAAATAAATTTTAACTTAAAAAAATTTAAATCAATATTGCCTGCATACTTTCTTCTAGAAACCGTAACAATTTTTAGCTATAGGGAGATTTTAATATAACTCATTATGCCTTCTTTACAGTGTTGCATCAACTTGGAAAAATGTTCTTGCTGGCCATGCTGATGTGAAAGAGGTTGGTTGGCCCAATATATTTACTTTGTGGCTATTTGTCAACGCAATTATAACAGTCAGAAACTTATTTTGATTGTCATATAAAATTTATGCCATTTGTAGTCATTTTTCTTTGACATTATACAGATAAAATTGAAATACTATGGATTGTTCATGCTTCTAAACTCTCACTGATACACTAAGGTGCATATTCATTAACTAGACCATCAAATGTTTGTTTGTATTTAAACCAGTTGATTCCGGAGTTTTATCAATCTTCTGGCGAGTTCCTTGTCAACAGACTAAATCTTCCCCTTGGTATGAAACAAGACAAAACAAAAGTCCACGATGTTGAACTTCCTCCTTGGGCGAGCGGTAAATACTGTGATGTTTCAGTATCTGCTAAACCGGAAATGACCTAAAATTCGTCATATTGAAATCGTCATTCAGGTCCAAAGGATTTTATCAGAAAATGTCGCGAGGCTCTGGAATGTCGTCATGTATCAGATAATATCCACGACTGGATTGATTTGATATTTGGTTACAAACAGAAAGGAAAAGAGGCATGGAAAGCCAACAATGGTAAGCTTCATATGATATCATGCATCTAGAAGTTTATTATTATTATCATTATTATATTTAATATCTACGTAACACGTGATCGTTGTCGTCATGTCGTCATCTCATGCGATCTCTTCATGTCTGTATTTTTTTATTTAAGTTTTTTATTACCTTACCTACGAGGGAGCTGTTGACTTAGACAGGTAACGGAGAATTTATTAAGTTCCTATAACATTTGATTAGTTTACATACTTGTCAGTAATTTTTGTTCATCATTTTCGTCCTTCCTTTTATTCCTCAGTATTGACGATCCTAACGAGAGAGCTTCGTTAGAATCGCAAATCCTAGAGTTTGGTCAAACACCGAAACAACTCTTCACCAGTCCCCATCCCCGACGCAACGTAAGTTCTCAAGGCATACTCTGGTATAAAGTGTAAACGTGGAAATATAGATCGTGTGAACTTGTTTTCTTATGTTTTAAGGGTTCCAGAGTACCGGCCTCCATTCCTCCAAAGGCTGATGTTTTAAATGGTTTAAGCAACTTGGATTTGCGGAACTATGAACCGTTTTTAATGGACGATATTGACCTGGAAGGTATACGACAGTGTTGTTATTCTTAGTTCACCAGAAGTTCGCGCGACTGAGACTTACCATTATTTCTATTATCCTCATATTTCACGTGGTGTTCACGTGAGTGAGACTTATTTTTATACATGTCTTAGTTCACGTGAAGTTCATGCGAGTGAGACTTGTCATTATCTTGGAGGTATTTAGTGCTCGTTCTTCCTCTCCTAAAGCATGAAAAATGTTTGTTTAGATACTGGGAACGAGTCAAACTTGGTTTTAGAAGAACCTCTCCATTCACCTCACTGGGCCGTGTCAAAATTACTTGAGCAAGATTCTTCTCATCGTTTGCATAAAGAGTAAAATTTATAATTTTATTCTCTGCTTTAAGTGATATGTACAATACGCATTTATGAAAAATAAAAGTTGGGAAAAAACGCTAAATGCACAGAGAAGAATAAAATAATTTGCAATTTTAATACCAATCCTAAATGTTCCATAATCATTTTAAAACAGATAATTTTAAAATTCCTAAATAATAACTGAATGATTAAAATCATGAAAGGTAGTTTCAAGAATGCCGTTTTGTTCAAAATATAATTTCTAATCTGTGAATTTAGAACTCTTAATTCTCGTTTGGAGATGAAATTAAATCATTTTGTACTGAGTAGACACAAAAGGTTTGTAGTTAAACAAACTTTCTAAATAAACAAACTTTTTAAATGAACCATTTTAGATTCAATGTTATTAATGAAGTAAACTAGCGAAATTGACGAATAAACGGCGGATTTTGAAAACAGAAGAATATTCTTCAGGCAATCTTAACTATTTCCATTCATAAAGTGATTTTTTTTACCTTTTAAAGTTGTGTAACATCAGTTCGTCTCTCGCTTGATGGAAAAGTGTATTTTCTGTATCACAAGGTATTTTTTCAAAATGAACTTTCATACCAGTTCCAAATGATTATGCAATAATTGATGTTATGAATTTCCCGTTTTCAAGATACCCAATTAAAAATGTTCAGTTTACACGACAAACAACAAGTTCGAAGCATAAATTTGTCGTCAATGGTAAGACTTTAACTAACTAAACTCGTTGCTTGACAGCAATAATCCTGGTTTTCACTAATGTTGATATTCTTCAGGCTCTGTCGTCGTGTGCCATCATGCCAGACTCGAAAACTATCGTCGTAGGATCATGGGATAACAACATGTAGGTTATGACTTTGATTTGTCAATTTACATGTCTGTATACAGGTGTGAAATCACCCAATGTCCATCATATACTTGTTAATCCATCATTGTTTACATTTAACATATTCTCTCTATATATTTTCAGCTACATATATTCCGTTGAATACGGAAGAATTACAGACACTGTTCGTGGTCATGATGATGCTAGTATGTTTCACTTGAATATTACTTGTATCCTTCTTTGCCACCTTGTATCCTTCTTTGCCACCATGTATCCTTCTTTGCCACCTTGTATCCTTCTTTGCCACTTTGTATCCTTCTTTGCCACCTTGTATCCTTTTTGCCACCTTGTATCCTTCTTTGCCACCTTGTATCCTTCTTTGCCACCTTGTATCCTTCTTTGCCACCTTGTATCCTTCTTTGCCACCTTGTATCCTTCTTTGCCACCTTCTATCCTTCTTTGCACATTGTATCCTTCTTTGCCACCTTGTATCCTCATGCTATCTTATTTTATTTGTCAGTTTCCTGTGTATGCTGGAATGATGGTATTCTTGTCACAGCTTCGTGGGATTCAACTGTCAAAGTAGGTTTGATTAAATCTCTGCTTCATTGTTAGACATAAAAATATACTAATACATAGGGTTCGCTCAGAGAATTAAGAATGTCGCCCCCCCTGAAATCAATGGATGTTTTTACTAAATCAGGGCGAGAGTTTCTCACTACAGCTTGTGATTTTCACTCACTTGAAGCCTATAACTCTATTTTGTGTTAAAATCAGTTTAGTTTTTCTAACTGTATTTTATTTAGGTTTGGAGATTCGTTCCTGAGTTCGGTGTAAGAAAAGCTTCCTCACCAGTACTTTTGGTATGCGCTGTTTTTATGTATAATTGATTTGAATTTGTGGACAAAATTACTGTCTTTCTCACAAATCTCGATTGTTCATTTTATCTAATAAATATTTGTTCATTTTAGACTGAACTTGACCACGATACGGAGGTTTGTATCATCATAAATATGTATTTGAATTTCATTTTTACTTTAGCCAAGTAAATAAACTTATTAATCATTTAATAACTTCTCTCCTCCCTTGATGATAACTTCTTTCTTCCCTTGACGATAACTTCTTTCTTCCCTTGATGATAACTTCTTTCTTCCCTTGATGATAACTTCTTTCTTCCCTTGATGATAACTTCTTTCTTCCCTTGATGATAACTTCTCTCCTCCCTTGATGATAACTTCTTTCTTCCTCCGTTTTTCATAATAAGTACTTAATTCAACAGGTGAATTCTGTCGATCTTCATCCAACTAATACTTTGGTAGTCACGGGAACAACAGATGGTTTGTATAGCATTACACATATAGATCACTTATAATTGTCGTCTTACTATGAAATCATCAACAAATTTAGGTCACGTGTTACTGTGGAATGTTGATAAACGAATCATTGTCAACGAACATAAAGTACATGGAAGCTCAGTGCATACAGTTGCATTTAGTCCAGGTTTATAGAATATCAATTGGCAATTAAGTATTTTGTCTGCTGCTGTATTGAATTTTTTTCATTGCTTCGAAGATGGTCAGAGAATCCTTTCCTGTGGTGCGGATCAATGTGTTCGAGTTCTTGATGTGCAGACTGGAACTGAGTTATACCTGAAAGATCTACATGATGAAATTAGGTATTAAACTGTAGTGTATAATGTTGTCCTGCATGTGCATGGACTAAAATAAAGGAAGCTTCCTCGTTTGAAACATTAAGGTTTGCTGTGAGAATGCTGTTAAGAATGATGTTAATGGTAGTTATTGTTCATTTATGAAATAAAAGATGTTTACTGTGTTTGCACCGACTTATGCAAACCGAGGAGACCTTTTGGGAGAACTCGAGAGCAGATTAGTGCAAGCCCGAGACCGAAGATCGAGGGTTGCACATGCTTGAGAGTTCTCACAAACGTCTCCGAGGTTTGCATAAGCCAGTGCAAACACGAAAAACATCTTTTATTTCTTTATAAAATAACAATAATGCGAAAAAGACAAACATAATTTTCCTCTAAAAACATGCAAACAAGGCTCTAGACCAATCACCGCACGCGTTTTATTGTTTGTATTTTGTGAATAGATGTGCTGTTTGGGATGGTCAGTTGGTGATGGCGGGTGGAAGCTCTGGTCAACTACATATCTTGAATTTATTAAGTGACGAAGAAGTACAAAGAATTGATGGACATCAAGGTAAAATTGGGCGAGAATTGTCTATTTTGTAAGTTTTAGTTTCTCACGAAATAACGAAATGATCATTTCTATAGGTCCAATCCGTTGCGTGGATGTCTCGCGAGATGGTATGACGATTGCAACTGGTGGTGAAGACCATCAGGTAATATTGTGGAAGATTGCTGATTAAGTTCTGTCGAAGAGTCCACGATTTAATTGTTCATCTTTGATCAACATTTTCCAAATGAACATTCTCTCTGCATACGTTCATTTTATTTACAAGTACTTTGTATATAGTGTCGTTTTTACGTCCAAAATACTCAAATAAGCACCTTCAATCCTATGAATGTACACCGTTCTTGATGATGTACTGCCACAGCGGAATGCTGTAGTGAAGTGACCAAAGCTATAGTTGAAATGTGTTAAAATTGGAATATAGTTTAAATAGGATTATTTCAACTTCACATGAAGATTTGTATTAAATATTAATTTGAATGATAATTGTAAATAATATATTTAGAATGAAAAATTAAAAATATTTATTATCTGAATTATCGGAGATTTTATTTAAAAAATATGTATTGATCTTTTTTCAAAGTGTCTATGGTCGTGCTTTTTTATTAGTGCATGATGTTTTCTTTTGAACAATTAGTATTACTTGTGTTTTTGAAAGACAATCAATCCATGGAACCATGACGTTAAAATCATTTAATGTTTTCGTGTCATTTTTAAAGGTTTCTTTCTGCTTTCTATTCCATCACTGCTAACGAAACTTTAGTGCACAATTGGAGTCTTGAGGTTCGAGACATTACTTATCAAGAAATTTTTCCCGCATGGTCATTTAAAACCTTGGAAAACTTTGAATTGTTTAAGGTTGTTTTAGCAAGACGTTGCATTCTGTTATTGGAGGAAAACTCGTGTCCAGTCTTCGTACACGTTGCATAATTCAGTAAGTTGCGTATGGAATTGAATAGAGAAGTTAACACATTGAGGAACAAAGTTGTTTCAGCATGGCGTCTTATCGTGTTGAAAGAAGTTATTTTATTTTCTTTATAGTTCATGTAACTCAGTTAATTTTTTTGGAATGCGCCGCGATTCCAACTATTTCAAGAAATACCAACGTTTTACACCAAAAGAGCGTTTCTAGAGAGAATGAACAAGGTAGTTATATTGTAATCTATGAATAGACATTGCTGTATGCCATATGTGTTTTGGAATATTAAGTTTGTTCTCGTCATCTCGAATCATACATGTATGAAATTGAAATTGATTTTATTAAAAATAATTTTATTTTGCAAAGAAGGGCATTTAATTTTAAAAATCTTCAGTTAACAATGTATAATTTGTTTACTTGTCGAAGTAAATAGATACTATATATTTTCGCTAGATTATTAATGAACAACTATTGTTTGCTATTGCAAGGATAAAATCAACAATGGTTTTTTAGGCAGTTATGATACTATATACCATTTAATCAAGTACACAACATTGATTCTGTGTCACATGTTATTGTTGCCATTGTTTTTTCAGGAAACATTTCTGTTTCAGAAAAGAATTGAATTTCTAAAAAAAATTATGTTTCATTAGGCAAGGTTAGAATGATGCCAAAGATAAAAGATAGGGCAGGGCTGTCTTACAAATTAAAAATGATGAAAGATGTCGTGAAGATATACAAGATTTTTGTTCAGCTGCCAATCAGGATAAGGGAAACTACGAGTTGTTGTTGTGTTTACAAAACCAAATCAAGGTAAAATGATTAAATAATCAATATTGTTTCAGCTCATCTTGAACTGCACATTGTACGCTCTTTAAAATTTGTCATGGTGAAAGCCATATTTGGTTACCAATGTTACCCCATTTGATGAAAATTTTCCCGTGAGATCTCAGAGTTAAAAGTTGGCATACCAGCTGTATGGCATTAAAAGTTCTAAACAATTGACAATGTTTTGGGAAAGTAGATAGAGATATTTAGTACTTTGATGTTGTTGAAAAGACAACATAATAGTAATGTGGAAACATCCCAGATTTCTTTACTGCAGTTTTGGACAGCTTGCATTGGTCAATTTGGGACGGCTTGCAAACCACCAGTGTGCAAATTAACTGTGTGCAATGTGCAATTTGCACATCGTTTTAGCTAAAATGAAAACAATTACACATCACTTTTTCAAACGATGTGCAAAAATCAGTGGTTTTAACGAAAAACACTGTCGTAAATCATATGAATTTGTTCACGTTTAAAAATATTAATTTAGCAATTAGCGCTATATAATAATTAACGTAATATCACTTTGATTATGCCTATAAAGAAACACTTTTATCAAAAAAATTGCACATCGTTTTTTCTGAACTAATTCGCACACTGAAAGCACTATTCAATGTCTTGATATGTTTTTTTTGTTCTTTCTTTTAGGAGGATGAATTGTCTGATGAGTGTCATCAGGTAGGAAATATAAATGAAGAAAATCTGTTTAAAATTTCCTTTTTGTGAAGGACATATGTTCATTTCATGCAGGCATTGTGGGAATACAAAAATCAACTTATCAATAATCCTATATTTGAAGCACCAGCTGAGGCACTATGTCAAGATGTTTGGAAAAATGTAAGTGCCATTTTCATCTACATATGATGGGTTGCTTTAGATCTTTGATGATTCCTTAGTGTGGCACGTGTCATTTAAGGCATTTATGATATGCAAGTAGAAAATATATAGCATGTATTTCTTGTTATTGATTGCAGATTGATGAATGCAAAAATGTTCAACCCAAAACTGGTGAATTAGTGCCATGTTTGGTAGAAAATAAGGATCAAATCCAAAACAAACGTTGTAAACATGTTATCAATAAACTGGCACAGATATTATTCACTGACTATCGATTGTTGAAGCATTTTTATCAAGAGTGTGATGAAGATGTAAAGAAATTTAAATGTGGTAGAATTGATGAAAAAGATGAAGGTGTAAGTATAACCTTTGTTAATGTATGTGACCAGTTCTATATACAATGCTGTTACGAATCTTAGAAAACATAATTCACATGGCGAATGGCTAAAAATCGTCAAGTCCTAAAGAGTTCCGGCCAATTGCAAATGCAATTGCGCTTTTAAAGGCAATATCTAGATTTGTCACCATGACAAAGTATTATTTTTTCACACACTTCTGCAAGCACGATTGTGAATCTGTGTGGCGAATGGTTTATATTATGCAAAGCCCATTTTGTTGTTGCATTTACACAGCTTGAAAAGAGTCTCACTCGCCCATGCGGATGGATCACTATATAAACTTATGTAACTGAGTTTTTAAGACTGTTTAGTTTAGGCTACTCTAAGTAGCAATGTAACCGTACCTAAGTAGCAATGTAATCGTACCTGTATTAGTTGTTTAGATGAGAATAAATGTGAAGTTTGTGGTTGTAGCAGCTCCCAGTTGTGTGTGAGAACTCTCTGTTATTTTGTTTTTTCTTTTTTTAAAATTTAACCCTAGTATTGTAATTATATGTGTACATGTGTAAGAACCATGGAATTTTTTAATGGAACTTAATGATAAGTTTGGTTTATTTTTCATTTTTAGGAAGTTCACACACAAGGATCAACACTTGAGTGTTTGGAAGAAAATGAAGAAAATCTCACGAAGAGTTGTCGTCATAAAGTATTCCGAGTTGCCGAGCTGCAAAGCGATGATTATCATATGAACAGAGCATTGTACTATGCTTGCCGCGGTGATCGTGAACATTTCTGCTCAGATGTTGAGGCTGGTGAAGGAAGAATATACGAGTGCTTGAAGAAGAATAAGTTTTCTAAAGAAATGTCGCATGAGGTGATGAAAATTCCTCAAAAAAAATAACAAATTTTATTTTACTTCAACTTTAATTAAAGTCTACGATTTTATTGCTAAGGCAGATTTTTTGCCTGATGTAATTACGCACTATTGTTAGTTATTTATTCATTTTTAGTGTCAAGAGAAATTGACCACAAAGCAAAAAATAGAATCGAAAGACCACAAGGTAGATATAATTTGATGAACGTACTCTGATTTCATTTGAATGTATTAAGATGAATCCAGGGGGATTAATAAGTACATATGTGAATAATTAGTTGATAAATGTGTTAATGGTTCTATAATACTTGATGTACGTATGCTTGGATGTTTTTCTTTCATCTTTGTTCCATGGTTAGAGAACCTGTCTATATTTAGTAATGTTTATTGTGATGCTTCAAAGACCATGTGCTGTTTTTATGATTTTTCTTGTTATTGTAAACATTTTTAGCCATCATGTTAATTTTTTATGATGTATCATATGACGTATAGGCAAATTTCCCGTTCATGCAAAGTTGTGAGAGTGCAATGCGCGAGAATGAATGCGAAGCAAAAGGTGAAACGCCGGCTGAACTTGCCAAAGTCCTGTTATGTTTGGAAAAGGCTATTTTGAATGGTAAAGGAGCTTTATGGAAAGCTTGAAACTGATGTGAGACTATATTATCGTTGAAATTTGTGTATGTGTTTGTTTGTTTGCTTGTTTAGGAGCTGAAGTTGACGGTACATGTCGACAACATATGAAAGACATTCAACAACAATTAATGCAAGATTATTCAATAAATCCAGATATTGTAGCCAATTGTGAAACGGAAATTAAAACGTTTTGTCGTAAGGTAGAAAAAGGTGGAAAGACTTTAGATTGTTTGATGGAGAAAGCCATGGAAAAGGAAGGAAAGGATAATAACATTGAATTTAGCGACAAATGCTACAATGCGGTTTGTAAACGTTAAAAATTATTTTACAGGAACGATCAACGATATATCCTAGAAAACGTATTTCAATGGCGTGCAAGCGTCTAGTTTTTGTATCAAGATCTTGAACAGTTTGGGGAAACGAGTCAAAGCTAATATTCAACATGCTTATTTTATTTCTCTTGTTGTATAGATTAGCAATCTTTTAAAAGAGACCGGCGCTGGAGGAGATTTTAAAGTTGATGCAACGTTACAAAAAGCGTGCAAGGAACCTGCACGCAAGTTATGTCCTGAGGCCAAGAATGATATGGGGTAATGTTTTGGTTAATTTATCCTACAAGAAGTGAAGTGGGCAGAAATTTCTTGTATATTTTCCTTTACTCTTTGCATGCATACATTACGTGAGAAATTGATCGTTGATAAAATTATTACAGCGTGTTATCGTGTCTTATGGAAAATTTTGAAAGTAAAGATCTTGCAGGTGCTTGTCATGAACAGTTGTTGCATTTACAGTTCTTCATGGCCAGGGATTTCCAGTAAGTAACGTATCTAGAGTTGGTGTGTACTATATTGTCCTTGGAATAACTACATTGTCCTTTTGTGTACTATATTGTCCTTGATGTATACCTTATTTTCCTACGTTATTCATCATTTGTGGTACATTTTCATTGTTATTAACAACAGCACTGATCTCTGGTATAAACTTTATGTACTATATTGTCCTTGATGTGTACCTTATTGTTCTACGTTATTCATCATTTGTGGTACATTTTCATTGTTATTGACAACAGCAATGATCTCTGGTATAAACTTTATGTACTATATTGTCCTTGATGTGTACCTTATTGTTCTACGTTATTCTTCATTTGTGATACGTCATCATTGTCATTGACAACAGCACTGATCTCTAGTTTAAACCACAATATGCTTGAAATATGCTACATTATATTTGAAATGTACTTTTTTATCTTCGAATTATTTTTCACTTAACTGCAATTTCATTCATCCTCGGTAGATTGGACGAGTCTGCTTATCAAGCATGTCATAGTGATGCTGATAAACTTTGTAAAAATCCTCACTTTGGCAACGAAGACAAAGAAATTGCTCCTCAGGCGATGACGTTATCGTGTCTTTATCGTCATATGTTACCGAACATGAACCCCGATCCTACGCAAAAGGTTTGTCCCAGCCCCGTCCTTTAACAAAGCGTGTTTTCTGAAAAGTTTTATCTCTCATACACAACCAGCGATATTTATACTAATACGTCCATACAAATCGTGCAGGTCTTAGCTACAAGATCCATATATATACTTACACGTCCATACAAATCGTACAGGTCTTAGCTACAAGATCCATATATATACTTATACGTCCATACAAATCGTGCAGGTCTTAGCTACAAGATCCATATATATACTTATACGTCCATACAAATCGTGCAGGTCTTAGCTACAAGATCCATGTATATACTTATACCTCCATACAAATCGTGCAGGTCTTAGCTACAAGATCCATATATATACTTATACCTCCATACAAATCGTGCAGGTCTTAGCTACAAGATCCATATATATACTTATACGTCCATACAAATAGTGCAGGTCTTAGCTGCAAGATCCATATATATACTTATACGTCCATACAAATCGTGCAGGTCTTAGCTACAAGATCCATGTATATACTTATACCTCCATACAAATCGTGCAGGTCTTAGCTACAAGATCCATATATATACTTATACCTCCATACAAATCGTGCAGGTCTTAGCTACAAGATCCATATATATACTTATACGTCCATACAAATAGTGCAGGTCTTAGCTGCAAGATCCATATATATACTTATACGTCCATACAAATCGTGAAGGTCTTAGCTACAAGATCCATATATATACTTATACGTCCATACAAATCGTGCAGGTCTTAGCTACAAGATCCATATATATACTTATACGTCCATACAAATTGTGCAGGTCTTAGCTACAAGATCCATATATATACTTATACGTCCATACAAATCGTGCAGGTTAGTTCGGAGTGCGTTGCTGTAGTGATGAAAACGATGCATCAACGTGCTGCGGATGTTCGCCTCATGCCTCAAGTACAGCTAAGATGCATCACAGATCTGGCAAAATATTGCTCAGAAAACGTCGAAGAAAGTGATGTAAGTTAGTCGTCTATAAACAGCAACTTTATCCAATTTGTGCAAGTGTTGTTTTTGACATAATTTCATGTATTTTATACTACCAGAAAAGGAAAGTAACTAAAATATTTGTTGGACAATTTAAGCAATTGTCTCATGAACCTGAAAAATTTCATGAAAATATTTCAGGTTCATGAGACAATTGCTTAAATTGTCCAACAAAGTGCGAAGATCATATCTACATTTAATTTCAAACACCGCACTGCATAAAAAACATTCTTTCGTAAAATATTTCCCTAATACATTGCATTCATGAAATTTCTCCTTGGAAAGCAACTAACTATTTGTGGATCCATCTCGTTTGGTTTAATTTATAAATTTTGATTGTGAAGGAACTCAAATGTCTACAAGACAACATGGAAAAACTGAGCGACACGTGCAAAGAAAGTATGGAAACTCTAACAGAAGAAGAAAGTGAGGTTTGTATCACATTCCTTTTAAAGATTCACTTTTTCTTTGATTTATGATTTGACCGGGTAAGTTTATGTTTAATGTAACATGCGTTGCGTTGCTTGTAATGGTGAATATGCTGCTTCATTCTGTCTGCAAGCAATCTCGATTTCATATGAAAGAAGCGTAACATTCAAACTGTTGAAATGACTATTAAGTCAGTGCTGTGGCACATAATGCTCCTAAATTATCCTCTTAAGTGGCACATAATGCTCCTGAATTATCCTCTTAAGTGGCACATAATACTCCTGAATTATCCTCTTAAGTGGCACATAATGCTCCTGAATTATCCTCTTAAGTGGCACATAATGCTCCTGAATTATCCTCTTAAGTGGCACATAATACTCCTGAATTATCCTCTTTAGTGGCACATAATACTCCTGAATCATCCTCTTAAGTGGCACATAATACTCCTGAATCATCCTCTTAAGTGGCACATAATACTCCTGAATTATCTTCTTAAGTGGCACATAATACTCCTGAATTATCCTCTTTAGTGGCACATAATACTCCTGAATTATCCTCTTAAGTGGCACATAATCCTCCTGAATTATCCTCTTAAGTGGCATATAATACTCCTGAATTATCCTCTTTAGTGGCACATAATACTCCTGAATTATCCTCTTAAGTGGCACATAATACTCCTAAATTATCCTCTTAAGTGGCACATAATACTCCTGAATTATCCTCTTAAGTGGTACATAATACTCCTGAATTATCCTCTTAAGTGGCACATAATACTCCTGAATTATCCTCTTAAGTGGTACATACTCCTGAATTATCCTCTTAAGTGGCACATAATACTCCTGAATTTTCCTCTTAAGTGGCACATAATACTCCTGAATTATCCTCTTAAGTGGCACATAATACTCCTGAATTATCCTCTTAAGTGGCACATAATACTCCTAAATTATCCTCTTAAGTGGCACATAATACTCCTGAATTTTCCTCTTAAGTGGCACATAATACTCCTGAATTATCCTCTTAAGTGGCACATAATGCTCCTGAATTATCCTCTTAAGTGGCACATAATACTCTAAATTATCCTCTTAAGTGGCACATAATACTCCTGAATTATCCTCTTAAGTGGTACATAATACTCCTGAATTATCCTCTTAAGTGGCACATAATACTCCTGAATTATCCTCTAAAGTGGCACATAATACTCCTGAATTATCCTCTTAAGTGGCACATAATACTCCTGAATTATCCTCTTAAGTGGCACATAATACTCCTGAATTATCCTCTTAAGTATCTAGTAATCCATACTTACCTTGCGGATTGCATCATTATTTTAAGAAAATAACGATAAGTTTCAATAGACCTTTTCTGGTTCTTGTAGTTAAATCATGCGTATCATTTTATAGTCATAATAATACTTTTTAGGACATAGATCTCGACAAATCACTCGTGAAACATTGCTCTGAAATGGTGAAATTCTTTTGCTCTGTAAGTAAATTAAAAAATCGTTCAACCACAAGATATCGCTATTCCTATACATCACGCACGCACTCCACTTACTAGATTTGTTGTCTTCACTTGGTTCCAGTACTTTTATGACGTTAAAACTTCGCAATGTGTTGTAGGATCTGCTCAAACGTAACGATGCTGACGGAATACTTCCCTGTCTTTACAATAATAAATACGATCACGAGATGGATGATAAATGTCGTGCTGAACTGGAACACAAGCAATTGGTAGAGATTTACCAGAATAACAATGAAATATTAAACCAATTTCATTTAAATACGACCTCAATTCTGTTTCTTTGTGATTTAGATTGAGATGAAAGACTATCGTTTTTCATCCAAGTTCAAAAAAGCATGTAGACAAGATGTCCAGGATAATTGTAACACTGCGAAATCCAAGTATATATCCATATTTTCCATTCGTTAGGATGTTTTTAGCTCATCTTCGATATTAAATGTTTGTTGTAATTGTGCTTTTAGAGCCGACGTTATCAAGTGTCTGAGCCTTAAAGTTCGCAGTGCTGTTGTTGATGGAGAAAAGCACACAATATCAGGGGAATGTCGTAAACAGTTGAATGTTGAAAAACTACGTCAAGTACGTTTAACATTTAGCTTTGTTTCCAATTTAAAGATTTGCTTCAACTAATTATTTCATTTAGTTGCTAATTTAGAGATTTTTTCAATTTGATTGCCAATTGATTCAAATAATTTTTTAACGTAACTGCTAATTTAGAGATTTTTTCGACTTAATTGCTGATAATTTGAAGTCAATATTTCAATTAATTACCAACTTAGGGATTTTTCAACCCCTCTTCATGAACAAAATTGATATAGGTGCGTTTCCCGGGTGGTTGTGGACCTAAGTGTTTATGTTTGCTAAGCACGAACATTAAATGTGAAAGTGAATATGATATTAAATTGATTTAATTATAATTAACTACTATGGTGCTTCCACTTTTTTTAGGCTGAAGACATAAAGTTTGATCCTGAATTATATGGCGCATGCGCTGATGACGTAAAAAAGCTTTGCATTCACAAACATGAAAATGGTCCAGCGGCGGTATGATAAAACTCGTGACTATTTCTCTATTATTGCTTTAACTTTGTTTTAAAGTGTGTCGACATAAACAGCTCGGTCGTTTTTTTCTTTTTTGCTTGAATTTGTTAAACTTACTTTTAAGATTACAAAATTATCTCTGATTCTTAGTAAAAAGCATTTACTCAAGATTGCAAAATGTCACTTAAATCATTTAAGTTTGATCATATAAATATAAATCTCTGAATAATGTATTAGTCATCCTGAGAAATGTAAGTTGAAAATGTAATTCTCCGTCTATTTGTCTGTAAAGGTTTTAGAATGTTTGAAAGAGTTTCAAGATCAGTTATCTGACGATTGTTCCAGACGAATTTTTGAACGAGAGGTATGCACCACTGGTTATAAATTTTGAGCATTTTTAGACATCGTGAAACGCACCTTATGATTACGGGACTGTTTTTCTGATCCATATTATTTTGTTCATATCAATTCACGACTTCAGTTCTTATTAAAGACTTTATGTTATCGTCTGTATAAAGTGTGAGATGGATAGATATGTACATAGATGGATGTTTATGTACGTATGTCCAACGATTGTTGGATGTTTAATAAAGATGTTAAAATATAGAATAGAAAATTTTTACTGTAATGTACTAATTACGCAGTTCTGCTTTATTAATTAACTGATATAATATTTTATTATATCTTGATTATTCTGATTAAAGTCACGATTGTCATTTACAAATCTTAAATATATAGAAAAAAGAAGTCTCTAATCCTAAACTTGATGTAAGACTGTTCAAAGTGTGCAAGCCATTGATCAAGGCAAGTGTACAGTTAATATTAGCGAGGTTCATTCCTGGACACGCTGTGATCGTAATGTGGCTTTTTCGTGATAATTTCTATATAGAAATTCTGCAAGGATGTTTCACCAAATAAAATCCTTCACTGTCTTGAAGAACACAAACGTGATATGGGTGACTACGAGGAGTAAGTCAAGGATATAATCATATTCTTTATTGTCAAATCTTTCAAACTTTTTTTTTTCTTAAAAGATGTCGCGAAATGGTATTTACTCGTCAGAAAAATGCTCTTAAAGGTATTTAAATTCTTCGTTATTACCCTAGGTTTTTGTGCAATTTTTGTAATGGTTATAAGCAGTTGTATTGTTATGATGTCATTAGAAGTTGTATTTTTATGATGTCATTAGAAGTTTTACTGTTATGATGTCTTTAGAAGTTGTACTGTTATGATGTCTTTAGAAGTTGATGTCATTAGTTGTACTCTTAACATGTCATTAGGAGTCGTATTGTTATGATGTCATTAGGAGTCGTATTGTTATGATGTCATTAGGAGTCGTATTGTTATGATGTCATTAGGAGTCGTATTGTTATGATATCATTAGGAGTTGTATTGTTATGATGTCGTTCGGAGTTACATTGTTGTGAGGACTTGATGTAGTGATCTTTAGAAGTGTCATTTTTATGATAAAAGTATCATTTTCATTGATATTCATTGAAGTTTTCCTGTAATGAAATAGCGAATATTAAATTTTGTTTTGTAGATATTGAACTGATGCCTGGTTTGGCTAAAGCATGTCACAAAGATATCAAAGATTTCTGTCATGAAGTTACTCATAATGATCAAATCATACCTTGCTTGAAGAAGAACATTAAGGTATTTTTTTACTCATAATCATCAACAAATACTCTTCTTGAAGAGTACTAATACCTTAATATCCAATAATGATATTTTTATGTTCTTGTGTAGAAACTATCTAGCAACTGTGAAGAATTTGTAGTAAATTTAGAGAAGGAAGCTGCCTTAGATTATCGTCTGAATCCATCTTTAGCCAAAGCTTGTGCAGATGAGGTTTGTATTGGAGAAGAGAATTTAGTAGTTTAAAAAACGTTTTTCAATTTTTCTCGTGATGTCATATACCTTCGTGAGTCTCGCGCGTGTTTCACGCACATTTCATCTGCAGATTGAAGCACATTGTTCTGATATTAACCCCGGACATGGAGAAATAATGGAATGTTTAAGAAACAATTACCAAGACATTAAAAACACAAAATGTCGAGCGGTACGTTTTAAGGACTTTGTTAATGTGTATTTTTAAACGATACAAAGATATGTAAACAAACGCAGGTGACTGTTTGATGTCTGTGTGTTTTTTGTGTGATGCAGGAGATAAAAGAAGCGCTTATTGAAGAACGCACTGATATCATGGCCGACCCTCTTCTTCATGAAACTTGCTTTAGAGCGGCAACAAGATTTTGTCATGAGATCAGTCATGGTCGAGGAAGAAGTGTGTTTGCTTAATTGTTTACGTAAATTTATGTTATATAAAATCATCATCATCATCATCATATCTTTTCGCTTGCGCGTGTTGTAGCAATCAGTCGAAATCAGGGACGGCACGTGAAGCCTTGCTACTTGTCCCCCACCAAATTTCCCTCACATGGCTTTGGTCAACCCGGGCTAGGTTTACAGACACATTTGCCAAATGTGCCACGAGCCGGGATTGAACCCGCGCCGTCTGGCTTGCAGCTCACGCAATTAACCATTCAGCCACCCGCCCCACACGTTATTATAAAATAACAAAAATGGATGCGATTTCTCTGTGAATCTTGTTTTTCTCTCACTTTATGGTCGATTTCATTTTTTATTTAGTTTTACAATGTCTTTTGGATGCTTTGGAAAAAGGACAAATAAACAAAGGAGAATGCAAAACAATGCTAAAGTCACGGAAAGAAATGTGGTCTGGCTTTCAGGTAAATCTTTTGTTTATGTACATTTCTAGGAAATGTCACAAAAAGGTCTCAATTTTTTAGAGGTATACTATACTGTGGTTTACATGTTTGTAGATGTAGATCGTCCGGGTTAGTGAAGTCGTGAGAACTTCTGTAGATGTTAATGTTCTCTTACGTTTCGACAACCTTAGCGGTAGTCATCTTCAGAGTCAAGATTCAGGACTTTACTAACCTGGACGATCTACGTTCGCAAACATGTAACGATACTCCCGGAATTAAACCATTCACTTTATTGTGGTTTATGCTACTCGTGTTGTATTTTATGTATGCATGACGTAGCTATGATGTCATGCATCATTTTTAGAGATTTTGCTCACGTACAACATCAGTTGATGTTCATTTATTTTGTCTATAGCTCCCGCCACCTGAATCTTTCATTGAACTTGCTGCAGTCATAAATACTTCTCCACAAAGAAATTATTTCTTCATCGTGTTTTCTTGTGTTTTGGCCATCATTTTTGTCGGCGGTCTTGTTTCTGGACGTTTAACCAAACGTGTTGCGCGCGAAGTGAAAAATCGATAAGTCTTAAAGGCTTCTGTGATATACGAACATCAAATGAACGAGGTATAATGACGACTTGTAGAAACTAATAAAAGTAAGGCGATGTAGTTGTATTCGGTGTTTGATTGTATCTAGGTGTTAAGCTCATTCTCGGGACATTGTCAAATAATCGGAAGCATTTAATCATAAGCGTCTTTATGTTTTATCAACATATATATATGTATTTAACTGTCGCTTGCTAATATATAGTAGCAGGAAAAAGCGGATGATTATTTTTCAAGCACAACGTGAATGGTGTTTTAGTTAAGTGTCAGTTTGCTGTTTCCAAAAATTCTGGACTGATTTCTTCATTAAAACAACTTGTCGATCAAACGATTTTAAACCTTTACTAGATCTTCTTTTTAAGTTTTGACTTTAAACACTCCTGAAAATCTTAATTTGTTTTTATCAGATCCTAAATTTTAATGGGACACGAAAAAAGAAAATAAACGAAAAACAAGAGCGACTTTCTACTAAATATTTTTGTTGTCGTTTTTGTTGTGTTTCTTAATGACAAAGTGCCACTGGAAAAATACCAAGATCTCAATCATCATTGTTATTCAAGACACATACCATTTAATCTTCTTGCTTATATTAACATAATAGTTGTAGTTTCGTGGGACTGAAATACATGGTGTACTTTCTCTCTAGTTTTTGTGTTTTCTTTTCACTTAGTTTTTGTAGACTTTTTCGTAATAGTCGATCGTATACTTCAAGTTTATTCCAAAACCATCATCAGAGAATCATCGTAGTTTGAATCCTAGTATTCATGTGTTATGTATACTTCAAGTTTTTAGAGCTTTCAGAGCAAATGTTTCAAAAGTTGTTTCCACGTAGCACAAATGTTTTTGTAAATTTATGTCTTAGAATAAGGAATTCAGTCAAATGGAATTTTCAACAGCTCAAAGCATAAAGACTAGTATTAAATAGTTGATCGTTGAATCGTTTAGTCGACTAATGAGAAAAAAACACTTAATGGTAGATCTCTACCAAAAAGCTTGACAATACTTCTTCCTTGAACTTAGGTTTGTAATTTCTATTAACGCTATGTTAAAATTACATTAAAAGCAAATTAAGTTAGATCTCATGTATTTCAAATTTTAAAACTGAATGTTCTTGAGCGTCCTTTTGTTCTCTAAACACCGCACTCCGCCAATTATCCAAGAGAAAGATCTCTATAAACACTGTCTAGTGTTGGACTTTGTTTATATAGAGGAAGAATTTCTTTTTGTTAAAGCAACCATAGGATTGCAGGAATGTCGTCTTGAGCTATATGTAACAGAGGAAGAAAAACCTTCGCTTGACGTTTTTCGCTGCGCTTTTACTCTGAAAATCTTGAAGAAAAACTTTATAAAACCTCGTCGTAGCTCCATGTTAAATAAAGCGTAAATGAAGGGATTTAGGGCCGAATTTACTGACGTCAACAAGTAAATGAATGTGACGTCAACAAACTCAAATGCGATTTTATTGCGCACGCTCCATCTATAAAACTCCTTTTGTGACCAAAAAGTGACCAAAAGTATAATGAAGAATGGAAGCCAGCATATGATGAATGCGCCAACAACGATTGCAAGTGTTTTTCCAGCTTTGAATTCACGCAGAAAATGAACGGTCGTTAGAGAATTACGTCTTGATGTTGCAACAACTGCTTTGGCTTGTCTGTAAGCAATACTGAAGACAATACCTGAAATAATAACCAATCAAGTTTCTTTATTTGGGGGACGTTGTGAGATTTGCAATACTTCAAGTAAGTACGTGTGAAGAGGTTATTCAAACATTATATCTGATGTATCATGTTTAATTAGCAATGACTTAAAACATGTTTACGGTCACAGACTCTTACCATAGGACACAAGAATAATAAGAAGAGGTAAAAAGAATCCAATAGCTGCTGCCACAGTGTAATACACACGGTCACCTTTCTGACAAGAGAATTTCATAAATATATGCTTTTTGCCAGGATGTGTCCAATTCAAAACTGCTAATAAGGCTACCAAAATAGAACCGCACCACACCAACGCTATCAAGAGACACGCTTTTGTCTTTGTTATCATCTCACGGTAGTGGAATGGACACGAGATTGCAATTGCGCGGTCGATGCTGATGAGGACTAGATTCCAAATGGATGCGCAGTTGCATACGATGTCTGCGATTATCCATGATGTACACAACTCGATCCCATGACACCATTTCTTGTTGTGCGTCATCTGGTCTATCTGTAAAAGGTAGACGAACTAAGATTTCTGTATACGCTAGTTGTATGTTAAGACACGTCAATATCTATCAATTAAAGCCTCGTCATTAGAAAAAATATTTGTGACTTATATAATATTTCAAAGCTTGCCTTCAAAGGTAGTGTAATAAGTCCAACCAAAACATCAGATACTGCTAGAGAGATAACGAAATAATTGGTCACCGTTCGTAACTTTTCGTATGTCACAACCGTACCAATGACGAGAAAATTTCCAAACAATGTGAACACCATTACAGCACTGAGAAACACGGAATGGGCTATCATTTCGCCTTCTGTTTCTTTATCACAAAGCTCAGTGTTTGTTGGTGCTGTGACATTACTGCTGACATTCGACATTTTCTTTTCTTTTTTTCTTGATAATGTCTCGAAGTGTTTATAGTTTATTCGTCTGTCGGCCACATCTAGCTATATCCGCAAAGAAAGCAACAAATGAAAAATTGAAACTCTTTTTCACACCATCTCTCAAGTTACTTTGTCATCAATAATTAAGATCAGTTTTACGTAAATTAGTTAATGTTTTGTGGTGAAACTGTTGAAGCCGATAAGTTTGATGAACCATTGTTACTTGACAGCTTAGCTTTCATCCATAAAATTTTACAGCAAATCCTTTATTTATTTATGTTATTGCCGTGAGATTTTTTTACATTTTTTAAATAATTATTTTGCCTTCAGCGTACATCAGTGTATGTCGACAGATGGGAATTTTGGGGCTCGTCCTTTTCATTACTCCTGCTGTAAATTTTGTGAGTTTTATGCAGTTCTTTGTACATTGAAATAACTTTCATAGCCTATATATTGATACTAAAAGAATGATAACTTTAACACCCTCTGTGTCATTTTGTGCGAGTCAAGCCGCAATATTCATTTAAAGAATAACATGACACTGACAGCAACACGTAAAATTGGAACAACTATAAATTCGTTCCCAGTCTTCTATGTATCACATCGCTTCTTAATTGCGCTAAACGTAAAATTGGAAATAATTTTTGTGGTTTTTTTTAAAAAATTGCAAGAAAAGACCATCCGTACGTCTATTGTTCGTTGTCAGTATGTATTGAAAAATAAAAGTTTTCTTGTATTGTTCGTAAGTTTGCTCAATTCTGTTCATTATTTTTCAATCACAGCCATTTTCTCATTTCAACACGTTCAGTCGTTTTTGAGAAAATTTAACGTTTGATTTTGATTGCAATGTAATCGTTTCATCCAACAAGTTCAACCTCTCTTAAATATTTTAAAGCTTTTATTACAGTTGACACTTTTCGGTCGTTAGGAATAATCCAGGTAGAATTTATGCATGTTGAAGTGATGAAATTGTAACAGCTGCTCAAAGATTTTGAAATGCAGCAAACGCTTTTTACGATTTTCTTTTGTGGACATGTAGTTCACTCATTTCGCCAAGAAAACCGCTTTAACATCGTCTTTCATGTTACTTATATTAGCTTAGCGATAAAAAGCAAACACTAGCAATAGATAATTCATTTTATTCATTATTCGTATTCAAACAGATATCTAACATTTAATTGTTGAACTGATGTATAAACAGACTTATGAAAAATTGGCTCTGTTCAAGTGTTGATTTTTTCATTTAGAAATAAAGAAAAAGAAAACAAGAGCTTCTCAACTTAATCCTCTCTACCAAGGTCGTGAATAACTGCACAAAATATTTGTCCATTTCCTGATTTGCCTTCCTCGTTTAGTTCAAAACTAATGCTACTATCTAGATACATCCACACACACTATCTCGAATACAATTGAAAATTATTTTTAAATTCTGAGCATAATTCTAATTTTGCTGTTCATTTGTAATTTAGTCAATACATTTAGCTAGCTTAAGAAAGGAAAATGAAGTAATGCCTTAAATAAAGTACCTGCAAGAAGTTAAACAATTTTTTTAAGTTGTCTTCGGTATAAATCAAAGAAAGTAATCGGTTTTTTATTGATATTTGCTACTTCTAATAACGTTGATATAATGACAACAAAAAATCGCTTTTCTTTAAACGACATTAAAGGCTTACTTAGTACCATAAAATTTCCATGCTTCTTTGGTTTATGAGTTTTCTACTCCGAACGTCGATGAACTTATACAAACACTTGCAAAATAATTTATACTGGGATTAAATTTCACGCTGCGGTATCTTTAAAAAGTTGCTACGATCGACAGATTATCTTTGCATTAACATTCATGAAATTTCGCAAGACTTTTTAATAGAAATAAAAAACGCTGAAATAAAAGTAAGATGAAAGTCCCTTCCTTACCTTAGATCATGAGTTCAACTCCTATTTCTACATCGTATTCTATACAGCCTGGTTTTCATTGCATTCATAGAGCATAGTTTGATTTACCTGATAGGAAATATGCAATGAGCTAATCAGAATTGAAAGCAAATGTGTCTTAATGAGATAGCTCAACGTAAATCAATCAATCGAGCTTGAATATTTTATAGTTTATGAATATGTATTCCATGTTGTGATAAAATAAACCTTTTGAGAAACATGAAAAATAATTCAATAGAAAAATGCATGAGTAAAAGCAAATTTTGATTCTTTTGTTGATGTTGCTAGCTTTTGTGAAACAGTAATTAATTTGTACGAATCGTGTACGGACGGACGATTAAAGCAAACGAAATATTTTTTAAAGAAGCATCGTAACACAGAGATATCTATAAATGGAATAATTATAAAGCAACACTGTTACCATAGTAATGATGGATAATAGGCGAGGAAGTTCTACACCTGGAAAATGGCACGCCTCAAATATTCAATAAAGCAACATGATTCGCTGATTTTCCTCATCCAGTTCATTTCAACCAATAAAACACATTCAAATTAAAATACGCAGAGTTAAAATAAATTTACGAAGTACTTTATCAATTAAAATTATGTTGTTGTATGCAATTCATTTTCGCCGACACATTTAAAAAATTACATCCAATGAGAAATCGAAAAATTCTTTCTATTTTCTGTCACCTTTTCGTTCCAGATTAATCAACCTTACATGAAGTACAACATAGAAAGTTGATAAATGAAATTTTGCTGCTTACCCACCTTGATTCTTTGTAACAAGTATTAAAGATGGCAAAAAGACCAAAAGAGCGCGCTATTTTGTTTTAAGCAAGACAAAAACTTTATACGGTAGCCGAATACGACATGATGGTTCGTTTAGAAGACGTGCCGTTAAAACCAATCGCAAAATGGAAGCGAAATAAGCGGAACTACGAAACCGTTGATGATAAAGATTCAAGTAACGAAGAGGATAATTTCTATTTATCAGATGGTTATGTCTCACTTGACTCGGATGACGAAGAAATTCGAAGAAGAGAGTATCGTTATAGACGTCAACGATGGCATAGTTGCAAGTCCTGGTGTTTGAGGTTTGTATAACTTTAAATTATTCATTGTATGTGTACCATTGTTTGAGCTATTAGCTGTGTACTAAAGTACGCAGTTATCGAGACTGCTGCAGTTTATTAGACACCTTAGACGCTGACTTAAACCCTAAAATCCTCAGCAGAAACGAGCCAGCACTTCACATTTAAGCGTTTCAGGTGTCCGCTAAACTGCAGTCTAGCCCCCACTTACCTCACCTCATTTATATAGATGTTTTTCAAAACTCTGTGGAAATGGTGAATTTAAGGCGAGAACAGTTCATATTGGAAAATCGGTGATGTTTTTTTTTGATCCCATGTGTATTACTGACTTCAAACCATAACTTAACAATATTCAAAAATGTTTGCATTCCTACAGACTCAGCGGCAAGAGTTCCCTGCAAATGTTATTCGAAATCAAAAGTACAGCATCATCACTTTTATACCTTTGGTAGGATTGCAAATTGTTAATGAAAATGTTAACATTTATTGAGAGTGTAAAACAGGAGTTCGGCATCTTTGTTTAGCTTGGAGAGTGCATGGGAAATAAATTAAAAGTTGGCTTTAAAAGCAATTGGCAATGAATAGTTTAAGTATTCTTTATTAATGCTAAACCACCTTATTTATTTTTAGCTTTTATGAATGCTTTATGTTTGTGAGAATGTATTATGCTTCTTAAAATTACCATTACAGGAAAATGTATATGGTTTTTCTATTTTCAAGGTGCTATACAATCAATTCAAGTTCTTTCTCAATCTCTACTTCCTGCTTGTTGCCAGTTCACAATTCATTCCAGATCTGAGAATTGGAAAGTTATACACATATTGGGGACCTTTGGTACGTTTAATTGATATTTATTCCAAAGCCATCATCAGAGAATAAGGATTAATATATTGATTAATATATATATAAGGATTAATATGTTGAATTGATATCATTGAATGATAAAAATGTTTAAATTACTGAATGTACTGTAGTCTTTGTTGAATAGAAACTGCTTTCTACTATAAGTCACAAGCTTACCTTTCTTGGTCCGATGATTTGATGATATGTTTGATAAATCACTCATTTTCATCGTGTACGCTTTAGATGTTTGTCTTGTTTGTGACGATGTGTCGGGAAGCATTCGATGATTTCATAAGATTTTTGAGAGATAAAGAAGTCAACTCTCAGATGTATAAAAAACTTACCAAAAAAGGTAAAATGAGAAATCAAAGCAATGAAGAGGTAGATCCATTTGCTTATTACAATCTATGTGTTTCTCAGGTATTTTAGAAGTACACAGCTCACGTATACAAGTCTCGGACATTATAATTGTTGAAAAGGTACTCTTGTGTTTGTATATGTTTAACGTTATAGCATCTACTAAAGTAGTTGAAAGTTTTTTTTTCATCACTGGCGTTATATTTTTTTTAGAATCAAAGAATACCAGCGGATATGATATTTCTACGAACGACTGAAAAGAATGGTTAGTTGACAGTTTATGGTGACGAAAAATGGTGAAATGTTGGTGATGGAGATGATGAATCTTTGTGTTTTAGGGTCGTGTTTTATAAGAACAGATCAACTTGACGGTGAAACTGATTGGAAATTACGTATTGCTCTTCCAGCATGCCAAAGTCTTCATTCCGATTATGTAAGAGTTAAATTTAAGCTAGCGATATTTGTTTTGTTTTACATAAGTTCTGGTTATTCTACATCACCAGAGATATCTTTGGTATTTTTAAGGATCTCTTCAGCATAAACGCGTTTATACATGTTGAAAAACCACAGAAAGATATCCACTCGTTTGTTGGCACTATGGTTCGGGTAAAATATGACTTTTGCTGCTGTCTTACGAGACTTTTTATCTGTTCAAAGCTTTTTTACGGAGTAAGTATTCAATGCTTTATAGAAAGTTGAAAGCGAAGGTGAAGATCCAGTGAATATTGAAAATACGTTGTGGGCGAACACTGTTGTTGCTACAGGTATAGTTCTCTTAACGTTGGCTATCTTAAAGATGAAGAATTTCGTTATTAGGGCCGTCACTGAAGCGTTAATTGAAAAGGTGTGTATCAATGTACTCAGTTGCGGTTGACTGGTTTCTTTTGAAAGACAGTTCGAAAAACGTCTTTCAATGTAAATAACTCTGACACAGCTCAATATATGAATGATTAAACACAGCTGTAGTTAACGTTGTACTGAGTTAAGACTCTGTTTCGAAAGAAAATTCATGTTGATATGACGAAAATCAATGTTCATATTAAGTTTAATCTCTAAGACTATAACTTTAATCAACAGGGAATTTTTTTGCATGGATGAAAAGAAATTGTTTTTTATTCTGAGCACAGCACCTCTGAAAATCTTTCCTGTTTCAGGAACCGCTGTTGGTATCGTTGTTTATACTGGTCGCGAAACCAGAAGTTCCATGAATACAACGTCTCCTAGCAGTAAGGTGAGATGTCACTTTACGCAAACTATACATTTAAAAAAAACTTGAGCGGCGAGAATTCACAGCAGTTACACATCAGGGATCGATTGCACGAAGCAGGAATGACGTCAACCATGATATCGGGATTTTTTCAAAATTTTATCATACGAAAAAGGTTGTTTTCTTTGAACTGACGTTCTGTTTTTTTAAATTGTTCAGATGAAATTATAGAATTTATCCATTTAGGAGGTTTCTTTTCGAAAAAAATGCTTTCTAGTGGACAGCTCTTCTCATGGGTTTTCTACAACCGACTCCGGATATTAAAACTTTCCAGGGAGTGTCCGATCATCCTTGTTATAAGTTTTAGAAAAATGTTATGAATGAAAAAAACAGAGCTGAAATTCCATAAGCAAAAAATCCCGTTTTCTATTTATTGCGTGAAAGATAATAGAAATGGATGAAACATGTTTGGGGCTAGGGTCAGGCCTTAAATTATACGAGAAGTTAAAAACTTTGCCATATTCTTGGATATTATAGTTTATTCAATGAGAAGCAAAACGAAAGATAAAATTCAAAAGCGAAAAAACCCCATTTTCGGTCCATGCTTCCCGATACCTTCTTAAGCGCAAGGCACTAGAACGCCGCATGTTAACGTTTCGGTAGGAGATTTCGGCCCTCCAGGCTATCCTACTTGGGAGATGCAACAGCAAGCTTTCGTCCATCAGACCCCGAGATCACCTGCGATAGGCTTTGCTCGGGGTACGCAGGGAGAGTGCGGTCGCCACCGAAGTGTGGGCCCCTAAGCCACTGCATACTACGTCGCACCCAGCTTCCACTGCTAGTTGACATCTACTATATGAAGAAAATTTATCTGAAAATTTCATGCTGAGCGAGCTCTGAAATTGGTGTTTGTATATGCGTTTAGCAAATTTTCAATCATATATTTTGGCGCTCTTTGTCTTCTTAAGCTTGTTTTGACAAATGCATATCAAACTCATCTACACTTTGTTACGACCCTCGTAATATTCGCGCCAGCGTTAGAAATAATAGTTTTATTCAATACGTTTTTATTTGCCATGACGCCAAAGGATGCCTTCCTCATGATACACGAAGTCAAACTGAAATCGAAGTTAATGAGACGTTAAATTAATATACCCATTAAAAATATATATAAGGTTAATTTAAATCATAAGGGAGTGCTTGTTTGAAACTTTGCACTATCCTTTGATCCCTAGTTTTGGTCGTAATGATTTGAACATGGCTCTTTTTCAAGGTTGGCTTGCTGGATATTGAAGTGAACAACTTGACGAAGGTTCTTTTCATTGCCACGATGATTTTGTCTATTGTATTGATTTCCGTCAAGGTGAGCCATCACGAAATCCTCACTATATAATTAAACGTCATGTAATAAAATATTTATTTGATAATAATTTGTGCTGTTGTTTTACCTTATTTAATGTAATACACGTTTATTGCTCACTTCATTTTTTCAATGCTAATTGCAGGGGGGGGGGTGTGCTGAGAACTCTTTGTGTGCCCCTGGCATTATCAATCCCTTATACAACGAAGAAAATTTTTTCAAAAATCTAATATAATACACAACAGTTCTTAAAAGCCACTTGTATAGAAGAGTTATTTACTAGCTATATTGTTATATTTACCTTTCAAAGTACGCAAACTGTGTTTGGTTTGATTTTAATCTTCGATTCGGGCCCCTAAAGAAATGCTCATTCGTTCTTATTCCTAAATTGTTCACTTTGTACGAAATAAAATAACAGTCGAAGGACTGGCATTATTCATACATATCGCGTTAGATTTTTTTCAAACGTTAATAGTGATTGACTGTAAAGAGGTCTGTAAAGCAAATATAAATTAAAATTACTGTATTTTAAAGGATTTGCTATGTAAAAACGTTTTGATGTATCTTACTTGTTTGTATTGCAGGGGTTTGACGGTCCTTGGTATCGCTATTTCTTTCGATTTGTTCTCTTGTTTTCTTATATCATTCCGTTGAGGTGGGTTTTGATATCAACTTTTATGAGAATAATTATAGACTATGTTTGCCAGTTATATACCAGTGGGAATGTTATCGCTACATAACCCTTTCTGTAGCTGTATAGTAGATCTGTAACATTTACCCACATAAAAAGGTTGAAAGCTGAGTATGGAGTTAAAAGAAACATTTTATGACAACTTCTAAGTGTTGAAACATCAACAAACAAGCGTTATCAACATTAAGTTTTTTTCAAACAATCAAAAACGGAAAGTTGTTGTACGTTGGGGGCGAGCGTCCTTCTATATAGATTTCGTGGATGAGTAATAAGTCGTCACCAAGGTTTGCTATGATTTGTACTTCTTTAATGGGAAGATATTTTAGTTAAAAAGCAGTTGATATGTCCTTTTGGGTTTTTTGCTTCGCTTATTGCAAATGTTGTGTAATTTAAATAATGAGGAATATTTTCAAAATGTTTGTTGAGATATGTAAACGTCGTTGTGTTGTGATGAAAAAATTTCATTTCTTTGTATTTTGTTGTACAGTTTACGTGTCAGCCTTGATCTGGGAAAAGTCGTTTACTCGTGGATGATAACACGTGATCAAGAGATGCCTGGCACGGTCGTGCGTTCTAGTACCATACCAGAAGAACTGGGTAGAGTTGCGTATCTATTAACGGATAAAACTGGAACGCTCACTCAAAATGAAATGGTAAGTGACAGGTTTTTTGTTTATGGAATAGTTTGCATTAAGTTATTGTGCTGTGTCAGGATATGGTTGTAGTGATGGTGGTTGTGGGTGGGAGAGAGTGATCTGTTCACAAACATCAGTGAAAATTATAGTGCGTGGTCAGGATGGGTTTTAGTGGGGGTGAGAGTGACCTGTTCACAAATGTCAGTGGAAATTATAGTGCAGGGTCAGGATAAGTTTTGGTGGGGGAGAGTGACCTGTTCATAAACATCAGTGGAAATTATTGTGTGAGGTCATGATGTGTTTTATTGGGGGAGAGAGTGAACTGTTCCCAACAGCAGTGGAAATATTGTGCAGGGTCAGGATGTGGTTAGATCTGGGTGGGGGGGTGCTGACTTGTCTACAAACATCAATGAAAATATAATTGCATATGAAACATTACAATGCAAACTCATTGATTAATAAATTTAAACTTGTAGCTTTGTATTGGTTGTGGGGAAAAACTTTTTCGTTTTTAGTCATTCATTTTGTCATTCTTTTTGGGTTGAAAATGTTGTCTTTGAAAAAGATCATTGTCAAATGATTGTGATAAATATTTCTTTTAAAGAGCCATTTGAAAAAAAACTGTCTTTTCTATTTTTAACAAGCAACTTTCTCATAAAAGATTATTCAATAATTTTAGTCTTTTGTATGGTTAAACCTTCACAAATCATGAAATATTTGTGAAATATGAATAGTACTTGTTTGTAAACGTGGTTTATTCCTCATTTGATTCTGAAGATGACTACCGCTAAGGTTGTTGAAACCTCAGTCAACAACAACAAAAACAATTCTTCTCAGGACTATACCAACCTGGACGATCTACATTTACAAACATGTAACGATACTCCCGGGTTCAAACCATTTACTTTATTATGAATAGTACTCATACATTTAAACAAATACATTTCTGTGCTGCAATAGCTTGTCCTTGTTCATAGTGAAGCTTTCCTTTTTGCTTTACAAATATCCAATTGTAAAGTGAAAGATATGTACAAAGTTCAACAAAAATCTCCTCATTTTACAAATTTTTATTCAAATCAAAGTTACAAATGCAATATGGTTGACAATGAATTTTCGCAAAGATTGTGCAAGTTACATTCAGATAACATCACATTTAAAATTGAATGCTCATACCACAGAACTGAATATGTCATAAAAAAATAGCTATCACTAATAATTCTAAAAAGTACAAAGCAGATTGGAAAGTTTGTAAACTACACGGCAAGTCACCAACTATTCAAAATTTTCATGGATGTAAGCCTTGTTTTCTCAAAATTGTGCCCTAGACGACTTGGGTACATAGAACAAATTTTCCAGTCTGGACTATAAACAAGTGATTATTAAGTTATGATTGGATTAAATTATTTAGATTAACTCTTTAACTAAATCTATGTGCTATATAAAAAAGATGTCTGAAAAATACCTTAAAGTCCATTTGACCAAAAAGACTTTTGCTAATTAAACAATACTGTTCACATCACAATTTGGATGCTGCTTGTGTTGGTGGGTGTTAGATCAGTGCTAGTGGTTTGGTCTGTTGTTGTTGTTGTTGCAGGTTCTGGTGGATTTTGTGTATAGGCTGGTGGTTCTCCATTTTCATTTTCTGGTAGTGGTCCATTTTCATTTTCTGGTGGCTCAGTGGTTGTTGCATTGATAGGAATGGTTTGACTACTTAGTGATGCTTCGTTTATTCCATTTTCTTCATTGGAATATGCTGGAGGTGGACCTAGTAAATCACAGCCTTCTCCATTTTCTGAGTTATGGGTGTTTGGAGCTTGGGCTGGGATAGGAGAATATGGTGGTGGCATTCCACGAGTTGTATTTTGGTATTCACGTTGAAGTTCATCTTCTGATACTATTGGAACTGTTGCTACGCATTGTACACGCCTACGGATGATGAAATAACGTTGCCGACGACTGGAGTAGCAATATGTCATGAGCAGTATTTTTATAATAACAAAAATAATGGCAGCGACAACAATGCCAGCAGTTCCAGCTGTACCTATGCCACTATCCTCCTTATTATAATCTTGATATCCAGAATCTTCATTTTCTATATAAAATAACAAGATTTCAGAAAAAGCCAAATTAGGATATTTAAGAAAAGATAAAATTCATGCTATGTTCATGTTCAGAATCAAGTGAATGTTATAACTTACCATAAACTGGAGCTTTTGTCTCAGCTAAATAAAGAAAAATTAAGTTTCATTGAATATTTTCATAGGAAATTAAAAATTGCAAACATAAATAAAAAATTGTGGCTATCACCTGCTTACAAAAGTTGGGTAGTCAAAGAGAACACAGGATTTGTTATAATAGACAACAATGGTGCATATTTTAATACAAAATGACAACGACCAAGGGTGAGGTCATTACGTCATGTTTATATATTGCGTTAGTATTAAAATTGAAGAAACGATTCGTCTTTTCAATACGTAATGTACCTAGAGACTATTACTTATTTTTATTTACTTTGATTGAACTTTGACTAGTTTTTATTGAAGTAAAACGCCATAACTTTACTCACTTTTGACATATTCTATGTTTCGGGCGGCTGTTGGGCAAGTTTGACATCGATTATTTTCACAGCATTGACCGTAAGGGCATTCATATTTGTATGTACATGATTTTGTTCTTGGTGAAGAAGTTGTGAAAATATAACTCAAACATTTCCACGAACTCTGACATGTACCATCTTTACAACATTTGCTCTGCGTACAGTCGTAGTTAGTATAACATGTTTCTTTCAACTCACAATAAGACTTGTCTTGGCATTCGTTGTTCAAGCAACACTCAGAATATCCACAATCCCAATTTCCATCACAATATGGGTATGAGCTTTTTCTTTGCAAATCGCGCATAGTTTTCTGCATTTCACATATCGCGTCGCCATCACTTTCAACGCAAACATTGTCTTTACAACAGGCAGAAAGACAATCCTTGTATGAGTTGCAACTCGACGAAAAAGCCTTCGAGATAAATACAATAGAAATTAAAAGCTTTAGCCACAATTCTTTGCTCATACTTGTTTGTATCATTCAATAAGCAAACACTTTCGTCTAAATTTAATTTGAACGACGACCTTCTTCCTCGTTCCTCGTCCAGTTGGCAATAATATTTACAGTCCAATGAACATTTTATGATGTCATTCATTTATTTATGTAAATGAATGAAATTTGGTTTCCCATAAAGAAAAGAACAAGCCATATTTACTTTGGTTCGTTAATAGGTTTTCAAGCGATTACATCTTGGCACTGTTTCTTTTGGTACAGATTCGATGGATGAAGTAAGCGTCTTACTATCCTTTATTTAGAGTTTTAAACTCATTCTGTGTTCCCATAACAACATATGGTATAAATTTCTGTTTTCTACCACCCCACCCACCCCCCCCCACTCATTTCTAAATTTCTAACGACATCATAAAACATGAATGCTGATTCTTACATTATTTCATCAAAGGTTGTGAGTTATCTTCAAACAGCCACCGCAACAACGACGACTTCCACAGCGACCATAAAAAAATCAGGACAGTCTAAAGTAAGTATTGCCATGCATTTTTGGTTTAACAACATCAAACAATCTGAAGACTGCTATTGGATGTTCTTGTCGTAAAATATTGTTTACTTTGGTTGCTGATTTCATTAGCGGATGTAGGATTTCAATCAGGGAGGGGGGTGGCTTATATAATAACATTTTCATTTACAAGCTATTATTCCAGTTCACAAACTGGAAAGTTTGTGAACTACGCCCCCTAGATCAAATTGTATATAAATTTTTGCGCGCCCGACTTTCGTTTTTGTGTGTTTTTGTGCCCCCGAAATGCGAGTTTTGTGCTGTATTTTTTGTTTGAAATATCTTATTTTTTGAAAGTTTGTGCGCGTACGCGCGCTCTTAGCCAAAAATTACGCAATCGAGATCTCAGGTGCGCCACGCAATACAAGCTTTCTAATCGAAGCTCAGAAAGAGGTGCGCACTTCCTGCACTCCTTCTTTGGATCTATCCCTGGATTTTTCGTCAAAATAGATTACTTGATATTATTATATTGTGTGATTCCAGTCTATTTGTATGTCATTTCCGTCTGCAATGGAAGAGATTTTTGTTATTGATGTTCGTTTGAGGTTGGATTTAACACGAACGTGTTAATTATATTTTCTATGTTGTTTTCGTATGTGTTTGTTTTTGTTAGGTTCGTCGGACGGTCGTTACTCGAGTTTATGAAGCCGTCAAAGCTTTGGCGTTGTGTCATAATGTCACTCCAGTGCGCAAAGGAGAAGGGAATGGGGAGAGTTCACCAAACCACGTGAAAGAGAACGAGACAACAGTTGATAATGATGATGACAGTGGTACAATTGATGATTTCACGTATCAAGCATCTAGTCCAGATGAGGTCGGTTTAATTTTTCCTTTCATGGCGATCATAATAAAAAATAGTTTATTTGTTTTCATTTACTGTTGTTAGGTTGCCCTTGTCTCTTGGACAGAAACTGTTGGCTTGAGTTTAATACGGCGTGACTTAAATTCACTTACACTTCGATCACCTCACGGTGAAATTATGCAATATGATATTTTACAAATTTTTCCTTTCACTTCGGAATCAAAGCGAATGGGGATAATTGTTAAGGTTTCCACACTTAATAATTCTTCATTTTTGCAAATTTTAATTTTTCTTTGATTCCGCATCTACAGTTTTTTCTTCGTGCATTTTTTCGTTGCACTAATTTTTTTGTGTAGGACCATCAGACGGGCGAAATTACGTTTTATCTTAAAGGTGCAGATATTGTGATGGCGAACATTGTGCAGTACAACGATTGGCTTGAAGAGGAGGTTCGACGCTGTTGAACATGTAAGTACAACGAAGAACCGACTTAAGTGTTTTTTTTTATCAAACGTGTAGTGTGGAAACATGGCTAGAGAGGGTCTCAGAACTTTGGTTGTGTCTAAGAAAGTTCTCTCTGACGAACAGTATCATGATTTTGAGGTAAAAAATGAAGTAAAAAAAGACTTACGCACACGCACACGCCTGTACGTAATGTCATGAAAATGTTCTAAACATTTCAGTACCGCTACGGACAAGCTAAAGTCAGTTTGACTGAACGAGCAGCAAAGGTTGGTTCATGTTGATCAATCATTGAATTCACAAGAGCAACGCCATGAAAAGTACCAGCTAAAAAGATTAATGTCCTTTAGTCATAGCTTATGTTTGAAAGTTCATAAAACTATACTGTGATCAAGATGTCTTGCATTGGCAAGCTTGATATGATATTTACAATCAATGGTTTTCACGTTTTCGTTAAGAATTACGTTTTATTTTTCCTTATTTCATAGCTCAGTGCTGTTCAAAGTAGTTTAGAGAACGATATGGAATTACTTTGTCTTACTGGTGTTGAGGATAAGTTACAGGTATGGAGGCAGTGATTTTATATTCAGTTAACTTCGTCTATTTTAGTGTTGTTTTCTTTAATTTACAGATTGATGTTCGACCAACACTTGAGCTTCTAAGAAATGCAGGAGTAAAAGTTTGTAGTATTTTCATGGCTTTATGTTTACAATGTTTTGTGATATATTGCCTTTTTTTGAATATATATATTTCATGTTGTTTGGTCTGAACTTATGAATGATACTCACAAGTAATTACATAAATATGTTTAAGATTTGGATGCTGACTGGAGATAAACTTGAAACTGCTACATGCATTGCGCAGAGCTCTCGACTGGTTTCAAAATCTCAGACTATCCATACTTTTAAACAGGTATATGCTCATTTTGTGTTGATATTTTTTCACTGCCATTTAGTTGTTTATAAACTTTCACGATCGTTAAAATTTTGAATTATAAAAATCACATGCGTCATGTCAACTGCTCACAAGGTTAAAGATCGTAGCGAAGCGCATTTGGAACTCAACTCATTTCGACGTAAACATGACTGCGCTTTGGTGATCAAGGGTGATTCATTAGAGGTAGCTATGACAATTGGAGTTATGTTATTGAGAAATGGGTTGGTGATTTCTTTGTCGTGTTGTTCATTTGAAAAAAGTGAATCGTTATAAGCTTGCCAATTTCGTGTCGGCTAGTGAATATAGAAAATGTTGTTTTTGAAAATCTGATATTCGTAAAGTCGCTGGGTATTGTTTGTTTTAGACATGCTTGAGACATTATGAACTAGAATTTATGGAATTGGCTTGTCGTTGTCCCGCTGTGGTTTGTTGTCGTTGTTCACCTCAACAAAAAGCAGATATTGTTACACTTCTTCAAACTTACACCAAGAAACGAACATGCGCAATAGGTAGGTGCTGCGTGAACATGCGCAGTAGTTAGGTGCTGCATGAACATGCGCAGTAGTTAGTTGCTGCATGAACATTTGAAGTAGTTAGGTGCTGCATGAACATTTGAAGTAGTTAGGTGCTGCATGAACATGCGCAGAAGTTAGTTGCTGCATGAACATGCGCAGAAGTTATTTGCTGCATGAGCATGCGCAGAAGTTAGTTGCTGCATGAACTTGCGCAATATATAGATATTGTAACAAGCCATTCGTAAAAGACATTGTATGAAAATCTGCCGTGTGTTGGAAGTTCGAACGTCTTTGTTTAGGTGATGGTGGTAATGACGTCAGTATGATCAAGCTGCAAACGTTGGAGTGGGTATTGAGGGAAAGGTAGGACGTTTAATCGTGTTTTTCTCTAAGTAAAATATTCACTGATTAGATTATCAACAAATAATTTTATTAAAGTAAATGGTTTGAACCCGGGAGTATCGTTTCATGTTTATAAATGTAGATCGTCCAGGTTGGTATAGTCCTGAGAAGGACTGTTTTAGAAGGACAACCTTAGCGGTAGTCATCTTCAGAGTCAGAGTTAGGTGTGATGTTTTTAGTTGTAGTGTTTGGGTGTCAATTGTACACACAATACAATGACGTAAGAACCAGATAACAAATACGGCTAACCTGACGTTTACTCCTCATTTGACTCTGAAGATGACTACCGCTAAGGTTGTCGAAACGTCAGTCAACAACAACAAAAACAGTCCTTCTCAGGACTATACCAACCTGGACGATCTACATTTACAAACATATAAATAATTATTTATTAATATTTATTTTTTGATTGGATTATTCATTGATTGGATTATTCATTGATTGGATTTTCCTCTTTTTCTGGATTCATTCAGGAAGGTCGCCAGGCTTCTCTTGCTGCTGATTTCCATTACTCAGTTTAAATATCTTGGCAGGTTGCTGGTATGGCATGGTCGAAATAGGTAGAGTTGTGATTAATATGTGCTAATCACGGTGTTTATTTGTGTTTTATAAAAATTACCATTGTCTATATCATATTCTATTTTAATTCAGTTACAAAAGGTCGGCAGCCCTGAGTCAATTTGTTATCCATAGAGGTCTTATTATATCTATTATGCAGGTAATACCTATGCGATTTTATATGTCTGAAGCATACTTTAAGTATTTAGCTTTGCAAACATGGCCATATTTTTTATGTCGTTAGGCTGTATTTTCGAGCGTCTTTTATTTTGCATCGATCGCTCTCTATCAAGGTTACCTTATGGTTGGGTAAGTAATTGTTATTCTTATTTATAAATACCTTCGGTGAAGAAACATTGAACAATGTTTGTTTTAAAGTTACTCAACTCTGTACACGATGTTTCCTGTCTTCTCATTGGTTCTCGATGAAGATGTCCCGGATGAAATAGCCCTTAGATTTCCCGAGCTTTACAAAGATTTGTCGAAGGTGCGATGATGATTTCTGACTTGAAACATTTCCAATTGTTTACGAAAACCTCTATCGTACTTCAAAAACGATAAAGGAGAATCGTGTTTAATCTCTTCTTTCTAGGGTCGTTCTTTGTCCTACAAGACGTTTTTTATTTGGATATGGATCAGTATATATCAAGGTGGTATTATAATGTTTGGTGGTATATTGTTATTCGAAGACGATTTCATTCATGTTGTTGCCATAACCTTCACATCTCTTATCCTCACCGAACTTTTAATGGTTGCTCTCACTATACGAACATGGCATTGGTTGATGGTGGCGGCTGAAGTGTTTAGTCTTTCCGTCTATATAGCGACTTTGGCTCTATTTAAAAAGTACTTTGGTAAGTTTTCGAAGCTCTACGTACGCAAAATATTTTTCACGTGAGTTTAGTGCTTTCTTTCTTCATCAATTGTGCTTTCTTTCTTCATCAATTGTGCTATCAACAGATGTTATTACTCAGTTTAGTTTAATCCTGAGAAGAGCTGTTGGTGTTGGTATAGCTTGGGCATGAGTAAACATTAGTAAACATCAACACCAACAGACCTTCTCTTTACCTCGATAACCTGATCCATCATAATCTTCAAAAATGTAAAGATACTCCTGCGTTCAAACCATTTACCTCTGTATTTTCTATCGTTAGATGAGCGATTTTTGGTCTCGTTGAACTTTGTCTGGAAGGTGTCTGTAATAACTTTGGTCAGCTGTCTGCCGTTGTACATCCTGAAGTTTTTACGCCGAAAATACGCGCCGCCTAGCTATTCCAAACTTTCTTGATGTGTGTGAAGAGCACATTGTTTGTTTTTCTAATATGTGAAATAAAGTGCTGGAAATAAAACCAGCCGAGTTAGAAACTGCGGCAAGGTCAGTTTTGAATGTTTCTTCGCATCTGGGGGTGAGATAAGCAATTATCATATCCAATGTAAAGTGTAAACATTTTTCACATTTATTTATTGTCAACTCTCTCTTGCAAAGAGTCATGATGTATTTACTATTAGTTGTAGCATATCATTTGAAATCATAGTACAATTTGTTTAGTTGAATGTCAAATCAGTAGGCAATATGATATCCATCGTATTTTGTCTATACAAGTGTTTGTGTGTGTGTTGTTTTTTTGTTTTCCTTTGGTTAGTTCCTGATCTATATACAATCAAGGTTTTTCATTGGTTCGAAGTACCTTTGCTGGACTGATTGTCAGAGCGATGACATACCGTCGTTCTTCAATTTTCTTGAATTTTTGCGCAGAATTCATTTTTGCGCGCTTGTTGCTGATTGGAGCAACTACATTGCAAACGAGATGACGCAATGATGGATGACGCCGAATAGACCTGGCTACTAAGCCATGTTGATTGTTGAAATCTTCGCAATGCAGAGGAAGTGAGAGGAAGAACCAGAAGCAAAAGCAATCCGTACATTTTTCTTGCAATCCTTTAGCTTTTTTGTTCTTTATTCACAATGAGTGGTGGTACTCCATATATAGGAAGTACTATCAGTCTTGTTTCCAAAGCAGAGATAAGGTACGAAGGTATTTTGTGGTCTATCGACACGAAAGATTCTACTGTTACCTTGGCGAATGGTTGGTTTGTTGTCATTAGTTTGCTTGTTTTGACTTATAACCATGTCATTTATGTAGGCGAAATGTCATTTTGGTATGTTTTATACATTTTTCGTAGTACGCTCTTACGGTACTGAAGATAGAGCGGTTGAGAAACGAGTTGGTCCACGAAGTGAAGTCTATGAATACATTGTATTTCGTGGCAGTGATATTAAAGATTTGCATGTATCAAAAGCTCCAAAACCTATAAACACTGTCAATCAAGACCCATGTATCCTCCAGGTGACGTTGTATTTTCTTGAATTTAATATTCAATCTTGCTTTTTATGTTCATATTTTTTTCAAATGTTCAATTAAATGAAAATTGGTGAACATTTGTAGCAAGGTGCTGTTGGCTCTGGGCTTGCTCCTACTCATTATACCAATGCAACCCCTTATGTACCACCGGGGTATGGCAACTTTTCACATCCCTATGGGTACAGTAATCCTGCTGGTTATTCACCAGTGCCCCAACCAGGTATTAACCCTGGACGTACTGTCTCACCCATGACAGTGCCACTTGTACAAAGCCGTACCCCATCTCCACCTGTGAGTGTTGCACCAATTGGGTCAGTTATTCCTACAAAAACTCATGAGAGTGAAACACAGACACCTTTACCACCAAGTCAAAAGTCCACTCAAACTAACAAGCCTAGAAGAAGATCTGGTTCACGTAAAAACTCTTTGGAAAACAACCAAATTGCGCCCAGTAAAGAAACTGAAAAAAGGAATAGCCAAGAAATCTCAAAAAATCCAAACTCTAATGATGATCAAGCAAAACGTAATTTGTTGAGTTGATTCTATTTGATCAACAAAATGTGTTATGAAGATCAAGCTTGACTTTTACTTTTCTAGGTGCTTCTAACAACCAAAAAGTTGTCCCTCAACAAAAAACAGGCAATAACAAAAAGGGAAAACCAACTAAATTCACTGGCGAATTTGACTTTGAAAGCTCCAATGCCAGATTTGATAAGGAAAAGGTTGAATCTGAACTGAAATCAGAACTTGAAAAAATGAAAACTTCTTATCAAGACGAGGAGGTAGGACATCGACACAATTAAGATTTCTCTGAGCTTTTCCTGTGTATTTTAATATTTCATATATCATTTTAATGTCTTAGGTTATAATAGAGAATGAAGTTGAGGTTGAAAGTCCAGTCGGCGATGGTATCTATTATGACAAATCAAAGTCATTCTTTGATTTTATTTCAAGTGATCCTTTGCCAGCAGATTCAACCAGGAGGTACTTAATGTCATATTTTGAACATGATTTTTTCATTATTGACATTTTTTCGTATTGACCAGATCAAGTTCGTGGCAGCAAGAAAAAAAATTAAATGTGGAAACATTTGGTGTAAGTGGATCATATAGCCGTGGGAACAGACGTGGTCGTGGTTGGAGAGGGAGAGGTCGAGGTAGAGGCCGCGGCAGGGGTAGAGGTAGTTACCATGGAAATTACAATAGGGAAGGTGAAAATTGGGGAGAACAAAATAAAATGGGAAATCGAGGTACAAGAAGAGGTTTTTTCCGTGGAAATAGAGGATTTCGTGGAACTTGGAAGAACAATCAAACTACTAACATGATGGTGTGTTAACAATGCTAATTTTTGTTTAATACAACAGAAGATTTACTAATTCTATGATGTGAATTAATTCCTAGAATGGTGACAGAACTAAAGAAGTTGTAACATCAAGCTGATGATGAATAGTTAACCAAATTGCTTGTTGAATTTTTGTGTCTCTTGGTTTGCGTGCTGCAAGTTTGATGCGAATTATATTATCCTAAAGTGATTAGTTGATGTGAAGAAGACACGGAAGAAGTGTTGTGTGCAGGCCAAGTAACATAATTATAGTATATTTTAATTGTTGTTAAAAAGTTTAACATTTGTAAATAGTGTATGAAATGTGCATTTAATTATTGCTTACGGGATGGTTGTATAAATGTAATTGAAGTGTTATTGTATTGCACTTGTTAATTAAACTATATGTTTTTTCATCCTCGATGCAGTTTCAATGAAATTTTTTACACTTGTGTGTTAATGCAATTTGCAAATAAAATCGAATTCTACCATAGCTTTCTGTTTCAATGTTTTTCATTTTGTTTTTTTTCTATGAACTTCATGTAGGAATAAATTATTTCATAATCAAATATTCTCACTATTATTTACTTTAACAATATTGCTCTGTCATAATATACATATCTTTTATAAACCTCCAGATATGAAAATATTTCAAATTTTTCATTGAGTACCATATGGGTTATAAGCAGACGTCATGTGCTGTATTTGTTTATAAGGATCAAAGGCCTGGTTACTTTGTTGGTAAGAGATCATTCCTGATAAACCTGTTTGACCTGTTGTAGGTTGATTTCCAATGTACGCTTGGCTTATTTGGGTTTGTGATTGTGGCATTGGTACAGAAGGTCTGTTGTAACCTCTGATGGCACCTTGTTGCATTGGGTGAGTTACATGCATGTTAGACATGTAATTTTGTTGTTGTCCTTGTATCATTGTCGAGTTGGGAATAGCCATGTTGTGAGACATCATGTTCACATTTCCTGGGTAAGCTGTGGTTTGACTTTTGCCCATTGATGAAGTCATACTTGAGTTTATTCCTTTTAATAGAGCATTGCATTGAACTCTTTGAAAATACAAAATTATTAATTTATTAAACTTACCAAAAGCTATATCATCATTTGAAATTGGGGCTGCTACTTGTGAGTTGATTGTGATTGGCAATCCTGAATTACCCTGATCCATAGGTGAACCAATAGTTCCCTTTTTATCCATCAAATTGCCAGGCATGATCCCTGAAGGTCCTCCCATTGCAGTTGAAGATGTAGCTACCTGTTGGAATTCAATTGTTAAAAAGTCAGTTCTAGAAATGAATGTTGATCAATTCTTCCATTGCTAGGTTATATTAAAGACATACAGGAGGCAATATTCCTTGAATGCTTTGACCTAAGTCAACGAAGCTGGCCAGATGCATTAAGTTCTTGTGCAACAATTGTTGATACCTATAATGTACAAAACAATATTTTGTATTTGGTAAAATAAAAACTTGGCAAAAAAAAATTATTTTTATGTACTTACTGAACACACTCTGCTGCCTTTCCCTTGTTTTGGTAGTCGACAATTGCCTAAGAACAGTGGGCAAATTTTTTTAATGAGAAGCAAATTAGAACACCTAATTCATTAATTAGAATCATTGCATACCTGAATTAGCTGCGCATTTTCATCAAGAATCTGTGGAAGTATATAATCATAATTGAAATCTTCAACAAAATTACAACTTCATGGAGAAGAATCACACGCGGTGCAGGTTTGATTAATCGCATTGACTAATTACACACATTTGAACTTTTTACGTCATAAAAAATAACAGCATACTACAAACAAAGTTTAGACCTTTTGGACAATTTGTGGATTCACCGTAGCTTTATTGTTTGCCCAAGACATCACTGATTAAGTTCTGCATCGAAAGCTCGCTGAAAGTAGACGAAACAATTTGATGACATTTTTTATTTTAATCGGTTTCATCTTGTTCCATTGATCAATTTCCATTGTTCTTGTAAAAGTTGAGCCCACGGCCACCACGGCATTTTGTGATTACAGCTAAATGAGTTTACTTCATGTGTTCAGGTACCAGAAAAACATTCAGTGACGCTAAAATCTCCGTTGTTTTTCGTCCTCTTGCAATCAAACGAAATTTATTTTGTTTTCAACATGTCTCAGACCCATCGATATTCTGCAAACACTACACGATCTCCTGTTTCTCAAAGTAAAGTAAAAATTGGGCCTGGTTCTGTCGTATGTAAAGAGGCTGAAATACGTGGTGAAGTAATTATTGGGTCAAAAACAGTGATACATCCAAAGGCTCGTATTTTGGCTCTTTGCGGACCAATAAAAATAGGAGATGGAAATCTTATAGAAGAGCAATCTTGCATTATAAATCAAGACGAAAACGACGAAGGTGATCCAACAGTTATGGAGATAGGAAACAGTAATGTTTTCGAAGTTGGAAGTTATTGTGAGGCGGTTAAAGTTGGCAACAATAATATCCTTGAATGTAAATCAAAGGTTGGCAAACACGTTATATTGAGCGATGGATGTGTAATTGGTGCAAGCTGTCAACTAACTACAAATGAGACACTAGCCAGCAATACTGTCGTCTTTGGCAAGGATTGTGAACGACGCCTGCAGTCAGAGCGTCCACTTGCACAAACGTTGCAGTTGGATTTTCTTGCCAAAGTTCTTCCCAATTATCATCATCTTCAAAAAAGTTCTAGGAGTTAGATTTGAATAATTTATTGTAACTTTTAAAACTTATAGAATATTATCTAAAAATAAACACCACTCTCAAGGAATACTAGTTTCTCCATTAAATGTGGACCAAAACGTTCCAAACCAAAGCAACTTTTCTTTAATTTCTTCCACCCCTCCCCCACATCGTATATGGTTTCTATGCCAATTACGACGGTTTAGCGCTTAGCAACCATTGGTGACATACTCGAAGAACTTTTGGTTATATTCACTTTACGGGCGTTCAGCCAAAACTAAGTAAAAAATTATGTTAGAGACTTCGCTGCAAACAGCAAAAAAAGACTTGGTGACGTGGGAACACGAAGATCTTGCACAAGTAGGCTATATACGATGTCAAATTCGATGTTGAAAACAAAGTATGAAAACAAAACAGCAGATTCCACATTTGCTCATTTTCTAGGTTAAAATAAAGGTACTTCGTGGTCATCTTGACAGCGTAAACTCTTGTCAGTATTTTGAAAATGATACTCGTGTTTTGTCCTCGTCAAATGATCAAACAGTTCGTATCTGGGTAAGAAAGTATTGTAATAAGATCTCTAAACATCGGTGATAGTTTATTATCCACATTTTTTTACATCAAAGGATTCTGAATCAGGCAAACAACTGTGTGTATTTGATGGACATACATCATACGTCAGTAATTGTCATATAGACCACTGGAATAAAACGTAAAAAAAATTTGACTTTAATTTATTTATCTGAGATGGTATGTGAATATGTAAAATAAGGTTGATTTTTATAGTATTGTGTCAGGTGGATGGGACAAACGTATGCTTGTGCGTGATATTACCACTGGACAAATACTGGTGAGGGTTTATTTGTAAAAACTCAGTCTGCCTGTCAGTGATATATTTCTCTTCATCATTCTTAGTGGGAGACAAGCGGAGAAGGAGCGATTACTAGCTGTAGTTTCTCAAATGATGGAAAGTTTATAGTCAGTGGCGGAGATATGGATTTTTCTGTCTGCATTTGGAATGCAAAAGATGGGATACTGATTAAGAAATTGAAATGTTTGTAGTGAAATAACCGTTTATTATACTTTTGAAATGAAGCTAGGCTTTTGTATGTTTTGTTGTAGATAATACCAGCACAATAACAAGTTGTAAGTTTTCACCAAGACAGCATCGAATCACTGTTACATCTATGGATCAAACCACAAGAATAATAGATATGTCAATTTTTAAAGAATACACAGCTACACTGACATTAAGGTATTTTGTGTATGTTTTCATAGAAAAAATCATTATTTGTGAGCAAACATTCAACCTTATCATCCGTAGGGGTCACAGTAATGTAATATCAGATGCATCATTTTCTAATGATGAGCGAATACTGGCAACAGCTTCATGGGATAAAAATATTCAATTGTGGGATGTTTCATCTGGGAGCTACAGGTTTTCACAGCTATATTATGTAAAATATGTGAAATTATGTAAAATTATGTAAAATATGTGAAATAGGTTCATTATTGAATAGCTAGATGTAACATTGTATGAACATTTTCATTTAGAAAAACTGGACCTGTAGCATTAAAGAAAAGTCACGAGGGCTCTGTCAGCTCTTGCTGCTTTAGCTCTAATGGTAATTTTTTTCAAGGTACATTGAACATATTGAGTGTTTGATTTCAAGTTTATTTAATTGTTGTAGATCAAATGCTGGTGTCTTCGTCATTTGACCAAAAACTTGTTGTTTGGGATGTACCAAGTTCTGTTGAAAAATTCTCACTTAAGGCAAGTATTTAATGGTCATATTGTATTCCTACTTAACATAAAAAATACATGTTTGAAAATGATGATCATTCAGGTTAATAAAGTCCTGAGAAGGACTGTTTTTGTTGTTGTTGACTAACGTTTCGACAACCTTAGCAGTAGTCATCTTCAGAGTCAAAAACATGTAACGATACTCTCGGATTCAAACCATTTACTTTATTACGATCATAAACATACATTAATTACTTTATTAAAATGTAGGGTCATAATGGTTGGGTCAATGATGCATCATTCAGCAAAGATGAGAAATGGGTTTTATCGTGTTCACGGGTATGTGTTATTGAAATCAATGACATTCAATACAACAAAAATATACAGTGGTTTGATTGTCACATTATTCTATACAAGGATAAAACCATTCGACTTTGGAATATTGAAAATCTCAATCATCTACCAGTGATACTTGAACACAAGAAAAACATGGGACTTAGAATAATTGAGGTTTGCATCAGTATAAAATTTATTTACTCTTGCTTAATTCATTAAAACGTAAGCTGAGTCTTTTTTCAACTTCTTTAGTGTCACAGCTGTGAAAAACAATTCTCCATCACTCAAGTGGACAATGAAGAGAAGAGGAAGCTTTGTGTATTTTGCAGATTAGAAAGCAGAACTTTACCATAAGAATTTGGGTTTTGAGATCGAACTAGGAGCAGCAATTTCTGTCCACATTTGTGTCCCCCTTCGCCAGCAAAAATTAAATTTTCTATTTTGGTGGATGGCAGAAAAAATGTTGGATTTTTTGGGCACAGGATTCCCCAACAATCTTTGACACGTCCTGGTAAATGATTAAGAAAAGGGAAGATTGTAAGGTATCTCGACATTCATTTTCATCCACAACATTTTAACTCACACAATATGTGTTCACCTGTTTTGAAGCTTGACTTAAAACCTTTAAATCTAAAAAAAATATATGAAATATTTACTTTGATTCAAATAGAAAATCAGGCTAGCTTGATAATGATCTCATCACTAACTTGAATATTTTTGTAACAAAGCAATTGCTTTCTTCTCTCCAAGACCTGGGATTGTTTGAAGTGTTGCCAACAATGATTGATTCATTGGTTTTTGTGTTTTCTTGATCAAAAATGAATTACTCCGAGGATTCATGATTATGTTCACCTAAATATCACGATATATTGCACTTACAACTGCAAACTTGCCATATATTAATCATAATTATAAGATTTCACCAGTTGTATAAGCATTTTAGCAGCGCCTTCCTCACTGTGAACTGGATATAGATTTAGACCAATAGTTACTACTGTGAATTGTTGTAACTGTTCACAATATTGTGCTGTCATTGGCGTTTTCTCATACATTACAATTCCTCTGACAACTTGAATCCTTGCTAATTTTACAATTCTTTGCTTGTAGCCAGTCTCACAGATCAGCTCGCACTCACGCAAAATAGAACACCCAAGTCTGCGGAAAGACGGAAATCCAAATATCCCATTTTCTCAAAATCAACGTTGACACTGCCTATGTATGATATGAAAGAAGGAACAGATAACTCAGCATTCAAAAGGATGGCAAACTAAAAACCTGAAACTATACATATTTTATCGAATTTAGAATTTAATTTATGTAGTACCTCTTAAAGTTTTTGCCAGTAAGGAGCCTTGATATTTTTCGTTTACCAATACATGGCCAGGTAAAACTTGAGAAGACCTTGCATTAATTTGAGATGAAGTTAATTTCCCCGATTGTTTTTGTTTCTTTAAATCGCCCGCCATAGTACAACCACAACTGACAGTGACGGCTGTGACGAACTGTTGTCGGAATGTGTCGGAAAAATGGAAATTTGCGTTTAGTTTCACCAAAGTACACTAAAGTATTCAATTTTGAAGGGTTTGTGAACTTATTCAATTCTCTCAAAGATTCAAATTTAGCTCACAAAAATTTCAGCTTGTATTAATGGAGTTATTCATTTGTTCAATCTCTACATATAGGTTTGTCATTTTGGTGTATCCAATCATGAGCAATGCCAAAACAAGACAAATATGGATGTCTCTATATTATTGTGTAGTGTGTTGTCTTTTTTATTTTTATGTTACATTGACTTTGCCTTCTCGTCGTTTGAGGATGTTTCCAGTAGTGTAGGTTTGTGGAAAAGCAATGGAATATTAGCTGCATTTGGTGATTTCAATGCTGATAAAAATGCAGATTTATTTTTCATCTCTAATGGCCAAGGTGCGAAAATAACAAATGTAACTTGATTTTTTTACGTGAATATAAATGTTATAAAAATTGTAAATGTGAAACGTACAGAGTAAAGATAGGTTGGATTGCCCCAATCATCCCAGTCCCCAGGATATGAAGGTTCTAGGCCAAGAATAGTACCACTTCATTGGATGCATTTGTCTGTTTTTCAAACTGTTTATTACTTAAGGGCTTTCATGGTGATGCTGTAGTTTTGCAGATGGCAGTATAATACATGTCAATCAGTGAGCATTAGGAGTTAGGAACAAAAAGGACAATGAATATATTTGCATTTAGTTGAAAGTAAAGTGGTTGTATGCCTTTGGGATTCATCAAACGATCGTTTTGAACCAAACAGAGAAGCAACAATTATTCTTAGGTGACATTTACATTGCTTTATGACAGTTAGATCTTATGATCACTTCATGAAAATTTTGATTTTTTTGAACTAGTGGCGTCTCTATAACAAATGTTATTCCTGGAGATTTTAATGGTGACGGTCATTTGGATGCCTTAGTATCATACATCAACGAAAGTTCCACTTACGTTAAATTATACAAGGGAAAACAAATTGGATTTTGTAAGAAAATAGATGAAAATTGCATCATCATTGCTCCTGTAAATGTTTTTCTTACCATTTTTTAAATATCAGCTGACAAATAGTTTTCTACTGTTTTACAGATGATCCAGTTTATATTCCAGATGCTTTAAGAGATCAGCCAGCCATAGTGGAGTGAGTTTTTGGTCATATGCATGGCATTGTGTTGTGTTAATTACTAATATGCATCTTCATTGTTAAAAGTTTTGATGGTGATTTAAGACCTGACCTTTTGGCAAATAAAGTCATTGATGGAAAACGCTATTGGTGGCAATATAATGCAAAGAAAAAGTATATCCTTCAGTTTTTATCCATTGTAAACATATGTCGAGATGATATGATTGGAATTTTTCAAAGTCATTGCAATAACTACTTTAATATGATATTTTACAGCTCATTTATTAGTCGGCGGTTTCCATCAAAAGAAAATAAAACATTGCTGCAGTTAAGCATACCTCAGTCTAGTGCATTCTTGGATCTAAATGGAGACTACACGCCAGGCATGTTTCTCATATTTGTGTTATTTTTCTTTATAAAGTGAGCACTTCATGTTAAACATCTTACTAAAGCTTAGACAAGATTTTACCCTACGTACAACCTTGCTTGGATGCTGTAAGAACAAATAATTTTTAATCTGTTCTCTAATCGTAGATATGCTCATCACTACCAACAACTCAACAACAGGTCAAATACAATATGAAGTCTGGTTGAACAAGGTTATTTATGATCTGGGCAATATTTTTTGATTTCAACCTGAAGTTGATAAAAATTATGTGTGTATTGTATACTAGGAAGGTACAATGAAATTTGATGGTCAAAAAAGCTATTCACAGCCAGATGATGTGTCAGTTGTGGGCCAGTCAACATTTGCCGATATTGGTAAAATTTTTATGTGACCTGCTTCTATTAATATTAAGCTCTCAGAATCTGTGCTTTTTTTTTCTACTGTCTTTGTTCTTTATCCTTCAGATTCAGATGGACGTACTGAGCACATTTTACCAGTTTGTGTTAGTAATGATTGCAGCAAAGTGAAATCAAGGGTGTATTCAAGATTTACAAAGAAGGTTGATCTGCATCTTATTTGTGTGCTTATGAATATTATAAGATATAATGGAAAATCAACTTTTTCGTATTCCTTCTATTTTAGTGGATAACTATTTTACCTAGTGATGAAAATCAGAATTACAAGTGGAAGTTTTCAATAAAACGTACGATGGAACATGTCCCATTGATGACCCTTCGAATTGGTAGGATTTATTTTTAATTTCTTAGCAAGAGTTGAAACTTGTAGAAAAACAACGAGATACATGTGTATTTCAGAAGAGAAAAATTGCTTTAAACGTCAAGAAAGTGTTGGCATTTGTCAATTTTGTTTCACCCATTTAATTTTTTTGTTCATTAGGAGATTATAACATCGATGGCTATCCTGATGCAGCCATGGTTATGGAGATAAACGAAGATAATGACAAGTACAGTATACTGCCAAAACAAAAACTTCTAAAAAAATCACGTTGTTATACTTTCAATGGTGTTTAACAAAACTTGATTGCAGTGGTTACAAGAGGAAGGTTATTCTGTTGGATAACGTGAAGTGTAAAGGAAATGGCTGTTACAATGGTAGGTTCAACATGGTGATACGGCGAAGTGTGAGTAAAACTCTTTATTTTTTTTACAGCAACAATGTCTTATGATTGTAAAATCTCCTGCTTTGACCTTGACGAAAAACGTGCGTTATTATTATAATTTTTGTGTAATAATTTTGGAAGAAAATCGAAAGGACAGTGAAGCAACAATACTAAAACAGGTTTACAACTAGCAAAAACTGTTTTTTTCAGCTTCTTGTCTTCGACTTAATTTCTTTTTTTTAAGACATTATTTTTTTTCATTTTAATGAACCACCACATTGCTCGTATCATTGTATTTTTATTCCTACATTGATAATGACAATTTTTTACGATTTTTTACAGGCCTTATCGACTATCAAGAATCCCATTTTTGTCACATTTTTTGATCTTTATGATAACGTAAATATTTTATAATTGATTTCTTGAAAAGTTTACATTCGACCAATACTTTTTGCTTCATTGATGAGCGAAATTTTTCATCGCGAGAATTATTATTGGTGATAGAACTTTTCATTGATGATGGAATTAATTGTTAATAGATATTATTGGCGATAGATAGTATGATAGTTATTATTGATAGTATGATAGACCTTATTAATGAAGGATAGTACATGCAAAACATCTAAAGATAGTATTGATGACGGATAAAATTGATGATAGATATCATCGATGACGGATAAAATTGATGATAGATATCATCAATGACGGATAAAATTGATGATAGATATCATCGATGACGGATAAAATTGACGATAGATATCATTGATGACGGATAAAATTGATGATTGATATCATCGATGACGGATAAAATTGACGATAGATATCATTGATGACGGATGAAGTTATTTTTCCTGTGTTTAGGGAATGTTAGATGTTTTTGTCGTCAGCTCCAATGACACGGGAAGCTATCAAACCCACGGCATAAAAAATAGTGTATATTCAGACACTTGTTTCTTGAAAGTAATGGGTAAGTCTTGCTTATATTATCGGGATACAAAACTATTCAAGGCTAGCGTTCTGTTGCTCTGGTCTTAAATGTATAGTTTGAAAACAAAAGTTCACTAATCCAACCACAAAAAAAATTGTCAGATCATATTTTTGTCTTTTTTAAGCCCTGCGTAAAATAGTTTGTGTTTTGCTTTCGTTATAATGCATCATCGTTGTCATCCATATTTAATTTTTTAATGTATATTTTGCAATAGTTGTTGGGGGTTCTTGTTATTCAAATTGTCCTAGTGGTGTTAAGGTATAGTAAGATGTTTTGTTTTCTTATATTTTATGTTTGTACAATCCAGATTTGAGTGTACGCACATATGTCGAATTTGTAAATAATTATATATGCCCAAAAATAATAAGTTTTCTGTTCAGCCATACGGTGTGAATCAAGCTGGTCCCTTTGTGAAATATGTGACAACTGGCCTCCATGGCGACACAAAACAAGCAAGTGGTTAGTTCATAGATATAATATAGCATCATTTTAGACATCTTTTTTATTGAATGGACAAAATACGTATAACTATGCATTATCGTCTTTATTACAGCTACTCAGCTTTCTCAAGCTGCGTATTTTGCTCTTCAACTGCCTTACACAATCTTTGGTTTGGGAAGAACTCCTAATTTTGTCGAAGAACTAACTGTTGGGCTACCTCAAAGTTCCTCGAAGGTAGGTTATAACGTTTAGCGTAATGCCTGTTACTTTTTTGCTATCAAGAGTTAAAAAGTTATTCTTGATGTAAAATATAATCATTAAATGCTTTCTTCAATGAAATATTTTTCTTTACTCTATCAGCGTCGTGTACGTACATGGCCCTCGATTATCCCTAATTCACAGGTTATCATTATCCCTCATCCTCCTAACGATCCCAATGGGTACGTTACACTTTTCTTTTGTATTGAATAAACGTTGCCATGTATTTTTAAGATAATTTTTTTATTAAATAGCTCCGAATCAATATTTTTGTTTTATTGTTTCGTATGAACTCCTGTATCCTTCTCTGTTTCAGTTGGATCTCTTTGTTGCTTATTACACCAAGTAAACTGGTTCTCATGACTGGTGGAGCCTTATTGGCTACTTGTGTATTTATTGGAGCATTGATTGGTATTTTACACTGGCAGGAAAAGGTATGTAGGCATTTTATGTTGTTGATATTGCATTGCCTTTACAATCGTTAATGAATTATTATTGGTGTAGAATGGTCACGTGATATATGCTTTTCTTTGTTAATTGGTGTAGAATGGTCACGTGATATATGCTTTTCTTTGTTAATTGGTGTAGAATGGTCACGTGATATATGCTTTTCTTTGTAGAAAGAAGATCGTCGCGAGAAACAAGAAGCCGCTCATAAATTTCATTTCGATGCCATGTGAATATGCTCTGTTTTATTTTAACTCAGGTCCGATCTCGTTTGCAGTGAGGAAACTCTCAGGAAATGAACCAAACTGAGATTAAATCGTGCATTGCTTCAAATTGTAAATCCCAAATTATTTATCCCATAGTGTAGCTTAACTTCACTTTTCCAGAAGTGTGAGCTTGTATTATATTTATTTCTAATTTTCTTAACCATGTGGGTATTCTGTATAATCCACTCAAAACAAAATAAAACACAAAATAAAACGTACACTTACGTCACTAATGTTTCTCCTGAACCAAGATGTAAGATTTTGTATTACTTGAAGTATTTCCTAACCTACAGAAACAAAACAGACATTGACAATCAAATGTCGACATTGAATAAAGTTCGTCTTACTTTTACAAAATCTTTAAAATTAATGCGCTTCATCGTTACTGGTGAGTATTTATAAACGTAGCTTATTTTCTATCATTCAAGGCATGTGAAAGAAGGTATGAATGATGAACATTCCACCCAATTTGTCGTTTATCAATAGTTGCATCGTGGTTGCATAACTGAATTACATGGATTTACATCTAAACGTTATGTAGTCACAAGTTATTATGTCTACAGTATTGTGAGGATATTATTTTGGTAAAATTCAGGCATACAAAATGTTCGTGTTTGTCACAACGACAGTAAAGACAATGGAAGTAATATAGATAAAGATGGCCAGTACGTATTCATGTATAATTATATAAATATTAAATATATTGATGTCCCTGTAATTAGAGTTGCATGTATACATTAATTATCTAGTTCTTCTTGCTTTCTTTCAACAACCTAGTGGACAGTCTCAATCTGAAAATGATGAAAGTACATCAAACCAGAATTCATCAGAAACATATTCAGACGAAGGACTGGATGATTCCATGATTCATGATCGAATTTTGTCTGCTTCATTGCAATTTGTACCAAAGTATGGTTGGACTGAAGAAGCTATTGCCGAAGGAGCAAGGATAGAAGGACTATCTGCAATGGCTACAGGATTATTTCCTAGACAAGGAGGGGACCTTGTCTTACATTTTATCAATAAATGCAATATAGACCTTGGGCATTATTTAGCAGAGAATAGCCGGACTGAAGAGGAAAACAGAAAGATATTGTATGTGATTTATTTATGTTGATATTTGATTCACAAACATGTTTTCTAATTTATATTTTTACCATACATGTAGTGATCAGAGTGAGTTTATAAGAAAAGCAATTGAAGTAAGACTTAGAATGATGATTCCTTATGTTGACTCATGGCCACAGGTAAAGAAGTTACAAACTTACAAATTTATATTATGCTCATAATACTGAATGATCTTGAAATTTATATATTGTAGGCAATGGGTTTATTGGCTTATCCATCCAATGCTGTTGATGCCATTCAAAGTGTAGCAAACATGACAGATGATATATGGTACCATTCCAATGATACTTCTACTGACGTATGTAGAATATTACGAATGTTGGCATATTCATAGAAAATACAAGTGTTTTATGTTTGAAGTACTTTTCTTAGTTGAACTGGTATACAAAACGAGCATCCCTAGCCACCATTTATGGGGCAACAGGTATGTATACATAATATTTATGTGCTATTTAAGACACTGATTTAGCATTTATTTTGAATATTGCTCATTACATGTTTATGATTTTTGGAGTATATTAATTAATAATGGTGTTCATTATTATGAAATTATTATGGAAAATTTTAGAGTTGTACATGTTGCAAGATAAATCAGATGAATTTGAGAACACTTGGAGCTTTCTTGATCGCCGATTTGCAAATATACGAAACACTGGTAATTTTTTGCAAAGTGTAAGTGTGTTATATCTACATATTTGTTTTGTTTAAGTGAAGCAATGCAGGTTATATGTATTTTTGTATTTTAGTTGAGCCAAGCAAGAGAAGATACTTTTACCCTATCCTGTGCCGCCTTTAATCTGGTTAGGAAGGAATATAAAGCACCTTCAATTTTTTTTCATATTGTGAAAACATTTTCTCTTTCATTCAGGCAAGAAATATCTCTGGATTTAATCGGTGGAATAGATAAAATGGCTTTGTCTGCAATCGGATTCCTCAGTATTTTTTGGCAGAAATTGAAAAAGGAATCAATATTTGGATATATTTACATGTAATTTATGAATATGGAGATGGTTACAACTGATTTCCTTTAGTTGATCTTTCCAAACTAAAACCTTTCATACAGAGCTGAAGCAGTGTGCAAATTAACGGTGTGCAATGTGCAATTTGCACATCGTTTTAGCTAAAATGAAAACAATTGCACATCACTTTTTCAAACGATGTGCAAAAATCAGCAGGTTTAACGAAAAACACTGTCGTAAATCATATGAATTTGTTCAAGTTTAAAAATATTAATTTAGCAATTAATGCTATATAATAATTAACGTAATATCGATTTGATTATGCCTCTAAAGAAGCACTTTTGTCAAAAAAATTGCACATCGTTTGTTCTGAACTAATTCGCACACTGCCTGTAGGTGAAACTTTACTTGGAGGGGTGGGGTGGGGTATATGTTCATATATTCAGTTGTGCATGAGTGATTTCTTTTGGCAACCAAATCACTTTCGAAAGTTAGTCCGGCACAACTGAGTATATGAACAGACACCCTCCCAATTAACATTCTAGCTATGGCCCTGCTTTCCCATGTGGTTAAGTGTAAGTTACTTGGCATACCTTATAAAAAAATACATATCAAATACTTGAAATGTTATTGCATATTTTTTACGTCAAGAGAATTGTCATTTAGTTTAATTAAATACAACTAATCATGGTATATATATTGTTAACTAATGTAGTATTGCATTAATGTAGAAAATAATTCTTTAAGAATTTCAAATTCTATGATGAACATTTCTAGCCTGCCAGAACTTTCATCACCATGACATTGGATCTCTTACACAGGTTGTTTTGGGTCAAAATGGTTCTTTTCAAGGTACCTCTTCATCATACCTGGTAATGGAAGCTGACCAATGTTTTCCAAACTAAAATGTTGGCGTATCACAAACCGACAAAGATGTTGCAAGCTACACACATGCTCAAATCTAGAAACAGGTTTTGTCAGTCGAACTGGGAAAGCAGAACCATTCACAGAACGGCCTTTAGTGTAGCAAAAAACTCGATTTTTTGATGTTTCCACACAATGGTCAATCAGTTCCACAACGGATGCATAACTTCCTGTGCTGATAAATGGTGCAGCATAGAAGCTAAACATTCCTTTGCAGAATTCAATGCGAGTATGGAGTGTTTTCTGGGCTGACCTAAAACTAAGGCTTAAAAGATAGTGATTGTCATTACTGTCTCGAACAAGAAATGCACCATCTGGTTTTCCATGAAGCTTCACCTCGGCTTCTTTACTGCTCAAGGGGCCCCAATACCAACCACATTTACAAAGGTCATTTAGTCCCTTGAGAAATTGATAGTTAAGAGTGAACTTTGATGGAAGTGACCGAGCTCTATAATTTCTAGAATTCTTTGAGGTCTTCTTAAGATTATCAGTTGAGGGTAAAGGCTCTACTGAATCCTCTGAAGATGAATCTTCACTGGAGACATCAGCAGGAAAAGGTAGACTTCCTGTAGAATGAAGCGCTTGAGTACGAGATCTACTTGGAAGAGTCATCGCCTTTGATTGTTTCATACGGTTATGTTTTTCACTAGCCAAACCACCGTTAAAATGCATGGCATGATCATTACGAACGCCCTCGTTACTGGCAGAGTCATTACTCCAATAAGATTCCTCGTTATTCGTGATTCCTTGCGAATTTCTTTCAGAGTGCCCCTGTGTCAAATCGTTTCGTCTCTCATAATTAACAACATCATCAAATCGGCTGTTTGAATTCTGATTTGTGCCAGCACTTAAATTTAAAGGGACTTCATAAGTATGTTGATCACAAAAATCGTCTTCTTCGTCAACAGTTTCACGGCCATTGTTCTTTGTGGTACTTCGTGAGTACATGTTACCTTCGCCTTCACTTGTATGCCGAGTGCCTTTACGTGAAAACCTATTTTTAAATCGTTTCAACACCGTTTGTCGCTGATTTGCGTTCTTTTTACGGTTGAGATCATTGCTGAATTCGCCACTACTTGGTTCGATATCTTGGGAAGTTTCAACTCGTCTGATGCTCCTAATACCATTTCGTTTTCTTCCCGTGTTTTTGACTTATCATTGCTGTTGATATCGTCGTTATTTTGCATTTTACAGTCTTCGTCTAAAAAAGGAACTCGACAATTTTCGCTTTCATCATTCCTAGCTTTGTTTCTTATACGATATTCTACCTCGGAAGTATGACTCCTACCTCAGTAATGTTATGTAAATACAACGTAGAGAGATGTAAAAGCAAAAAGCAAGAATTTATTATGCAAAATGTGTATTTGATATATTTCTACTATTTACAACAATAAGCAAATACTTTTCTTAAATTTTCTTTTAAAGTAAAACAAGAGTGGAATGCATAGAAGCTTGGTATTTGGGAACCAAAAATTTCGAAAAATAGCAATATGTTCGTATGACGTGTTCGCTCGATTGTGGTGATTTATCTCAACTCCCAGATGGTGCGAAATTTGGACGAATTTGCAGAAAGGTATCTGTAAACAATGATATGACAGTTAGAAAAACCCCAACTAAATCCGAAATGAAATGAAGGCCAATCATAAAACCAAAATGCAAAACTTATATAAGTGATTTTCAAGCACTTGCCATCTTCGCCTTTATTTTCGGTGAGGCGTCCGTCACATTGAGATGAATCTCTAACGATGGACAACGATCCTAAGTGAAAAACAGAGAATATACCTTTCGTTGGAAATAATATGGTTTAAAGTGTTAAGATTTGGCGACATAAAAACTGAGGCAAATTCTATACATATGACACCTTATTTCTCCATAGTCAACACAACATCTTCGATTTGGGCAGGATATTTCACCCATACACTAACCTTCCAGTGGTAGAAAGCCGTTACTACTTTTTTTTCGAGATTTCTTTACTCCAGAAGTTTCAGCGTCACGCTCTTGAGTCTTTTCTTTATTGCCATTACGTTTGCGTTTCATAAATGTTTTCCTACGATGCAGAAGTGGACAATTTCTCCTGTTTTGACATTCTCCTGTAGCAGCAAACTCTTCACAATGTAGCACGTGTTTCTTTTTACACTTTAAACAAGAGATAAAAGTACTCACATTAAAATTTCTCAACAAATAAACAGCAGTCTATCGCATGAACACACCTTTAATCCCAAACGACAAAAACCTTTCAGAAAATCTTCACAAACAAGAGCTTGAGAACCAACGTTTACATGCAAATATGGACAGTCGTCTCTGTTGCATTTTCCTTTTATAAAATATTGACAAATAGGCATCTAAAAGACAGGTAAAAAAAAGCGATTGTCATGCTCAACAATATCATCCTTCGTAACTCGTAACTCACTAAATCCACTAACTTTATCCTTGTCAATTTTATGTGAAAACAGACAGCTTCCATCAGTTTTCTGACATTTCCCTTGAAGAAATCTTAAAAAAGAATTATAAATAAGTCATTTTATGTCAACATTTTGAAAGAACTCGTAAGTATACAACCTTGTGCAAACAGCAATTTTACTAGGATCGTGTATGTAAGGACAGATCCCTTGCGAGTGTTTTGTACATTTACCTGGTTGACATAAATAAAACATGGATTATTTTTACAAGATTCACTCGTTCTTAAATTTCTCAAAAAGTAGCATACCGTATTTGTTATAAAACATGCAATATTCCTTTCCTCTTTTAACCTTGCCCATTCCAGCTTGGATATTTTGCAGCGTTCTTCTCAAAATCTTACTGCAAGAGAAAAATGCAAAATATGCAAAAAAAAACAACACTTGTGAAACAGTAAATGTGTTCATGTTCAGTAAATACGTACTTGGCAGTTCGCGTTTTGTTTGAGTCTAAAGAACTTCGTCGTTTGAAAATGTTAGAGACTATCTTCTGGGACTTTATAGAAGCGTTACCAAAACTTGGACGACGATAAATATGTAGAGAGGATTTTTGTGGTCCATAAACCGTCTTTGGTTTTATAGACGAGTTAGACATTTTAAGGCTCTTCCCATGTGAGCTGATAAGATAAATGCTTTCACCAATTTTCACCTTTCTCGCGAGTTTTCCTCTCCCTTGGTAAATAATCAAGCATACATTTTTTATTTCAATATTTACCATTAGTTAGACAAAATTTGCTTACATACCACTCGTATTTAGCAAAGATTTTGATGACTTTCCTTCGTAAAGATTTTTCTTTTGACTAGCTGAGGCAATGTATCTCTTTCGCCTTACATAAACGGCATACATATTCTTGAACATAAATTATAAATTGACAGCATACTCATCTAACAAAAAGTAATCACCTTTCAATAAATCCATCATTTTTGGGTTTTTTCAAAACGCACGTTTTTGAATGGATTGCCGCATCATCGCCGCTTCGTCGTCTCTTTAAGGAAAATCTTGAACGATAAACGAACTTTGGTTTTGGTGCGATTAAATTGTCAGAACGTTTCACGATTTTACTCCATTGGAGACAGGAACGCTTAGGAAAATTATTTCTTGTATAAGTCGAACGACCAATCGCTTGCGTTGAGTTCTTCATGAGAAGCTTTCGCCTGTATCCTGGTTTGTTTATGGACCGATTGCTACGAGACAGTTTTGATTTAGAACCACCAACAAGCTTCAGTTGGTTCTTTCTCCAATTTAATTGTGTTGTATCACGAGTTTCGCTAGTTTTGACTGGCAAATTCTTTTTTTTAATTGTCGAATGTGAAACATTACTCTCACTGCGCGTTTTAGTTCTTCGACTCCATTTCAGTTTCGAACCTTTTTGAACAACAACTGGCTTGTTCAAAGTATCAATAGAGTTTGAAAAATTTAATCGTCTGGAGGAAGTTGTATCGTTGTTCTTCATGGAATGATTTGGCTCTGTGATAAATTTTGATTGTTTCTTGCGCTTGTTTTCACTCAATTCTTTCAACATCGAATTCTTGGTTTCAGATGTGGGAATAACTTCATTGGAATGAGTAGAAGAAATTGACTTATCACTGGTTTCTGCTTGACTTCGTGAATTTGACAACAATGGATAGTTTCGATTATCTAATTTTGTGTTTGGACTTACAGAAACACTTTGAATTTGGTTATTATTCAGTCCAGATCTACGCCATGAAACGCTGTGTTTAGGATTTGATTTTACCTTAGCAAAAAGTTCACTTTTACAAGGTGTTGGTTTTTTAAAAGTTAATGAGTTGATACTTGTGGTGCTAGATGATGGGCTCTCTTGTTTCGCCACTTTTCTATGGCTTGATAACAACATTTTGTCTGCCTCTTTTGACATTTTGTAATTTTTTATAGCATTTTGTGTCCAAGTAATACTGTTTTTTAGATTGCCAAACGTTTTTCTATGGCTATTATTCAGGCCCACAGCCTGTACAGGTGATGATAATGAAGTTGGTTGGAGTATTTTCATGTGTGCATTTCCTAGTGTGGATTTTCTTCTCACACAACTTTTTGGTGGGTCATTTGTACTGTTTAAAATGTTGGGCTTGTTTAAATCATATCTTACCATTGTTGTTCTGTTTGGGGGCAGTAAAGAAAGTGAAGCAGATTCTTTCAAAGTGGAATTTTTTTCAGTTGATGGAGTTGATAAATATTTTTTGGGATGAAAAGAGTTTCTCGATGATGCTTGTTTATCAAACTTTAAATCTGACCTGGTCAATGGGTATTTTGTGTTTTTGGAGAATACAGTTGAACAATTTCGATTGTGATTAAGTCCTTTCCTGCTAAAGTTCATTTGATCAAGAACATTGGCGCTTTTCCATTGAAAGAATCTTCTGTCTTTCTTGATATTTATAGGACCAGGAGCCTTAGAGAATTGCGATATTTTCTGCTTATTACTCTTGTGGGAATCAATCAAATCTAAATAATTTAAACGCAATGGATATGAAATGGCATCATCTACCTTTTTTTCACTTTGTAGGGTAGTAATTCGGGTTAGCAAAGCAGAAAATATTGTTTATTAAAGATATCATGCCAAAGATGCCTGCCAAAATATGTCGAAATTACATGCATTTTAAACGGAAAACTCTTAATGAAAAAACAAATTAAGAATATGTATACATCGTATAAATCATTTATATTCCAAGCAAGCAGTCAGAGAAAGCTCTTACTTGACAAAAATGTAATTTGTTTGCGAAGTTCATCCTCCTTATTATTGTCAGCCATTATTTTCGTTGTTCTATGACGTCACGCCAGTAAATAACATCCGCTGTGATGTGATCAGCTGTGATCAGCTGTTGACGGGTTGGTAGCAATGAACAAAGGATAGTAAAATATTCCTCCTGTTTTTCTCACAATGAACTTTCATGACGGAAAATAAAACTCCTTGGCTCGGTTAGTTATCTTAAGGCAAGGTGGAAAAAAATTTGATCATTTAATTTAAATTTATTTCGTCTACAAGCGACGTATATCCGTTTAATTTCCCAACTAACTACCTGACGGATTGAATTTCGGTGTACCACGGCATGCTTTTTGCAAAATGGCGAACGTTTGTGTGCCGTGATCGTCCAATAACAGCGAAAAAAACTCCATTGCACTGTGCTTGAAGCTATTGTTTTCAACCTTAAAAGTATTTCACATTTCAAGATAGAAGTTTTCTTGCGAAAATTTCATTCTGCAGGTATATGAAAATAGCTTTTTTGTTGTTTTGTTATCGTCATGATGCTGGGGGCAACACTGCAACAGTGAGAACTTGAGAAATTTGATTCCATTAAAGTAAATTAAAGCAAATTTCTTCGTTATGTAGCTTTATGAGATAAACAAGAACCTTTGTAAATCATATAATCAAAGTTATTTCCGTGAAAATGTCTTACAATGGTGGAAAAGAGAAAAACAGCATTAATGTGCAGGCCACTGCAGATGACATGTCAACCATTACCAAAAATGATGCGCTAAAAATGGATGGCCTCTCATTGAAAGATGTCGATTCATCAATTAAAGACACCGGTCTTGATTTGGATGAAGGAGAGTTAGGTAGGATTTTATCAATTAATTATCTTCTACTTCAAGAACAGTTGTCAACAATGTCAGCTGTTGTTGAATTTAATGAATCAACATCAAATTCCTGCTTTCTATTTAATTTCTATGTTATATTGTTTGGAACTTACCTCTTCCTCAGACTATGATGAAGAGGATGGTGAAATTCCCGAGGATAAACTAGCACCTGCCATTAAGGAATCTTCGTCTAATGTTGAGATGAATGCTCTTAGCGATAAGTTGGAGAAAGTCATGGAAGATGGTGAAATGGCAGATAGTGATGTTGAAGAAGGAGAAATCCAAGATGAAGGAGAAGAAGGAGAGATTTTATCTGATGACGAGGTGGCATGGATTCCAAACTTAAAATTAATATCATTTATTATAAAAAGCAGACAAAGTGTCTAATGCCATTTATCATTAATGAACTAATAAGTATTTTGTCTTTTTATATTAGGCACAAGGGAAAAAATATGGTAAAAGAGCAGAGGTATTGTTATTCATTTCATGAGTCACTTTCTGTTGTTTTTTTTATTAGAAGAAAAAACATTCATCTACTCCAGAAATATTGAATTCTCTCATTGCAGGTTGGAGAATTAGAGGAGGGCGAAGTGTATGAACCTGGACAGCAAGGTGTTATATTCCTTTCAATTTCATCTAATGTAAATGTTGTATTGCCTAAATGAACAGAATACCCTTCTCGATCTTTCATTATTTCCATTTATGTTGATTGAAACAAGGCCTAAAAATCTGTACAGAAAAGAGGATATTTTGTAAAAACATACATTTCATATGTTTAGATTTTACTCAGAGAAAGTTGTGTCGATACTACAGTTTTTCTGGTATTTTGATTATTGACATTTTATTGACATTGATGTTTATTAATGTACCATTCAGAGGCTTGTTTAATTTGTGGAAAACAATTGATTAGGATTGAATAAAATTTTTAGGTCATTGCTCTTGGGGTATGGGCTGTAAATTTCTCCATCCTGGTTTCAATGATAAAGGTTGCTAATGTTCCTCATTCCATTTATGAGATTTAAATAAATAGGGCATTGTATTTTCACTGTCTAGGCTCATATGTGATGTTACCTAATCCTGGATTGTATCCAACACCCGTTAAACCTCAGACAACATCAAGTGAGAAACAAACTGATAAAGCATTATCACCTACACAAGTTTACCCAGAAGAGCCTCTTGAAACAACCAAGGTACATGTAAATATTTGCTTCAGAACACTAAGTGCATTGACAGGCATAAGCATTCCATGAAAAGTTCTTTCTTAATATGTAGTATTTCACTCTAGAGATGTGGGGTTCCAGAAATTTTATTTCAATTTCAAAGAAATTTTGCTTATTGGGATGAGTTTCAAAAATTCATACACTCATGCATCAGATTTAATTGTTTATATATTCTGGAGGGTGCTCTATAATTATTTTGTTAGTTTTAAAGAATGATAATTGCATTTATATTGCTTCTTTGAAGACAACTGAATCCCAATTCACATTATAAAAGTCAACATTTTTTATTTTTACTCTTCAAAAGTTACATGAGATCACTAATGTTTAAGTTCATAGCAATTGTGAATGACTCTGTGTTAACTCTTCCTCTCTGTGGAATGCTCAAAATCATATAACACGTAAAATTTTATGGCAGAGTGCATATGTTCACGTCAGGTAATTTAAACATGGTGGCTAGCATAAATGTAATTTATGATGATTTTTTATTATTACACCAGCACCATCATTTTTATATCTTTGTAAAAACTTAAAAGTTTTTGAACAACTCAGTTATTTATTTCAGTATTAAATACGAGAAGGGAACTAGATAGTTCTTATTTGGCCTTATAGATCTTGAGTGGTTTGCTTAAGATTCATGCAACAGTTAATGGGAGTTAAATTGTGAAAGAAATTTAAAATGTATAAAACGTGATGTTTAAGGTTGTCTTAAATTATAAGTGTCAGAAAAAGGCACAGTGTCAGAAGAAGTTAATTGAAACATTGCTTGGTTTATTTTATGAGAAAACAAAAAGATAAAATTCGAAAGCAAAAAACCGCGTTTTCGGTACTGGTACATACAGTTGGTCTTTGGCATGACGATGAACTTGGAGAGTTGGTGAAGTTGACTGCGCATGCTCAGATGATTTCTTTGATAATTTGCGACTAAGTGAGCTAATTGCCACAACTGTAGTGCAAGTACATATAGTTAGCCGTTGCCATGACTATGGACAATTAATCAAGTGGACTGCGCATGCTCCAGCGCATGCGCAGATGATTTCTTTAATAATTTATATCAAAGTGAACTATTTACTCCAAAATTGGTGCAAATAGATCCTTACTCCAGTTGGTTGTTGCTATGATCATGAACATAATTGGCCAATCTGACTAGCTTGCTTGAGTGGTCTGCGCATGCTCAGATGATATCTTTAATAATTTGTCACTAAGTGAGCTATTTGTTGTGAAATTAGTACAAGCAGATTCAGATAGTTAATGCCATTGAATTTTGTTTTCCGACATTTCATTCTTTTTGAAATATTTACGCCTGCAATAATTTGGTCAGAAGTTTTGATAGATAAAACCAAAACAATCGGATTTTTGGCCTACACAACTCTAAGGACTGTGTAGCTTCATGTTTTTTTTTTCATTATTTCTTTTTCTTTCAGGCCAGTGCAAAAAGCGAACGTCTTGCAACGGAACGACTTCTTCGTACTACTAAAGAAACGCCATGGGAGAAGGGACTTCGTTTAGCCAAAGAGGTTGTACAATTAGAACAATTAGTACCTGTATTAGCAATACATTTAGAACAATTAGAACAATTAGTACCTGTATTAGCAATACATTTAGAACAATTTGAACAATTAGTACCTGTATTAGCAATACATTTAGAACAATTTGTACAATTAGTACCTGTATTAGCAATACATTTAGAACAATTAGAACAATTAGTCCTGTATTAGCAATACATTTAGAACAATTTGAACAATTAGTACTTGTACTAGCAGTACAAATAGAACCATTAGAACAATAGGTAATGTGCAAGTAGTACAATTTTAACTTAACAGAATTAAATTGTAACTCATATATTTTACTACGTCAAGTTATACTTATCAGAAGTGATCACATTTAACAAAAAAATCAATTTTATTCCAAAGCCATCATCAGAGTATATACATAATATATTAATCCTAAGGATTAATAAAAAAATCAATGTTCACAATATTTTATTGTCAGTCAACTGCAACAAGTCCCAGCAACGTTTTTCACGATTTTTGGGAGTGCAGCACAACCTTGCTTCATATTTATTAGTTTATTAAGGACAGTGTAGTGGATGTTGTATGTTGTTGTAAAAGTTGCCCGCTTGAATGTATTTTGTTGTTGCTTCCCACTTTCGATTTTTTCTTGTATTTCATGTTGTTCGTTGAATTGTTACAGCGCAAAAAGATGGCGCAAGAGAAGCGTGGATCGGATGCCGAATTTGAGCAAAAGAAAATGACGTTAGGTATAACTGTGGATATACGTGAACAAGATGGGAACAAAGAAAACATGCGCAGGGACGTACGGGATCTAAGAAATAAGTTAATAAGGAAGGAGAGAGGTTTGTCGCAAGATGATCAAATCAGACGTGGCAGAGAGGTTGACACGCGTTCAAGACCTTCAGATGAATACCGATCAACTAAGGTTGACGAGCTGTTTCAAACTATCATTGAGTCATTGATTTTATGATCATTCTCATTGAACTCGTGACTTATCATTGTTTGTTTATTTGATGATTTATAGGAGAAAGACAGAAGAAAGCGTCGTGATCAATCGACGTCACCTGATAGGTACAGAATATTGTAGTTAAATGAAGACTTGGTTATTGCGAAATTTTTTCATGCTTAACTCTTTTCTTGCTCAACTCTTGCAGGAAAGAGGAGGATAGACGGCGTCGCGAGGAGAAAGACTTGGAGAAGGAGAAACAACAACGTGATGTAGACAGAGAAAAAGAACGCGAAAGGGAACGAGAAAAGCTTCGCTTGAAAGAAAAAGAGGATGATGAAAGGAAGGAAAAAGAAAAGGAAAGTCAACGTGAGAAAGATCGTGAGAAAGATAGAGAGAGAGAAAGAACGACGACGGCAGTTGGCTGCTGCAGCTGCTGAGGTTTGTTGTGTAAGATGGTACAGCAATGGTTGTCTGTGTACATCAAGAGGATCTTAAGGAATGTTGAGGAGAAAGTTATTAGTGGTAATGAAGAGCAACATCTAGTTTACAAATAGCCTTACATGCATATCATCTTCTAGGTAACCAAGACAACGACGAAATTTGGACAATCAGGGGACACTTGGGTAGATCCATGGAGACGAGCGCCTTCGCCAAAGGCCCGTAAACGATCTTCGTCGAGCTCGTCTCAGTCCTCCTCGTCTTCATCGCAATCCAGTTCTCCATCTAGGTCACCTTCTCCTTCGAAGTCAAAGATTTCCGAACCATCAAAACATTCTAGAACTGCGTCCGAAGAATCAGAGAGTAGCTCGTCCGATGAAGATGAAGATGATAAGAAAGCTGTTTCTTCTAAAGAACCATCACAACTTTCTACCACAGATAAAGAAACTTTGCAACACGGAAAACGAGATGAGGAAAAGTCTTCAAATGATAAAACGACTGAGTAAGTTTTAAGTGTTGGGATTGGGGTATTGTACTTGTATTTCATATTTGCATGAAGCGTGATTTTTATTGATTCGCAGTTGTTTGAGAGGCGACTCTTAACTTCGTATATTTTTGTATAATTACACAGACGGGATCAGAAAGAAATTGACTCGAAGTCAAAGTCACTCATAGAAGCTGTAGATATATCACCACCTCGTGACACATCACGGGAGAAGTCACGTGACACGATACGTCACAAAACAAAAGGGGATGAATCGGTTGTGAGTAGAACCGATGGCAAGTCGAAGATATCTAGATTAAGTGAAGTAAGTGAGTTGTATACTCATTTGAAAACTTATGACTACTTTTATCAGTTAATGATGCTGCTAATTATCTTGATTATGTATTGCTTTGTAGGAAAAAGCTGAAAAACCATCGCAGCAGGAACCAGTGTAAGTAAAGTAACTCGCTACACTCTTCATATTTTGCTATCGTTTGTTATAAGATATTATAGTTACACCGGTCTTGCACGTAAGGATTCGTCGTCATTGCACACCCCGACTGCGTAACCTACCCGGTCCCCACCCAAAATAAGATATTATAGTTACAACGTACACACGTCTGTGTGGATTATAGTTACAACGTTCACACGTCTGTGTGGATTTCTGTTTTCCCTACAAAGATGCATCACAGTCTGAAATTAGAGTCACTTATTAATATAATCTTCTTTTATTGGCAGGCATAAAATATTTTATCCTTAACTGTTTTAACGATACACTAACAGATTGAAACCGAGCAACAGCGAATCAAAGATAATGTCGGTACGCGATGCCAGTCCTATCAGCTCAGCAAGTAGTGGAAGCAGCAGTGACGATGATGATGATGATGAAAGCGGAAGTGAAGAAAGCGGAAGCGATTCTGAAGGAGATGATAATGAGAAACAGGAGAAGAAGACGAAGAAAGTTGAGAAGATGGATGTGGATAAAAAAGTAGATGCTGTTAAGAAAGTAATAAACTGTGAAGTTTTTGATTTTTGTATTGTATGTATTTTTACATTGCTGTTTATTTAGGAGGAAAGTTTCAAGAAAACGGAAATGTCACGTAGAGAAAGCAAGATTGAGGATATTTCCGATGACGAAAATATGAAAATGAATGATGACGATGATGGTGAAGATGATGATGATGAAAGTGGAAGCTCTAGTGAAGAAAGTTCTAGTGCAGAATCCGATGAAAGCGACGAAGACGAGGAGAATAGTAGCGAGAGTGAATCAGAATCAGCAAGCGAAGAAGAGGAAGCTAAAGAGAACGTGAGGAAAGATTCACGAAAGAAAGAGGAGTCGTCACAACTGAAATCACGGCCTGTTGAAAAACATCGTGGCGAGAAACATGTCGGACAAACGTCACGACATAATAATCACCATGAAGAAAGTAGATCAAGTAAAGCAGCCTCGTCTCCAAAGTATGAGCATTTTTTAAGTTTATTTTTATTTGCCAATGTTATGTTAGTCGGCAACTTCACCTTGTTTTTGTGTTTTTAGTCTTCTGATCAAAGAAAATCGTCAGATCAAAGGCGTTCTTCATCTGATCAGAGGAAACAAAATGATGCCCACCAACAATCTGATACACGCAGGCTTGCTGATTCTCGAAAAGACCCGGATGCTCGGAAGCAGTCGGAGTCACGTAAAACCTCAGATTCTCGGAAGCCGACAACAGACCCTCGCAAAGAGTCGAGATACAGTCGTCAAACCTCGCCAGTGCATTCAAAAAGCAATAGTATATCATCATCGAAAGATCATCATAGCCACACAAACAGCTCCTTGCGCGGTAGTTCTCAATATTCTAGTTCTCGTAGTAACCATTCTAGTTCTAAGCACGATTTTAACAAAACACGTGATAAATCACGCGATCATACACGTGATAAATCTCACGACAAAGCACATGAACATTCACGTAAAGAGACTTCTGATCCGCGCAAGCGCTCGCGTGAAGATAGTGAGTCTGGCGGTAGAAATTCAAAAAATAACGCGCAACACGATGTTGCCAGTAAAACTGGTACCAAGTCCCCCACGACGTCTTCCAGCAGACGTGAGGAGCTACTGCGGGAACTACGGGCGGTAGAAAGTGCTATTGAACGCAAGCGAGCTAAAATTGAATAATCTTTTGTTCAACTGCACCTTGTCTAAAACATCTTGCTGTAGTTTAATGAAGGGCTAAGAAAGTCAGTGTTTTGTATAAGTCAGAATGTCTCTTTTATCAATAACAATTTAAGCATTAACCTAATTAATATTTCTGCTCATTAAACTCTAGCATTTAAGACATTTTGGTTGAAGAATTGCGGTTTGGAAAGGTCACTCAATAAATTATCGTCATTGTTGACTGGTTTAAGATTGTGATTTAAGATTGTGGTTTAAGATTGTGATTTAAGATTGTGGCTTAAGATTGTGATTTATGTAATGCATAATAGATTCCTTTCATCATCATTAGTTGATGATGAGTTCCGCGTTCGACAACTCTGCCTTTACGTAAAACCAATATAGCGTCAGCATTTTGAATTGTAGACAAACGATGAGCTATGATTATAGTTGTACGACCAATGCTTGCTTTTTCCAACGCTTCTTGAACAATCTGTTTGAAAATGAATGAACAGAATAGATGAAATCTCATAAAATGCCCTGAACACATGACAATATAGGCAATAAAACATTCAAAGCGTTGATACGAGAAGAATACTTTGGTATATGTGTTTATTTGCTTCGCACGTAACTAAAACCTTTTAACTGTGTATAGAAAGTTTCATTAAAACTTTTGCTTTTGGAATAAATCTCCATTAGAAGATTTTCCCTAATTTTTTTATTCACCTTTTCACTTTCGCTGTCCAATGCAGAAGTTGCTTCATCTAGTAAAAGTATTTTTGGATCGCGAATTAACGCTCTTGCGATAGCTATTCTCTGTTTTTGACCTCCAGAAAGCAAGGTGCCTTTGTCACCAACCATTGTCTCATAGCCCTATCATAGGTAAAGATACATCTAATAAAATCGCAAATTTCTGGCTAAACTCCGATTTTTGTATAGGTATGAGCTTACTTTAGGTAAGGATGAAATGAAATCGTGAATATTTGCAGATTTAGCGGCTATTTCAATATCTTTGTCAGCAAATATCTTTGTCGTATCACCATAAGCAATGTTATCTCGTATGGAAAGATCAAATAACACAGGTTCTTGAGATACAAGCCCAATCTGACTACGAAGCCATTTCAAGTTTAATTCTCTTACATCTTCGCCGTCGATCATCTGAAATATTAACACGAACAATTGAATGGTCTGTCTTTAAAGATCCACAGAAAAAGATGTGAAAAACCATACTATTACGTCATTTAGTCTCGTCTCGTGCTGTAAATTTAGAGCCTGGGGAAGAGGCGGGAAAATAGAAAATGTTTGACAACACGGACGAAGAAGATAAGAGTGAACAGCGCTGACAGCGCTATATTTTGATAGAAAATGCAAGAAAAAGAGTCAAAAAATTATGGTAAAGACGTTTAAGCATTGTAAAAATTTAGATCTGTTGAATCTTTTTGTAGGAATTTGTCACTGTTGAATCTTATGCATTTTAAAAGTACTTTATTCAAAAAACATTTTTCCGCCGAGCGCAGCAGTCGACAATTTCAGAAAATGTAGGATAAAGCATGCACCAACTTGGCACTGGCCTCGACAAACAAACAGATTTTAAAAACTCATAATAATCTGACTGTTTTTTTGGAATATTTTTCATCCTAGTTTCAAAAGTATTTAATATTTATATCAATGTTATGCCATTTTAAAAGCAATAATATCAAGATGGCAGCCATTCCACTCACCAGAAATCCTGAGTTAATATCATACATACGTTCAATCAAGGCAATAGTGGTACTCTTGCCACAACCACTTGTACCAACCACTGCTACAGTTTGACCAGGTTTGATAGTCATGGTTAGGCTTCTTAAAACCTTCATATTTCGTCTAGTTGGGTAACGAAACTGAACATCTTTAAATTCAATTTCACCATTACAGGAATTCTTGAGATAATTTTGAAAGAGTGGGTTATTTCGTTGACATTATAGACATTTTTAAAACGAGAAAAAACATAATCTTACTGGTATTTTGCCTGCATTTGAATAGCAGTCAATATGTGGTGTATTACCAATAAGGTAGAACACTTTGTCTGCTGCTACTTTTGCACTATAATAGTCTGGAGTAATCGAAGCAACTTGACCAATCATGATGGCCACCACTAGAATTGTTACAATTGACCTGGTTTTAAGAGAAAATATGTTTCATTAGGTTTAGTAAGTAGAGCAAATTTGTCCCATAAATATGATAGGAAAGATAGTTAAATCTCTAAAATTATAATTGTGCACGTGCAACTGATGAACTAGGGTCATCATTTGTACTTTGGAGACACCCATCATTTGAGAATAGATCACGCAAGTTAACCTTTCCAGATAGGATAAGACGAGACACAACAATTCCTAAGGAAAATCTGTTAGCAGCTATGAAAGATAGAGAATACTGGAAAGATGTGGTGAGTTCAATCTCGGCTGAGGCCGCAAGATGATGACAATAATACACTAGTTAGATTTAAAGCAAAATTTTATCATCAAGACTCTTACTTCATCATTTCTGCGACAGTTATATCACCTTTCACGATGAGATATCCACCATAACGAAAAACAACTGCCAGTGATAATGAAACTGTACCCATCATTGAGCCTGTTGCTAAACCTGAGAACTGACTTGTCCATTTCGCCTTCCTGTAAGTGTTTATCATAACTGTGGTATAAATGCTAGGAGAATATTTATTCTAATATTGCTGTGTTTTAATTCTTCAAACTTTGATAAGATATTTAAAGTTTTTTTACGACACGACTATCTTTCAACATTACCTTAGTGGTATAGAAAGTGTTGCTTTATATTTCTGAATAAATTTTCTTTCTTGTCCCAATGACACAACTGTCAGGATATTTGAGAATGTTTCCTCTGCCACCTTAATAATATGAAAAAAGAAACCCATCATTTAGTTGTTTTCAGTGTTCATTTATAACAGTCCCATTTTCTTACCTGACCAGAGGAAGCAATACTCTCGTCACTTTGTGCAGTATGTCTTAGGGCATTTGATAATTTGTGTGTCAGCAAGCCAGCAAAAAAAAGTAGTGGCATAAAGCCCAACATAATCAAAGTCAACTGCCAAGAGCCAGTGAAAGCAACGATAAGTCCACCAATCACTGATACCACCGCACCCAACAAGAGACCAAGTTGTGGACCAGTTGCCTGTTGAAATATATGTAGTAATATATATATATTTTCCACATCAAGTGTCAGTTGTGATGCTCAAGCCTTTCGTACCCCTTTGATAACGGAGACGTCAACTGCTAATGACGTGCAAATTGCTCCGGTACCATGTGATGTGACGTCAAAATATGATGTTTCCTTTAAAAATACGCGCTTTAGTATTTGTTGTTGTGAAATTGTTAAGAAATTTGGCACTTTCTTGCCTGCCTCATGTAGGCTGAGAACGAGAGCTCTCTTAGCCTTTGGGTTAAAGGTTCTCCAGCTTTGGACAAAAACCAATCCTAAGAAAATACAGTGGAAGACAATCAATCAATCAATGTTGCTTTGCTAAAAAACCTGTTGCCATAAACTTAATGATAACATCAAAATTGATATCGACGTACCCTTAGAAGACCACCTAAACCTGAACTAAAGGCAATGAACAAGTAGAAAAACAATAAATCTCGCGCCTCGTCGTCCATTGCATCTCTTTCCTTTGGCTTTCTTGTGTCGTGTCCAAATGCCTATATCAAAGAATCACAGATTTCCATAAGCTTCCTTTCATTGAATTCAGGCCAATGCCCTAAGCAATAATGTTTGTTCTACCTCGTATATTTTTCCAAATGCAATGCCATAAAAGACGGGATACGCTCCCCAAAGACCAGCACCAATGCAGCCAACAAATAAAGACTTCCACTCTGGAGCATTCATTTTCAAAATAGTCCAAAAGGACACTGCTGGAATATCGTCATGTTCAGTCTGTAGCTATAAGATCAAAGAAAACGTGACATCATGACGCAAAGTAAGAGTAAAGATTGATGCTTCTGGTTATGAAAATACTTAGCGCGGTTGTCGTAATATTGGAGAAAAGATGAATGTTCTTATGTGTTAAGTATACTACTCTCCACCCACTTACTTGAGAGTGTCTAGACTTGTCTTCACTTTGAGATACAGTGCTCAATGATTTCAATTGAAAAGCCTGCTCTAAAACATTTAGTTTTTTAACAGATGCCATTAGTTTTTTAACAGATGGTCTTGGTATTACTGATTAACATCAGCGAGACTTCATGATGAAAACACAAATTAAAAGCTATTCTGTTACTTAGCTAACTCCAAAGAAAATTTAGCCTTGAATACCTTCTTTAACGACAGCATCCATGTCGTCATCATCTTTGTTCTGAAAATTATCGTCTTCCTGATACTGATCCTGTTGTGTATTTTAAAAGTTAGCAGAAATTGATATTTCAATTTCGCTTATAAACCATTCCATTATGGAAGATGTTTAATGTTTAGTTTGAGAGAACAACTAACCTGTAGTTTTACTAATGAGCTGTACAGTCCATTAAACGACATTAATTCATCATGAGTACCCGTTTCAATAACTTTTCCTTCTCTTATTGCTACGATCATGTCTGCTTTCTTTATGGTGGACAACCGATGTGCTATCACGATTGTTGTTCTTCCTTTTCCTGCCTGTTAACAAAAATGAAGATGGTTCTACACATTCAAACCAAAGCGAAAAATATCCACTAGTACTCCGTATTTATCCTGTACACCCAACAACCAATATCCACTAGTATTCCATATTTTTCCATCTCCACCCAACAACCAATATCCACCAGTACTCGATATTTACCCTGTCTAGTGCTTCCTGTACGACAGCTTCACTCTCAGAGTCCAAGGCAGATGTGGCTTCATCTAACAATAATATTTTAGGATTTCTCACTAAGGCTCTTGCTATGGCTATACGTTGCTTTTGACCACCACTCATTTTTGCTCCACGTTCCCCACATTGTGTTTGATAACCCTTAGGAGAAATGACAATTGTAATGAATGACTCTTGTTGGGAATTTGACTGTATATATATATTGACAGTGTAAGTCTTTAAACTGGTTTTTTAAACGCCTTTATCAAAGAATCACAAGATGATAAAAAAAAGAAAGCTTCTAAGTATGTAAAGTTGATCAATTATAAAACAGTGACAAAAAACAGTGTTTTTGATTGGACAGCAGCAGATACCTGTGGAAATTTTTTAATGAAATCGTGAGCGTTGGCCAATTTTGCTGCTTCTTCTATTTCAAGTTGAGAAACGTTCTCAAAACCGTAGGCAATGTTCTCTGCAATTGTACCTGAGAAAAGCACTGGCTCCTGGTTCACAATTCCCACGAAACCTCGAAGATGGGATACATTTATATCTTTGATATTATAACCATCGATGAACACTGCTCCTTGCACTGGATCATAGAATCTTTCGATCAATTTCACTACAGTACTTTTGCCGCAACCACTTTCGCCAACTAGAGCGACCGTTTTTCCACTTGGAATTTTTAAACTGAAGTTCTGCAAAATCTAAATTGTATTTTGAAGTGTGGTGAACGTAGCTGTGAAGTTGAATAATTTAATGTGGCTTTGAACAGCTGAAAGTACGTCCTAAATTATAGCGTGTATCTATTTCATCGTATGAAGAGACAGTGATCATCGATCATGCACGAACAATAAAATGTATCATTACCCGTAAAGATTTTCTTGTGGGATAGACAAAATCTACATTAAGAAATTCTACAACTCCTTTATTGATGACTGGTGTCAAACCATTATTTGTAGATGCGTCGATGTTTGATTGCTGAAAGTGGAAAATATTGATTGATCATTCAATACAATAGGATGACGGGTTTTTCGTGCATGGACAAGCGTATGCTTACTCTGTCAATGATGTTTAGTATTGTGTACCCTGCAGCTTTGGCTGCAGCAATAGCTTTGCTGCTTGTTGCCGTTTGTCCAAGGACTGCAGCCGTAGTTGTAATGGCGAAGAATGCCTGTAATTTTAAAGTTTGAGTTCTTAAATGAAAACTGTTGCTACACTAAGAAAAAGATTAACAGAATGCTTCTCCGTGGACAAAATGTAAAGGAGAAGACGTAAAGAGTTATCTCACTGTTAGACCGTCTCCTGGTGAAGCGTCTCCGTTCTTTACAAGATGTATCAGATACCTTAACGAATACAATACAATCATACTTGAAATTAATATCTGTAGAGCAAGAACAAGTGCGATAATTGATTGAGCAACTGCCTTTAACCTTTAAAATGGAGGCTTAGTCATCCAAATGCAACATACAAACTTGAAAGGCGAAAAATGTACAGTGTGATTCTTACCAGATAGCTATACCGTAATTTGAATACAACGCAAGCATAAACGTGCCAATGAAAATTCCAGATGCACGTCCCTTTTTTATGGCTAATTTACACGCTTCTCCTAGATGCTCGTTGTATCTAAGAATAAAGATGGATGAAACCAGTTTCATATTATCGAATTATGTTTATATGGATTTGACTGACGCCTGTCATATATTCCTCATGTGTTATTAGAAAAGAAATATATCTTTGAAAACTGCCTTACAATTCTGACTGTTTGTGTTCACCACCGAATGCGGCTACAGTCCTGATGGAGGAGATACTTTGTTCTGCTACGTGCCCAGCTTTTCCGTATGATACAAGTTCTTCACGAGTATACTTTTCTGTGGCCTTCAACACAACAAAAATGAACGAAAGTACTTAATAAATAAATGGTTACATGTTTGTAAATGTAGATCGTCCAGGTTGGTATAGTCCTGAGAAGGACTGCTTTTGTTGTTGTTGTTGAGAGAGAGACTGGTTATAAAGAATATTTATATTTATATTTATGTTGTTGACTGGTTATAAAGAATATTTATATTTATGTTGTTGAATGGTTATAAAGAATATTTGTTAGTGAAAGGTATTTCAGAGATGGAACGTAGATAACATGCATGGTCCTAATGCCATGTTCAAACCTTTGCCATAAATGTGCCGAGTACGATCATTACAGGAAACAAAGACGCCAAGATCAAAGAGATTTGCCAACAGTATATGAATCCAATTACATGACCAGCAATCAGTGATACAAGACAGGACACCATGTTGCCCAGTTTATAACCAATGCCATCAGCAACTTTATCAATTTGGCTAGAAAAATGATAACACGATCACGCGCAAAATCAAAACTATGTCTTACGATGTATTCAACGAATGAGATTTATACGCATTCAACCACTATTGTCACTCATTTTCGGATCTACTAGCCTCATCTTGGAAATATTACGAAAAGCAAGCACTCACTCTGATAGAATAAAGTTGAGTTCACCACTGGAATTTTCATCAAACCAACCAACTTCTTGGTAAATAGCATTTCGAAAAAGAGCTGCACGCATTTTATATGCTTGTCGTTGAGCTGCCAGACCAAAAAGACCTAGACCCATCCAGGCAAAACTAAAGTTAGCGAAAGCTATAGCAATGTACCATAACGCGATAGTTGTTAATGATTCTTCAAGGTCTGGTTCAGTTGAGTTACTGATGTTCATTTTCCACAGAGTGTACTCGACAAAATCGTCCGTTGATTTGCCAAAAATAATGAATTGTGCAGGGGATACAAATCCATAGATGAAGCAACCAATCGTTGCAAGAATTAGTAACACTTTATCTGTTTTATCGATGAACCTAAACTGAAAGAGATAAAAAAGGCTATCGTCCAATTCTTAGGATAAATACACGAATTAAAGAGTAAGTGAAAAATAAGCCATCTATGATCGTTACGTACCAATGATTTAAAAGATACTTCATGTGGTGTTTCTCTATGATAAAAGAATACAAAGAATCTTTCAATTGGTGAATGTCTATCTCATCTTGATCTCATCTCTTTGGTCCTACTATTTCTTTGTATATAAGGGAGCCTGGAAACTAGGTTTTATGGAAACGAATGATATAGTAGCCTTATGACTATTTGTCACGCACGAGAATGAGATTAGTCTGGTGAAGTGCGGGGAGGGGGGGGGGGAGGAGGAGGTCAGATTTATAGGTGATATAGGTCAATGTCTCGCCATGTCACAATGTCCTTGCTATTGTCATATACAATCATATTGTCACAAAGTAATTTTTTCATGAAATGACTTGTGCTCTATTGTGTTTTGTAAATCAAATGCTTTCTTACAATTCAAACATGTCGGTTTCAAGTCCGACGCATTTCATTTTACGTAGTGTTCAATCATATTTGTTTTAATTGATTTTGTTCAGCTATTTGTACTTCGTGCACTTTACCGTATACTTCGTTCTTTTTTACCTGTTTTCACGATAAACTTTAAATTAATTACCTCGATTCAGTGGAGCTGGACGGCTGAAATCCAATCTTTATCGGTGAACTGTCACTATTTGACGACAGAAGGAGCGTGTTTTCGTCAGCCTTCATCATTGTTACAATTCCTACTACTCAAAATCATAAAATTGTAGCGCTGTAAATACCTAAAACAAGTCGGTTACCATTATTGTTCAATGACAAACCACAAAAAGTTTTAGTCCATCATACTTAGAGCGATCGTGTGTGAAAATTATGCTAATATTGTCCTATTCACAGGAAATGTATACGTGTGCAAAACATTTACTGGTTCTTCTTTAAGTGGACGGTTGAATGCTCTAATGTCTCACGGCTCAAGTTTCTATAAAAAAATTAATACAAGCAAGTGGGATATACATCTGTAAAATCTGACGATTTCATCTGCTTTTCTTGAACAACATATGGCATTTATGTGTGTATTATTCTCCATCATGATGATTATACAACTATTTTTAATTATCGGTATTAATCCATAGTTTACAATTGTATAAAGTTTAGGAAATTATATTGAGTTGCTCACAGCATAAACTAGAACAATATCACAGACAGTGTGAGATGAGAATACAAAGCTGTCTCTTTAAAAACCTAAAGCAACATCTATAGTATAAGAATTGGTTTGGTTTCTTAGAAAGAAAACATTTCTTTTCTCAATTTGGGAACATTTCTTGCAAAGCTTTTATGGCTTCTTTATGTCCACCGTCTGCAGCAACTTTCAACATATTCTTTATTTCACTAAAGATGTGTAGAAATTTTATCAAAACTGATACACTTATAGTTATATGAAAACCGACCTTTACCAAAATATACTTACTTCTCTTGAAGATCGGTCTTGTACCCTTGAAAATGTGCTGCTACCAAGTTATACGCACCTCCTGGATGACCGTTGTTTGCTGCTTGTCTAGAGAAGTTTAATCAACGATGCTTAAAAAGTCCTCTATTGTCGCACACTTTAATTTAAACTAGTTAGTGAGACACTCATTATAGTCACTTACTATTCTAAAACACTCCGTAGGAATAAAGCTGTTACCTGAACCAATACATTGCTTTTTCGTGGTCTTGCGTCGTTCCATCTCCTGTCGCATCGAGACCGTATATAAAAGTACACAAATATTCTCATTGGAGAGCTTGGTGTTTTAAAGAAAATTCTGCACTCCCTTATAATAATATACATTTGCTAATAGCAAGTCTTTGAATCTATCAATGTGGACTACTTTAAAAGAGTTGTAGGGTTGACTTCTTAATATCATTCAATGGTTTTTGGAATGTAAAATGGAAATAATGCATTTTCTTCAAATTCAATCATTGTAAAAATTAAATGAACTCTATGTTTTTCGTTTAGATGTAGAAGCGTTGGTCGATGTTTTGTTGTATTTTTTTTGGAAAACAAATGATGCATCATCAATAACGGTAAGAAATGTACATACTCTATCCTATGTTGTACCTAGTCATACCTCTGAGATATCTATGCGCTATATGATGTTGAGCAGTCCCACTACCAATTCTTGCGTACGCATGCGCAACGTGAAAGTGAAGATGATCAATATAGTAGTACATATACACGAAGAACAATATTACCGATAAGACAACGGTCACCTAAAGATATATGAAATGGAGGTTCTTATCAGATCCCAAAATCTTTCTTTGCAATTAAGATCCCTAGGAATTCATATTCGGCAAAGCTCCATGCAATGATTTCTATGTAGATAAATTGTTGTGCCTTCGTTTTATCGTATTCTGATTGTGTTTTGACACAAGAGGTTTTTAAGCGATGAGTAGATTTTCGCAGTAGACAGTTGAAGGTCATGATATCTTCATACAAGGAATTTCTATTGCTCTAAATGTTCCATAAATGTCAGTGCACCAAAAGCTCTTCGACAACTCACCTCTATTGCGATAACCCACCATGGATCAGGTTTTTTCTTTCTGGCCAGGTAGACTTTAGGTCCATATGGTAACGTAGGATCATATTCATGTCCACCTTTCGACCATGGTGCTTTGTAACGTCGTCTTGGTACTTCTTCTTTCTCGCTGTCCGACATGTTTTTTCCCTCGTAACATACGGAAAGCAGTCGTTTAAAATATTTGCAAGGACGTCAGAGTTTGTTTTGCAGCAGGTTGCTATGAAAGCTACCAATTGAACGTTCGCGTTAGTGGGGCAGGTGTCGTCAGTCAACGTTGCCATGGTAATTGGAACTGTTATCGTCTGAGTACCCGCTATCGTTAAAAATCGAGTAAATTATTAAAGTTTGTGATTGTAATCCAAAAAAGCCAGAAGTAGTTTATCAGAGAACTTTATCAAATGATAGTATGACTCGCAAGCGAGTATTCTGTCTACATCACGCAAGGACATTGCAGTTAGTTGCTATCCCACGTTGTACCTTAAAATCATCAAGTTTCACATCATACATTATTAGCAACAAAGAAATAAAGGTCAAATGCGTGTGTCAGATAAAAAATTACAACGCTGAAACGAAGAACGCTCAGAATGAATCAAATGTTGGATCAATGTGAAATTTACAGTTTGCATTATAATGCTGTTACAAAGAAATTATCTTTATTCAAGGCGTTACAAAGATTAAGGAAATTCAAGATGACATCTTCCACGTGTCATAAAGGTACTGTCAACGAGTCAAATCCTTCAATGCCACATTTCATTCCTGCCAGTTTACAACCAAACTCCAATGCATCTTTAAGACACATTCCTTGATTCATACAATATATAACTCCTGCTACAAATGTATCTCCAGCACCTAATGTATCAACAACTTTCACTGGAGGATATGCAGTTGATGAATACAGCTCTCCATCACAAATGTATCCCACAGCACCTTGTTCACCCCATGGACATATAAGTATTGTGCCAGACTTTACTTCCTTTGACAAATTGTTCACACATTCTTGTGGAGAGCTATAACCTAAAAATTGGGCATAATCTTTGCCAATGAAGACAACATTGGCTATAGTAAGAAGCATTTTCAATTCATCACGCTTCTTCTCCAGCTCAACAGAAATTTTGATTTCAATGTTGTGCGTTCTATTGAAGTCCCTGATTTTCTTAATCATTTTCTTGATTTCGAGTTCATTTCGCCTTCCTTCAAAGTGAATCCAGGTGTATAAAGTCAAATCAAGTTCATCAAAATGTGAAAATGATAATTCTGGTAAATTATTTCTGCTGTGAATGATGGTTCTTGATCCTGTCTCATGATTAACAACGACACATGAAGTGGGAAAACCACAGTTTTCATGCAAAGGACAGTTGTCAGTTGAAATTCCTCTCCTTTCCAGTTCCCCTCTCACAAATCTCCCTGCCATGTCTGTGTTAAAGGAGCATAATACGTCACAGTTGACCTTCAAAGTCTGTCGTAAAATCACAGCAGTATTCGCTGCGTTTCCTCCTTTCTGCCATTTCTGTGATAGTGCTCGCATGTCTTCATCTTCTTTAGGATAGCTATCGACTGTATTCACGATGTCTAAGCAAGCCAGACCCACTATTAATACTTTTCGTTTTTCCTCGCGTATAATATCTTCCATCTTCGACAAAGAAACTAATCTTTATATTTAATACTTTTCTATAAATCGATTTTACCAACGCTTACATTTCAAAAGTAAAGTTTTCATTTTTGAACTCGGTAATCGTCGGAAATAGCCGTACCTAGCCGTAAACTAATTATATTCTATGGTAATTATAAAACAAGCGAAAGCCAAGTACACTGTTTTTAAATCTTGTGAGATAAAATTTCTTTATGAACTGGAAATGTGCTCATACTGGATTGGTTTTATTGTTTTTTTTGTAAAAAAGTATGGTCTGAAATGTCATACCTAAAATGGCGAAGAAAAAATGTCCTAAATGTGAACAGACCGTGAGTATTTTGCTTTGTCGATAAATTCATTCAGAAATGGACAAGAACAAACAAAAATTAATTAAAATTTACAAAACATTTTACCACTCGATCATAAAACTGTTGATCAACGTAAAAGATGTGAAAGTTGTTCTAAACTTTCAATACAAAAGCACTGTTACGCTTGATATAATTGAAATATGGTTTAAAAGTTTCTAATCACCGTTTACTTTATTGGGGTATTTTTTTTTGATTGATTGTAAAATAATCAGCTTCCAGTAGCTTGCAAATCATGTCCGTGTGGTCATATTTTTATGGCAAAGAAAAACTCAACAGCCAAAGATTCAGAAGGTATGCACCTAACTATACACGAGTTTGATTTTTCTAATTCATTAAAATTCATCCCAATTTTATAATCTTCAACAATACTAGGCAAAAAAAGAAAAATACAATCAAATAGAGTAAGATTACGGCCAGAAAGAACAAAACGAGAAATACCTGACTATGAGTATGATGATGACATTGCTTGTGCTATGGATGTTAACTTATTCCCGAAGAAGATTAAAATGATAGATGAAAATGGTTATGGTGATTATAATGATGTTTTCATTCAAGAGAAAGCTGAAATGGAACAATTACATAACATGGATGTATGTCTTTAATAATGAACATTATAAATTGATTTTTTGTTGTGATGAAAATTACTTTTATTAGTTGCAAAGATCACAAGTCAAACGGAGGAGAGGTCGACCTAAAGGCTCAAAAAATAAGCCCAAAGATGACAATGCTGTTGAATTATGGGAAGAGAATGAAGATGTAAGTTGTGTCAGTTATTATATTTTGTAAGCAGTCATTTTTCTTTTCTTTTTCTTTCTAACAACTATCTTTGACAAGATAAATTATGACTATCACAGCAAGATTTGATAGGTTTCTTCTTTTATAAACTGAATTGGTCTTTAAATAGTGCAAGGAATTGAAATTAGAAAAAAGCAATTCAAGAAAGAAAGACTTGAATGAATTGCCACCAATACCTGAAGAGAAAATAATTGCTTTCAACCTTATCCTTGAAGACATAAATGAAAGGCTTATTTCACAGAATAAAATAAAGTGTGTGTCAGGGTTATGACAATGACAATGGTTTTCAAGACAATCTACAATTGTTGTATAGTTTGCTCAATTAATGAGCTGGTTTGGATATCAGCTGGTTAAATGAAGTGTGCTCATCTGCAGTCTTATGATTGTAAAAAGATAAACGCAAGACCTTCGGCTTTGATTAGTTAAATGTATTGGTCAGGCAAGTTGAAATTTTATTAGTTACCATTTGATGTGATAAACGTTTTGTCAAACAATATATACTAGTCTGGAGAGAGTTTACAATGAAATATTTATTTTCTTACCCAGATTTTTTTTTGTCAATTTATTACACATTTCTACATGCATACATGTATTGTGCATCATCACATTTAAGTGTGCCTAATTTATGTCAGGTTTAGTTTTGCTTTGTATTAATAAAGTTTTCTAAATACACCAATCCCACTTCCAACATGTAAAGATACTTTAAGCAATATTTGAAATCTTCGCTATGACCCATTTTAAGTTTGACATGAATAAAATATAAACTTTAACTACTAACAATACAAAATTTTTGTCATTTTTGATACTTTTTTTGAAATTTTTTGTTAAAAGTTATGAATTTATCCAGAAGAGTTTGTAGCTGATCCTTAGGAGGAAGGATAGTCATTCTAGAAAAAGAAATAATTAATTATTAAAGTCCTTAAACTTTTATGGTGTGAGTGATTTCAAAAATCCTTAGGTAATACCTAAAATGATAAGTTCCTTTCCTTTGACCAAAACCACTTCCTGGTACCACACATATACCTGTTTCATTTAACAGTTCCATGCAGTACATAAAATCAGGTTCTTGTTTAAGTGACTAGAAAAGCGTATGAAGTATTCTGAAATACATACGTATGTCCATAAAGAAATAGTTTCTCAGAAAAAGTACCTTTGCTTTCTCTATTGCTAGAGTTGGAATGGTAATTTGTGGAAATGCATACATGGCTCCCATGACTTCATTACATTTTATTCCATCAATTTTATCAAATGCCTCTGCCACCATTTTGGCACGTTCTTTCAATGAAGTTAAAACTGCATTTCTTTCCTAAAAATTTCAAAAATAAACTTCAAAATGAAGATTACATTCATCAAGGTTATTGTCGAGTGATTAATATACCTTATTAAATAAAGGATATGAATCTTCTCCTTCCTTTGGGGGATTCACAACAAAATCCATAACACTCTGCAATTAAAGTAAACAGTTTGAACCTGGGAGTATTGTTACATGTTTGTAAATGTAGATCGTCCAGGTTGGTATAGTCCTGAGAAGGATTGTTTTTGTTGTTGTTGACTGACTGTTCGACAACCTTTGTGGTAGTCATCTTCAGAGTCAAAACGACTCTGAAGACGACTTCTTTTGACTCTGAAGATGACTACCGCTAAGGTTGTCGAAATGTCAGTCAACAACAGCCAAAACAGTACTTCTCAGGACTATACCAACCTGGACAATCCACATTAACAAACATGTAACTCTGCAATTAATATAATTATGGAGTCTTACATAAACATAATTGCAAACATATATTGGTCTATGCCCTACACTAGTTGCGGCATATTGATCTCATTCAAAGCAATACATGTATATCTGCCATATAGCTGTAGAACAAAGCCTTGATCTCACTCAAAGTAAAAGAAGCATACCTGTCCTATTGTTGTAGAACACAGCTTTGCAGATAGCATCTTTCTTATTTGATATTTTACATCTGAGTCAAGACCTATAACTTCCATGTAACCGCCACGAATACCACACCTTCAAGTTCAAAATAAAGAATATCAAATTAGCTCACTCATCTCTTATTGCTCTTGCAGTTTAAAATACTTAAAAACTCACTCTCCAACATATCCCTTTGAACAGGAGTGAAAAGATGCCAACTGAAAGTCCTTATATTCTTCTCCTAAGTCACGCACCACTTTCTTAAATGAGTGAAATTTGGATCCCTTGGCATACACATTCTCTTGATACACTTCATCAGCAAATAGAAATAATCCTTCTTCCATGCAAAACTGGATGACTGCTTTGATATTGTCATAACTCAAAACTTGTCCTTGAACCAGAAAAGCAGTTCTATTTTAGTGAACAATAATGAAATTGCGATCTTTTCTTTACCATGTATTTTTGCAGGATATTCAAACCTGTTGGATTGCCCGGATTAATAACACAAAAAAGCCTTGGACTACAGTGATTTCTTGCTTCATTTAACGCACGTCTCAGCTCTTCAACATCCAATGCCCAATTATTTTTTTCATCCAAATAATAATTGATCTTATCATACAAAAGAAACTTTAATTGGTTTCATGTTGGATTGCATGAAAACAGGACTCCTTTCTTACTTGATAAGCTCCAACTTCCGAGATTGTGGCTGAATAAAGAGGATATTGTGGAATGGGAATCATGACACCAGTTTTTTCTTCTGCACCCACGCTTACAATGCATTTCATCATATTCTACCAGAAACATACATATATACACATCTACATCTCATTATTTTTGCTATTAGAGTATAATTTACTCTTTACACATCTTACCTTAATACCTTCACTTGCTCCACCTGACATAAAGATATCTGATGGATCACATGTATAGCCATCTCTTCTTTCAATAAAGTTGGCAACATCGTTTTTGATCAAATCTATTCCACTTGAATCAGTATACGCTCCTAAATATACATGATAATTACAAAATTGCTTCATCCAGCATATTTAAATGCTTAAACTACACATACCAACACTGCCACCACGACATGAACCAAGAATCTTTCTCACTCTTTCTTTAACATCCACTGGATATTCATTACAGTTTAATAAAGATGGATCCAAGCATAGCGATACTACCTATCAATGAATAAATTACCACAAGTTTATTTGTCCGCTCATTGATTCATTTTACTTTTACTTTACAGCTTTCACTTGCCTGTCTAATAAAAGTAATAGGTTTTTGACCCATTGCCTGACAATCTCCAATATTGGCAAAGATCACCTTTGTAAAATCCTTTTTTGCACCCTGTTTTTGAATCAAGTTGTGAATTCCATAATTAACAATTATTCACTTCAGTTTTTACATGATATGATAAATTATAATGCCAAAGTTTTGGTTCATCAGCCAAAACCGAAGGCTAATTACAGATATTAGCCAATCAGAAATCTTGAATTGTGTCAAAAAAATTAGATTGTCGAAATATATATCGTACATATATTTATGCGAGGTTAGGCTTTTAAAAAGCTCAAAAGTAAAAATTCTATTCAATAATTCAATATATGGTTTAAAAGATTTAGAGTGAATAGCTTTGTATAAACATGATATAAATGTAATGTATCCTGAGACTGATCAATGCTCATTTGACATGAGGGGTGCATATTTTTCAAGGTTGATGCAGCATTGTCCTAGGTAAAGTTGTAAGGGCCTTGGGCTGTTGTGGATTTTTAGGCTCAAAGATGAGTGAACATTGCATAATGCATGTTATTACACTTTTATAAACAGAATTTTATAGACACTATTGCTAATGCATTTAATATATACAACTAGTTTTTTTAGAATAGATATGTTTCGACATCTCATGATGCCATCTTCAGTATAAGTAAAATAATAAATAATACAAGGTTTATATAAAAGTAATATGATAGATAAATTACAACAATAATAAGGAGATAAGATAAATTAATGGAAGCATCCGAGCCTGTTATAAACTAAATATTGTGTTGAATTTAAAAACTTGAAAATTGAAATCAGGGTTAGTTTTGTTGAGGTGGAAAATTAACAAAACTTAAAATCAAAGAAGCACTCCACATTAACAAAACCAACCCTGACCTCAATGTTCAAGTTTTTAAATTCAACACAATATTTTTTTATAACAGGCTCGGATGCTTCCCATTAATTTATCTTATCTCATTATTGTTGCAATTTATCTATCATATTACTTTTATATAAACCTTGTATCATTTATTATTTCACTCATACTGAAGATGGCATCATGAGATGTCGAAACATGTCTATTTTAAAAACTCTGTATATATTAAATGCATGTTTAGTAATTTATTTCAATTGTAATTTTTTAATGAAAACATGGTAATACTCAATTGCAAGTGGTGTTGGTATAAAAATATGTCATTGCCTTTAAAATGAGAAATTATACCTTTACTTAGTCTTACTGTACAATTTATAGTCTATAATACTGTTACATTAATCATCCACAGTACATAATACCATTTAAGAATTTTACTTAGGGGTGCTAGAAAATTTTGGAGGGTGCACACCTCCCTACACCCAAGAACAAAATCTGTCCCTGCATGTATCTGTTCACAATTGACTTTTGCTCAATGAGCGGTATTTTTGGTGAATCAATTAAAATTTAATGTTTAATGTTCTTACTAACATGTAACTTGCTGACATGCGAGTGATAGTGGCATAGCCAGCCCACAATTTTGGTCGTGCTATGCTAATTTTTCTGTGTTAACTCACTGTAAAAACAACAGATTTCTAAAGAAATGAATAATGCGAATGATTTAAATTTACATAGCACCACCAAAACTTGCTGGATGGTTAAGCTACTGGCTAGTGATGCTACCTTAGCTAGTTCTTCTTCCAGTTTCTTTGCTTCCTGAAATATTGGCCCACGAACAGCGTATTCAATATTTTTAACATTTGCATTTAATGTTTCCAAAGATAGAGGCTTCCTGTGTCCACCATTGACATTATTGTGATTCATTTTGATTTTTCCTAAGGAAAATATTTGTAGTGTTTTCTGTGCTTGCGAGAAACAAAATTCGAGTAGTTTTTGTACATTTCTCAAAAAGGGTGTATACATATTGCATACACTCAAATAAACCGCCAAAACAGCACATCATAATGAAGACATTAGACTACTACGTTTTCCCTTCGCTGCGTCTTTTTCTTACCTACTGTTTTTCAATTGGAAAGCTGATCTAAATTTAAGAAACAAACTGAATAGATATGAATCGACAAAAAAATAGATACAATTAAATTTTGTTACTATTTCAAGTTTTCAAGGTAGGAACCTACTTATGCCTCTTTAACTTAACAAAAAAAATATAGGCATGAAACAGCAAATTCCACGGTAGTTTCGAAGTACAATTAAGAAATAATCATATAATAATGAATGTTCAATCGTAAAATATAGGTGAAGATCACCCAATTTCCATTTATACAACCAAGCAAAATCTCGCAAGACTTTGCCTTGCGGTTAATCACGCGCCTTTATCCTCGATTCTCTAAATCATTCATTCAAGGTTGCATATTTTGAAATTCATTAAGAAATACATTGCATCTGTCGAATTGTTACTCATTGAGTACAATAAATGTACAGTAAATGAATGAAACATAATATATTTCACCTTGTTTTGAATCTTCAAGCGATTTATCAATTTTATTCCACAAAGACTTCTCAGCGTGCTGCGGACGACAGTACAAAGATTTATATTTTTTACGCGTGACGAATTATTAAGTGTAGGACCTGCCAACACCTGCCAAATGAAAATGGATTTTCTAATATTATATATTATATATTTTAGGAAATGAAAATTGCAAAAATCTATAAATTTTCGTCGAAATTTATCAGTTTCAATCAAAGTTTCATCAATTGCCTAATCACTCTGATGCTGATTTTTTTACATATAATTTACAAATTACTCCTATAATCACGTTTCCGTCATTTTGTTCTCAGCCATTTCGTCCTGCTCTTATGATCCTATCTATTTAACGAGTATTAAGTTATTATCTTGAAAGTATTATCTGCATGTGAGATTTTTTCATTCTCAGAAGCACGCTTTCAACTCATTTCAAATCTTTTTTACCTGTTACGCAAACACTTATATGAGACGACAAAGTGCAAATCGTTGTATATTTTTCTTTCAAAACGCTAATCTTTACGTCGAAGTTGTGAGCATAGACTTGATGTATAGAGTGCTCTCTTATGCAAAACATTATTTTTGTGACGCCTTCAGTTTATGCATAGCCCTTTCAACATCGTGGCGACGGACAACCCTGTTGACTTGTTTTTCATTCATGAAATTTTTATTCCCATTGGTTTGTTTGGTGTAAATATCATAAGTATCTAAAATCATATTTTCACTTTGCCAACCTAATTTGCACATCAAATGATAATGTAGCCTCTTCAGAAGAGCACCTGGCTGCTCGCAGTATTCTCGACTCCCATAAATCTTTTCATCTTAAAAATAGGATAACTCTGCTTTTGTATTAGAGATCTAAATTTTGATAAGAGTACAGCACATTGTTATCAAACAACCCATCTTGCACGTTTATTACAAGTCAGACGCTATATTAATATAGCTTTACAGACTTTGAAAATTATTAATGATATCATTACGAGGGCGGAAGTTGGGGCTTCATAAATAGCTTTGATTGGAATAGATTTGTTTGTATATATAAATATAGATATTGTGTGCAATCAGTCTTATAATAGATAAACTCCGATGAACGTAAGGTGTTAGGCAAACTTTGCCTTTTTCATCAAAAACGAACGAGTATGTTCCACTGCTGTACCTCTCTTCTTATTTTTGCTTCGTTTCTCATCAAGCGAGCAGATGGCTATTCTAACGTTTCAGTTGCTGTCATCTTTAACGGAACTTGTTCACTTCATGTCGACTGCAAGACATATTTGTCTTTTTCTCACAAGATATCTCTTGAGCCACAAAAAACCTTAGAAACTGTCGAGAATGTGAAGTTTGTTTACAAAAACCTCAATAGCTCCTCTTGTGACTTGAGAAAAGTTTTGTCAATCGTAGAGAATGTATTTGGATTTGACGTTGTAATGTTGCAAGATTTGAATTGTCGTTGTCAACAGATGCTTTCATTTTATTTAAATAATATGAAAATAAAAACAGTAGCGAGCTCTGAATGTCCAACCACTGCTATACAATCGTTCCGTGTCCCTATAGTTGAGTACTTTCCATTCATTGTGAAACATTTCGTTCACAAATGCATGAAGTACTCACTACCTTGTTACGGTCAAAGTTTGAACGAAGACAATAAAATGGTGTGTATTCTTATGTATGGAAAGAATTTTGCAGCCCTTTTTTGAAGGAAACTTGTGCAGTAACGGTTATCGTACTGAGAAACATGGTGCTCTTGAAGTCAGCATAATTACAAAACATTTTTTGCAAATATGATTTCAATTGTAAAACTGTACTTCGTTTACTCTGCACATTTATGCCGTTTATACGTTTTACCTACGTGTCAATTCCTTTATTAACTTTGCTTTGTTCTAAAATAATTATTCAGGTGATAAACCACGCCGATAAATACTGCTGTTCTGGCTGGACCGTCGACATCCTTATTCGTCTCTCACTCCAATTATCATGTACCTTTATTCTGTATTTCCAAGCCGAAGGTATATATGGTGTGTATGATAATGTCACTGGATCGTGGAACGGTGTGGTCCAAGATCTTATTACTGGTAAAGGTGATATAGCAGTTGATTTAGCTTTGGTATCAAATCGTTGTATGGTAGTAGACTGTTCTTTGGGTTATCTTTTTGATGGTTTCAATGCGATTGTGAAGTTAGGAATGTCCGCACAAGAAATGGAAAACACCGAAAATGGTAAATAACTTTTGCTAAAGTTTAGTTAAAAGAATGAATCATGGAAGTTTATCTTTGATTATTTCGTTTTATTAAAGATCGCTTTCGTTCGCTGTTGAAGAATTTTCAGATATTTGTAAGTCCGTTGCACATCGATCTTCTCATCACTGTTGTCATTATTTTCAACGTTTTCCTCGTTTTCATATGGGCTGCGGACAAAATATGTTTGTCATTCAGAAACAGAAATGTTGGCAGAAAAAAGGAAACTTTTTCATTGCTCGGTAAGAAAAACTGGTGAATTTAATATATATATTTAAAAACAAAAACTTTTATCCCAACCGTTTCTTGTGCTTCTGAAGTAACCATTCATGTTTTCATTCATTTTCAGAGTCGTTCAGCTACGTTTGGGCAACAGCTTTTGGACGTGACGTTGGAGATAGCAAGAAACCAATAACATTAAGCGCTCGTTATTTAGCTAGTTGGCTTGCCTTTCTTTCACTGGTGTTTGTCAATGTTTATGTTGCACGATTAATGGCTGAGATTGTCAAACAAAAAGAAAGCAAGCCATTTACGAGTTTACAAGATCCACGGGTATGTGGTCCTATGGATGTAATAACTTGCATCAGCTTAGAAAGAATGCCACGAAAGCTTGAAACATCTATAATTATAATCATTAACAATGTAAACCTTTTCAGTTGCTCTAAAGTTGTTTTACCGTTGTTATCGTGCCTTATCCTTCTTGCCCTGTAGATTGTAAAACGCGGTTTGAAGTTAGGTGTGGTTAGAGGCTCTGCTATGGAAGCATATTTTCATAAGACCCATAATGTGGTGTTGAAAAAGATTTTTGAAGAGAATATGAAGAACAACGTTCTTCCATCGCTTAAAGAAGGCATTGAACAAGTTAAGAATGGGTATTGATGTATTATTTACAAAGCTTTGGATAGGATCTTCTATGTTCTTCAATTCTCACAACTACAAAAAATGGCAATCAAATAATTTTTTTTTTGACATAATTGATGCATTTTTTTTAGAACCATTCATGGCTTTATAGCGGATACGCTGTCCTTAGAGACAAACATAAACCGAGATCCAAATTGTTCTTTATCGTTGATGGGAAGAGATTTCTTCACCGTTCCCGTAGGATTCCTATTTCGAAAGAATTGGCCATGGGCGGAAAAATTCAAACTGATGCAACTCCGGATGAACGAAGACAAACGATTTGAAGATGAATGGAAAATGAAACGCCGTCAAAGTTCTTGTCAAACTCGACGCTCTGATATGCATACACGCTTGAGTGTTGCTGATATGAGCGGTGTATTTTTAATCTTGATTTTTACATTTGCCTATTGTTGCTTTTGTTTATTTTTCGAGAACACTTATCAATTGCTAAAACATTATTATGTCAATTTCAAGAAAAGTTGGAAAATACCACAACGGGCAAGACAAGTAAAACATAATGCTACCAATGTTGATTGAAAACTTAATTTGTCATTTGGAAATTCTTTATTTAAGCTACTAGTGCATATTTGCCTTGAATATTTTATTAAATACATGAAAACTTCATGCAGATCTTTTTGACAAAAAAATACTTTCAGTCATGACCTCTTTCTGAGAGATGATAAACATTGAAAAATGCAGCATGAAGGAGTGAAGGTTTTAAATCAAGAAAACTTCATTGAGGCAAAATTTATTAACTAGAATTCTTAATGTAGAATGTGTTGAAAAATTTCAACGATAATATTGTCAAATATTTCAAGAAAATGGGCAAAGTCAAGCAAAATAAAAAGAAAAACCGCCACAAGCCGACTGGCATGATGAGTGTTCAAGAAGCTGAGGCTAAAGAAGATGAACAAGTTAGAAGTATGGAAATGAAGACATTGCCTATATTGGAAAAGGTTTATAATTTTTATATAAATAACATGGTGAATTGCTAAAAATGTTACTTGTGCTAGTAAGCAGTGACACTGGTGAAGAAAAACAGAAATGTTATATTTATCGTCCGTTCCATTACTTCATATTGTATCGTTACTTCTTTTCAGTTAAATTCTCCCCAAGAACGCGCTCATGCTTGTGTTGGCTTAGCTAATCTTGTATTGGAGTCTAAATCTGTACAGCCATTGATGGAAAATGAAATTGTTCGAAGAGTAGCACCATTAATCCTTGATGGAGATACGGAAATTCAGGAATCAGCTGCAGGTGTTTTGAGGTACCATAATAAAGGGTTTTCAAAAAATTTTACCATTTTCATGACTAAAATGAACAAAATACAACAATAAATTGTAATACACTTATTTACAATCTTTGGTTTCTTATTTATGTATGGGACATCGAAATCAACAAAGATGAATTCAACAAGTTTTACCTATATCTCATTTTTTTACAGAAATCTTACTCTTTCCAATGTCCCAAATATTTGCAAACAAATGATTGAACAAGATGTTATGACACCTGTGTGCCATTATGTTAAACAGGTTGGTTTTATAGTGATTTTTATTTTGTAAAATGTAACTTAACTTGCTTGCATATATATAAGTAAATATTAGACCAAGATTTTTGTTTTTTATTGACGTATATTTTTAGTTGTCGGAACAAATTCAAGCATCAAGCAAGATAAGTAGGAAGATTGTGAAAAGACAGTCTTCAGTTCATGAACAAATTATGCATTTACTATTAAATTTAAGGTAATGCTCATACACTTCATTGAGTCAAAGTTGCTCATCTTAACTTCCACTTGTGTGTTTTTCTATTCAGTGAAAATTCAAGTGAGATTATAAAAAAGATCAATGATGAAAGTTTGATTCCTGTTCTTATCAACTTCTTAAATGCTGAACTTTTTGAATTTGAAAATGTCCTCATTACTGGTAAGATTATATCACAAAATATTGATGTTTTTGGAAAAAATGTTTATTTATTGGCAGCTGATCATGCACATCATATAATGACATTTCTAGGTCAATGCTTATACACACTCACTGAAAACAACCCTACCGCTGCTGCCATGATTGTTGAATCAAATTCATGTCTAAAGATAATAGAAAAGAATTTGCTATGTAGTGATGCGAAAGAAGAGTTATTGTTATTCAAAGTCAATATGGCTGGTCATTATATATTATTGAATCTATCTGACCTTTCAGGTCTATGCTGTTTAAGCTAACCAATTTTCTACTTTTTTTTTAAGGTATTCTTTTCAATATTGCATCAAGTATGCCAACACATACATTATTTGAGATGTTCCAGGCAATTGGAAGTATTTTTGCCAAAGTATTAAGTTATGATGTCACTCCATATACTCAACTTTTGCTGATGAAAAAAAATGACTCGCACAAATATGAAATGATGGACACCATCTCAAGTGACGAGAAGTTGGAAGTGACTGTTCAGACAGAGAATCCTTCATCAAATGATGATACAAAGGATGGTATAAAGGATGGTATAAAGGTTAATTATAAGACTTCAGTATTGTATAGAAAAGTCATAAAGGACCAAGTCATTTTATGTTGCACAATTTAATATCAACGATGGGCTATTGTGCTCATTTTTTCAGATTCAAGATCTTCACTATGTTTTGGAAGCTCAGCAAGTTGCTTTGGAAATTTTGACGAATATGTGCTGTTGTGGGGGTAATGAATTTCTCCGGATGGATTTAGTTATTTGTGTAGGGTGTAGAAAAATGAATGAAGTGTTTTGAATAAAGAACAAAAGTTCAACCTTGCTATCTATAAAATATAAATATTTGCTGACATAAGCAGATATTATAGACATAGGAAAATGGAAAAGATGAAGTTAAAGTGTGTTGAAATTTGATTGCCCTGTTAAGAGATTTGACAAATCTGTCAACTTTCACCTTGGTGTTTGCAACTGATAGAGGTTTAAGACCAAAGGTTTTGTTATTGCTTGATATGGGTTGAGTTCTGTCTAATTTTGTAGACGACCCTGACGAGGAAGAACAATGGGAAACCTTGGACAATGATGAACATGATTACAACGGCGAAGATGGTTATATTAATGGATCTTTTGACAATGAAATGAATCAAAACATTGTATGTATCTTCTGTTTTTGTTTAAATTTTGCTTTTAAGATTTGATGATTAATGTTTTCATTTGTTTCTATGTAGAGTCCATCATGTCTATCTGGAGAAATAGTCTCATCAATATTGTCCAATGAATTACCAAAGCTGGTACGTAAATATTAGCTTTATTATTGATAGTTCACCGCAATGTAAAAAATACTTATACACAAGTTACCTTCTTTCTTTATTCTACCATTATTTTTTAAGCTGAAACTCGTTGATCTCATAGTTCATCCGTTACGTGGATAATTTGTTCTCTGTTCTTTCCATCTATCTCTGTTAAACACAACGTACTGAAACTCTGTTTTGTCTATCTATCTCTGCTTAACACAAGGTACTGAAACTCTGTTTTGCATTTCGAAGGTTTTGGAGCGTTGCACCTTCGATCATCTCAATGAGGAAATTATTGCCAGTTCGAATATACCTGAGGCAGCTGCTTGCCGTAAGATGTAAGAAATGAAGATAATAATGGAACTGTGAGTTATGTTGAGTGAATCTCCTTACAGATTTGTGGTTACGTTTTTTGCTTTGTTTTCCTTTATAAAAGAATGAAGAGGATACAAACACGAGCATTGGTTTGTCTTAACAATTTATTATCGAATATTGACGTGAACCAACTTGGTGACAATGAAGCTATCGTTGTCCTTTGGAACAAAATAATCAAGATTACGGTCAAAAATGATGGTACGTACGTCTACATAAGCAATGATCGTGAAAATGATTCTTTAAGATGATTTCTATTCCTTGAATTCATCTAAAGATATTTTAAAAGACAATGAAGGTCTTTTCTCAATGCAGTGACTTTTAATTAACACGAAGCATTAAAGCATTTATCGTTCGACTCTCCTAGATTCTTCTCGTTTCACTCGAACAGATGATGAATTTGTTGAGGCTGCATCAGGCGCTCTTCGCTCAACGCTTGAAAAATTGGTTGAGGCTAATGCTCAGGAGGTAGTTAGCACAAGTTACATGAAACTTTATATTTTGTGGTCTAAAATACGTGTTGCCGTAACGAACGAGAAAACAGTGATACCGTAAATGATCTAATTCAAGAGAATAAGAGTGAAAGTCCTCATTAGATCAAGGATACATTTACGAAAGGGTTATGCACATCTCCTAGCCCTGCTAGATGGGGTCGGGAGAGGGTTGTACACATCTCCTAGCCCTGCTAGATGGGGTCAGGAGAGGGTTGTGCACATCTCCTAGCCCTGCTAGATGGGGTCAGGAGAGGGTTGTGCACATCTCCTAGCCCTGCTAGATGGGGTCAGGAGATGGTTGTGCACATCTCCTAGCCCTGCTAGATGGGGTCGGGAGAGGGTTGTGCACATCTCCTAGCCCTGCTAGATGGGGTCGGGAGAGGGTTGTACACATCTCCTAGCACTGCTAGATGGGGTCAGGAGAGGGTTGTGCACATCTCCTAGCCCTTCTAGATGGGGTCAGGAGAGGGTTGTGCACATCTCCTAGCCCTTCTAGATGGGGTCAGGAGAGGGTTGTGCACATCTCCTAGCCCTGCTAGTTGGGGTCAGAAGAGGGTTGTGCACATCTCCTAGCCCTGTTAGTTGGGGTCAGGAGAGGGTTGTGCACATCTCCTAGCCCTGCTAGTTGGGGTCAGGAGATGGTTGTGCACTGCAACATGTAGCCGCCGAAAGCTAGTCCTAACAAGAGCACCACGCAAATTCATCTCTTGTTCAGACAAGGGGCGTTTATTAGATCATTTACGGTAATGGAGAATATTTATCTCACAAGTTGTATTGTGATATGGTGAGCGTTTTACTTTCTGTATATTATAATTTTCTTTCCATGTATATTAGTGCGTAACGATAGAGCAAGTGGAACTAATATGTTCAATAAGTCTTGTGGTGTCCTTTGAAGCAGCCAAAGTTAATCTCATGAATGTTTTGGGAAATATGGGGAAAATATTAATTCAGATCGACACACCCGATGCTCATAAAACTCTTCAGGTAAAAATTGCACATAGTCTTCGATGAGTTTCTTTTGTCGTTACGTTATATATGATTAACCTTCTGTCTCCTAGAGTATTGGAATAGTTTTACGAGATGTCCTTACCAGTAATGAAAGCCTCTTGGTGATTGCCGAGGCACTTGACGCAATATTCGAAGTGTTTGCGGACAGCTCTCTCGCAGATGATATTGCCACAAACATTAAATTGCTATCGACATTGGAGAAAATTGTTCCAGCTCTTAAATCCAGGGTGTGATTCCATTCCATGTTTTGTTGATTTTGTTGTTCATTCTAGTTTCTACTTTTTCACCGTACCTCACCCTACTCCCATTGTCTTTGAGGTGGTAAAACATCTTCACAGTCGGTTTTTATTTGTTTCATTTTTAGGTGAAGAAAGAACGATCTCATCTTGGCGATCGCTTGTCCATTATTAACACGGCCAGAACTAATCTGGTTCGCTTCCTTCAGTATAAGAAACAGATAAGTTCAAAATAAATTGATTTTGATGAAACAAAATATATTTTATATTACATTTGCGATATGATGCGTGCGTGAGAATAATCTGTTAATCCAATTTTCTTTTATGCATATGCCTCTCATAAAAATCACAAAACGTAATTTTTTTATTCAAAGATTACATTTTGATTGATGATCTCACTCAACAATTTGCACAGGTCAAAGGATTCTCTGTCTTTCTTTATAATTGGTTACAATTCGTCTGACCTTTTGCGTTTTTTACACGATAATCTTGGTGTTGTATTACTAAGTTAAGGAAGTGAGATGTTTTCATGTTTTTTGTAGCCTGCTCACAGTGAGCAGGCCGGTTATTTGAATTCCTTTGCAGTCATGAAATATCTACGTAATATTTGCTTAATATCCTGTATATTCTTTCAAATTTTTTTGCTACATGTTTCTTTTGTGGTTGTCGTTTGTGCCAACGCAAAACATAACATGAATTTCGAACATTCGTATCCGAGGCTGTATTTCTCAATGCAAGATGTACCTAAACTACGAGCGCAAGCCACTTCAAGTCACTCGAAGATTTACAAAAACTTGGCACAGCATTTAAGCACATTATTTGTTGGGACGAGTCTATTACCACCAGTTGATGAAGGGGAATTTAACTCGAGGTGGAACGAATTTTATGGAAATATATTGGGAAAACTTGCATTATATTGCACTCTGACCCCGGATGATGACAATGCATTGAGGGTAGCGACGCTTTTTATGGATAGATTAACATCCTATAACTCGTGGCTGGTGACCAGTAAACCGCGTGACGAAGTACCATTGTCACACTCGTTGCTAGGATACGTTATCTCGTTTGATTTTCTTCACCATTCCTTCACGCAGAGGCAACGTGAACGCTATGCGGAAAAAATATTGAAAATTGGAACTCAACTTTACGAGGCTTCATTAAAAGCATGGTGGGGGAAAGCATTCATTCACAATCATGTTGCTACAAACTATTTGTCCCTTCTTGCCGCGGCCGTTGTCGTCAAGCCTTATCATCCATCTGCTTATTACTCGTGGCAGGAAAGATCCGTGAGAGCACTCAACTCGACAATGGAAATTTTAAAGCTTGTCGTCGACGGTTCTTTTCAAGAGGGCGTTTCTTACGGATCTTATACAATGAGATCACTCACTCAATTCGCTCTAATCTCTCAACGTCATTTTAATTTTAACTTGACCTCAAATTACTGGTTCAAAAGCACTTAGATTTTCTATTGTACACCATTATTCCGGGATTTGAGTTCACCGTTGGTTTCGCAGACTCGAATCTTAACTGGGCGTATGGTCCCGGAAGTCAACTATATTTTCTCGACAGTTATGTTCTTAAAGATGGACGAGCCATGTGGTTGGCAAATACGATCAAACATCACTCAAAAGATGATCTTTCCATAACAGGAAAATCTTTACTCACGACCGAATATCTTTTCTACAATGACACGCAGAGACCGAAACCCGTGAACAAAGTTCGTATGCACGTGTTCAGTGATTGGGGTGTGGTAACATTTGGTGGCGGACACACTTTACCTCGGTCATTTCTTGCGTTTAAATGTAGTCACGTGCATGGTCGTGCAGTCAATATGTTGAGACGTGCACTTAAAGAAAAAGTTGGCTTTACGCCTGGGCACGAACAACCTGATCAAGGCTCGTTTGTTTTCATCACCAAAGATCAAGCTGTTGTCACAGAAAGTCGTTACGCTCCCAAGTACACCTTCCTACAAAACACCTTGATGTTTGGCCCTTCAAAAGACGGTTGTACCCCGCCTTACGTCGGCCAACTTGGCGAATGTTTCTTATGGCTGAATCATAAAAGCGATCCTAGAACGTGGTTGGTGCGTGGAGAAATCGTGGGTTATTCACATAGTAATGATATTATATTTATGAATGGTGACATGACGTCAGCCTATGACAAAGACCTTGGATTGTCTGCTGTTTATCGTTCTTTGATATTATTAAGATCAAATGTTCTGCTGATTATTGATATTGTACATTTCCATTCCAATGCTAAAGTTTCCCACGTGAGTACATTTTTTCATAACTCGCATGAAATGTTCACGGTAGAGAAGGATAAAAGACCCTGTCGTGTGAAAATCGGTCAATACAACTTATGCTGGGAACATTTGAATGGGAAAACTGAAGATATCACGATTCGAAATAAATTCTCAGTTAAAAAAATGAGATACGAAACGAATTTTGTGAACATAACATGGAGACGTAGCGCTTCTTTCACCAGCACTGTCTATCTATTTCACGGTCCTGAATATAATCTTTATGATTTTAAAATGTCCAAAATCGCTCATGATGGACTGAGTGTAGGTCTGACATTGAATTCACATAAATATCATGTTGTTCTCCCCACTAAATTCAACGATCCACTTTTGCGCGTGAAACTCTTGAATTCATATGCTTTTGGAAAAGTCTATCACAAGCATAGAGATGATGTATCCGTTTCTCATTTGGGTTTGAACGGGAATGCATTGAATAATGACGATATTAAATCACTTGGCGATCCTGAATTAACGTCGTTACTATGCGCAAACCCTCTTCATGAATTTGGAGTTGAGAACATTGCAATAATCTGCGTTCTGTTATTGTTTCTATGTTTGAATTTTAAATTTCATTTTCAGTTTTTGAAAAGGCTCTTTGTGTTCAGCGTTTTCCTCTTCATCATGATCCTAACTCATTTGTTCTTCAGCAATTCACCAACAATACATGGTTTCAATCCTTTTCCATGCACTCAACAAGCTCACCATCGTAATTTTAAAGGAAATGTGCAAAAGAACGCTATATTGATAACTGGACTGCCATTGAGTGGTGTTGAACTAGCTCGTGAAATATTTACGACAAATGTTGATTTTATTACCATTGGAGTATCTTCGAAAGGTCAACAGGAGGACGGCGAAGTTGTTTTTGATCATCAAATGTACGAAAAACTTCGGCAAAATAATTTTGAGCTTCCGGAAGCTGCAAGGATTACAAAGGAGTATATTACTCTTGCGAATCCTTTGAAGGTTGATATGAAAAATGGTATATTTGTTCAAAAATCTCACAATGCCATCGTAGCTTTATGTCTGGAGGAAATAAGATTACTGCTGAGAACTTTACCTTTGCAGAAAGTTAAACCGTTAACTCCGTTGGTGTATGTTGTTAGAGACCCTAAAAGCTGGATAGTAAACATGCTCAGACGTCCAGTCGAGATGAATCTGTTTATGAAAGATTTTGAAATGTTAATGTCCAATAAAACATTCGCTCTTCCATATGAACTGCATCGTTTGGGTGGATTCTCAATTTCCTCTATGAAAAATTCAATTGTAATGGCTCATATATGGTCAGCAGTCACTGAGCTCATTTTAAAACTTGCTTCGAGCCTCCCTCGTGAAATATTCAAAATTGTGCGGTTTGATGACATCGTTTTGTTGCCCAAAGCAACCGCCGGTGACGTGTACAATTTCCTTGGTATGCCATTCCGACCAGCGGTGGAGCACAGAATAGTACAGGTGACAAAGAGCGGGTTATATCATTTTAAAAAATATGGCACTATTGAACCCACGCTTCTATCCTGGTCGTCAGTATTAAGCTCCGAAGAAGTGAAGGAAATTGAACGGATATGTGGAAAAACCACAAAAATTATTTATGATAGAAATTTTCCTGGTCGTTGACGCAGTTATACAATATAGAGAGAGATATTTAATTATTGAATGACTAATTGTTTTTGAAAGCAACAAAAACTGGTGGAGCTGCACGCACTTTTTTAATTTTTACATCTCGAATGATCTCGACTCATTGCCGACAGAGCGTTTTCCCAAGTTGAACATACTTTGTTGAAGTATCTCACTCGACTTAACTTGGTCGTTTTTATATTCATTGTAAGAGCACTATAGAATGTTATTGTTGTCCAGAACATACAAGAAGGTTAAAAGCAGGAAAATTTTTGTGAGGGACACACACAAAATATACGTTTTTAATTTACCTCCCTTGATGAACTCGAAACAATTAAACACACTTTTTTTAATAAACTAACAAGTATTTAATTTACTCTCTTTGTATTCTCACGAGTATTTCATAAACCTCCTTATTGGATTCGCAAGTAGATTTAATGTACTTTAATTTATAATATTTCATATATAGTATTTATTGCAGCTGGATTTTTATTAAATAATTGTTGCAGACGATTTTATTGATTATTCCACAAAATGTTGAAGCTTTTAAAGAGCGGTAGACTTTAGCTTGTTTTGTCATACGTTATCATATCTTTGGCTGTTTAAACATGACTTCTTTTTCACAGTTTAATGTTATAATTTGTCTTTTTGTGCTTTTCCCGTTCGTCTTTACTTATGGTTTCTCTCATTCAACTCTGAATGTGTAAGTAAACTTTTTACGTGACAACCTTTGAAAAAAAGTGGATTTCATCTTCAGTTTTTAAACTGTTTTTTTGCCTAAGGTTTTTTTGTTGTTTGAAGATCTCAAGTGTTTGTAAGAATTATCAATGCAAGCATATTCCAGTGTATATTGTTTAAGAATATCCATTTGTAACCTGTGTTTTAAAGTGGAGAGTTGTTTGTTTGTTTTTTTGTAGTAGCATAGATCCAATGTATTTTTCTATATGTTGATATGAAAACTACGTATTGAATGATTAAGAAATTAAAAAAGCTTCTTGCAGTTTTTATATTGTTATTTTTGTTAGTTCCAATGTTGAAGAATACATTTAAAATCAAGCGGAGATCTTGGACGAAATTTTAACTGGCTATGACAAGCGATTTATTCCGGCCATACCTGGTATAAAAGACCTGTTTCTGCAACGATGTTGAATCAATGAGTGATTTATATCGTGATTTATTTTACAGATCATCCATTAATAGTTGAACTGCAGATCGTAATATCCGATGTCTTCAATTTGGATGTCCTCATCATTGATCCGCCACCCTTACCCCTTCCACCCCCCCTTCCTCCCCTTCTTCCCTCCTCACCCCTTCCTTTTCCACCTCTTCCCTCACCTTCCTTTTTCACCCTCCACCTCTTTCTCGACCTCACCCCTTCTCACCATTCCTCCACCCCTTCCTTCCATTTTCCACCTTACCTTTCTCCATATCCCCCTCCACCCTCCACCACCCTCCATCCCTGTCCACCTTACTTTCGCTCTCACGTCCCTCCAGTTTTTAAATATTATAAGAACAGATTCAGGAGCTGATAGAGAACGAAAATGGATGTGTGCCCCTGGACATAATGTTTTGTTGTGGGAAAACCTGTGAATCATCTTTGCGGAAAATAAACAATTGCTTCTCCTCGTTAAATTGTTTCTCCTCGTTAAATTGTTTCTCCTTGTTAAATTGTTTCTCCTTGTTAAATTGTTTCTCCTTGTTAAATTGTTTCTCCTTGTTAAATTGTTTCTCCTTGTTAAATTGTTTCTCCTTGTTAAATTGTTTCTCCTTGTTAAATTGTTTCTCCTTGTTAAATTGTTTCTCCTTGTTAAATTGTTTCTCCTTGTTAAATTGTTTCTCCTTGTTAAATTGTTTCTCCTTGTAAATTGTTTCTCCTTGTTAAATTGTTTCTCCTTGTTTCTCCTTGTTAAATCTCCTTGTTAAATTCTCCTTGTTAAATTGTTTCTCCTTGTTAAATTGTTTCTCCTTGTTAAATTGTTTCTCCTTGTTAAATTGTTTCTCCTTGTAAAATTGTTTCTCCTTGTTAAATTGTTTCTCCTTGTTAAATTGTTTCTCCTTGTTAAATTGTTTCTCCTTGTAAAATTGTTTCTCCTTGTTAAATTGTTTCTCCTTGTTAAATTGTTTCTCCTTGTTAAATTGTTTCTCCTTGTTAAATTGTTTCTCCTTGTAAAATTGTTTCTCCTTGTAAATTGTTTCTCCTTGTTAAATTGTTTCTCCTTGTTAAATTGTTTCTCCTTGTTAAATTGTTTCTCCTTGTAAAATTGTTTCTCCTTGTTAAATTGTTTCTCCTTGTTAAATTGTTTCTCCTTGTAAAATTGTTTTATCCTTGTTAAATTGTTTCTCCTTGTTAAATTGTTTCTCCTTGTTAAATTGTTTCTCCTTGTTAAATTGTTTCTCCTTTAAATTGTTTCTCCTTGTTAAATTGTTTCTCCTTGTTAAATTGTTTCTCCTTGTTAAATTGTTTCTCCTTGTTAAATTGTTTCTCCTTGTAAATTGTTTCTCCTTGTTAAATTGTTTCTCCTTGTTAAATTGTTTCTCCTTGTTAAATTGTTTCTCCTTGTAAAATTGTTTCTCCTTGTTAAATTGTTTCTCCTTGTTAAATTGTTTCTCCTTGTTAAATTGTTTCTCCTTGTTAAATTGTTTCTCCTTGTAAATTGTTTCTCCTTGTTAAATTGTTTCTCCTTGTTAAATTGTTTCTCCTTGTTAAATTGTTTCTCCTTGTAAATTGTTTCTCCTTGTTAAATTGTTTCTCCTTGTTAAATTGTTTCTCCTTGTTAAATTGTTTCTCCTTGTTAAATTGTTTCTCCTTGTTAAATTGTTTCTCCTTGTAAAATTGTTTCTCCTTGTTAAATTGTTTCTCCTTGTTAAATTGTTTCTCCTTGTTAAATTGTTTCTCCTTGTTAAATTGTTTCTCCTTGTTAAATTGTTTCTCCTTGTTAAATTGTTTCTCCTTGTTAAATTGTTTCTCCTTGTTAAATTGTTTCTCCTTGTTAAATTGTTTCTCCTTGTAAAATTGTTTCTCCTTGTTAAATTGTTTCTCCTTGTTAAATTGTTTCTCCTTGTTAAATTGTTTCTCCTTGTTAAATTGTTTCTCCTTGTAAAATTGTTTCTCCTTGTTAAATTGTTTCTCCTTGTTAAATTGTTTCTCCTTGTTAAATTGTTTCTCCTTGTAAAATTGTTTCTCCTTGTTAAATTGTTTCTTCTTGTTAAATTGTTTCTCCTTGTTAAATTGTTTCTCCTTGTTAAATTGTTTCATACGTTTTCTAACGGTACACTGACTTTCAGCTTAGTCAGTTAATTTTAATGTCTATATTGTTGTATTTCAGGAATTGGAAATGATATTGTACATTAGACTGAAATGGCACGATTATCGCTTGCGTTGGAATTCAACCAAAATGCGACGAATCAAGACTCGTGAACATTTACTAGATAAGATATGGATTCCAGATATTCGAATGGGCCACGTAAAAGATATGAAATCATTTCATCGTTTTGGTGGAGTCAACATGAATCTCTATCGTGATGGAAAAGTGTACTATAGTCAACTGTGAGTCGTTCTGTTATGATGATTGTTTGTTCTAATTTTTTATATAATATTTGTATATTTCATTTAAGGGCCTTGGTGAAAGTACACTGCCCGATGGATTTTCGTAAATTCCCTATAGACACTCAAAGTTGTGATTTGAACTTTTTATCGTGTAAGTAAGATGAAATCATTCTCGGGCATGAAACTCAACGTAGCTTTTGATTTATGATGTACAAATCTTATGAGCTAACTATGATAGAAAACATTCTTTGTGTTTTTAATCACCATAACTTTCATTCTCAGCCTCAACATCATCTTATGGGCTAACTATGATATAGAACGCATTCTTTGTATTTTTCATTACCATAACTTTCATTCTCAGCTTCAACATCATCTTATGGGCTAACTATGATAGAGAACAGAACCTCAACACCTTATTGTCAACATTATCGTTGATTTGGATACATTTACGAAAGGGTTGTGCACATCTCCTAGCCCTGCTAGATGGGGTCAGGAGAGGGCTGTGCACATCTCCTAGCCCTTCTAGATGGGGTCAGGAGAGGGTTGTGCACATCTCCTAGCCCTGCTAGATGGGTTCGGGAGAGGGTTGTGCACATCTCCTAGCCCTTCTAGACGGGGTCAGGAGAGGGTTGTACACATCTCCTAGCCCTGCTAGTTGGGGTCAGGAGATGGTTGTGCACATCTCCTAGCCCTGCTAGATGGGGTCAGGAGAGGGTTGTGCACATCTCCTAGCCCTGTTAGATGGGGTCAGGAGAGAGTTGTGCACATCTCCTAGCCCTTCTAGATGGGGTCAGGAGAGGGTTGTACACATCTCCTAGCTCTGCTAGTTGGGGTCAGGAGATGGTTGTGCACATCTCCTAGCCCTTCTAGATGGGTTCAGGAGAGGGTTGTGCACATCTCCTAGCCCTGCTAGTTGGGGTCAGGAGATGGTTGTGCACTGCAACATGTAGCCGCCGAAAGCTAGTCCTAACAAGAGCACCACGCAAATTCATCTCTTGTTCAGACAAGGGGCGTTTATTAGATCATTTACGGTAATGGAGAATATTTATCTCACAAGTTGTATTGTGATATGGTGAGCGTTTTACTTTCTGTATATTATAATTTTCTTTCCATGTATATTAGTGCGTAACGATAGAGCAAGTGGAACTAATATGTTCAATAAGTCTTGTGGTGTCCTTTGAAGCAGCCAAAGTTAATCTCATGAATGTTTTGGGAAATATGGGGAAAATATTGATTCAGATCGACACACCCGATGCTCATAAAACTCTTCAGGTAAAAATTGCACATAGTCTTCGATGAGTTTCTTTTGTCGTTACGTTATATATGATTAACCTTCTGTCTCCTAGAGTATTGGAATAGTTTTACGAGATGTCCTTACCAGTAATGAAAGCCTCTTGGTGATTGCCGAGGCACTTGACGCAATATTCGAAGTGTTTGCGGACAGCTCTCTCGCAGATGATATTGCCACAAACATTAAATTGCTATCGACATTGGAGAAAATTGTTCCAGCTCTTAAATCCAGGGTGTGATTCCATTCCATGTTTTGTTGATTTTGTTGTTCATTCTAGTTTCTACTTTTTCACCGTACCTCACCCTACTCCCATTGTCTTTGAGGCGGTAAAACATCTTCACAGTCGGTTTTTTATTTGTTTCATTTTTAGGTGAAGAAAGAACGATCTCATCTTGGCGATCGCTTGTCCATTATTAACACGGCCAGAACTAATCTGGTTCGCTTCCTTCAGTATAAGAAACAGATAAGTTCAAAATAAATTGATTTTGATGAAACAAAATATATTTTATATTACATTTGCGAGAAGATGCGTGCATGAGAATAATCTGTTAATCCAATTTTCTTTTATGCATATGCCTCTCATAAAAATCACAAAACGTCATTTTTTTATTCAAAGATTACATTTTGATTGATGATCTCACTCAACAATTTGCACAGGTCAAAGGATTCTCTGTCTTTCTTTATAATTGGTTACAATTCGTCTGACCTTTTGCGTTTTTTACACGATAATCTTGGTGTTGTATTACTAAGTTAAGGAAGTGAGATGTTTTCATGTTTTTTGTAGCCTGCTCACAGTGAGCAGGCCGGTTATTTGAATTCCTTTGCAGTCATGAAATATCTACGTAATATTTGTTTAATATCCTGTATATTCTTTCAAATTTTTTTGCTACATGTTTCTTTTGTGGTTGTCGTTTGTTCCAACGGAAAACATAACATGAATTTCGAACATTCGTATCCGAGGCTGTATTTCTCAATGCAAGATGTACCTAAACTACGAGCGCAAGCCACTTCAAGTCACTCGAAGATTTACAAAAACTTGGCACAGCATTTAAGCACATTATTTGTTGGGACGAGTCTATTACCACCAGTTGATGAAAGGGAATTTAACTCGAGGTGGAACGAATTTTATGGAAATATATTGGGAAAACTTGCATTATATTGCACTCTGACCCCGGATGATGACAATGCATTAAGGGTAGCGACGCTTTTTATGGATAGATTAACATCCTATAACTCGTGGCTGGTGACCAGTAAACCGCGTGACGAAGTACCATTGTCACACTCGTTGCTAGGATACGTTATCTCGTTTGATTTTCTTCACCATTCCTTCACGCAGAGGCAACGTGAACGCTATGCGGAAAAAATATTGAAAATTGGAACTCAACTTTACGAGGCTTCATTAAAAGCATGGTGGGGGAAAGCATTCATTCACAATCATGTTGCTACAAACTATTTGTCCCTTCTTGCCGCGGCCGTTGTCGTCAAGCCTTATCATCCATCTGCTTATTACTCGTGGCAGGAAAGATCCGTGAGAGCACTCAACTCGACAATGGAAATTTTAAAGCTTGTCGTCGACGGTTCTTTTCAAGAGGGCGTTTCTTACGGATCTTATACAATGAGATCACTCACTCAATTCGCTCTAATCTCTCAACGTCATTTTAATTTTAACTTGACCTCAAATTACTGGTTCAAAAAGCACTTAGATTTTCTATTGTACACCATTATTCCGGGATTTGAGTTCACCGTTGGTTTCGCAGACTCGAATCTTAACTGGGCGTATGGTCCCGGAAGTCAACTATATTTTCTCGACAGTTATGTTCTTAAAGATGGACGAGCCATGTGGTTGGCAAATACGATCAAACATCACTCAAAAGATGATCTTTCCATAACAGGAAAATCTTTACTCACGACCGAATATCTTTTCTACAATGACACGCAGAGACCGAAACCCGTGAACAAAGTTCGTATGCACGTGTTCAGTGATTGGGGTGTGGTAACATTTGGTGGCGGACACACTTTACCTCGGTCATTTCTTGCGTTTAAATGTAGTCACGTGCACGGTCGTGCAGTCAATATGTTGAGACGTGCACTTAAAGAAAAAGTTGGCTTTACACCTGGGCACGAACAACCTGATCAAGGCTCGTTTGTTTTCATCACCAAAGATCAAGCTGTTGTCACAGAAAGTCGTTACGCTCCCAAGTACACCTTCCTACAAAACACCTTGATGTTTGGCCCTTCAAAAGACGGTTGTACCCCGCCTTACGTCGGCCAACTTGGCGAATGTTTCTTATGGCTGAATCATAAAAGCGATCCTAGAACGTGGTTGGTGCGTGGAGAAATCTTGGGCTATTCACATAGTAATGATATCATATTTATGAATGGTGACATGACGTCAGCCTATGACAAAGACCTTGGATTGTCTGCTGTTTATCGTTCTTTGATATTATTAAGATCAAATGTTCTGCTGATTATTGATATTGTACATTTCCATTCCAATGCTAAAGTTTCCCACGTGAGTACATTTTTTCATAACTCACATGAAATGTTCACGGTAGAGAAGGATAAAAGACCCTGTCGTGTGAAAATCGGTCAATACAACTTATGCTGGGAACATTTGAATGGGAAAACTGACGATATCACGATTCGAAATAAATTCTCAGTTAAAAAAATGAGATACGAAACGAATTTTGTGAACATAACATGGAGACGTAGCGCTTCTTTCACCAGCACTGTCTATCTATTTCACGGTCCTGAATATAATCTTTATGATTTTAAAATGTCCAAAATCGCTCATGATGGACTGAGTGTAGGTTTGACATTGAATTCACATAAATATCATGTTGTTCTCCCCACTAAATTCAACGATCCACTTTTGCGCGTGAAACTCTTGGATTCGTATAGTTTTGGAAAAGTCTATCACAGGCATAGAGATGATGTATCTATTTCTCATTTGGGTTTGAACGGGAATGCATTGAATAATGACGATATTAAATCACTTGAAGACCCTGAATTAACGTCGTTATTATGCGCAAACCCTCTTCATGAATTTGGAGTTGAGAACATTGCGATAATCTGCGTTCTGTTATTGTTTCTATGTTTGAATTTTAAATTTCATTTTCAGTTTTTGAAAAGGCTCTTTGTGTTCAGCGTTTTCCTCTTCATCATGATCCTAACTCATTTGTTCTTCAGCAATTCACCAACAATACATGGTTTCAATCCTTTTCCATGCACTCAACAAGCTCACCATCGTAATTTTAAAAGAAATGTGCAAAAGAACGCTATATTGATAACTGGACTGCCATTGAGTGGTGTTGAACTAGCTCGTGAAATATTTACGACAAATGTTGATTTTATTACCATTGGAGTATCTTCGAAAGGTCAACAGGAGGACGGCGAAGCTGTTATTGATCATCAAATGTACGAAAAACTTCGGCAAAATAATTTTGAGCTTCCGGAAGCTGCAAGGATTACAAAGGAGTATATTACTCTTGCGAATCCTTTGAAGGTTGATATGAAAAATGGTATATTTGTTCAAAAATCTCACAATGCCATCGTAGCTTTATGTCTGGAGGAAATAAGATTACTGCTGAGAACTTTACCTTTGCAGAAAGTTAAACCGTTAACTCCGTTGGTGTATGTTGTTAGAGACCCTAAAAGCTGGATAGTAAACATGCTCAGACGTCCAGTCGAGATGAATCTGTTTATGAAAGATTTTGAAATGTTAATGTCCAATAAAACATTCGCTCTTCCATATGAGCTGCATCGTTTGGGTGGATTCTCAATTTCCTCTATGAAAAATTCAATTGTAATGGCTCATATATGGTCAGCAGTCACTGAGCTCATTTTAAAACTTGCTTCGAGCCTCCCTCGTGAAATATTCAAAATTGTGCGGTTTGATGACATCGTTTTGTTGCCCAAAGCAACCGCCGGTGACGTGTACAATTTCCTTGGTATGCCATTCCGACCAGCGGTGGAGCACAGGATAGTACAGGTGACAAAGAGCGGGTTATATCATTTTAAAAAATATGGCACTATTGAACCCACGCTTCTATCCTGGTCGTCAGTATTAAGCTCCGAAGAAGTGAAGGAAATTGAACGGATATGTGGAAAAACCACAAAAATTATTTATGATAGAAATTTTCCTGGTCGTTGACGCAGTTATACAATATAGAGAGAGATATTTAATTATTGAATGACTAATTGTTTTTGAAAGCAACAAAAACTGGTGGAGCTGCACGCACTTTTTTAATTTTTACATCTCGAATGATCTCGACTCATTGCCGACAGAGCGTTTTCCCAACTTGAACATACTTTGTAGAAGTATCTCACTTGACTTAACTTGGTTGTTTTTACATTCATTGTAAGAGCACTATAGAATGTTATTGTTGTCCAGAACATACAAGAAGGTTAAAAGCAGGAAAATTTTTGTGAGGGACACACACAAAAATATACGTTTTTAATTTACCTCCCTTGATGAACTCGAAACAATTAAACACACTTTTTTTAATAAACTAACAAGTATTTAATTTACTCTCTTTGTATTCTCACGAGTATTTCATAAACCTCCTTATTGGATTCGCAAGTAGATTTAATGTACTTTAATTTATAATATTTCATATATAGTATTTATTGCAGCTGGATTTTTATTAAATAATTGTTGCAGACGATTTTATTCATTATTCCACAAAATGTTGAAGCTTTTAAAGAGCGGTAGACTGTAGCTTGTTTTGTCATACGTTATCATATCTTTGGCTGTTTAAACATGACTTCTTTTTCACAGTTTAATGTTATAATTTGTCTTTTTGTGCTTTTCCCGTTCGTTTTACATATGGTTTCTCTCATTCAACTCTGAATGTGTAAGTAAACATTTTACGTGACAACCTTTGAAAAAATGTTGATTTCATCTTCAGTTTTTAAAGTGTTTTTTGCCTAAGGTTTTTTTGTTGGTTGAAGATCTCAAGTGTTTGTAAGAATTATCAATGCAAGCATATTCCAGTGTATATTGTTTAAGAATATCCATTTGTAACCTGTGTTTTAAAGTGGAGAGTTGTTTGTTTGTTTTTTTGTAGTAGCATAGATCCAATGTATTTTTCTATATGTTGAGATGAAAACTACATATTGAATGATTAAGAAATTAAAAAAGCTTCTTGCAGTTTTTATATTGTTATTTTTGTTAGTTCCAATGTTGAAGAATACATTCAAAATCAAGCGGAGATCTTGGACGAAATTTTAACTGGCTATGACAAGCGATTTATTCCGGCCATACCTGGTATAAAAGACCTGTTTCTGCAACGATGTTGAATCAATGAGTGATTTATATCGTGATTATATTTTACAGATCATCCATTAATTGAACTGCAGATTTAATCCGATCTGTTATCATTTTATCATTCCATTCTACCCCTCTCCACTCCACCCCTCTCCACTTTCCCTCACCTCCACTTTCCTTCCCCCTCACCTCATTTCCACTTCAACTCCACTCTGATCTCCTCCTCCACCTCACTTATTTTCATTTGATGATTATTTTGATTTGATGATTCCGATTGATTGCATGCGATTGATTTTCGATGACCTTTCATATGATTTTTGATTTTGATCGATTGATTTTTTCGATCTGATTTTTATCGATCTCGATTGATCGATTTATTTTCGATTCGATTTATCTGATTTTCCCCTCTCCACCCCACATCCCCTCCCCACTTACTTCCCCCCATTCCTCTTATCTTTACCCCTATCCACCATCTTTCTCCATATCACCCCTCCCACTATACACCCTCTCTAACTCACCCTCCATCCCCTGTCCACCTTACTCGCTCTCTACCTCGCCATCCTCTCCAGTTTTTTAAATATACGTATAAGAACGAGATTCAGGAACTGATAGAGAACGAAAATGGATGTGTGCCCCTGGACATAATGTTTTGTTGTGGGAAAACCTGTGAATCATCTTTGCGGAAAATAAACAATTGCTTCTCCTCGTTAAATTGTTTCTCCTTGTAAAATTGTTTCTCCTTGTAAAATTGTTTCTCCTTGTAAAATTGTTTCTCCTTGTTAAATTGCTTCTCCTTGTTAAATTGTTTCATACGTTTTCAAACGGTACACTGACTTTCAGCTTAGTCAGTTAATTTCAATGTCTATATTGTTGTATTTCAGGAATTGGAAATGATATTGTACATCAGACTGAAATGGCACGATTATCGCTTGCGTTGGAATTCAACCAAAATGCGACGAATCAAGACTCGTGAACATTTACTAGATAAGATATGGATTCCAGATATTCGAATGGGCCACATAAAAGATATGAAATCATTTCATCGTTTTGGTGGAGTCAACATGAATCTCTATCGTGATGGAAAAGTGTACTATAGTCAACTGTAAGCCGTTCTGTTATGATGATTGTTTGTTTTAATTTTTTATATAATATTTGTATATTTCATTTAAGGGCCTTGGTGAAAGTACACTGCCCGATGGATTTTCGTAAATTCCCTATAGACACTCAAAGTTGTGATTTGAACTTTTTATCGTGTAAGTAAGATGAAATCATTCTCGGGCATGAAACTCAACGTAGCTTTTGATTTACGATGTACAAATCTTATGAGCTAACTATGACAGAGAACACATTCTTTGTATTTTTAATTACCATAACTTTCATTCTCAGCTTCAACATCATCTTATGGGCTAACTATGATAGAGAACAGAACCTCAACACCTTATTGTCAACACTATCGTTGATTTGCATCTGCAAGAACTTGTCATCCAATCCATCTTAGTTAGACAAAAATCATATCAATGTATTGCGTGTATTTTGTGTAGATGCTTATGCGACAACCTTGCTTCAATTTTCTCTAAAGAAACAGAAAACTGAAGTAAGATTCATTGCGCTTCCACAATTTAAATTCGTTGGAACAACGATGCATCAAGATCAACCAAAAGGGAAAGGTGACAACACATCCTTCTCTTTAGCATGGCCAAATGAAGAGATCTTGTTACTTTTTTTGTTTTCAGGAATTCCTAAGCATTTGATGCTTAATAATCTTAAAAAGTGTTTGTCTTCTTCTTTATCGTTTGTTAGGTATTATACAAGAAGTGACCATTGTCGTGCAATTTGAACGTCGTCCGGGTTATTATATTATTCAAATATACATCCCGTCTGTATTTCTTGTCTTGTTATCATGGCTTTCGTTTTTCATGGATTCCGAGGACATCGCTAATCGTTTAACACTTGAGGTCACCATGATTCTCTCGATTGTCTTCTTGTTAACAAGTAGCAATAGCTCCTTGCCACATCTTTCATATGTTAAAGCGTCAGACATCTTCATGATAACTTCTTTTTGTTTCATTTTTATGGCTTTACTTCAAAGTATGTTCTGTTATCAGTTGTACACAAAGAAAGGGAGAAAATGTGTTGGAGGGAAAAACTCGGTATAAATGTTGTATAAAAATATAGAGAATAATGCAAAATTCAGTAAAAGACAAAATCATTCTTTGATTTTAAATAATATCTTTTACCGTTAATCTGTTTAAGACATGTATTTGTGTAAGGCTTTGAAACTTTAAACCTAATTACAGACTTATCTTATAGGTTAAAAAGGGCAATGTCTATTGCGTTTTTCCTGGTTTGAAGTTCCTAAACAAGGAGAATCATTCAGATGCATTTGAAGAGGATGATCATACAAGATGTACTGAACAGTCAATTGATGATACATTTGAATCAGATAATATTCCTATCGAAATGAAACACAATTCAATATTTTGGTTTGATAAGATATCCATTATTTTATTCCCTTTATCATACACAGTTTTCAACATTGTATACTGGCTCTATTATCTATAAAAAATTGAAAGATTTAGCAGAACACCTATTTCAATAAGTTAAGCCAAAAATAAATATAATCAATACTTATTCATCGTCCAATTCACCGCCCTGAACTTTTACACTTTCACTAAACTCCATATTTATTTCCTTCATTAAGTCGGGCTGACTCATGATATGTAAACATGTCCTAGCCATTGATTTAGCTGCAATCATAGTGTACTGATGAGCCTCCTTTGTGCCAGCCTCTGCCTGAAATTCAGGTGTGTGTGTGACACTATTGCTTACAAAATATCGTGGGTGTATTGCAGGCTTGTATTGAGATACATTTCCCATATCAGTTGAGCCACCAGGTTTAGTTATTTGTTCATACCATGGCATGTAGGGTGCACCTAGTTCTTGGGCATTTTCTTGAAAGGTAGTTGCCAAAATAGAGTTTGTCACTAGGTTCTTGTATGGTTCGCCGTCCCAATTGATTTCAACTTTACATCCTGTAAAACATAGATTCCAAAGAACAGGTGTTGATTTGTAAATGCTGAAAGTTGTCAGTTTTATTACTCACCAGTTGATCTGGCTGCTGCTTCAAAGATTGAATGAACTTTCTTCTTAAGTATCTTCAATTCTGGTATTGTTGGTGCTCTCACTCCACAGTGAAGACTGGCTCTAGCAGGAATTACATTGAACGCTGTTCCACCTTCTGTAATAATAGCATGGATGCGCCATGTAGGTTTCATCTGTTGACGCATCATACTAATCCCATTATATGCCATAACAGCCGCATCAAGTGCATTAACACCTTCCCATGGTCCTCCAGATGCATGAGCTTGATGACCTTTATAGGTTACTTTCACACCAATACAAGCAATGTATGTAGGAAAAGCTGCATTGTATGAATGTGGATGTACCATCATTATGAAATCAACTTCTTCAAAACACTTATTCTTGATCATTTTTATCTTTCCTCCACCACCTTCCTCAGCTGGAGTTCCATAGACAACAACACGCCCCAAACTTGATGATGACTTTAGTGCAGCCTGCACACCTACATTAAAATAAAACAAGTCTGCTATTTGTTGTTCTATTGCTATATTAATGCAAGGAAATTGTGAATACCTAAAGCAGCAGCTATACCAGCTTCAGCAATAAGGTTATGCCCACAAGCATGACCAATGTTTGGTAATGCATCATATTCACAGATAATACCGGCTGTTAATGTATCACCATCGTCTTCTTTATTGATTTTTGGCGAGTACGCCGCCCTAAACGCTGTTGGCAAAGTGAACTGTGGATTGACATCAAAGTTGTAGTCCTTCAAAGTTTCAGTGAGTAAGTTGTGCGCGAAAAATTCTTCATATTTCAGTTCAGGATTCTCCCAAATTTTTAGACTGAGTTGGTGAAGTTCAGATGAAAGATTATCAATTCGAGTATCTGATATTTTTACAAGATCTTGAAATTTTAAATCAGCCATAGCGTTCAACCTGCTCAGCCTCGGCTGCTCCTAAAGCTAGAACGCAAGCATTCCATGAAATTTAAATAACATCACTTGACAGGTGCCTTATTCTTATTCATCTATCCCTTCGCGTCTTCGATTTCATCTGAAGGAATGTTAAGTTCAAGTTCAACTATTCAACACAGTTTCATATAAATAAAATTTTATTTATAAATCATATGATGTAATATTACTAAAATAATAAATTTCTTTTTGAGAGGAATTGGAGCTTGTCCCAAATGGAAGGTATCGTGCTCAAAACTCAAAATGGCGGCGCAATTCAGTAGTGTTCTTCGATTGACTGATTTAGACGATTTTATAACTCCATCTCAAGAGTGTGTGAAGCCAGTTAAAATTGAAAAAAAGGCAGGAGGCGTTGCCAAGATTCAAGTTGAAGATGATGGAAGTTATTATCAAACAAATTACACCGGAAGCAAAACAAAACTCGAGAAAGCAAAAATAACATTGAACGACTGTCTCGCTTGCAGTGGATGTATAACCTCAGCAGAAAGTGTGCTTATCACGCAACAAAGCCACGAAGAATTGTACAGAATCATTGATGAAAATGCCAAACTCTCAGATTCAGAAAAGAAATTGATCGTTGTTAGTGTATCGCCACAATCTAGAGCATCAATTGCAGCGAAATTTAATCTCAGCGTCAAAGACACTGCCATGAAATTGAACAGATTTTTTAAAGATCTCGGGGTACATTATGTGTTGGACACGACATTTGCGCGCAACTTCAGTTTGATTGAAACTCAAAAAGAATTTGTATTGAAATATCGCGACAGTCAACATTCGTCAACAATTATACCTCTGTTGACGTCAGCCTGTCCTGGTTGGATATGTTATGCTGAGAAAACACATGGAAATTTTATACTTCCTTACATAAGCAGCGTCAAGTCTCCCAACAAGTTACTGGTAGTCTTGTCAAGCAATATCTTGGTGACATAAAAGGAAAGTCACCTGATCAAATATATCACGTGACAGTCATGCCCTGTTTTGACAAGAAATTAGAAGCCTCCAGGGAAGACTTCTACAATGATATTTATCAAACACGTGATGTTGATTGTGTCATTACATCCTTGGAACTTGAAAAAATGTTTGAAGAGAAAGTGTTGGATTTCCCTTCTTTAGTTTCACTACAATGTGATGATGTATTTGGTGAATGTGGTGATGAAATTCGAAACCATGCTGGCGGTGGTTCTGGTGGTTATTTGGAGCATGTGTTTAGCCATGCTGCCCTTGAACTATTTGGAATAAAAGTTGAAAGTCTCACTTATAAAACTCTAAGAAACAAAGATTTTCAAGAGGTGATTCTAGAGCAAGATGGAAAAGTTCTCCTCAAGTTTGCTCTTGCTTATGGTTTTCGCAACATTCAAAACCTTGTCCAGAAGCTAAAACGAAAGAAGTGCCCTTATCATTTTGTTGAAGTTATGGCATGTCCATCTGGATGTGTTAATGGTGGTGCTCAAATACGACCAGACGAAAATGAAATGCCTAAAGATTTGATAGAAAGAGTTTCACAATTGTACTGTTCGGTTAAAAACTTCAAACCTGAGCAAGATGAGAGGGTGATGGCAATTTATGAAAATTGGCTTGGCGGGAAAAATTCAGAGAATTGCAAACATATTCTTCACACAAGTTATCATGCAATTGAGAAGAATGTCACTGCTTTAGGAATTAAATGGTAGGAAGGGGGTTGTGCCAGAAAATTTATTAAGCTTGTGAGAGAAAATAAAATCTTTATGCAACCAATTTATCAAAATTATATTCATTTTGTATTCTTTTCCATTCATGCTACAAAAAACAAGTATTTGGTTTTATTGTAGTACAATCCTGTTACTTATTATTATGGTTGTGTTATTTTGGTACTATTCTATAATATTATCATTGTGATAGTATTCTGGTAATGCTAATTATTCAATACCTATTACTAACCATCAGAATTGAATAAATATATAATTTGATTAAAATAATAACTTATGAAAGTTATGGATTTTTATAATTGTTAGGTGATGCACACCTTTCAATTGACTATATTTATTATATTAAAATAATTATGAGGATTTATCCTAGGCATCATCTTGTTTATTAAACCTGGTTAAATTCAGCAACTACAGCTTCCATCAACTCTGGTTTGGCCATAACATCTATGCTAGTCATAGCCATTGACTTACCCGCTATCCGTGTATAAGATTGAGCTTCTGGACTACCTGCAGCTTTATTGAACTCTCGTGTATGTATAGCTGCAGAGGTATTTATAGTAAATGCAGGATGAATTGATGGCGTCACAAGAGAAACATTTGCCATGTCTGTTGAACCAAGGAGTGTGGCTTCGGCAATCCCGTTAGGAAGAAATTTTATCCCAAAAGATTCTGCATGTTGTTGATAAAGATTTGATAAAATTTTATTATGCTTCATAGCACAATAAAATTCCTCTTTTTTGCCAAAATTATAAGATTGGATCTTCACTGAACATCCTGGAAAAATATGATTATGTTTAATTATCATTTATTAGGAAACATTACTGAACTAGAACTTTGACAGTAAATAATTCAAAGATTAAATATGATGTACCAGTGGCTTGTGCAGCTCCTTCCCAGCATCCTTTTGCTTTCAATAACAAATCATCAAGTTCATTGTTATTGGGAGCTCGAAAGTAATATTTAAGCACACATTTCTCTGGAATAATGTTTGGCTTTACTCCACCATGTTTAAAGACTCCATGTACACGCCATGTTGGTTTCATTTGTTGACGCATCATGCTCAATGATGTGTAACATGCAACACCTGCATCTAAAGCATTTATTCCTTCCCATGGAAATGCAGCTGCATGTGCTGAATGACCAGTATATGTGATGTCAAGATGATGACAGCCAAGAACCAAAGGCGCCGCTGAATTAAAGGCTGTTGGATGAACCATCATACAGAAGTCAATGTCAGCAAAGCATCCTTCGTTGATCATAAATATTTTTCCTCCACCACCTTCCTCAGCAGGAGTTCCCAGCACAACAAGTCCACCCAAAGTGTTGCTTGTTGCATTGATTGCTGCTTTTATACCTAAAGTAAAACAACAATGATAACTATTATATAAAGAAAAATTTTAACCTTATATAAAGAAAAATCATTGTGACAAAAAGTGATTCATAGTAACAAGTGATTTAGAATAACAAAAAGTGATTCAGAATGACAGAATCAGTGACTGCAGCAGTATTGCGTATTTTACGCGTGATAGTCCGCTGTCAGCATTTATGCTCCAACAAATTTACAAAAATCGTGAAATTACCCACCCAAGGCTGCTGCTACACCAGCTTCAGCAATCAGATTATGTCCACATGCATGATTAATTTCGGGTAAAGCATCATATTCACAAATCACACCAACGCGAGGTCCTTTTACATCGCAATTGTACTCTGCCCTGAATGCTGTTCCTAAATCTCCAATATCAGGTTGTACTTTAAATCCCTTTTCTTTCAGAAAATCCGTGAGATATTTATGGGCAAATTTTTCTTCGTAACACGTTTCAGGATGATTCCATATTTCCTGTGAGAGCTTATGAAGTTCTCCTGATGCATTTTCGATACTTTCACAGGCGATTTTTTGCAGTTTGCTTGTGTCAACCATTGTGACAATCATGAGTTGATTATTGTTATGCACAGTTTGTGATTATTTCATCACGTATCCGCACACATTGTTAAGCCTAAAGTATCGAGGGCTCATACGATTGCAAAACAATGTGGTAATCGAACACTTATCACATGGCAATGTGCTAATACTCCAAAAATAGATTCTTTATGCCTAAAAGTCCAAGTATTTAAGTCTTGAAAACTGTTCTGGTAAACAGAAACCTTCTTAACTGTTGTGCATTTTGTATTTATGGCCGTTCGCGCTCAATTCGAGAACAACAACGAAGTTGGTGTGTTTTCGAAATTGACTAATTCGTACTGTCTCGTTGGTATTGGTGCTTCACAGAGTTTCTACAGGTAGTTTCTAAGGTCGTTTTTTTTCACTTTGATTAATCGATAGCCGTTGCCATTTCAAAAATATAGACTATGTTTAATTAATTTAACGTTAGTGTCTTCGAGGGAGAGTTATCTGACGTCATACCAGTGGTCAGAACGTCAGTTGCTGGTTGCAGAATTATTGGACGATTGACTGTTGGTCGGTATTGATGTTCAATTTTTTTTAAATAAGGTTTTCGTGACTTTTGGGATATCAGCATAATCAAATATTTGTTCATTTGTAGGTAATCGTCATGGATTACTTGTTCCTAACACAACAACAGATCAGGTTTCTAAATCAATATCACCTTACGTTTGAAATGTTATAACTGCCATTTTGACCTTTGTGAACATGCTGTTTATACTCTTATACATGTAGGAACTTCAACATATTCGAAATTCCCTGCCAGATAGTGTAAAGATACAAAGAGTTGAGGAAAGACTTTCAGCTCTTGGTAATGTCATTGCATGCAATGATTATGTTGCTCTTGTACATCCAGATCTAGATAGGGTACGTCCCTTCAATAACATCATTTTTTAAGTAAATCATTTAATAACTTTATTGATTCAAACAAAATTACATTCTCATCATAGGAAACTGAGGAGATTCTGGCAGATAATTTAAAAGTTGAAGTATTTCGTCAGACTGTTGCAGGAAATGTGTTAACTGGTAGTTATTGTGCTATAACAAATCAAGGTGGTCTGGTGCGTCCTCTTAAGCAGATTGATTTATCGAAATTTCTTCTTCATTCATGAAGATCTTTCATTTTAGGTTCATCCGCACACATCTATAGAAGACCAAGATGAGCTTTCATCTCTATTGCAAGTACCCCTTGTGGTGAGTTATTTATACAAAGATTGCCATGATTTTTCGTTGATTAGAAAGATGATAAGTTCATTTTTCCAACATCACGTTAGGCTGGTACTGTAAATCGAGGCAGTGAAGTAATTGGTGCTGGGATGGTGGTAAATGATTGGTGTGCTTTCTGTGGTCTGGATACAACAAGTACCGAACTTTCTGTTATAGAAAGTGTTTTTAAAATTGGTGATGCACAACCCTCAAATATTGGGACTACAATGAGAGATTCTTTGATTGAAAGGTAATCCACAACAATAAATAAAGGAATTCAAACAACTTTTGTTTTATTTGCTAATAATTCAAATGTTTGTCTTTTGTATTAAACTTAAATCTGACTGCCGTTCACATCAATAAGTGAAATTTAATCTCATTTTTTTGTTTTAATTTAGCATGAACTGACAAATTGTTACTGATGCAAATAAATAGACAGAGCTAGTAGGTATGACAATGCTGAGCTGTGTAATTATATAAGGACACAAACTTAATTTCTTACAATGTAAAATAAAACTTAACAATTTATATGTGGTAGCCTTATACGAATGTACTATATTCATATTTGGTTCTAAGTTCTTTTCGTCCTATTACTTGTGTTTACCACAAACCCATTTCAAACCTGTATCATTCTCAATGTTTTCTATATGAGTTATTGATCTCCAAGAGCATTGACAGGCATAAGCTCGACTACCTGACAATAACAAAACATCAGAAAAGTTTTATGAGAAACTATTGGCATTGTTAGTATTGTGTGTGAATTTTTTATACCTCGTTTCTGTATTAAATTCACTTTTAATTTTTCAAAGTCTGGAATATTATTTCGAAAGAATAAATAATCACAAGAAGAATGCCATTTATAATCATCGAATGAGAACACTTGAAAATCGCATGCTGTACACCGCAGTTGATCACATGACCTGTAAATTTCATATCATGTTACAAAGATACAATGATTTTATCTTTAACATCAAGTTTACAATATGCAAGTTTACAATGAATATTTTTGATACCTTTTAACTGTAGCACTAGAGAGGCCTCTACTGAGTTGGGTACCTCCAAGATAAACAGTATAGCATTTTCTTAGTTTTCTTATTGGTTGATAGGAATCTTCTTTTTCTTTGTAATTAATAGACGAATGGGGCTGTGTACAAGAAAATCAAATTTATGTTATTTATTTACCATTTTCGCTCATGCATTATCGGATGGCTATTTACTAAGTAGTGAACGACCTTATACACTGGTCCATTATCTGTGAAAATATCTTCAATCATTGCATCAAGCTCATCTTTTTTATTCAGATTTCTTGTGCTAAAGGCAATGTTTTTAAGAAACTGATTGTACAGAGGGTAACAGAAGTACAAAAAATTGTCATTGATTGACGTAAATACCGATTTTTAGTTGAATTTTTACCGCCATTTGTGGGAGAATCTTTACAAAACTTGAATTCAACTTCATCTAAAAGGTCATCAATATCATCAGCCATGCTTAGGAAAATTTTCACTCAAATACATAAAATAAAATTTAAAAAAGGCACTGTTGCCGTTGTCAAGTGTCAACATTGATCTATTTATAATTATAAATGCAAATTTATGCGAAAGTATGACGCAATGGGACCAGTGAATGGGTGATAATGATGGGCAATGGGACCATTCTGACTTTGAAGATGACTACCGCTAAGGTTGTCGAAACGTCAGTCAACAACAACAAAAACAGTCCTTCTCAGGACTATACCAACCTGGACGATCTACATCTACAAACGTGGAATGGGTGATGGAGGATATGGGATGGACCGATAGACCATGGGGATGAGCGATGGATCACCCATGGGCCAATGGCACTATTACTGTTCACCAGACGAGAACACTGGCTCCACAGCCAGCAATACTTGCAAATTCCATGCGAATTCCTATTTTATTGAGAAATACTTTCAACAAAGATAATTTTGAGACTTTAAAAAAATTTTCTATAGATAAAAGTGATCTATAGGTTTATGTTTCTATCTGGCAAGCCGCCCAGTTTTGCGAGAGGTCAGGTCAGAGCTATTGCTATTGTTTTATGAAAGAGAAAGGAAAAGTCACAAGATGGTTTCAACGTGCAGTCCGTATTTTCAACTTGGCCCCAACAGTTTGCGTGTCTCGGTAAACTTACACGCCACAAATAGAAAACGTTTATCAGAACGTTTAAAAGGCAAAACTAGCAATGGAGCAATGGTATTCTTGCAAGGTGGTGAAGGGCGATGTCGTTATAACACTGATACAGAAATTGTTTTTCGACAGGTTGAACGTAATTTCTTTGCTCTTTTTCACGTGAAAAATCTCCCTAAAATTTCTTGAATCTTACCTACAGGAATCATTTTTTCACTGGACATTTGGTGTGTTGGAAGATGGTTTCTTTGGGGCTATTGATGTTGATAATGGATCTTCTACGTTATTTATGCCGCGATATCCTAAAGAATATGCTAAATGGAAAGGAGAGTAAGTCTGAAAAGTAAAGTCAAAGCTTTCCTGGAGCTTTAGGCCAACTTTTAACTAGTGACATAAACACAAATGAGAAGGAAAGCAATGCATATATTCTCCCGACGTTCAAGGAATGACAAGTTGATGTGCTTATGTTTATGATTGTTTCAGATGTTCCATTGTATACTTCTGTATTTTCTTTTATCTTTGCTTGAAAGTTAACAAATGCTTATGTTGCATATGAAAACCAGGCTTTCCCTTGTTTGCAAATGTTTGAATCTAACTACTAGATACCCTATTGGTGTTTTGTGTTGTACATATTTATTGCAGAATAACAAGCTTATCGGATGTTCAGTAAACTGTTTTTTATACAAAATAGTTTCTTGCAATGGCAAACCTGTTGAATGTTTATATAAATAATTCTTGCTTCACATTACCTGCCTTATTTTCATAATCTAAAGTTTGGCAATGTCTTGCATTCTTCATTAAATTTTGATTTTTTCAGAATTCATTCACCTGAATACTTCAAGAAACGCTATGAAGTTGATGAGGTTTTTTACACCAATGAGGTATTTATGTATGAAATAAGTAATTTTTTAGAATATAAATGCAATCTATTGATTTTCTTATTATTTTTAGATTGCTAAGATATTGAAAAACAAAAATCCATCTGTGCTGTTAACTCTTGTATGATATTGAAATGTTCTTTTGTTCAACATATCAATTTAATTTTAATGAATTCACACATATTTTTGGTATTTTAGTATGGACAGAACACAGACAGTCAAGAATATGTTAGAGAAGCTGCTTTTGATGGTATTGGCAGGTTTGTGATAAGTCCAGCTCGGCAAAACATTAAATCCAGAAATTGATGGTTACATGTTTTCTTTTTTAGTTTCAAGGTTGACAATAAAACTCTTTTCCCTGAGATTGTGGAATGGTTAGTTGAGAAAATCAACATATATTAGATGTGAAAATGAATTTTGACCTAGGAATATTGTACCTTAGTCGAGTCTTCAAAACCAAACAAGAAATTGAGGTTGTTCGCTATGCAAACAGAATCAGTAGTGAGGCTCATAAAATGGTAAACAGTCATTTTATTATAATGAAGTAAAATACAAGTAGAAATAACTTTTCTTGTTTTTTTTCATGATGTAGTTGATGAAGGAAATCAAACCAGGAATGATGGAATTTCAATTGGAAAGGTGCAACTTTACTTTGTTAATTTGTTTATCATAGCTCAAACTTTCATTATTTAAAATACATGTTTGTTCAATATTCACCAGTATGTTTCTCAACTATTGTTATTTGAATGGAGGATGTCGTCATTCAGCTTATACATGTATAAGTGCAAGGTAGGTGCATATGCTTACTTCTTTGCTATTTTCACTTTACGTGATGTATTATTCCTAAATTTTCAGTGGTCCAAATTCATCCATATTACATTATGGCCATGCTGGAGCTCCAAACAACCGTGTTTTAGTTGATGGTGACATGTGGTAAATGTTTGCTTTTTTCCACTTACAAAATTTTTTGAAATATTTGGAACCCCAAATCCTCATGGTAGAATTTAAATATTTGATTCAGTTTCCTTATTCCTTTGGAATCAAGAGATTAGATTGAAAATCTCATGAACAGCACTCTAGGCCAGGATTGATAGTGGACGATCTTTAATCTTTAAACAAAGATTTTAAAACTTTAAGCATGGATAGGTAATTTGAAATCAGATGGAATTCCCTTTGCATTTAGGAAATGATGTATGGTTCCATGAAAATTATTATATTTAAGAAATAAAAGATGTTTACTGTGTTTGCAAAGGCTTTTGCAAACCGTGGAGACCTTTGGAAGAACTCAAGAGCAGATCATGAAAAACATCTTTTACTTCTTTTATAAAATAACAATAATGCGAAAAAGACAAACATTATAATTTTTCCTCTAAAATGTATTCATGATCGATTTGCAAATTCTCTTTGACTGATTGATTGTTTTGATGGATTTGATTGGTTGAGCTCAGATGTTTTTGCACAGGCTAATGCTAGACCAATCAGCGCACAAGTTTTATTGTTTTTATTTTATAATCTTTATTGAAACATTATTCAAAATTTCAGTTTGTTTGATATGGGTGGTGAATACTACTGCTATGCTGCTGATATCACATGCTCATTTCCTGTTAATGGGAAATTCACTGAAAAACAAAAAAATATTTATGAAGCTGTCCTCAGGGCTAACAGAGCTGTAATGGCACAAGTTAAACCAGGTATATATAAATGTTAGATCCATAGATGTGTTAACACTTTAATTCATTGATTGATGTTTTGCAAGGTGTGCTGTGGCCGGATATGCATCGTCTGGCTGACAGAGTACAATTGGAGGGATTAAAGGATTGTGGGATACTTAAAGGTGATATTGAGGAGATGGTCAAGGTACATTTGGGGGCTGTCTTCTTTCCACATGGCCTCGGACATTTCTTTGGATTAGATGTCCATGAAGTTGGAGGATACCCAGAGGTACAATGTCCATATCACATGAAGAGTCAACATATATCATTATGAACATTATATTTTTATATAATTTGTATGCGTTTTAAATAATTTGTATGTGTTTAAGGGTATTGAGCGAATTATGAAACCAGGACTTCAATCACTACGAACAGCTCGGATTCTTGAAGAGAATATGTTGATAACCATCGAACCAGGAATATATTTTATTGACTATGTATGTAAGGCCTTTGTATATCATGTGGTTAAACTCTGAATCAATCTTCCTAATTTGACGTTGTTTTTTAAAAGCTTTTGGATGAAGCATTGAATGATCCAGAAAGATCAGTGTTTATCAATGAGGATGTTCTACAAGAGTACAGAGGATTTGGAGGGGTGAATACAAATAAGGTTTTTAGGATTGACCACATTTCACCTTAAATAATATATGTTGTTTAGGTTCGCATCGAGGATAACATTGTTGTCACAGCAGATGGGATGGAGTTGTTAACTCATGTCCCTCGAACAGTTCAGGAAATTGAGGAGCATATGGCAGGAGGAGTGACATGTGCCTGAAAGTGACCTGGTAACGAGGTATTCATTGAAATCACGTGTATCGTACTGCTGTGAATAAATACGATGATTTTATTTTTTCTTTTAAACAAGAAATTGATTAATTTAATGAAATTTGATTGATAGTGTTGGATTTTAATCCTGTAGAATTTTATACAGCTTGACAATCAACCTCAAGCAACCCAACGTTACAACGAAAAATAAATTCTTTATTTACACATCGATTCTTAGGGAACAAACCTTTTTTACATATCTATACACTGTTAATTATTCTGCCAAGATCGATGTATTTTAAAATCCCTTGGTTACAGACGAGAAACTTTTCCTTGGAAGTTCATTTGCTTGTGTGTGCACGAAAAATTGTTAGTTCCTTGAAAAAAGAACTTAACGCTGAAAAAAATTTTGTACAAACGATCATATACATATGTGAGTTGATACGAAAAACTTCTCGCGGACAAATTACTCGTCTGTCTGCCTTGAGCTTTTCATCAATGTTAACTTTCTGAATTTCAACTAAACAACACAAGTGTGTAAAATTTTTAAATATTCGCATTTCTTCTTGCCTAAACCGTCGATACGATTTGTTTTGCGATTTTCTCAATAACTCCTCGACATATCGGACACTGCTCCAATTTTGAAGCACAACCAAAGCAAATCGTTCTGTGAAAATAAAAGAGAATACTTAAGGACTGAGTGTACAAGATTTTCCTTCAATCACACAAGAATGAATTGTTACCTGTGTTGACACGGTAAAAGAACTGCGTTTGCTATGTTTTCATAACATATTGTGCATGAATCCACGTGAAATTGCTCGTTTTTAAGTTTGGCCAAAAGTAAATGCCTTTAGTATTAAATATACAAGAGAAATTTATTAAGTTTAGCCTTGCTTTAATAAAGCACTATTTATCAAATGATCGTCCATCGAGAAGCACATGCGATGACTAAAATGAAAAAATTACAATTTGAAGACGAGATTCTTTTAAACCACACGCAAACCTGGGAAGAATTATCTTTTCCTTGTCTGTAAGTGTGGAATGATCGTTGAAATTATTGAACGATATCTTCGGTGGGTACCTAAAGGGAAGGACGAGAAGGACAGTGAGTTATAATCCTGAATCTTCTTTGGCTGAACACCACAAAATGAAGACTTACTGGAATTTCTTAGCTCCAAAATTAAATTTACAATGTTGAAATGACATAAAACTAGCAGCGGCAAAAAATGCTCCTCTGCATGTCAAAAAGAGCAGAATTGGTGAAATCACTCATGATTGTCTAGTCCTTTTCATCAACAAACACAACGAACCTATCTTGAGCTGGAAAGTATCTCTCAAGTCCTTTACCATTTAGATAAAATATCACTTTATTCTCATCAATATTTAGAAGAAATCCAAGAACATCATCTGAAAGAAAAGCATTTGCTTGTGCTTCCAAACACTGATAAAGGAATATACACCCTTGCAAGGCATGTCAACACCAAAAAATAGTAAGTCACTTTATGCATATGATTACTTGCTTTCCATTTGGCACAGGAAACAGGAGAGCTATCAGCTTCAAACCAAATTAATTGCCGGCAACCATCAAAGGCTATTGAATAAGGATCATCTCCAATACCAAATCCTTCCTAGGAAAACAATACCATGCATTATGTCATGTTCTTACGTAGGTATGAACCACAAAATTTTAGTTCACTAACATGGCTTAAAAATTTGCTCTCTTTTGTGGCCCAACCAATCTGCATGACTCCTGAAGTTAACAGAGTCACTTCATAAAACCATGTTCCTGCAAATTTGATCACAAGTTAATGCTTAAGGACAAGATAATGTTATTTTCATCATGCTTTTGGAGTACAATTTACCCGAGGTAACTGAGCATGTGGATCTAACACTCTCAAAAGAAGATGCATCACTTCTTGCTTCAAGACCGTTTGGTGATATTTTCAAACAAGCACTAACATCATTTGCATTCAACATGGCATTTATTCCATCAAGATTTGAACTCTCGTAGCTGTATGGCCTAGTCTAAAGTAGGCCAAATAATTTATATGCCAAGAGGAATTTCGACATTTGATTGTGGCAAACAAATGTTGAAGACAGCCATTGCAACCTACCTTTAGTGGAACTATACAAACATATTAAAAAAGAGTTAAGAAAGAATTTATATAATGATACATTGGTTAAAATTGTAATAGATCTTACAACAGTTATCCAAGCACCACTGAGCACAGAATCCAGCTTGGTGTTCAACAACATTGTCACTATTCAGCCATGATTTTTCAATTTTTGCAAGATATTTTGGTGTGTTTGTAGTCTTTATCTTTTCCTTATTTTCATCTGAATGAGAAAAAGTTTACTTAGAGGATTGAAGAGTGTAGCGATTAAAGAGCATGATTTGCACAAACTTGTTTTTGCAAACTTTTCCAAAGTTATTATTGAAAACAGCACAACAGAAGGATGTTCGTCTGTAGTCTGAAAAGAAAAAGTCATCATCATTTGCAGGGTAAAAATAAAATGTTCATTTTAAAACATGTCACTGCTACCAGTTGCAATTGTAAAAAATGCAAAACATCTTCTTTCATTAACCAGACACTTTGTGGACCTGTAAATAAAGTCTTAAATGCAACATGAGGAGACATTTTGACTTTGTTTTGACGTTGTATGTAAGTGAATTTATGCTGTTGAGTCACTTGAGCGTACCTGCTAACTTATCAGCTAAACTTCCAAGGACAAGTGAAATATTTCTTCGTCTGGAGCTAGTCATAAGGATTAGACTTTTTTCAGAATCTGGTCTTCCCTTTGATGATAAATCCAAAACTGACAACAGTTTTTCCAAGGTTGCCTAGAAGAAATTCAATGTATTATTTGACTAAATTCAATGACAAATTAGCAGAACATACAATCAAATATCTACAGAAATCATTACCACAGAAACTAACGAGCACTCTTCTAAGAGAATTGATATGACAATTGGTCCAAGATCATTCTCTATACAAATTACTTCAATGCATGCCAACACAACTTCAAGCCAGCCACTTTCTAGAGTTGAATATGGAGAAAATATAGACTACCACTTGTTTATCAATAATACTTTGTTATTCACAACCTGTTTCTGCGATTTCATGAAGTTCTTTCAAACAAGCAGGGGGCTCGTCCAAACTAAAAGTAACAGAGAAACATTACACGAAATATAATTAATGTTAGCAACATTAATTATACTTGTCAAGCCAAAGTAAAGTCCATCTTCATAGTAAAGTTTAATTTCTAGAAAAATTTACAACAGGAAAAGCTTGAGCAATGATTCCATGAACAAACCTCTCCGTTAACATTCTCACGACATTGAGGACTTCCAGAACTAAACTTTGAATTGGCGATGTGCTTACATTAGCCGCATGCTTTGATGAGGAAGATATATCTTCCTCCAAAAATTTTATTGCATTTGTATCGCGCGATTCTGATATTTCATTATTTCTTCGACTTATACGGCAACCCATAAGTCAAAGTAATGAAGTACCATTTTTTGGAAACAGGTTCCAATCTAGATGTGTGATGTGTCAAGTACTTGCGATAGATAAATGTACTTAGGAAGTTGTAACATCACTTCTATACTTCAGTTAAACAAATCACAAAAATTATGTATTACGTACACAGGTAAACGTATTATAATTTATAATTTCTATTAAGTTTATGTTCAATGGATGAGAGATGAAAACGACGGTCACCACGGGAAACGCGCGAAATACTCGAGACAAATATAATACATCTGTATTTTAACACCGTCTTTTTATAAAACTGATTCCTGGTCATCCGCGATATTATAATGGAGTCAAAATCGTCGTCACTGTTTTTAGGCTTAGATTTGAGCACCCAGCAACTAAAAGTTATTGCAATTGATGACAACCTGAGTATTGTTTTCGAGGAAAGTGTAATCTTTGATAAAGACCTGCCACAATTCCATACTCAAGATGGTGTTTGCAGACATAAGGATATGCTATGTGTGACTGTGCCAACACTTCTTTGGGTCACTGCTTTCGATCTTTTGTTAAAACGAATGAAAGAAAAAGGATTTGAGTTTGATAGAGTCGTTAGTTTATCTGGTACAGGACAGCAGCATGGTAGTGTATATTGGAAGTCTGAAAGTGAAAAACTCTTAAAGAATTTGGATCCTGAAAAAAGTTTGTCTGACCAGCTAAAGGTATTTTAATTTGAGAATATTTTACTTTAGATGCAATGGCTTGTTCAAGACAATGCTGAATGTGTTCAAAATGTACTCACTCAATAATGCATACATATTCAACTATATCTGTTCTCAGTGATTAAACTTTTTAAACTAAGGAATTCTTTTTATGAAAGGACTGCTTTGTCGTTGATGACTCTCCAATCTGGATGGATTCTAGTACAACTGAACAATGTAAAACATTAGAGGAGTCTGTTGGTGGTGCGCAAGCACTTGCCAACATTACTGGTTCAAAAGCTTATGAAAGATTCACAGGCAATCAAATTGCTAAAATATTTCAACATAATCCAAAAGCATATGACAAATGTGAGCGCATTTCCTTGGTAAGTAGTTTCTTGGCATCCCTGTGCTATGGTGGTTATGCACCTATTGATTATAGTGATGGGTCTGGAATGAATCTCATGAATATCTTCACCAAAACATGGGAGTTAGTTTGCCTCAATGTAAGTAGAGCCTTTTTTGTGTACTTGTCATTTGAAATTTAACATATTATACCTCAGATGCCCACATAGAAACATATGTGGCATGTCTCAAATCAGCTAATTGTCGTATACGTTCATTTAGGCTTGTGCTCCAGACCTTAAAGAAAAGCTTGGTGAGTTAGTTTCATCATCAAAACATATAGGAAAGATCTCGAGATATCTTTCACAGAGATATGGCTTTCCTAAATCATGTGATATTGTTGCATTTACTGGCGATAATCCTGCTTCTCTTGCCGGGGTTTGCTTGAAGAAGACAGACTTATGTATTAGTCTTGGAACCAGTGACACTCTCATGTTGTGGCTTGATAACCCCAAACCAACAACTAAGGGACATGTTTTTGTTAATCCCATTGATGGTATGGCTGTTGAATTCTCTTGTTGTTATTTCATGTGCTTTTACTTATATTTAGCAATGTTATTCATTTTAGAAAGTGCCTACATGGCTTTATTATGTTTTAAAAATGGTTCCTTGGTTCGTGAGACTATCCGCAACAGATGTTGTGAAAGTTCCTGGGAGGAGTTTGAGGAAAGTTTGAGAAACAGTCCACCTGGAAATAATGGCAATATTGGGATGTATTTTCATGAAACGGAGATCACACCATTTGCTCAAGGTACATATAGGTTTAACAATGATGATGTTGCTTTGCAGTTCTTTACAAAAGATGAAGAGATAAGAGCTTTGGTTGAGGGGCAATTCTTGGCCAAACGTGTTCATGCTGAAGCACTCGGCTTTCATATCAGTGAGTTGTTTTAAATAGATCCATTATTCTGTTGAAAGGACTTTGTTGAAGCTCTTTGAAAGTACTTCATCAAGTATTTTTCCTTTTGTAGCTGAAGAAACCAGAATTCTTGCAACTGGAGGAGCATCCAAGAACAAAGCTATACTTCAGGTCTTATCAGACATATTTCATGCCCCAGTGTTCATCATACACGGAACTACTAATTCAGCATGCTTGGGTTCTGCTTATCTGGCCTTATATGGAGTTTGTGGTCAAAGTAAAGTTGGTTTTCATGACTTATTCTATAAATCAGATAAATATGAAATGGCTGTGTTACCAAATGTTAAAACCAGAGATATTTATGATAAAATGGTTAAGCGATATAAATTACTTGAGGAAAAAGTTTCAAATTGAAAATGTTCAAATCTGTACATGGTTGCAGAATACGTAATTATTGCTGATAATGTGAAATTATGACTTATTGGCCATGCGCAAAGGTACTGGTAATGAAAATTAATCTGAAAGTAATAGCATGGATCTTAAGGCTGATTTCCATTCACTGCAAATTGTCGCGCGATCACTTTCATTTCAATTGTAAGCTCTCAAACGGAACAGTTTCACACTGCAGCATATAATTCAAAAGAAAGTGATTGCAAAATTGAGCGCGACAATTCCACTGAATGGCAGTCAGCTTACAGCCAATGATCTTCGCCATCTTAGTTAGCGATGACACATGCGCAATACCCTTGCGTCTAGTTACCATGAAATCGATTGTCAATCAAAGGTTCTATTTTTGTGCTACATAAAGGCTGATTTCCATTCAGTGCAAATTGTCGCGCGATTGATTTTTGCGATCACTTTCTTTTGAATTGTGTACAGCAGTGTGAAGCTGTTCTGGTCGAGAGCTTACAATTGAACAGAAAGTGATCGGAAATAGTCGATCGCGCGCGACAATTTGCACTGAATGGAAATCAGCCTTTAGCCTGTCTTTGTCTCACTTTTCATGAAAGAGTAAGTACACGACGGTAAGAAAGCACAAAGTATATTAGTGCATGCAAATAACAAAGGTTTTTCATTTTGAAAATTAAGGCTTTGCACGTGGATCTGACTGGGTCTAATATCACATTGAAAAGAATGAAATTCACAGCATGATACACACTGGCACTGAAATGTGTCAATGAAATACTTGGGTCAATACTTCACTAAAATGTGTGAGGTTTTGACTTTTTGTCAGTGCACTGGACTGGACATCAAATTTAAGAATTTATGTGGCCTAATTTTTTTACCTACATCTCACTCAACATTGTTCATTTGGAAATATTGTCGTAAAACTTGATGCAACCGTACAGTCAGGCAAATGAAAATTTGTCTAATGAAATTTTCTAATCCTTGTGAGGTTTTTATTCAGCAATATTAGTTTAAAAACGATGAGCTCAGACAAACATGGTAGTTGAAGCACCTGGCGTACGGTCGAGAGTTTTGGATGAGGACTCCAATGGGAAACACGAATGATTCCAAGCGTGCTGACGCGGATAAAATCTCTTTCGAGGACGAGGTTACAATACAAACACAGTCCACTAAAAACGCCGAATCTACTGAAGGTATGTTCAAAAGAAATATCGATGAATCACATATACAGTTTGGAAGCTCGTTGGTTCACGTGGTATAGTAGTGGGAAAACTGTTCATGATGTTGCTGAAGATGTGTAAAAACAACTACTAGCGTCTTTCCTTTAAGACGAAGAATCTGATTTCGAAAGTGAAGAGGAAGCAATCTCCACAAGTGCACTCTGCAAAATTTGTGTATGCAGATGGGGTATTGTAAGAAGAGAATGGAATGTACTCTAAGGAATGTACTCTAAGGAATGTTATTGATGAGGGATAGTACAAGGACCAATAGAGAAAAATGCGGCTTCTCTGTGAGATTGTAGAAAGATTAGTTCACGTTCATTCACGAGAATAATCAAAATGACTGTGATGATGGAGATGAGTGTCTTTATTATTTGATGCCTTTTCGTTTCGGCTACGCTGCGAAAAATTCAAGAGTTCGGAATGAATTCGAGGTGTTGGAAATGCTTGGAAAAGGAGGATTTGCTTCAGTTGTCAAGGTAACTTTTTATTAGATACATCGTTTAAATAGAATGTAATTTGGTCATGTGAAGGAAATTTTGTACGTGATTTGAAAATGCTATATATACGCTTAGGTACGTAATAAATTGGACGGCTGTCTCTATGCGATCGAAATAGTTTCTTTGAATCTGAAAATTGTGCTGTTTAATCCCAAAATTACTCGAGAAGAGAAGTTACTTTCTAGTTTGAATCATGAAAATATTGTAAGGTAAAAAGAAATTTACTATCGAAACTGAATCAAAATTTTATAGCATAAAGGTTGAAAGCGAGGCTCAATTTAGACGATACAAATTGCTTGGCTTATTAAATGTTATCTTTGTAGAAAGTATTATACAAAAGTAGATAATCCCTTTTTTCCATGAAGCCCATTAATAGTTTCGTTCATGATGAGAGAGTTATAGTGTATAAGGAGGCTCTCGTTCATCACGAGAGAGTTATGAGAAAGTTACATTCTAAAACATAACAAGTAAAAAACGTATAAACATTCTTAGAGATGGTTCAAATTATATTAGTCAAAAGGCAGAAATTATTTTAACTTTTGCAGTATCCTTGGATGTTCTAGTTTCTTTTATGAAAAGAATTCTTATAAAGAAAAATGACAAATTTTAAGAACAAAAAATCCCGTTTTCGCTCCATGCCTCTCGATATCCCGAGATAGTTGAGCACTAGAGCGTCGCATGTTAAATTAAGGGAACCATATAATCTTTGTTCACCATGAAGCCCATGGATGGTTTGCTCGTGATACATGAGAAACAGTAAATGAGAGAGTTCAATCAGAAAGATATAAACCAATAAAAATTGTATAAAACATGATGTTTAAGGTTGCCTTAAATCATAAGTGTCAGAAAAAGGCACAGTGTCAGAAGAAGTTAATTGAAACATTGCTTGGTTTATCTTATGAGAAAACAAAAGGATAAAATTCAAAAGCAAAAAAACCCGTTTTCGGTCCATGCTTCCCGATATCTTCTTAAGCGTAAGGCACTAGAACGCGGCATGTTAACGTTTCGGTAGGAGATTTCGGCCCCTCTACGCTATCCTACTTGGGAGATGAAATAGCAAGCTTCCGCCCATCAGACCTGAGATCACCTGCGATAGGCTTTGCTCGGGGTACGCAGGGAGAGTGCGGTCGCCACCGAAGTGTGGGCCCCTAAGCCACTGCATACTACATCGCACCCAGCTTCCACTGCTAGTTGACATCTACTATATGAAGTTTTATATTTATATATATAAATCTCGTAGTTTGTTTCTTCGATAATTTGCGACTAACTGAGATAATTGCCGCAAATGTATTGCAAGTACATATAGCACTGGTCAACAGCAAATTTGGTGTCTCAGTTTTGTAAACTGATTTTGGACAATTTTGATGTGCTGAGTCCAAAAATAACACTATTTTTGCTGGGTCAGGTCGAGATTTTAAGCTATCGTTAATTTTCTATTTTTTAACTTTTAAATACCTGAGAAAGGTACAACAGAAGTATTAACCATTTACCTTTTAAAGTTCTATTATCTGAACAAATTTAAATTTTTTAGCACTAGCAATACAAAGAAGAAAGCATTTGAATAAGCAATTTTTGATTGAATTTCAATTAGGGAGTTTAGGTTTTGCGATTATTATGGGATATTTAAAGATAAAATTAGGCTTTATTTAGCCCATACTGGAATTCAATGGTAAAACTTGTTAAAACACACCAACATATTAATGTTAAGTAAAAAATAATAAAAAGTAGAAATAATAAAAATAAGCCAGATGTTTTTTGCTATGTTTGTGGTGAATACACACTTGCACCAAATCGCAATACTGTCACCACCTTTATCAAGCGCGTTTACTATGCATATTTTGGCATGAAGCTCAGCGATCAAGACAAAAGTTGGGCACCTCACATGGTTTGCAAAAGATGCACAGAGCATCTCCGTCAATGGAGGAAAGGCACGCAAAAGTCCATGAACTTTGGCATCCCCATGATTTGGCGACAGCCTTAAATCATGCAACCGATTGCTACTTTTGTGCTATCAATGTCATGGGAATTAACAGAAAAAATCGCACAACACTGGAGTATCCCAATCTGCCGTCAGCTATGCGCCCTACTCCTTATAGTGAAGAAATTCCCGTACTTGTATTTGAAGATACAAGTATTGAAGAAAGCAGTAGCCAGGATGAAACTCAAAGCATTGCCACTACCGATGATGCATCCTTTCCCGATGACAATGATGAGCAGCCAAAATTGTTTTCCAAAACGAACTAAGCGATCTTGTTCGCGATTTAAATTTGCCAAGACTCTGCCGAACTTCTTGCATCTCGTTTAAAGGACAAGAACATGCTAAATGGTAAAGTTAAGGTAAGTTTCTTCCGTACCAGGCACCAGGAGTTTTTAAGATATTTTGCTCAAGAAAAAGAATTAGTCTATCGCAATGACATAGTAGAGCTACTGAAACATCTCGGCGTACCTGAATACAAATCAGAGGACTGGCGACTTTTTATCGACAGCAGCAAAAGGTCTTTGAAATGTGTGTTGTTACACAATGGAAATCAATTTGCATCTGTGCCATTGGCACATTCGACAACATTAAAAGAACAGCATGAAGCAATTAAGTACGTCCTAGAAAAAATTTCTTATGACCAACATAAATGGCTGATTTGCATTGACTTAAAAATGGCCAACTTCTTGCTTGGTCAACAGTCTGGATTTACCAAATGCCCATACTTTTTATGCCTCTGGGATAGTAGGGGTCGTACTCATCATTACGTGAAAAAAGAATGGCCAGTACGTGAAGAGCTTGCTAGTTGTAGAGCAAAAAATGTGATAAACAAGCCTCTAGTTGACAAGGGACGTATTTTATTTCCTCCACTGCACATAAAGTTCGGTTTGATAAGGCAATTCACTAAAGCTTTGGATAAAGATGGACGGTGTTTTCAGTTTCGTTGTAAAACCTTCCCCAATTTGTCAACTGAAAAATTAAAAGCTGGTATTGATCCCGAAAATCTTGGCTCTTTAAGCGATGAGCAAGGAGAGCGCTTTCACCATGACTTAAGAGAAAAGTGGGACATGGTGATGATGGCGGACTACTGTTGGAATTTAAAAAGAGATGGGCAAGCACCAAAACATTCGCGACAATCAAAAAAAACGAAAATTTAGACCGTAATAATGCAAACACTAAGTTTTCATATTTAGTTACATGTACTGTACATGAAGTGTACATGATTCTTTCTTGGAATACTGCAATTTTATCATAAAAACTGACATTTTGTTTTGAAACATCTTGAAAAGATGTAAATCTTGAAAACATTGTTTTAAAAAAATAACTAAAGTCGCATAATTTTAAATTCAAATTTGCAAAAAAATTTGACCTCCGAGAGCAAAATGAATGTTATTTCTAGATTTAGCATAGCAAAAATATAGTAAATCAGTCAAAAAATATCAGACACCTTTTAAAAAGTTTCTTTTTGTTGACCAGTGTAGTTAGTCGTTGCCATGATTATAAACAATCAATCGAATGGACTGGCGTAGTCGAGCGCATGCGCAGAGGATTTTTCCTATTAAATTGTTGCTGAGCATGCTGTTTACTTCAAAATCAGTGTTAGAAGATGCAGTTGGTTTTTGCCATAACCATGAACTTGGGAATCTGGTCAAGTCGACTGCGCATGCGCAGATGATTTGTCTGAAAATTTTGACTGAGCGCGTTAATTACTCCATATTCTTTACTTGTAGTTGGTCTTTGGCATGAACTTGAAGAGTTGGTGAAGTTGACTACGAATGCTCAGATATATTCTCGATTAGTTTGTGACGGAGCAAGCTCTGAAATTTGTACTTGTATATGCGCTTAGCAAATTTTCAAACCTATATTTTTGGCACGCTCTTTGTACTCTTAAGCTTTTGTAGACAAATGCATATCAAACTCATCAACACTTTGTTACGCCCCTCGTAATATCCGTGACAAGGTTAGAAATGTTTTTTGTTTTTCTCCAAATTTTTGTATCTGAATGTTTTGTGCATAAGCAATGCTCTAATATTTATGACAGATGTTACAATTCGTGGATTGAAGTAGAAGAAATACTTGAAAATGAAACTTTCAACAGTGAAACAAAATCAAGCACGACAGAGGAGAAACAACGACGCCAGGTTGAAGATAGCTTGATGAAATTGAAAGTAGTTGAAGCACCTAGCGTACACTCGAGCGTTTTGGATAAGGACTCTTTCACCAATGGAAACACCAATAAGATAAATATGAAATGGCTTTGTTACCAGATGTTAAAGCCAGAGATATTTATTATAAAATGGATGAGCGATGTCAGTTACTTGAGCAAAAAGATTCAAACTGAAAAATTCCCTATCTTTAGATGGTTGAAAAAAAATTTTTGCTAAAATTATGAAAATCTGGTATATTGGCCATGCGCTTAGGTACTGGAAATGAAGATTAATACCATGGATCTTAGCGATGACACCTGCGCAATACGCATGCGTGAAATGTGCTTAGTACACAGCCACCATCTTTGTCATGAAGTCGATAGTCAATGAAATAGTTTTGTTTTGTGTGCAGCACTTATTGCCTTAGCGTGTCTTTGTCTCACGAATGTTATACTTTTCATGAAAGAGTAATTACACGACGGTAAGAAAGGACAAAGTGTATTTGTGCATGCAAATAACAAAGGTTTTTCATTTTGAAAATTAAGGCTTTGCACGTGGATCTGACTGGGTCTAATATCATATTGAAAAGAATGAAATTCACAGCATGATACTTACTGACACTGAAATGTGTACATGAAATATTTGGGTCAATACTTCACATGGTCTTATCATACTTAAATGCATACTTTCGTTTCTGAGATTCAAAAAAATGTGTGTGGTTTTTATTTCTTATCCGTGGACTGGACATCAAATTTAAGAATTTATGTGGCCTGTATTTCTTTGCCATCTTCTCACTCAACATTGTTCATTTGGAAAGGCAGATAGACAAATGAAAATTTGTCTCATGGAATTTTCTCATCCTTGTGGGGTTTTTATGTAGCATTATTGGTTTATAACAGATGAGCTCAGACAAGCGAGATGAGAAATGGGATGATAGAGACTTGAGTAGACCAAATAGCACAAATCGCAATGACAGCAAATCCATTCGATGTCGGATATTTGTGGGGAATCTTAACACAGAAGATCTTTCTCGTGAGGAGTTTGAGAATATATTTGCAAAACATGGTCGTGTTATAGGATGCTCAGTGCATAATGGTTTTGGCTTTGTTCAATATGAAAAAGAAAGTAGTGCAGACGAAGCAGTGACGAAAGAACATGGAACTACAATTAAAGGGAAAAAAGTTGGTATGTAATTGTAGAAATTGATTTGAAAAAAATAATACTGATTTTATTAATTGACTTAGCCATATATTTTTCTTTAGATGTGAATTTAGCTGGGGACAGACGAAAAGCAGAGAAGCGAAGGCCATCCTCACATATGTCTAGAGACAGAGGTCCACGGTAAGGCAATTATTTTGTCGTTTTGTTTGCTATTGGTATTTTATTACAGCAAATGCACTTGTTTTGCCATTTGTAAGCTCTGTTTCTAAGCTTACTAATTTTCACACAAGTGCTACATAAAATTGATGGAATTATTAGCAGTCCAGCCTTAACTTTAATGGGTGGTCTGTCAGTCATCTTTCAAACATGTTGTGGTAATATTTACTGTAGGATAGTGTTTGAGTAAATTTAGTCTAAGAAACATTAAATATACAACAGCAGCCTTGTTATGTTTAGACTGGCATCGACATTGTTGTGATAATTTTTTGACAGAGTTATTGTAGAATGGAGAGTACGCTTCATAAGTATTGCTGCTTATTGTTTTTTGTTAATAAACATAACTTAACATTTTTTACATTGCATGAACTTGTATTGTCCATGTCAATGTATTTTAATATATATCATGAATTTATTTCTGTGTGTTTTTAATTATTTTAAAAAATGCCAGGGATCATTCATTGTCACCAAGAAGAAGGTCTAGTAATGATCCGTTATCAATACCTGGCTATAGAGAAGCAAGGGATCGATATCGCGATGAAAACCCAGATTCTTCTGGACATCGCCATTATGATGAAATTCCTCCTAAGAAGTCTAGACCAGAATATGAATTTTCTCCAATGTCTCACAAACCCTACCCTCCTCCTGCTGTTGGTAAACCTGTAGAAGCCCCAATCGACTGTGAGATAATTATAATCCACAAACAACAAATGTATGTTGATTGAATAAGTATTGTGTTAATTTTTAGGTTTCATAGTTATCTTTTGATTGTGTTTTTAAGGGTAATAAAACGTTTATTTTTGTTTTGTTTACAGGGCTTATGCCGAGTCAGTTGAAAAGAAATTAAAATCTCATGGTTTAGTTGTGGAGTGCACTTACCGAGACAATTCCTTTGCTTGATGAGTTGGAAGATGCAGCAAAGCGTGGTGTATTGTTTGGGATTATTATTAGTAGCCAACATGAAGTACATCGTTCAGTAACAGTGCACATCTTGCATGGAAAACAACAAGGTAATCATTATATATTTTTGTATTTATGCAGGTGTTGTCGTTAGTAATATGAAGCAACTGGCTTTCTGAAGTCTTATTTCAATGAATTCAAGTTCATATTATCAATTTTCTTATCTATGTGGCGTTAACAATTTGCATAAATATTGCTCACCATCTTGTGGCTGTGCAGCATTATTCTTGCAGCAAACTTTTCAGTTTTTTCTTTTTGATGCATTTTTTTCTTCCATTTGCATCTGGACTTTTTCAACAACTTTTTTCATTTTTCAAATCAACATTTTGTTTTTTGTTGTGGAATGACATTTTTGGAAGAAAGTGGTGACGTAAAGAAGTATAAATGTTGGATCAACAATTTGTATTTTTTTTTGAGAAATCCAGGAAGATTTTTGGCTTTTTTGGTTCGAGCACTGATCAAACTTTTTCATCAATTTTATTAACGTACTCTGATCATTGCTTTATTCATATTTGAAGTAAGTTTCATGAGGAACAACCCAATATTTGTTGGTAAGGAGTTAATGTGTTAAATTGATCAAAAAATGTCCAGCACTAAAGGATGTTTAATTTGCAAACATGGCAGTTTTCAGTGTAAAAGCATTATTACTATCAAATTTTTCTTCAATCTTCTTCAGAACACAGAAATATGCCTTTAGAGGATGCAATTCTTCTTGTGAGCCGTAATTTTGATACATATATGCAGGCACTTCGAGATCGAGAACTTCGGCCACCTGTGGTTGACCCTTTAACACCAAAGAAGGGTTTCTCAGGTGGAGTCAGCTCAGTTGTACCATCACCATATACTCGAGCTGTTAGCACATTGCTGAACATTGCTGCAGATGGTCGACCTCTAACTATAGATGAGTACACTTTAGTTATTGATGAGTTTACAAAAATTCGTAATGATTTGCTTAAAAAAGAAGGACGAACACCTCCATCTTCTACTGGTGAGTGAAATTTAAAATTAAAATATCGATTGAATGTTGTCGACTGAGATGAAATGTTTATTTTTTTTAGGAGCTACTTTCAGTTCTGATCCTCAGTCAATTGCTTTACAACAAGCTGAACTTCAAGCAAAGATTTTGAGCATTCTCAATCCAGGTAGCAAGCTGAAAGTAGAGAGCAAAGAAGTAACTAACGAAACTACTGCCAGCTCAAGCCCTCGCTTCCAGTACTTACTCCTTCAAACAGTGCATCGAATGCTTTTCAGGCACCTACTACGGGCCTGAACAAATATCCATCAAGTAATGTCATTGGAAAAGTGCTGTCAAATTTGCGCAGTACATCTTCGGATCAAAGTTCGACAGCTTTTAATAGCGTGCCTGGTGTGCTAGCCACTAAATCATCTCCTGCAAACCAACCTTATTCTGCAGTTAATGCAACCACTTCTGATGGACTTCCACCGTATGGAGGTTATGGTCATACAGCTCCTCAAGCTTGGTCTCGCTATCAGAATCCATCTCAAAGTATACCAATGACACAACAAGCTAGTACTCAATCATATCCTCATTATCTTCCACCCAGTCGTGGTGGTTATCATCCCAGTTATCCCTCTGGGTATTTACCCCCTTCAAGATATTGATGTGAATACCCCCTTCTTGTTTGTGAATTATCTTTTATCTATTTAAAAAATTGTAAACTGATGTTTTATATGTAAAAGTTTAAATGAAGAGAATGTATATTTAGTAACCAGTGGAAATACATCTACTCTTACAAATTTCTCATTAAATGAAGTAGTAGTGTTATTATATAACTTTTTTTAGCAGTGATATTTTATGTGCAAGTGTTAGATTCCAGTCTTTTGAATGCATCATCTAATCTACTACAATTTTCTTTGACCTCTTGTAATATCTGTTCCTGAAAAAATGAAATGTTGAGGAGACTTGAATTATGAGAAAAGAGGGGCATTTGTAAATGAAGCTAGAAATCAAGAGTATTATTTTACCCTCTCATAATATTCCTTAGTTAAAGGCCCGGCTGCTGAGTCAGGATATTGATCATCCGTATTAGGATAAGTACCAATTATACCAGTACTACAGAGACGTTTTGGTTGTGGTTCTTCCTCTTCTAGTTTTTCAAATATTGCTGTACGCATCGCATCTCGAATATCTTCCGTTTTCTGCAATGTAGATAATTAATGCAATATATTGTGTATTGCTTACATTGATCTTTTTTCATCTAATTTGTCGTGTTCTACCTGTTTTCTTGCTTTGGGATTAGGATCATCATAAGCCCATCTCACATTTAACACTTCCTGACCCTCCAGTCTTTGATCTGACATAGCAATCTAATGTAACAGATACTACTTATTTGTTATTTTTTCATGAAGTTTGTCATGAAAACCTTTAGAAGAAATGTTGTTGGCACAAACCTTTGCAAATTCACAGTTAATTCTGTTCTTGTATCTTACAAATGCTATCTGACGCCTAGTGATGACACGTATATCCTGTTGACAAAAGATTACACAATGATCACTTAGGGATTAACAACGCATAACAATCAAGAGGTTCAACCGCAATTCATGATTAGAAAAAAGCTTTCTACCTCAATTTCACCCCATTCTCCAAATTCTTTCCATAAGACATTCTCTAGTTCTTTGTGACTTCCCAAACGACCAACATACAGTGTTCGACAATCATTTTCAAATGATCCCACTCCACCCATATTGTCACTGTGTAACCTATGCGTTCCTTCCAAACACATCATGTATCATGTTGATTCTGTTGATAAATGGTTCAAACTTTAAACAGAATTCAGCTATCGTGTCAAAACAACATATATTGACATGTACTCAAAGCTTAAATGTCATGAACTCTACAACCATGTGCATAAAATTAACGTAACTATTACATATTCCATACCTTTTTGCATCTTTGTCAGTTGGTACAAGGTGGTAGTAGCCACATTCCGAACCATGTTGACAACATCCTCGAGCAAAAAAGATGCAAAAATATGTTTTCTTTCTGTTTGGGTCAAGAAGATTTGCCTTAGTGAAACCAGCATCCTTGCTGATGATGCATCTTGTCTCTGCTGGACCTAAAACAATGACATTATGATCCTTTCATATCCCTTCATTCCATCATTTGAATGTTTAAATGTTATCATACCATCATCCTTCATTCCCTTCCAATGATCACCAATCCATTTGTCATACCATATGTTGTACTCATTGGCTCCCTCTGGTCTCCAGTGTAAATTTTTTGCTTCCTCTGGATTGACTTGTCGTCTTGCTTTGCGCTTTACATATTCTTGATTTTTTTGTTCCAGCTCTTCTGATGTTTTGCGAAATATAGAAAGACACGATTTATTATCTTTGTCTTCATCATTGGGTGTTTGAGCTCCATTAATGGGCCATAAGTCCCAACCATCTGGTTTCTCCCATTGTGTTGTGTTGTTTAATAGGTTTTGATAATACCAGTACCCTGAATTGTAGTCATAAAGTTTACGCCAGCAGCTTCGTTCTTCGTACGTTCCAGACGTTTGATACCAAGTATTGTACAAACTGCTTTGTGATGCAAGGTTTTCGTTGCCATTTCCAGTATTATTAAAGTAATGATTAGCATTTAGGCTATACGACTGATCTGTCATCATATAAGTCAACTTGTTTCGACGGGCTAATCTTTCGTTTCGACGGCTAAAGTTTAGTAGTTGTACGAAAATTTTGACTAAACTTTTAGTAATTATGATAACAAGTATGGCGAATACTTCATGTCATTATTTTTTAGTGATTCGTATGAACGTACACAAGAAAATAAAATTTCCTTTATTTGTGTTGCGTGAACTAGACTGAAAGATGTCTAAAAAAGAAATTTATAAAATAAATACGTTCCATGCTGTAAAAAACAGCTTTTTATAAATCTTTAAATTCTTCTTTTAGATCAAATTAATGTCCGAGTCTTTCCGGTGGTTCAACGAAGATGATCTTTTCTTTGTAACTGGATTAAACTGTACGTGCTTTTCCGTTTGGAACCTTCAACGAACTGCTCGTATCCGAACTGTGAATGCAATAAATAAGAGGAAGTAACTCAAGACAAATGTCTGAGGAAAGTGAAAGGTCGTTGCTGCTTTCATGTGGTGAAATTAATGATGAAAACAGAGATACTATTCAAATACCATACGCTGTAAATAATTCAAAAATGAGACAGCGACTAAGCACATCTACAACATCGCCTTCCATAAACTCGATGGGTGAGCCTGAACTTCCTATTGCCCGAGCTGTGTTTGTAGTTACAAATGCTGCCTTAGGTGCTGGTATGTTAGCATTTCCAGAAGCTTATGGAAAAACTGGTGGAGTTCCACATGCCTTAGCAGTTCAAACTGTAAGTTGTGTTGATTTTTATATATAAATTGTAATTATTGGGTTTTTTTGGAACTAGAATACTACTCACTTAAACAATCAGTCATCGCGGTACTTCATGTAGGCCACTCCTATAATTTTTGATGTAGAGTTTCTATTTTAAATTTTGTGATACATTGATATGATGGATATTTAAAAATTATTATGATACAGCTTATATGTTGCCAGTTGCTGTATTTTGTTGATTTGACAAATAGTTTGATAGTGTCCATATTGAAATAAATTATTCATTCAATGTTTCTTAGCTGAAATATAAAACCAGAAGTGTTGTTATTTTATCTTTCCACTATATCATATGGAATATGGAATATTTCTAATAGGTTTTAATCGTTCTCATTCTTGGAGCATTCTTTATACTTGGATATTGTGGTCAAGTGAGGCTAACAGCAAATTACCAGGATACAGTCATGCGTTCTGTGGTCCAGCTGCTCAGATTATTTGTCAGGCTGTTGTAGTACTTTACATGTTTGGTAGTGATGTCATATCTTATTATCATTGGAGACCAGCTAACAAAAGGTATAAAATGATTAGTCAAAAAATTTCAACACATTTTAACTGCTTGTATGTGTTTACTGATCATCTTGGACTGTGGAGAATTTTTATTTTTGGAAGGACTGAATTGATCTATATTGATCACTCCCATGGTCCCACCTCTTTTAACCCTTCTAACACAGGTACAGTGTGGCCATACATATATTCAATTTTTTTACAAGATATGGTCTGATAAACTTAAACTCTCCCACCTTATTTATGTAGTTGTAAAGTTCAGATAAGGGGGGTGTTTAGGCTCAACCAGCAAAATCTAGTAAAAAAAGTCACATATATGGTTACAACACCATATGCACTCACTGCATACGTATTTGTAATGTTTGTAAGTTAAGGTGGTAAATATTATTTGTGGGCTATGATGGTCCCTTACATTGATGATCATTGATTTTGCCAGTTATCTGACCCTTCCTGAAATGTATCAGTATGTTGTTATAAACTAACACATGTAATACCTTCCTACACAATCTTAGCCATACTTAGCCATACATAGGACACCGTAGACATACTTAGCCATACATAGGACACCTTAACCATACGTAGACATACATAGGACACCTTAGACATACTTAGCCATACATAAGACACCTTAACCATACTTAGCCATACATAGGACACCTTAACCATACTTAGCCATACATGGGACACCTTAACCATACTTAGCCATACATGGGACACCTTAACCATACTTAGCCATACATGGGACACCTTAACCATACTTAGCCATACATAGGACACCTTAGACATGCTTAGCCATCGTGGGACACCTTAACCATACTTAGCCATACATAGGACACCTTAGACATACTTAGCCATACATAGGACACCTTAGCCATACTTAGCCATACATGGGACACCTTAACTATTAGCCATACATGGGACACCTTAACCATACTTAGCCATACATAGGACACCTTAACTATTAACCATACATAGGACACCTTAACCATACTTAGCCATACATAGTACACCTTAACCATACTTAGCCATACATAGGACACCTTAACCATGCTTAGCCATACAGTACACCTTAACCATGCCAGCCATCATGGGACACCTTAACCATGCTTAGCCATCGTGGGACACCTTAACCATGCTTAGCCATCGTGGGACACCTTAACCATGCATACATGGGCCATAGACATTAGGGACACCTTAACCATGCCAGCATACATGGGACACCTTAACCATGCTTAGCCATACATGGGACACCTTAACCATGTAGCCATCGTGGGACACCTTAACCATGGCCATACATGGGACACCTTAACCATGCCAGCCATACATATACACCTTAACCATGCCAGCCATACAGGACACGTGACATGTAGCCATACATGGGACACCTTAACCATGCCAGCCATACATGGTACACCTTAACCATGCCAACCATACATGGGACACCTTAACCATTAGCCATACATGTACACCTTAACCATAGCCATACATGGGACACCTTAACCATAGACATACACCTTAACCATGCTTAGCCATCGTGGGACACCTTAACCATAGCCATTAGACACCTTAACCATAGCCATCGTGACACCTTAACCATGTAGCCATACATAGATACCATGCATAGGACACCTTAACTATACTTAGCCATACATAGGACACCTTAGCCATACATGGGACACCTTAACTATGTAGCCATACAGGACACCTTAGACATGCTTAGCCTACATTGGACACCTTAACCATGCCAGGCATACATAGGACACCTTAGACATACTTAGCCATGTGGGACACCTTAACCATACTTAGCCATACATAGGACACCTTAGCCATGCTTAGCCATACATGGGACACCTTAGACATGCCAGCCAACGTGGGACACCTTAACCATAGCCATCGTGGGACACCTTAACCAGGCATACATGGGACACCTTAGACATGCTTAGCCATCACATAGGAGACCTTAACCATGCTTAGCCATACATAGGACACCTTAGACATGCTTAGCCATTGGGACACCTTAACCATGCTTAGCCATCATGGGACACCTTAACCATACTTAGCCATACATGGGACACCTTAGACATACTTAGCCATACATGGGACACCTTAGACACTTAGCCATCATGGGACACCTTATACTTAGCCATACATAGTACACCTTAACCATGCTTAGCCATACATAGGACACCTTAGACATGCTTAGCCATACATGGGACACCTTAGACATGCTTAGCCATACATAGTACACCTTAACTATACTTAGCCATCATGGGACACCTTAGACATACTTAGCCATACATAGGACACCTTAACCATACTTAGCCCTACATAGGACACCTTAACCATACTTAGCCATACATAGGACACCTTAGACATATTTAGTCATCTTTAGACAACCTAAGTATGTGTAACATGGGCTAAATATGTCTAAGGTGTCCTATGTATGGCTAAATATGTCTATGCTAAATATGTCTATGTCATGTATACACTATGTATGTAATATGTCTAAAGGTGTCTATGTATGTAAATATCTAAGGTGTCCTATGTATGGCAAATGTCTGGGTGTCCCATGTATGTCTAGTATGTCATGGTGCTATGTATGGCTAAATGCAATGTGTCATACAAATAGGTGTCACATATGGCACTAAGGTGTCCTAGTATGGCTAGTACATCTATGTAAGGCTGACATAAGGTAACCAGTCAAGTGGCATGGGATAAGCATAAAGTACCATATATAGGTATGGCAGGTGTCTACACTATGGTTAAGTATGGTTAACCATGCATAGGTTGGGTATGACTATGCTGTAAATGATATGTTGCATGGTTAAGGTGTCCACATAGCCTAGGTATACTATGTGGCTAAGGCCATATTAGGAAACCATTGCCTATGCACATTAACATGTAATGGCTGGCATGGCTTAACCATTTGGCTAAGTGTCCTGCATATGTGGTATGGCTAAGTACCATATTTAAGGGTGTCTGTGGCTTAGAACACTATATGTAGAGATGGCTGCCTACGTATGGGACATGTAACTAACATACTTAAGCTAGGGTCGCATGGGGCATGGTTGGTGACACTATAACATGTAACTGTATGCCAGTATGATGTGGCAGGTATGGATCATGTTAAGTATGTCTGGTGACATCGTGATGTCTTGGTGTCATATTAAATGTCATGTCTATATGGCTAAATGTCTGGGTGTCCAGGCTAAATTGCTAAGGTGTCCTACGTATGGCTAAGTACTAAGGTGTCCATACAAGTATACTAAGTATGGGGTGTCCAGTATGGCTAAGGTACTACGTATGGATGTCCTACTTGGAAGTATGGTTAGGTGTCCTATGTATGACTAAGTGTCTAAGTGTATGTGTATGGCTAAGTATGTCTAAGATTTAGTAGGAAGGTATTACATGTGTTAGTTTATAACAACATATTGATACACTTTAGGAAGGGTCTCATAAAGTAACTATCCTAATTTTCAACAATCTTTTCCTATCTGTTTAATATCTAGTTATTGATCACCACGGATGGTATTTCAAAAGGGATTTTATAATTGTCGTCATTTCATGCACATGTGTCTTGCCATTGTGTATTCCAAAGAAATTGAAAGTAATAAGCTACTCAAGGTATGCAGCATCTCTTCCTATTCATTAAAGAAAAAGTTTTTACCTTATAGTTACTTAGTTAGGCCTTTCTTAAAAGTGTATGATTTTAAAAGTGTATATTTTTGTCCAACTTATATTTTAGCATGTTTGGTGGACTCGGGGCATTTATTGTAAGTGTAATAGTTATGGTCCAATTTTATTCAGGAAAATACGCCGATAAAAGGTAAATAATTGAACGTTTCTCAAATGTTGCCAAGATATTTATATATGGTTTGATTTCAATGTAGTGCTCAAAAACCGTTTAACGTGGTGAATGCGTTCGCAGCTGTTCCAGTTATTTGCTTTGGATTTCAGGTTGAGATGATATTCTGAAGTATGAAGTAGTTACAAATCACACTTGTTCAATCACCTTAGGAGACGTTTGTGTAGTACTTGATGTAAACTTTTTTAGAATAGTTTTCCATTACGCACACTCTTAAAATAATCCATGGCATCTATATGTGTCACCAATTAGCCATTATATTTTCCAGTGTCACGTGACGTCCGTAGCGGTGCTCGCAGAGCTATACAATCCCACATTCAAACGTTTTGCCATCGTGACTATATTATCAACTTTAATATGTTCGGTTATTTACTCCATCACTGGAGTTTATGGTTTTCTAACATTTGGCAGCCATGTTAAAAGTGACGTTTTGTTGAATTATAATCATGATGATGGTTTAGCAACAGCAGCTCGGGCAATTGTTGTCGTTGTTGTATTCAGTACATATGCTATTTGCCATTTTGTTGGAAGGTAAATATCACTGTTTGACATTTTGATGTAACTGCGCATGCACAAACTATAATTCATAGTTCAATGGATTTTCATTGAAATGTTATTTTATGGAAAACTTGATGTAGATCGGCGTTTCTTGGTCTCTGGATCAAACTGCGTCGATTGTCACTTGGTCAGGTCCAGTCTTTGCAAAATAAACGAAGAGTTATCGTATCAATTATATGGTTCTTTTCAAGTCTAGCTCTCGCTATAGTTGTTCCCACTATTGGTAAAGCTATTGCGGTTGTCGGAGGCTTCGCTGCCCATTTCATCTTTACATTTCCTGGTAAGGAAAATAATGTAGGTTTTTGGAGTTGGTTGTTAAGCTAGTAAGTAGATTATTGTTATTCGCGTGTACGCTTTGCGAGCCTATGTTTATCATCTCACAACGTAGAAAATTTCATCTATTGAACAGTAATGGATCTGTGGACATTATCTATAGTCTTGCCTAGTGTCATTAAAACATAAAGTTTAAAAATGTTTTTCAATAAAAGATTATTTTTCATTTGTGAAAGTTGACCTCCAACATCTCGTTTAGTGTGTATGTATATGTAAATTGATTGGTTGGGCTACTCTTCGTTCTTTTTAATCATTCTAATTTCACATTAGTATAATTTACATTGTGGATTAGTACGTTTATTATTTCACACAATAATATGTCATATTATATGTACGAATCTACAATGTTAATTATATTTAACTACCATAAATCAAGAAAATGTTTTACCAGCTAAACTTCTGAGATTATATTATAAAAACATAATGTTCTAATCACATTTACAATAATCAATGTTCTTTGCTGTCTTAAATTGAATATTTTAATCATAGGTTTATGTTTGATTCAAATCGCGTTGAAAGAATATGAATCACAGAGGAAAAGGACGGCAGGTTTGATCATTGGCGTATGTTATGTCGTAATAGGAACCTTTTTATTTGCGCAAACTGTAACTCAAGCACTTATGGATGATATTGAACATAAATCATAGCTTTTCATCTAATATTTCATCACGAGAAGCGATTGGTTAGTGGACTTCCAAGCAATTGTTTTCCAAGTGTGATTTATAACTCGAGTGGTGTTCAGCGTTTCCTAAAGTTTTTTTTACAAGAGAACTTTCCTCGGGTAATGTCGGACTGTGCAAGTTGTTTTTTCACATTGCGTCCTTGTTGATCTGGTTGTCTATAAAATTAAATTAGAAAATTGTTTTTGACATTGAATCTAATTATAAATTATATGAATTATCATGTGTAAGCAAGTTGAGACATGAGTCAAGTTTGTTTACTTTCTGGCGAATTTGGCAACTTAAAATTTGCCTTACTTTTGCCAAGCTTCGTATGTTGTTCTTTGATTTGTTGTTTGGTCTTGGGTAATTTTCCATCATGAATAGTATGATGTGAAACGACTTGAAAAAATGTTCATAGTGAGATACGAGATCTTATCATAAACAACCTGTAATCTAAAAATAAATCTATAGTTGTCGAGTGATAAGTTAATTAAAGGTTCCGTTATTTTAGTCAAAGATCTTCTGTACTGCACGCTCAAGCCATACGGAATGTACGCATTTATAACATGACATGCCTAGGGCGCTTTCTCAAGCCTTAATATCCTTTATGGGTGTATTTGAAGACATTCACGTGAAATTGAAACAAATATTGTGACAATTGCGACATTATAATTGTCTCGCAATGTTCTATCGTCTTTCAGAAATTGGTAGCCCACCGAGCACGTTGTTTACTGTTGTTGAGTTTCTCTTTTTTTTCTTAAAGAATTGTCAGTATGTCTATTAACAGAGAAAGTTCGTCCTTTTACAAGAGAGGCAACATTCAAAAAACGTATTCCTCTTTCGGTTTTGTGGAAAGTGAAGATTTACTCTCTGACAATTCACACGAGACGATACATCTCAACAAAAGTATATGCGATGAAGTCTTTGATGTGAAAGATTATTATGGTTTTCCATGGTACAGAGCTGTTTTTATTATAGCTAATGGCGCGATTGGGGCAGGCCTGTTAAATTTCCCTGAAGCGTTCAAGAAATGTGGTAGTATAGTGCAGGCTCTCCTTTTACAAGGGGTATGTTTTGGCATGTTTTCACTATCACCTTCAAATTGTTGTTTAAACTGACTTTCGTGTTGTTAGTTTTTTCTTTTTCCATTTATTTTTTGCATAATAGTTGTACAGTTAGCTTGATAGCTCTTTTAAAATCTTCTGTAATCTTATTTACTATTATGTTATGCATGTACAAACGACTTTAGGTTTTTTGTTTTTGCATGCGTCTCTTATGCATTGAGTCCATCTCTGGAAATTCATAAAAATGGTGGCTGTCTTCTGACTTCAAATTGTTCTTTTCATATTGTTCTGGACGTTATTTTTCTAATACAAACTGTGTGTAAAGTTCATGAAATAACCATGCAATGTTCATGTGTCATTCTCTAGATTCTTGCTGTCTTCATCTACGGAGCATTTCCCATTTTAGCGTTTTGTTGTAATATAGGGAAAACGAACACGTATGAAACTACTGTCCTAGTGTTTTGCGGCTCTTATGTGCAAACAATAGTTCAACTTTTGGTTCCGATTACTACGTTTGGGGCGAACGTCACTTATCTGATTGTCATTGGTGATCAACTCACTAAAGGTCTTTCAAATTCTAATTTTGTATTCTAGTCTCGTATGTCTTTCGAGTAGTCACACAAATGTTTAGATTTAAATCCATATACATCCCCTAAATCTCGTGTTTTTATCTGTTGTTTTCGAATTCTAATTTTGTATTCTAGTCTCGTATGTCTTTCGAGTAGTCACACAAATGTTTAAATTTAAATCCATATACATCCCCTAAATCTCGTGTTTTTATCTGTTGTTTTCGAATTCTAATTTTGTATTCTAGTCTCGTGTATGTCTTTCGAGTAGTCATATAAATGTTTAAATTTAAATCCATGTACATCCCCTAAGTCTCGTGTTTTTATGTGTTGTTGTAACTTGAATTCATCACTATGATCTGATTTTGTGTTTCTATCCAAACTGTTCTTGGGATGAAAATTTAACTCTCGTTTTTGTCCTTGTCATAAGTGTACTGATGAAGAGAGCTGAATAGTTTTAATCATTTTCTCTATTAGTTGTCTTCTGATTTAATTTTATACTCCAGTCTTGTGGATACAGGAATTATGTAATATTTTGATTAAGGTTACTGTGTCAATTTGACTCAATTCCTTTTCTTTTATTAGTGTTGGATTTTCCTGGCTTGTTTACTAATCGGACATTTATCATTATTGCTGTTGCTATAATTTGTATATTGCCTCTTTGTATTCCTAAGAGACTGAGGATCATCAGTTATACAAGGTTGGAATCTTGACAAATGCTTTGCGAAGAATGTTGGTCATTGAATTTTTGCAATGTATTTTTGTATACACTGTCACTTTTTTAAAAAGATTTATAGCAAAAAAAATCTGTTAATCGTGCCTTTACTTCGCGAGGAATAAAATTGTTTCATATTTTTTTTATACATAGTCTGTTTGGTGGATCTGGAGCTTTGCTCATTGCTCTTGTTATTGTACAACGTTATTCTGTGGGAAAGTACACTTTTAAAAGGTGAACACATGCGTATTCTGCTATCGTCGTAAATAATATATTGCTTAATCTTATGTTAACCTAGACAAATGAATCTATCATGAAAAAAGCAATTACCATAGCTTGACGTGTTTTTATATGCGTTAAATTTTCCTTTAGTGCTCAAACTCCACAGAAATGGACGGATTCTTTGGAGGCGATTCCTGTGTTCTGTTTTGCTTTTCAGGTAAGTCTTCTCACAGCCTCATCTTTCTCAATGATCGAAGAATCAATATATATGATTCGTGTAATATGTGATCATTTCTTTTAGTGTCATCTACCTTCAATTGCCGTCTTTTCCGAGCTTCGTCGTCCAACCGTCGTTAGATGTTCGTTTGTTACCCTTCTCGCCATGATATTGTGCTTTGTCATTTATTCGTTGGCTGGTGCGTTCGGCTATCTAACCTTTGGTCAAAATGTTGACAGCGATATACTTGTCAATTACGATTCTGACGACAAATTGGTGACGGTTGCGCGAGTCGTTATTGTTGTTGTGCTTTTAACAACGTTCAGTATTTCTCATTTTGTCGGAAGGTAGATAATTTCTTTTTGACGAACTTGTGATAATTTCTTTTTGACGAATTTGATTCATAGATCTGCAGTGATTGGACTGTGGGTGAAAGTACGACGCTTACGATCAGTTGATATCGAAAAAAGACGAGAAAGACGGCGAATCATTGCTTGCTTGTTGTGGTTCGCTTTGGCAATTGCCTTGGCATTAGTTATTCCCAGTATAAGGGAAGGAATCGCTTTTGTTGGCAGCATTAATGCTCATTTTATTTTTACTTTTCCAGGTATGAATTATTTTTATAACTCATTGGCGGGAAGATCGCTATTTCCCCCGTTACAGACCGAGTGGTCGTCCTTTTAATGTCTTCTCTTCGTGTTTTTTTTCCCTCCAGGATTATGTTTGGTTCATGTTGTCATAAATTACAAGACGTCTATTTCATCAAGCAAAATGAAATCCTTTGCGGTTCTTCTTATTGGCATCTTCTATGTCGTTCTAGGTGTCGTCGTGTTCTCCCAAAGCATGTGTATAGCAATACAAAATCATGTAAATTTACAAAAATAGACAAATGATATGGCTGTAACTTTATTGTACATTTGTATCGTGGATGACCAATGATTTTTTGCACCTAGAGATATGTTTCCCTGAAATTTCACTCACCAAATCCAGTTACAACAGCAAGGAAAATATTCTTTATGGTCTTTTAGTCTTTGAAAAATATCTGTTTTTTGGGTAACTTGGGGCGAAAACGAGCAAATCTATAACCATTTTGGACTGGTTTCCGTATCAATAAAATGACCATCGCGTGTCTCTTGTAATATAAGAAGCTGAATTTTGGTCAAAGTTTGATTTTTTTGACCTAATTGATATCACAATTCTTGTAAATTTTTTTACTTTGAATGATTTATTAAAAAAATATATAGAATGTTGAGATTAGTGTGCAACATTTACTTTAGCTTGAACTGTGGTTACTTAAGTATTCTATATAATTTCATTCTTTTATTTTGTTGTATCATAATAAATTGGTCAATACCAGTTATTATTGGTTCTTTTTTTGATTTACTTTTAAAGTTTAAATAAGAATTATAATTGCGATATCTTTGATGGTGTCAGATGTCAACCCATGGGGCAAACAAGGAAGAATGATAATTTAATTTGTGTAATCAAAGTTTCTTGATTGTTTCGTTGTTTAGTAATGGTTATGATTTGAAAGACGAGGTGGGTTAAATCAAATGAACATACAAAAACTTATGCAACCAAAAGTTCAATCGGGCGATGAGGACGAACTTCATTCTAGTATTAAATATGGTGCGTTGCAGTCTTCCTTTGGAGATAAACGAAGACTCCTTATATCGTCCGTGATAACCGACTCCTCAGTCGAATCACAATTTGTACAATCCCATGGACTGCCATTACACAGAGCTGTAATCGTTGTAGCTTGTGCTGCATTAGGTGTAGGCTTGTTGAATTTTCCTTACGCCTATGAAAAGACCGGTGGATTGGTGAACGCTTTGTCACTTCAAACAGTAATTCTATCGTATTGTTTTATCTTTAAAGATAAATTTTAATTAACGATGTCAAATTTTAAATATTATAAATGATGCATTTTTTTTAATAAATTATATCGTCAAATTTATAGTTGTTTATAATAAAGTAAATATGTTAAGATGCCTTTGAGCAGTTTTAAATCGCGACTGTACTTGTTTTTCTTTTGTATTTAGGTGCTTGTTTTTTTCATCATTGGTTCCTTTTTTATTCTTGGTTATTGTGGTTTTCATTATCAAGTAAAAAACTATGAAGATATGGTCAAGGTGCATTGTGGCCCTGTTGTTCAAGTCATTTGTCAAATAAATATTATACTTTACATGTTTGGATGCAATGTGACACACATGATCTTGATTGGTGATCAGCTTACAAAAGGTTTGACTGATTGACGGCATATTGTTTGTCACATACCAGACTGGACAAGTTTGTCTCCTCATAGGATTTCACTTTTTGCAATGCGGGTGCTTATTTTTTTTGCATTTTACTTACTTTTCAGTTTGTTCTACATGGATTGTGTGATATGACTTGGTGGATTAACTATAAATAATTAATTCATTGCAGTGATGTACTAGCTCAGTATTATTGTCATGAAATGCATGGCATTCCACTTTAAAGAAGGACAATGTATTTTAACTTTGAAGTCTCATTTGTTGAACTCAATAGGATATTCCTTTTCAATTTCAATTCTTTTTCTTTGTTTAGTCATTGATCAACCAGCCTGGTATTTTGACAGGAAGATTGTTATAACAGTTGCTTGTGTTGTGTTTATTTTACCATTGTGTATTCCTGAAAAACTCCAATGGTTAAGTTATTCAAGGTAAAAATGAGTTGTTCTTTTTACTGTGGGCAAACATTCTATGTGAGTTAGCCTTTTTAATTTTGTAGTTTACTTGGTGGATTTAGTGCTGTGTCGGTTTGCATTGTTGTGGTTTTCCGGTATTATGTAGGTAGTTATGCCCAGAACAATGATATAAGGTGTGTATAACTTAATTTGCTTATATTCTTCCTTTGCATCTAAAGACAAGTAGATTAAAAATGTTTGCATTTTGTTATATTCTAGCACGAAATCATTCACATTTGGTAGAATGTTGGCAACTGTTCCTGTTATCTGTTTTGCTTTTCAGGTAAGAATTACCCACATGCATGTTTTAATTACTGTTGAAAAATTATGATAGTCATTTATGTTTTTAGAGTCATGTTGCAGCTGTTGCAGTTCATACAGAGATACTTCGTCCAACTGTAAAAAGATTTGGTCTTGTTGTTCTTGTGGCGACGCTGTTATGTTACATATTGTATTCATTAACTGGTTGCTTTGGTTACCTGACATTTCAAAGTAATGTTAACAGTGATATCCTTAACAACTATCACCATGGAGACATTTTGGTTGATTTTGCGCGGATTTTCACGGTGCTAGTCGTTTTTAGTACTTTTGCCATCTTTCACTTTGTTGGAAGGTATCGTAAAATGAACGTATTCATGTTTTATTTCCTTGTCATGCCTCCTCCAATTTACATTTGTTGCAATAGGTCAGCCGTGATTGGTCTATGGTTAAAACTGCGCATGCTCACGCCAGCACAGGTTCAAAACTACAAGAATTGTCGCCGTGTGATGACGTCATTTGTATGGTTTTTCAGTTGCTTGGGTATAGCCTTGGTCGTTCCAACGATTTCAAACTCAATTGCTATTCTCGGATCTCTAGCTGCTCATTTTATTTTCACATTTCCTGGTATTATTATGTTCTTTTGTTTTTACGTCAATTTCAAGAATCGAAAATGAAACAACTGTATTCAATTTCAGGACTCTGCCTTATTCAACAAATGCTGCAAGAAGAAGAAGCAATGGAGATAAAAAGGAAGTTAGGTATAATATTAGGTGTTGTGTACGTCGTCCTTGGGGTTTTCGTGTTTGCTTCTACCATTACTTTGGCAATATACACTGATTTACAGACTAGAGGGTGAAAATGTTATGAACAAATAACTTTATTCGCATGAATTAAGAAAAGTAATTTAGAAAGATACTTAACAAATTAATGATAATCTATTTTCTAAATTTTTGCTTTGGCTGAGTTTGTTTTTTAAACGCCGCGGAGTCTTACAGTTTCTTGTCTTTGCTTGTCCTAATGACCCTAACGTGACTGATGATTTACCTAAAACCAACAATATTTTTTAAATATAGTACTGACAAAATCTTACAACCGACGATCCAATATTCTAGTTATTTTGCAGTAATATGTTACATACATGTATCTGTCGTCGGTTGTGTGGTATTGAAATACCTCTTTGATTTGTTGCTATGAAAACAAGAGAATGCAACTTATGTTTGCAAGGTGGTGCTACTCTTTTCAATTAACTGGTTTGCACAATAATGTCATCGACAAACCTTTTTCTAAGCCGTTGTATATAGAATGTTGACTGCTTGTCCATGACATTGGTTGACTGCAGTGACTACTGGATTGACTGAAGGCATAAAGCAAAATGTTTAATGTCATGTTTTACTCAGCTTTCTAGAACTATTATTTCAAACCAATATAGTATTTTTATTTGGAAATTAATATTGAAAAAATCCCCACAAGAAATTTAATATTGTACGATATACCTCATCTGCGAACTTGGAGTATCACGTGACGACATTCTTGATGCATTTTGAGTCCTTTCGTTGCCCGCTCCGGGTGTGTTATCTGCCCTAACCCTAACCACAAACATCACCTTATCATGGTAAAGATAATTGAAGGTAGAGTTCCATTACCGTGAGAAATAATCGCATAATGTTGATGTAGACATCTCTACCATCGAGAAAAAAGTATTTCTTTATGTGATCACTGAGTCCTGTTTCTTACCTCAATAAATTTGCAACAATTCCTGGTGTAGAACGCTGTCTTCCTGTTGGCGATGTTCCTATATAACAACATAATCGAAATGATGACGTCGATGCAAGACATCACATATTCTCACTAATGAGTTTAATCAATCTTCATTTGAGCAAGAGAATATTTTTGATGTAATATTTTCAATATGCACATGTTGTACCTATTTTTCCTATCATTCCATTAGATGGTGGCGTTCTTACTGTCAGTCGTATGGGACCAGCTGGCGTTCTAGGTGTCTACATAAAGCATAAGATTTTATTCACACGACATTTAAAATGTAAACAGGTGATAAAAAATCAGTCTTACATCACGTTGTTGTCCCTTCATCATAGTCAGCATTTGTGGACTGAATTGCAGTAAATGAAGTCAACACGATTAAAACTCAATTTGTACAGATGTTTGTAAGGGTTAGATTTGTACTCACGTGACTGGAGCTGATCTTGAGTAAGGTGATATTGGATTATGAGGAATGTTATTACCATAAGCACCTTGCGAAAAAATTATACCCTTTCCTTATGAATCATTCGTAAACTAAGATTGATCATGTGAACAAACAATAATTTATACACTGTAAGAATATCAGTGAACTATTTAAAAGAGTTTAATGTTTCTACCCCGACGATGTGAAGATTGGGAACCTGAGGTCATTCCTTGAGAGTTGTGAGGTGTGCCTTGTCTTCAGTAGTTGAAAAAAAAATGGATATAAAAATATGGACTAGTAAAATTTTTATTTCTTTTTTAGCTTGATTGGTTATGGCTTTTTCACCTTGACACATTTGGCCTGTCTTTTGCTTCTCCGTTCTGTGCGATTAAAAAAATGTAGTAAAGACCCAGCCATATATTTCGATATTTTCAATTCATACTTACGAAACATCAGTGGCAAGGAAAGATATTTTATGAGAGACTCTTGAAGAAAAACATACCGTTACTCCTAACATTTTCTTCATTGTACTATTTTCATCTTGAAGTTTTTTAATTTCATATTCCATGTCAGCGTATTGTCTTCCACCTTGACTGGAACCATTATTCAAGGCGTTCATCTAAATACGTAGTGTTAATGAAAGATTAAAAGAAGTTGGGATTATATCGTATTTTATATAAGCACAAACCTTTTGAAAATGCGACGCAAGACGTTTTCTGTGCGATTTCTGAAACTCTAAAACCTAGTTCCAATGCAATTGTTAAATTTAACTGTGCATCAATTAAACTGATATTTTCAATCACTGGGATACCTGAAAATAGGGTTTCAATTGTTTTTTCAATAACTCCACTGGATCCATAAAATACATTTCTACCTCTGGTTTTAGCTGTGTAAAATAGTCATGATCATTTATATTTTAGTCATGTCTTTGTTCTGGTAGCAGAGCACGTATAATTTGCGCAGATAATAAAACTATACACAGAGCAAGACTTACGTTCGAGGTTAATGGTATTACGCTGCAGGAAGATTTGCAAACAACGCATTTATGTGTGGTGCTAGCTGAAATGTACGAGAAGGAAAGTACGCCAACTTACTAAACTTATGTATATATACATAAATATATTAGAAACATAAGGATTGACAGCAACTCAACGTACCTTCTATGCACTCATGGCAAAAAACATGACCACAGCTTGTCAAAAAAAATTTTTTATTGTTGGCTGGTTGTACAAAACAGGTATTACAATGAATCCAATCCATACCACTGAATCCTCTCAATGTGGAGACGATTCGTGGATTTGTTTTAGACGAGCCATGCACTACTATTGTTTCTCATTTCTTCTATTTATCTAGTTTTCGCCTTTGTTTGGCGGCCATCTTCATTTCTTGAAAAAAGGCGGGAAAAAATGTTTCTGACACTCCACAAGAATAGTGAGGTCAGTTGGTGTTTTCCTGTGAAAATTTCAGTATTCACTATTCACTATATTAAAAATTTAGGCAAAGAGAAAGCAGTTGCAGAATTGAAAAAATTAATAAAGGTATAATAGAGTGTGAGTGTTTTGCAAGCTACTTTGTTTTTGAATATGTTGAAATTAAAAAAGAGGAGCATGCTGGGGTATCCATGTAACACTTAAATATACAGAGCAAGCAAAAAATAAGACAAAATTAAAAAGGATTTAGTTTAATTTTGATGCATTTGTATTATTTCATAATTGTAAAATGGGACTTCATCTTTTGATTCTATTTAAAAATGCAACAGTTAGGCTATGGCTATTGCTCTTTTTCTCCCAGAAATAGGCTTCTTAACGTTGCAGAACGCTAGTTTATTTCATGCTTTCTTATTCGTAATTATATTCAGTAAAAAGTGAATTCAAATAAATTTTATTCACAATAATATTATATCGGTTTATTTTTAATAAATATTTTTAAGGCAGCTAAGACCAACTACACATACCACGGAGACATCGAGACGTTCATTACATTTGACAGACGTTTACAAAGTGAATAAAGAGGGTATTGTTGAAAATGTCAAGTAAAAGAAATATTGAATTCAACGTCAAGAGCTCAAAATTAATCAATATTCAACCCAATCACAACCAAACATGAAGAATTTAATGGTCAAGACGCGTTGTAATCTAGCCATACGGCTGCTTGAGGGAACGTTCGACCGTTCTAGGACTATCTACTGAACGTTTTTTACTTTTCTCAACATTAACCATCATTTTTACTTCTTAAAGTTGGATACATTGCGGTAATCTTCTCTGTTATCTTGTAAGTATTCTTTTCCTGAGTCACTATCTATAACCAAAGGTGCTTTTTCCAAGATTTCGAGGATTCGAAATCGTTTGTGTTTACTCATCTTTGGGCAAACTTTAATAAGAACCATATCACCTGTCCTGCATTCGTTATTTTCATCGTGGGCGAAGTAGACTTTTCTATGATTGTAATACTGCGCATAGGAAAAAAAAGTATTAACTTCAGAAGACGATATTTGAATTAAAGATGTATCGATTTCACATTTACAAAAATCCTTTGCCTTTGTGTAACATACCTTCATTACAATCGGGTGTAATTTTAATTTTGTCACCAAAACTTTTGCTGTTTTATCCATTTTTGTACCAATCACCCTTCCCAAAAACTGCGCCATGTTGGAAACTCGTATATAAATATTGTTACATCAAGTATTTGAATTATACAAATTTTTCTTCTGTAAAATTGTGTACAGAAATTTCACCACTTTGTTTTACGGGATGTATTCATCTTATTTCTCAATGTAATTTTCAGTTATTTACCACTAAATGGCACAATCTTACCCTTCGGCTCCGCCTTTACCAACGTCGACGCCAACAAATCTTGTTACCAAAGTCCAATTGTCTATTTCATGTCGAAACTTGTTAGATAAAGATTTGCTCTCCAAGTCTGATCCTTTGGTTGTCGTCTACCTTTTCACAGGCAGTCAGTGGACTGAGGTATGGAAAGAGATAGCGTATTATAATTTAATTTTTAAATAAGTTTTCAAATGTGTTTTCCAGATCGGTAGAACAGAACAGATTAAGGATACTCTCAATCCGGATTTTGCAAAATCAATAACATTGGATTACCATTTTGAAGAGCTTCAGAAACTGAAAATATCTGTGTTCGACATTGATGATATTAAGGCTGACATCAGAAAGTCTGATTTTCTTGGAGACATTGAATGTACATTAGGTCAGGTAATGTTTACCATCTATAGTTGTTTGGAATCACCATGGGATATGACTGTATTTAATGACACCAGCAAGTGGGAGAAACCCTCCTATGCTCCCATATAAAATTTTCAACAATAATCTTCACTTGTACTATAAGTAAGTGTGCTTAAATGTAGTGATCATGTTTGAAATGTATTTTGACCACCAATGAAAAAACATTGCCTGTACCATTGATTTCATTCAAGTCTTTATCTTTGGTCAAAATTTATAACTTGCTTGTACCAAATGACCACAACAACTTTTTACTTTTGTTTAGCTTGTCAGCTCTCAAAAATATACAAAGTCATTACGTTTTCCTGGCAAAACTAATGCTGGCACTATTGTTGTAAGGAATCTCAAACTTTACTACTTTAGTCTTTGCTCTACTTCTTTTGATTATTTATGTATTCATGCCATTCAGATAACTGCTGAAGAACTTTCATCCAATCAGGACCTGGTTGAATTAATATTCCGAGCTCAGCATTTAGATAAAAGGTTAGTCTTTTAAAGAAGAATTTCAGTGTCTTCTTTTGAATGTTACTTAAAACTTTCTTTCATTTCTTAAGGACCTCTTTGGTAAAGCAGATCCATATTTGGAGTTCTCAAGAGCTAATGAAGATGGAAGTTTTGTGGTTGTCCATCGAACAGAAGTTGTGAAAAATACGTTGAAGCCATTGTGGAGACCTTTTCAAGTGAAAGTTGTAAATCTATGCAATGCAGATTTCAAGAGAATAATTAAGGTAGGGGGCTGCTAATTGCTGAGTTGCTTATGAAACATGTGTATTTTTTTTATTTCTTTTACTTTCAAAGGTTGATTGCTATGATTGGAACAGTGATGGAAGTCGCGATTTTATTGGACAATTCTCAACAGACCTGGATGAGATGAAAAATGCAAAACAATGGAATGAAGTTAGAAGAAATATTTACTTTTTCAAACCATATCTTTATATTTGCATAAACATTTATCTGTGTTTTTGTATGTGTAGGCTTTAAGATTGGTAATCCAGTCATTATTTTTGAAAAATAGAAGTTGCTCCGGATTTTATAAATAATTTTATTTAGCTTTCAACTCGATGCTTTGAGCCTTCTTCAGAATAATGAAGTTATTTATATTGTAGGCTCGAAGAAGCAAGTCGAAATTTTAGTGTGTATGTAGCAGTGTGCAAATTAGTTCAGAAAAACGATGTGCAATTTTTTTGACAAAAGTGTTTCTTTAGAGGCATAATCAAATCGATATTACGTTAATTATTATATAGCGCTAATTGCTAAATTAATATTTTTAAACTTGAACAAATTCATGATTTACGACAGTGCTTTTGGTTAAAACCACTGATTTTTGCACATCGTTTAAAAAAGAGATGTGCAATTGTTTTCATTTTAGCTAAAACGATGTGCAAATTGCACATTGCACACCGTTAATTCGCACACTGGTACGTAGATATGTGTATGTAATAAAGTATTCTACCAAACTTTGTATTGCAGCTTTCTTGGGCATGTATCAACATGAAAAAGAAAAAGAAAAAAAAGAATTATGATAATTCAGGCATGGTGTATTTATCAAAATGCGAGGTATTAATAGAAAGTAATTTGTAACACCAGTTTTTGATTTCTTCAAAACAATTGTTTTATTTTTCAGATAATAAAATGTCATTCATTTTTGGACTACATTTCATCTGGTGTGCAGCTGAACTTCTCTGTGAGTGCAATGTCATGTCTATTTTCATTTTACGTATAATCAAAGACAAATACTGAGATGTTTTCATGTAAAGGTTGCTGTTGACTTCACTGCATCAAATGGACATCCATTACAACATACATCTCTTCATTATATCAATCCATATGAACCAAATCAATACATGAAGGCATTGACTGCTGTTGGACAAATAATCCAGGATTATGACAGGTGTGTATACATTTTATTTGGTTGAGTGATCTTGATTTAAATGATTATTATTATATCTTTTTTAGAGATAATCTTTATCCTTGCTATGGTTTTGGTGCAAGACTTCCTCCTACAAATATGGTATGTTGGAAAAACTACTAAAGCTGATGTTGTGCTGATTTTTATTTAAATGAAAATGTAGCTATAACCAGTCATATTAACTGTTTTTGATTGTGTCTGTCTAAACTTGTGATAATTTTCTTGAAATCTGCTTTAGGTCTCCCATATGTTTGCATTAAACTTCAATCCACAGAATCCTTATTGCAATGGTGAGTTGACTTACAAACTGTTGTCTAGTTTCTTGTTAACATGAGAATTTTGGATCTGAGAACATGTTTGCATTTCATAAGGTATTCAAGGTATCATGGCAGCTTACCAGTCATGTTTATACAATGTCACTCTGTATGGTCCAACAAACATTTCACCAGTTATCAATCATGTGGCTGCCTTTGCTAAGCAAGCAATAGCTAGTGCTGACGTATGTACCTTTTCGAGCAGTTCATTTTTACTTATTAGTGTAGAAAAGGCCAAGTACATTGTTACACATGTTGTACATTGTTATTGTTATTAATTATAGAGCTACCATATTCTTCTAATTTTAACTGATGGTGTTATTTGGACATGGATCAAACAAAAAGTGCAATTGTTGAAGGGTCAGGTCTTCCTTTGTCAATAATTATTGTAGGTGTTGGTGCAGCAGACTTTGAAATGATGGAGGAACTAGACTCTGATGATAAGCTGTATGTATAATTATCGTCACTAGTTGTGTCATGAGCGTTGCCTGGATTTCTCTCTTTACCCCTCAGGTTAACTACATCTTGGGGAAAGGCCGCACAAAGAGACATTGTTCAATTTGTTCCATTTCGTAACTTCAAAAATGTAAGCATTGATAGTTTAGTATTGGTTTACTAAAATGCACGTCAGTTTATTATTTTTTGCATATAAATTTAATGATGACTTTTGTCATTAAAATTTATGTCATCACCAAGGAATTTTTTCTTTAGTCTTCACCTGCTGAATTGGCAAAATGTGTTCTAGCTGAAATCCCAGAACAGGTAACTGGGTATTTTCGTTCCAAAAACATCTCTCCAATATCAAGGTGAGAGATACTGAGGACAGTCTATGTTGTATCGTTTAGTAATTTACATGTAGTTAACATCAAGAATTTTAGTATAGGGTCGAGAATGTCACTGTTGTGATATAACTCAGGGAATTGTATAGTCTAATTTTAATATAATAATCTTTATTTAGCTTGTATAACTATTAATCTAAATCTACATAAATAAACGAGGAATGAATGCCTACATATTATATTTTGTAGTCATATAACTCCTCTTTTTTGTAATTATTTTTCAAACCCATCTTTAATTAAGATCCTGCAAACCTGTGCGGTTAAAAATATGTTTACTTTTAAAATTTAAAATTTATGTAGTCTCGACTTTTTGACAAATTTCAATTATTATATTGTTAAATTCATTTGGCCTATCAGCAAAAACATGATGGCCTGCATTTTTAACACTATAAATCTCAAACTGTTCTGGTCGGATTTCTTTGATGTCATTGGATATACTTGCATCTATACGAGTTCTTGATCCAAACAGCATGAAAACTTTTACCTCTTGATTAAGTTCTTTAATACGATGCATCATGGGAAATCTTGGCCATAGATATGGAATGGTTAACCTCTTGAACCCAGTCTCCCCACTAATAAGAGAAATGCTGTTTATACTTTATAGTAAAGAAAAAGACATAAAATCACACAACACACACCTTGGATTTTGAACATTGCAATGATAAAGATAATTTGGTATTGTGTCATCACTAAATATACTAATGAATTTTTTTTCTAAATCTGGTCGTGTAGTTCGAAGAACTGCAGGTCCTGTAATGAAAGGTTGGTTTAAGAAAACACCAAGTTGATGTACTAATTGCTCAGTAATTGAAATACCTAATGGTCCTCGAACGTAGTATGGCATATGGGTTGAAAGGGCTTAACATAGCTGCCATCATTTTGATCCACTTTGGCACATGCACATTGCTTTTCCAATCTTGAGTCTTCTCTGTGAATCCCCAAGGGTCAACCAGTATTAATGATTTCACATGTTGAGTATGTTTTATTGCATATGCATATGACAAATATCCACCAAAACTATGACCAATTATGATAAATTTGTCCAACCCCAGACCAATCACTGTATCTTCTATTGATGAAACGAATGCATCTTCAACAGACTTGGGATCTTCATCAAAATCCGGCCGTGAGCTACGACCAAATCCCAACAAGTCAAATGTGTAAACAGGTCGATCTTTGCAAAGCTCTTTAATATTCATCACCCATATTCCAAGACCAGCTCCTAAACCATGGACCATCAAAACAGGGGTCTTAGAACCACTTGGATTGAAGACTACAGTCCATATCCGATTATTCTTTGATGTGGTTATGTACTTTCCTTCGTAAGGTACATCCACACCTACAAATATAGAAAATTAACAAAGTTTTTTCAATGAATTTTTAAATAAGGCATGACATTAAATTATAAATTCTTTTCATACTCTATGGATTAAATAACCAATACGAATAATTAATGCAAACACGTATCATAAACAATTCTTTTCACCTATTTAGATTGAAATGGCGAGCTAAACAAGCTCTTTGGATGCTAAACTTCTCAAGAAGAACTAAATTAAGAGCAAGACTCACTGCTGAGAACTCTCGACTCGGCATCGGCTAAAAGCTGCTCGGACGTTGGGCACCATTTCAACCATTCCCACCACCAACTTTGGGGAAAATTAAAAAGAAAAGAAAGATGAGCTGTTAAGATGTACATGGTACGCTGACAACGACCTTCATGACTACTTCACGTGCTTAAAACAAATTTTAGCTAAACACAACGCCCATTATTTCAGGTTATCTCACCTTTCTTGAGAAGTGAGCGATGTTTCAGCCATTGCGTGGCATGTTAAAATCCAGCAACATCAAAATTGAAGTATTTTGACATGCTGCTATGAGAATTATTCATTAAAACGTCGTATATTTATCGTTTTAAGAAATCTTTGAAGCGCCGGGTTTTGTTCTCACCGCTATCTATGACGATGTAAACACGCAGACCTGGCGTATGTCTCGCCTACAAAACTTAGCCAGTCAAAATAACGATTCAACCTTCAAATATTGATTAAAACATTATTGCAATTGTATTTTAATTTGGATTTTTTTTGACGATTACTATGTTGCCCAAGAAAATTTATTTCCACATTTTCTGGTTTCATAAACAAGAACACATGCGGCATTTGTTTTGCGAAGGTCAGTGATGGTTTCACTCGTGCAGACGTGCATGACATACGACACTGCTGTTGCAATTACGTAATCAGCCCATATTTGGACGTCATAACCCACGGTTGTCTTATTACGTCATTAAATAAAACTACGTAATTCGATTCATTACAGCAATGCAGTATTTCGTGACCTTTTTACTGCACTAATTTGACCTTTTTCATTACTTTATAGTTAAAGCCATAAGATTTCGTGTAATAAAAATTAATGCCCAACATAAAGTTCTGATCAGAGCCATAGAAATAGACCAAAGAAAACAAATTGTAAAATTAAATTTATTGTAACGTTTTGTCTTTACTCAAGACATCTTCAGACAAATAATAAATAGGATGTTAAGACAAGATATTATATTTACAAAAAGGTGTTAAATTACTACTAAAGAAGGCGGTGTCAAATGGATATATGATAAGGAAGTTAGGAAGTAAAATAAAGAGAAATTAAAAGAGGTTAAGTGGAATGGAGTTTCCTTGCACATTAAGTGAAGGCTTGTATTTATCGATTAGAAGGCTTTCTAAGTATACATATTTCAAATTTTACAAAATTCTGCTTAATATCTGCGCATATGTACAAGAGGTTTGGCTGCTCAGCTAGCTGGACATAAAAGGTAAAGTGTTGTCTGTTTAGGTGACTAAAATGTTTCTTTATCACAAGTTTCAGCTACATCTAAAACTTTTAAATTAAATTCAGAAGCTGCATCAGCATATACATGATGGCCTGCATCTCGAAGGACATGAATGGTGTATTGCTCAAGGTTCTGTATTCCCATGTCTTCAAATATTCGATCTAATATCCATGACTGTTCACCAAACAACATTGTAATCCTCATACGCTTATGTAGATCACCCATTCGATTAACCATAGGAAACTTTGCCCATCCATATGGTAAAGCTAGCTTCTTCAATGCCATCTCCCCACTAGATAAATATGCTTTTAATGTAGATGTATTCTAATATAAGCGTACATGACTACCAACTTACCTTGGGTGTTGAGCATTACAATGGTATACATAATTTACTATTGTATCATCATCAAATTGTTCTGAAAACTTTTCTTCTAAATCTGGGAAAATTTGCATGCGAGGCGTGGACCTTCAATGTATATAAATGACTAGTTCAATACTCAAAAGATTGTTTCAGACACCAACAAATAAGAAATAATAAAAAATACCTAGTGGTCCAGCAAGTCTTAAACCAGAAAAAGGATTAAATGTTTGCATGATTGTCACGGCCATCCTGAACCAAAGTGGAAATGTTCTTGATTTATTCCATTCTTGTGGCTTCTCAGGAAATCCCCAAGGATCTGCCAAGATCAAAGACATGACATGATCTGGATATTTTATAGAGTAAGCACAAGCAAGGTAACCACCAAAGCTATGACCTAACAAGATAAACTTATTTAATCCTAACTCTTTTCTTGTAGCTTCTATAGAATCTGAATGTCTCTTCCACAACACTGGGATCACTATCAATTTCTGGCCTGTCACTACGGCCAAATCCTAATGTATCAAAAGTATACACGGCCCGATCTTTTGAAAGTTCTTTGATATTTAATGTCCATAATCCTAATCCAGCACCAAATCCATGTAACATCAAGATTGGTGTTTTTTGTCCATCAGGATTGAATGTTACAGTCCATATCTTATTTTGATTACTATCAGTGACAAATCGTCCTCGATAAGGTACATTCAATGCTAAAAAAAATTAATTTAATTAGTGATGGTGAGTGAAGATTACATGTCAATATTATAATCCTACACAACATACTTTTTAATATTCTTGATTCAGCAGATCGAAGTAACTCGTCTGAAGTTGGACACCAGCTGAACCAACTACAATCAACAATACAAATAAAAGCAGAATTTTTATGACTGTATCTGACACTGGTGTACGTAGAGTATTAAAAATTCCGGTTATCCCGTTAGTGAAAATATAGTTACATATAATCTTCACTCACCGACTTCTCGTAGTTTCAAGATGTTCTTCTTCCTCCATAATAATATTGCACTTTGGTTTAGTAGATGTTAATTAATTGTAAGAATGAAAATACGTTGTTTTTTAACGTCAGAATATGCTGTGTCATTAATATTTGTGTTTGCCTGTTTGGTGAGATAAGTAAGATATTACCCTTACGTCATTACAACTTCCTTAGGCTGGGCTTTGGTATTCACCACTGATACGTATATTAGACTGGATAACTCATCTTTTGCGAAGATCGAAGCCGGAAGATCGATCATTTGCTACTGGCTTCTTGGGGTGTTCGGTTCAACTTTACTATACTTTTGTACTACAATATCACAGTTTTCGCGTTTTTATTCCTTTTACAAACTTCTGATTGAGGCAAATTTTTTATGACATGTAGAGGAAAACCGGTAGAGAGTTTTAACCCTGAAGCTCTGTTTTTTTGGCTTTGTAACGACTGAAAAATAAGATGGCAGGTTGTATTGAACAATTTCAGCTCTGCGAGGTATTTTTAGAAGATGAATACTTAAAAATTACAAATTTACAACAAAGTAAGAACAAAGGTATTCATATCTTCAACATATTCATCAATATTGAAGTTGTTCACATAGGAACTGGTTGAAAACTTTGTTTCGCTTAATGACAACAGAGGTACTTTAATTCGCATATTTTGATGATGTACATCTCGTAGAGTTTGATGATACCGTTTTCAACTTACTATTGTTCATCAAAATGTCTTTCTGATTATTTTTCTATGTCGATTTGTTTTGTTTCTTCACTGATATAATAAAGACGTAATTTGAAATTATGATATTAGCGATGTGAATAACAAAGTGTTGTTAAATAAGTAAATTTGTAGCAATCTTCCATAAACATCATTGCAGATGAAATTTTGGTAGCAGTAGTAGGATTCTGTAGAATTTCTACATTTTTAAAGAAGCAGCAGCATCATATAATCTCCAGTTTGTTTCAAAACCATGCAGGTCGACCTTGTACCATCTCAATTTCCTGCCATTATAAAGCCAAGAAGACAAACTTTTTAGGATTAAATATCTTTGCCGGTTGTTCTGTCCCTTTCACAAAAATTTTGCTCGAATCAAAAGTTTGTAGAACTAATAGAAACGCAAAAACTGTGATTTTGTAATACAAAAATTCATGTAGTCATGACTTTTTGACAGATTTCAATTACTATATTGTTAAATTTATTTCGCCTATCTGCAAAAACAGGATGGCTTGCATTTTTAACACTATAAATCTCAAATTGTTCTGGTCGGATTTCTTTGATGTCATTGGATATACTTGCATCTATATGAGTTCTTGATCCAAACAGCATGAAAACTTTTACCTCTTGATTAAGTTCTTTAATACGATGCATCATGGGAAATCTTGGCCATAGATATGGAATCATTGAGTTCTATAATAACTGGAGCGGCTATCTGAAGCACGGCCTTAGATATCTGACAACGCCAAAAAAATGGCGTCCTCGTCCCAGTAAAGTTAGCCGCTCCAGTTATTATAGAACTCAATGGTCATAACCCACAGTTGTATTATTACGTCATTAATTAAAACTACGTAAGTTCGATTCATTAAAGAAATGCAGTATTTCGTGACCTTTTTACTGCACTAATTTGACCTTTTTCATTACTTTATAGTTAAAGCCATAAGATTTCCTTCAATTAATAAGTATACATATTTCAAATTTTACAAAATTCTGCCTAATATCTGTGCATATGTACAAGAGGTTCGGCTGCTTAGCTAGCTGGACATAAAAGATAAAGTGTTGTCTGTTTAGGTGACTAAAATGTTTCTTTATCACAAGTTTCAGCTACTTCTAAAACTTTTAAATTAAATTCAGGAGCTGCATCAGCATACACATGATGGCCCGCATCTTTAAGGACATGAATGGAGTATTGCTCAAGGTTCTGTAGTCCCATGTCTTCAAATATTGATCTAATATCCATGACTGTTCACCAAACAACATTGTAATCCTCATACGCTTATGTAGATCACCCATTCGATTAACCATAGGAAACTTTGCCCATCCATATGGTAAAGATAGCTTCTTCATTGCCATCTCTCCACTACATAAATATGCTTTTAATGTAGATGTATTCTAATATAAGAGTACATGACTACCAACTTACCTTGGGTGTTGAGCATTACAATGGTATACATAATTTAATATTGTATCATCATCAAATTGTTCTGAAAACTTTTCTTCTAAATCTGGACGAAATCTGTGCACAAGACGTGGACCTTCAATGTATGTAAATGACTAGTTCAATATTCAAAAGATTGTTTCAGACACCAACAAATAAAAAAATAATAATAAATACCTAGTGGTCCAGCAAGTCTTAAACAAGAAAAAGGATTAAATGTTTGCATGATTGTCACAGCCATCCTGATCCAAAGTGGCAATGTTCTTGATTTATTCCAGTCTTGTGGCTTCTCAGGAAATCCCCAGGGATCAGCCAAGATCAAAGACATGACATGATCTGGATATTTTATAGAGTAAGCACAAGCAAGGTAACCACCAAAGCTATGACCTAACAAGACAAACTTATTTAATCCTAACTCTTTTCTTGTAGCTTCTATAGAATCTACGAATGTCTCTTCCACAACACTGGGATCACTATCAATTTTTGGCCTGTCACTACGGCCAAATCCTAATGTATCAAAAGTATACACGGCCCGATCTTTTGAAAGTTCTTTGATATTTAATGTCCATAATCCTAATCCTGCACCAAATCCGTGTACCATTAAGATTGGTGTTTTTTGTCCATCAGGATTAAATGTTACAGTCCGTATCTTATTTTGATTGCTATCAGTGACAAATCGTCCTCGATAGGGTACATTCAATTCTAAAAAAAAAATTAATTTAATTAGTGATGGTGAGTGAAGATTACATGTCAATAATATAATCCTACACAACATACTTTTTAATATTCTTGATTCAGCAGATCGAAGTAACTCGTCTGAAGTTGGACACCAGCGGAACCAACCTGAGAACCAACTACAATCAACAATACAAATAAAAGCAGAATTTTTATGACTGTATCGGACACTGGTGTACGTAGAGTATTAAAAATTCCGGTTATCCCGTTAGTGAAAATATAGTTACATATAATCGTCACCCACCGACTTCTCGTAGTTTCAATATGTTCTTCTTCCTCCATAATAATATTGCAATTTCGTTTAGTAGATGTCAATTAATTGTAAGAATGAAAATACGTTGTTTTTTAACGTTAGAATATGCTGTGTCATTTGTGTGTGTTTGCCTGTTTAGTGAGATAAGTAAGATATTAACTTTACGTCATTACAACTTCCGCAGGCTGGGCCATTGGGATTCACGAGGAATTTGTATGGCATGAACGTGATCATGCAGTGCAGTTGTGTACAGTTATGTACAATAGATGTATATATGTAATTGATAGTACAATATGAATATAATAAATTGAACTTTGAAGTTAACAAATTGTAGAGTGCACGAGTAACAAGTAACTTTGTAATAATTTCATATTTTCACTGAATGAAATTTCCAAATGGACGGTGAATTAGGAGAAGCTGATGAAGCCGAAGAAGTTTGCGAAGAAAAAGTTAATCGATACATCGGAGTTGGTTAATTCCTCAAATAAGAAAAATAGAAAATGGCTTCTATGTCCATATTGTGACTCAAAGATTCTACCACCGAATAAAGGTGAATATTTGGAGAAAGAGGTAATTTAATCTTTATAGCATTCCGCTCCAACCATGAAAATATATTAATTTCGTCAAATCTCACCTGTTTTGTCGAAGCAAGGAATTCACTCTCCTCATTTGATATAGTTAATTTATGTAATGTATTTTATTTCTCTAACTTTATATATACTTGTATATGCAATTATTTCAAAGGCGATTCTTCTATGTAGATGCGTAGTTTTTCAACTTTAGAATAGAGTGTTTGTGAATGTTGTGTTAGAATGTCGACAGGACTGGGGCCAAGAAGGAATAGAAACTAGAAACTAGCCTGAAAAAGGATGATTTTATCATTTACATATATGCTTTTAAAATAACAGAATGGAAGAAATTTGTTTATTATATTTATTTTTAGTATGTGCTTCCTCGGGCAACAGCAAAACATGAAGTACCAGTTGAATCAGAGAGAACTGCTTTCCCAATATTGGTTAGTCATAGATATGTTCACATTTGAAAATGTCGGCTTTACAAAAACTGTTGGCACAACAAAATATTTGATTTGTGCCGATTGTGAGATAGGCCCTATTGGTTTTGTTAACCTTGAAGATAAATCAAAACATTATGTTGCTTTGAGCCGAGTTAAATATCGTTGATTTATCAACACCGTAAATGCACAACCATTGTTATATCAAAAATCACAAGAAGTCCAACTTGAACTTGCCATTTTTACAAAGGATCATGCTTTTAAGTATGTATTTACAAGATGTTTCATAAAATTTAATGACTCTATAATATCTATATTTGTGCATATATTATGAATAGTATGTGCATCAAAATATGTTGAATGATGCTTAGGATTTCAAGGCATTTTCTTCCTTTTTACTATAATACATTCAAGATCACATTAGGTAGTACTGGTGACATTAGAGTTAATGTTACAGATTCTCCTGATTTCTGTATAAATTGTGACACTTGTTTATAATTGTAATGTTTCACAGTAAAATCTCCCACTGATATTATGACATCACCAGCTCGTACTCCAAGATCCTTTTAATGCAAAGTGTAAATGATAATTTGAGGGGGATAAAAAAGAGATAGTTGTGGATCAGAGAATAAAAATTAAAGCATAAAAGCAAGTGCGCAACATGATCTCCCAAAAGAAAATCCAATCAAAAGTATTACCTGTGCCCTCTGGTTTAATTTGCTTATTATCGTTGGTCCTACACCACGTATTGATATACCCAGACCTTCGTGCTCATCGCGATTTAACGTAACAGTTTTTTTGGAGTGATACTTTATTTTTGAGTTGAAAGCAATGACAGGACCCTAGAATGAAGAAATGTATGAAGAAATGTATGAAGAAATTACCTCTTAACTTTCTTTTATTGAGAACATTGCTTAGAAAAGCTTGTTATAGTTTGGCTTACAAGTGCAGCAAAGATATCTTGAACTGGGTATTTCTTGACTTCTGGCTCAATAATCTTATCCTTTCTATCTGTGGAACCTGTTTTGTGAAATGATGAATGCATTGCTGTTTGGTTGTTATTCTTTATATGAATTGAAGGATTTCACTTTCATTTGAATCACATTCACGCTTACAATTAATTTCATTGGCCGGTTCGATGTCACTTAGATTGCCTGACACATCAACTGAAGAAAGTTTGTTCTTGATTTGAGTTGAAAAAGTGTGCAGAGCCTAGGTAGATTAATTAAAAACAATGGTCAACACCTTTTCCCGTTTCATCATCGTTTAATTTTAGATATTACCTTATGCACGCAGCTTAGTTTATTGATAAAACGATCATTTTTAGTAATCTCCTTGGCAGTTTCCTCGATCATTAAAGCTTTCTTCATATGACTTTTTGCCTCATTTGTTCTACTGTCCTCGTTCATTAGCCATGTTGCAATCTTGTTGAGCTCAATCAAAGCAGATAATCTGTTTTGTTCTTTGTCAAATGTATTATTCTCGCAATCTGTGAACTCCGGATCTACACCAGAAAAAAAGGTCTTTGTATTTAGCTATGATCTTTTGTATTGAAACTCAACTTTTTTTGCCACTTAAGGTATAAAGGGCGTGTGTTTGTATGTGTAGAACACTTACCGCAATTTTGAAGCAATATTAACGCCGCATAGTAATGGCAAGTGGCTTTGAAGTGTAAGGATTTCACCTGAATAATTCACAGGAAATTTCATCATCAGTTAATTAAAGCTACCGCCTTTTTAGCAGTAATATTTTGTTATTATTTTATTCACCTCAGCTAAAATAGACCAAGATGGTGGGATACTTGCGACTTCAGACATTGACTTTGTTAATGCTTCGTATCTTCAGATAACTGAAAATTATGATAAAAAACATCACTTTCCATTTTACTCCACCAGACCTTTGTGGTGTTTCCTTGTTACAAACCTGCGCTGCTTCTCTTGCCAAAATATTATAAGATTGCACATCTTCCTTTTCTGGTTCCTGCATATCTGAATTCAAGATGCACTCTTGGGCTTGTAGCTACAAACAAGTTCAACGAAAATCAAGTACAACTTAACATTATTCTTCCAAGAGAGTTATTTTTGAGGAATGCCAGTTTTTTTACCTTAAAGATACCTTCCAAGATTTCGAGCACGTCTTTCGTCAAGTCTTTACTAAACTTTTCGCGAACGCTTCTCTTAAGATACCTGAAAATACCTAGGAAAGATTTTTTCTTGAGTTTTTTCATCTTAATGATGGAGCAAAATGAGGAAAAAAACACATGCTGAGCTCACGGTCTTACCGGCAGCTTTTTGCAATGAAGTGATTGCTTCTTGTGTCGATTTCGTTTCCGAATTGAATTCCTGTGAAAATTAATATAAATGTTATCTTCACAGTGGGAGTTGCGTTTTTTTCAAAATCACAGATATTGTCATAGACTTAACACTCTTCAATCTTAATAGCCTTAAGACACGAGGAAGAGATTGAGCGGCAAATCGTGGATAAGAATGATAAAATAACTCTGACTTACTTTTGCTGCCGCTATTTGTGTCCAAAGCACTCCAATATTAAACAAAATGCTTGCTTTTTCATAAGCAATTGACTCGTTAGCTGTTTGATGCGCTGTTAACGAGTCGAACCAAATGAACTGTATTGCTGAAAACTTTTGGTTGGTAAACATGCGTTTTTCAAGCCATATAAGCTGATTATAATATTCGTACAGTAATTTTACTCCATTTTCGTTTCTTTCTGGCATTTGGACTTTCTGGAACAAAGTAAAGAACAACATCTAAAGATATACATTTTGTTGAATTGAGCATGTTTGCTTCTATACCGATCATTTTATCGTTGTAGGTATCTCCTCTTGAGGCTTATATAATATTCGGTAAATCACAACTTAAGTAGATATTCTTCCTCGTTTTAAATGGTAGGTAATGGTAGACAGTGTGTGTGGTTAACAGGTATTTCAGCAAAATGCGTGTAGACTAGAATTTTACATACCTTCCTAAGGTCAATCAAACGTTCAATTTCATCACGAAAAGTCTTCGGGTCTTCATTGTAATGGTGTTGAATCATCTCCTGTCGAAAGTTGAAACGCGAAAATAACGTTAAGTTAAACAGGCCTGTAATTACGATTTTACAGGAACTCAACTTATAAATATATGTATAGTTTAGGAGTAACTAAGTCCTACTTCTATTTCTCCTCTCCATTCAATGTTCAACGTGTCTTTCAAAGATATTGCAATCATCGGAAATCCAGTCCTTTTAGCACTGCAAATATATAGTATTGTTTGATTTATATATTGGACAGGTAGCATTTATGTTAAAATGAATGAAGGACATCAACTTTAACTTCTCAGTGTTCTTACAAACCTTTGATAAATATCAAACGAACTTCGTAGATTTGCGAGTTCGTTGTATAAAACCTCAGACGAGAATCATATAAACTAATTTCCTGAAGCAATGTGTCTTGGATGTTTTATTCTTGACACTACAGAAGAAACATCGATCAGTTCAAACATGTTACGTCACATTTTGGAGAGTGATGCCCGCCGTAGTATCTAGCACATTATGAATGAAAACCATGTATTAAATAGTCCCTTGTTTTTTAAAAACGAGAAAAAATATAGTTTAAGACAAAAACGTGCTTATAATTGCCCACTTATGTAGATAAATGTTTGGTCGATATTTTAATATTTTCATTTTCAACATTTTGAATGTTTTTAATTTATTTGTAACGTTTGTATTTTGAAAAACCTACGCAATCAAAAAATATATGTATATCTAACTATCTATGTAAAGGAGGAAGGAGATGAGCGTTTACCGCTGACCATCCATAGCTTGCACCATCTTCTCAGCTCCATCACGTAAGCGCAGATTTTTAAAGATCTGTTTGTTCAGCTGTTGTCTTTTCACCTGAGCCGCTCCACGTAAAGTCATTCTTAGTGGGTCAATGGTTAGAAACTGCGTATAGTTATCCTATTGAAATTTTTAAAAAATTTTTAAAATTCTTCAACAATTTTCACACACGGCCATTGAGTATCTGGGCTCCAGCCAAAATGATTTGTGTGAAGATTTTAGTCGTCTCAGCACAATGTTCTATCATGACTATTTATAACCAGACAATTCCTCTGAAATTTAAAATCTGAATGGATTATTTTTCAAATCGATAAGATTTGTTTTTTTTATGCATCTTTATTTTGCCGATATCTGCAGCAATTACGTTTAAATAAACTGATTGTTATTAAGCGGCACCTTATTCTTTTGGTTGTTTTAATTATTAGTCGCGCACTTGATCCGAATCTTCATTTACTAAGTGTTATTATGCCTAATTTCTTCCGGTTTTTGTGTCATAATGCTTTCTAAGTTCCGCAACATACGGCGAGCAGACTTTACTAATGTTTTAACAAATATTGCAAATGGAAATCAAATTTGCTATATCCTATATCCACTTTCATTTACAACAATTCCGTCCGTCAATAACGACGCGCTAGTGATAAATAGTTCCTGGATTTTATCATGTAACTAGAGACAACAATATTGCTCTAACTTCATAATTTCATATCAAATAGTCTATGTACAAAATGCACTGCTTGTTTCATTTGTCTCTTTGTCTGTAGCTTTCTTTGCCTGTTAAGGTAATTTTTACCACCACAGATAATTTAGACTTAGAATGTATTGTTAATGAACTTGACAATGAATTGCTGTGAGTTTTTTTAACGTCATTGGCGTATAAAGAAGCTTTAAAATACGGATTTCAATGCTGACATACACCACACTCTGACAAGTTTGCTTTTCGCAGAAAAAATATAACTTGTATGAGTAGCAACTCAATCTTACATCTTACCTCGTCATGTTTCAGTATTTCTCTCTCTTTATCACTTAAAGATATTTTCCTAGTCGTCATGATGCCGAAGTTTGTTTGATATAAGTTTCTATTGATGGTCAGTATTAGAGTTGACTTGCCAATGTTCCAATATTTGATTTGACAGAGATTGCTCGAGATGTATGATCTTATTCTAATACAATCTACGAGAAAGCTTCTTTAGTACAATCTTGCTGTCAATAAATCTTCCAGTTGTGTGCTACGCCAACAACAGTGTTTCCTATTACGACGGTCGAATTGAAAGATTTCTCACACTTTTCTTGACCTTTTATTTCAAGGTGTAATTAATATTTCCTTGACGTCATAAGCACATATGAAGACAAACATATCGGTTTACAGCAAATGTAGTGTCTAAATTGGGAAAAAAAAATGCGAACTTGCATTGTGGGTTGAAGAATGTTCTACCAATGGGGGGTGAGGTATATTTTTATTAGAGTCGAGATGAATCATGATTGATAGTTAATTCCATCTGTTTACCTGAGTTGGTGACATAGGAATTATTTAACAATCGCTTTATAATTGTTTCCGGAAGCATAGATCTCATATTTCCATTTTCGTGACCATGGCATATAATTTTCCTTGGGCTTTATGAAAATATAATTTTCGTCTTTTTTTAATTTATTGTTTGCATAAAGCGATCTTTATCTTCTTTTTTTAAATAACTACCATTTTGTGAAAGATCATTATGATCCACACACAAGATGATTATAGTCTGTGAACTCAAGAGAAATCTCCCGTCGAGTTATGATGACAACGTGAATCATTTAATCTTCCGTGACGAGTTTCGTATAAGAGCCTGCTGATCGTGCGGTAAATCTGCGTGAGTAACAGAACGCTTCAGCATTCACTGGAATGTTTCGTGACGTTTTTATATTTTCAAACGCACGTCATCATTGAGCACGTCTGAGACAAATAGCTACACCTTTGGATTACATGGGATTGCTTCAACTGTACATGGGTACGCGTTGTACACGTGAGTACTTGTAGAATACAGTCCAGGTGCAAAATGGCTGCATTTTATAAATTTCCAACGTTTTTGTTAGGCTTTATTTTCATTGTTGGTAAGTTTTCTCTTTTTCATTACTTTCTTTTGTGTTCAGTTGACGCGTCAATTCTCTGTTGTAGGCAAGCAAGTAAGCACTCGCGTTATTGATGTTGGAGAAAAGTAATTGTTTTCAAATAAATTATGTACATTGCATTGTTTGTGTGTCTGTGTGAATCGTCTAGAAATGCGCTGTTTTGCATGGACGTATTTAAATGTAATACAAAGAAATCTGTCTAGTGTGTCTCATATTTGATAATATTTTGTAGTTTCAATGAATTAAAAAAGGATGGTCGCTTTTGGTTCGTTGAAGTACGTCCACCATTTTTGTAATGCTTTTCCATTCTTAAAGCTACGATTCTTATAACCCAATGAAAGTTTTAGTGTCGATCGCTAATCAGATCTCTCTTAGTTTTATGCTCCATGGTGCGGTCACTGCAAGAGATTGGAGCCTATCTGGGATGAGGTTGGTGAAAAATTGGCCATAGAAAGTCCGAATATTGTGACAGCAAAAATAGACTGTACAAAGCATGAAGGTATAATGTGGAAATGGTGCAGAATACATGACTCTTTAAGAGATTTACAATAGTTATAATTTAAATGATTATATAGAGCTTGCTAAAGAAAATGGCATTCGTGGATTTCCTACTTTGAAATTGTACGTTCTGCTAGCTTTTGGTAATCTTTCAGTACTTTGTGTGAGGTTATGTCTTTTCATTTTCCAACAATTTCCACAGTTTCAGAGGAAAATTTTCAATAAGATATCAAGGGTCATATACAAAGGAAGCATTAGTTGAGTTTGCCAAAAAGTCATCTAGGTACAATTGTTATATTTTCATTCTTAAAAATGTTAATTATGATGATTAAAAAAATTCACAATCTATTTCATTTTAATCAGGCCAATATTGACAGAGCTGAAAACTGCAAACGAACTTGAACAAAGAAGATCAATTCCTAATGTATTTTTCTTGTTAGTGCACGATGATACAAATGAGTCCAATAAATACAAGGTAGGATATGTGTATACAAGCTGTTCACAGTTTTCCCTCCATACCCTCATTAGCCGTTACTTCTTCCCAGGAAATAGTGCAAGAAATTGCAGAGGAGAAAGTATCCCAAGTGTTGTTTTATACCATATCCAAGTCTTTATTTCCAAAGGTATTTATTACATTTCTACACAATCATGAATGAACAGTGTTAATCATCCTATTTCATCTCATTTCAGGATATCAACTTGGGAAGTGGCCTAAATTTATTTGTTTTCAAGGAAGGCTTGCATTTCAAGTTTGAAGGTAAAACATTTACCGGAGCACGTACGAAGAAAGCTTGAACTCAATGAATCCATCAATTTTATAGATACAGAAGGCGATTTAAATGAAAGCAAATTGGCGACTTGGGTGGATCAAGAGAAATTCCTGCCATTTATGTACATTTCTGACTCCAATATTCACGAGTTGGTAGAAACAGGTTCTTTAATTTGTTTTGTCAATTTTCCATGTCATTTTTTTTTTTTCATGATCATGAATCTTTTCATCCACATTTTAGGGAAAATGGTTGTGCTTATAACTTTCTCGAAAGACAAACTTCACAGTTCTCTTAATGCAATGTAAGTGTTTGCTTTTATAAGTGTTCTGTTTGTTTTTGTTTAGTTTGAACAATTTGTACAATTACAGTCTTTTAAACTTTGCTGTACCTATTGCATTGAGAAGAAAAACTTACATGTATATGGTTTTTTAATGATTTGGCTTCATATCAAAAAATTAACGTACGAAGTCAAATGGTTCTCTGCTTATCTTGAAGATTCATTCGTATTTCTCGTGAAGTGCTTCTTTGAATGATTTCACTGTCATTTAATGTCGAGTTGATCTAGCTTCTACTTTGTTTTTAAGACTTGGAGAAGTTGGAAAAAGAACGGCCATTGAAAAATTCTCCACTTTTGGAAAGTAAGGCCAGATGGCTTAATTGAATAAAACTTTCTTTAAATCCCATCTTTAATGTTTCATGAGTTTTTGGTGCTCAGGGATTTCTTTCAAAACAATTTCATATCATGCTGCTGTAACAATATGGACTCCCTTGGTGATATGAGTTTTTATTTTTTTTCTTTAGAATTTTTCAGTTTGCTGGTATTTTTGATACAGATGTTATAGAGTCAATTATGATGAGGTGAAAAAAAAAGCCTAAGTTTATGAAATTTATATTAAACAAGCGATTCGAAAGCTGTGATAGAGTTAATGTTTTAATATGAAAAATTCTTATTTTTTTTTATTTGACAGCCCAGTTTACGTTCCAATGATTTTTGTTTTTGATCCTGAGTCACACTTTCACTACATTCTGCCATCATCACAACTTACAGAAAGTTTTAACGAAGAACAACTACATGCATTTCTTCAAGATATCATCAATGGAAAGGCTATGGTTTGTGCACGATAAATATGCTGCTCTATCTCTTGAAAAGTTAACTTTGTAGATCACAACAGAAAATCTTTGTGAAAAATGTCCAGAGTCAAATTTATTATTTTATCATACAATAATCCTACTACTAGTCAGAAAGTTACTTTCACCAGATAACACTGCTGTCATTTTAATATTCCCGCGATAAAATTAAACTAAAGGAGTCAAGAATTTTTCAAAATATTTTTTCTAGGCCCATGGGGGAAGGACTTTCTCGCTGAGGATGTTTCGGGTACGTTTTATAACATACTATTTGTGTGAGTTACTGTTTCCTATAGTCATGTCTTGTTACGAATGACATTTTTTTGTCAACTTTTTATCATCCTCAATGATTTTTCTCCTCATCTTATATAGATTTGGTGGGATGTTCGAACGACTGTAAAGGTAAAACAAGTTTAGTTCTAAATAGAGGCTCCTAAATCGTGAAATTTTCTGTCGATGAGTTAACGTTCTTTCTTTAAACTTTTATTGAATGAAGGACATGTGGAATACCAGTCCTGTCATTGCTGTCGTCATTTTCGGTTTGCCATTTTTGGTCGTCGTTTTTCTCATTTCCATGTTGTGTTGTTTTGATGTTGGCGACGACGATAAATATCATCCTGACTTTGTGGACAATTCAGAACAACGAGGGATGAAATGTGATGAGAAGGGTAATATTGTACCTGAACCTGTGAGTAAGACTAGTAGACTAAAAAAAGATTGATACCATTGATCTTTGTTGGGTTCTGACCATAGTTCTTTTAAAGAGAGGATTTTGCTTATATTTGTTCATGCATTGCTTATGTGGACAATTATTCCTTAAAGTTGAGGATGTTTGATCAGCATGAGAGGCAGCTGTGAGCTTTAGCAAACACGATGACAACGAGTATGAGATTTGTCTTTTTCCCTTGAAACCTACGTATGACGTCATTGCACTCGCTGACTGCTAAATTTCCTTCTACATATTGTAAAACTACTGAGTGAGAAAACAACTCGTTGACTAAACTCTCTTTTTCCTTTTTCGTTTTTGCTTTAATCTTCAATATTTTTCTGTGAACAATGATTGCTATTTCGTAAACAAATACTGGATTAAAATAATAAAAAACTCGTGCTTTTTGCTGTTGTCTCATAAACTTCTTTTCAAGCTGTACAACGGAGATCAACTGGTTCTATTTTATTCTTAGCTCTCAATATGAAACACTTCGGAGTTTTTTATTGTTTGTTTCACCTTTTTATTAGTAATATTGATTTCAATATGTTGACTATTGTACTGTTTGTATTTATTATGCATGTAGGTTGTAGAAATCAATATTGTTTGATAAATATTATTTTATCTTCTTATTGTGTAAAGAAATTACATGCTGTAAATTTTAGGTTATCAGATGTTACTTCTTTTAGCGGTCTTTTTCGTAGCACCTACATACAAAAATTGAGACATATTTTCTTCCAATTTTTTATCACAGTTGCTCGACGAGTTTTCGTTGTCAACCTTGCAATAGCTAAAATTTTTCAACTTCATTTTGCATGTTTGTAGATGTAGATCCATTTTAGTTGAGTCATGTGTAGGACTGTTGATTTTGACTGATATTCCAACATCCTTAGTTGTAGTCATCTTCAGTCAACATTAATTTGAACAGTCTTCTCAGCAATCTACTAACATGGACGATCTACATCTACAAACATGTAACAATACTTCTGGGCTCAAACTACTTACCTTTTGAGGTTGTAGACTCTGTCACTTCATTCACATGAAAAATATATTGTATGTTTTTGGTCGACCGGTGTCGTATACAGCATATGTCACTTAGGGCAGTTGCCTTTTCTTTTGCAATGCATACGTCATGTACAATTTCATAGATTTTGTGTGTAAGGGGTCATATGACGTCACAAACATCTATGAACTGATAATTAACAACGAGATATTTCATAGGACAGATCACGTGACTTGTTATAAAGTGGGGTGTTTTAATGTATGAAATCCTTACTGCCAATTGACCCCATCCATCATTCACGGTTTTGGTGGTCTGCTTGCAGGCATATTTGCATTACTATTTCGCACGAAACAGTTGGACCCGGACCCCTATTCAAGTCGCGCATTGCGTTAGAAAGATATGTTTTCTAGTGAAATTTCTCCCAATCAACTGAAATTTAATTTAACGAAGCGGAAGCTGGGTCAATGTTATTGAAAATTTCCCCTCTCAATGTTCCTCTTTGAAATCTTGCCATAAGTCTGGTATGAATTTACAATCCTTTACATCGTTCTCAATCTTTGATGCATTTCTATTCTTGTTTTTATTCAAACATGTAAACAAGTTCTTAGCTCTGTTTTTCTGTGCCTATTTTTATGTTACGTTTGTAAAATATCCCTTAAATTCGTATAATCCACGGCTTTAGAAAACTTAGGATAAATTTATGAACACCCGACAATGCTTCGTTTGACTGCAATATATATGTACTATTTTCAGGGAGTTTCTAGATAAACCATCACTATGGCTCCAAAACACAATAATATGATTCACAATAACCATTTCCATAAGGATTGGCAACGTTATGTCAAAACATGGTTTAACCAACCCGGACGAAAGAAAAGACGTCGCCAAGCAAGAATAAAGAAGGCCCTTAAAGTTGCTCCAAGGCCAGTTAAAGGAGCTGTTAGACCAGTTGTTAGATGCCCAACATTTAGATACAACATCAAAGTTCGCCCAGGACGGGGTTTCACTCTGGAAGAGCTTAAGGTATGGAATCATAGTTGCAGTTGCTTAGTTGCAGTCAAACCACTACTAATGGACACTTGTTTGAAAGTGGACACTCAATTTGTGGTTTCTCACAAATGTTATTATGTTTTATAACCTCTCGTAAATAGGGACCTCTTAACAGGCACCTGGTTGTGATCACAAAGGTGTCCATTTATGGTAGGTTTGGCTGTTTTTGTTGAACCGTAAGTTCTTATATTTCCTAGAATGCAGGTATCTCACGTAAGTTTGCGCCAACTATTGGAATTGCCGTTGATCATCGACGTAAGAACAGGTCTCAGGAATCCTTGCAAGCAAATGTTCAAAGGCTAAAAGAGTATAAGAGTAAGCTGATTATTTTCCCAAGGAAGCCTGGAAAAGCTCGACAGGGTGACAGTGAGGTACAGTATAGTTTGAAGTGCACTATGCATAACTAAATATTGCCGTCATCTTATGTTTAGAATAATCTTTAAATGCATGTCGAATTTTGTTATAATGCAGGATTCAGAACTTCAAATGGCTCAACAACTCCTTGGTGATGTGTTGCCCATTCATGATCCTGGCATGATTAAGGCAATTAAAGCTAGAAAAATCACCGATGAAGAAAGAAATGTATGTGTGTTCAAGAGCATGCGTATGGCACGTGCCAACAAACGTCTTTTGGGTATCCGGGAGAAGAGGGCAAAGGAAAAGGCAGAAGAAGCTGCTTTGAAAAAGAAGTGAAAAAATGAAATATCAATAAATCTTTGAAAATACAGCAGTGTTTTTGTTGTTTTCTCATTTGCCATGCATTAAAAACAAAACGAAGAAATAAAACTTAACTGAAAAATGGTTATGACACAAGTCATTAAATTTCACAATGCAAACAAAGTGATCAACCTTCAGCCCTTGTCTATTGGTGTATACAATTATTAGCAAGAAAATTTATATTGTTGTGTTAGCAATTTTTTACACCTGGGATAATATATAAAACCCTAATACTGTGGTGCAGCTTATATTGTTTTTAAAAAGTCTACTAGTTGTTGAAAATGAACATTCCCGACTTTGGACTTTAATTCCATGTCCAATGATCAGGACGACCATAAATTGTTTGGTTACATAATTATGTCTTTAATTACGCGAAAAATCCACATATATTGTTAAAAAATCTTTATTGGTTCACCAAAACAATCATTCCTGGATGTTTCCGACGTCTACGACAGCAGATAACAATTACGACTGTAACAGCGATTATTATTGCAATCACGACAACTGAGACGACAACAGCAATTATAATAGCGAGTGTTTTGCCACAATCTGCCCCTGGCGGGCCACACATTCCTTTCTTACAGCAACTTGTACCACAATCTTCATCGCTCGAACATGTCACGTTTTCACAACTGTGTAAACAGCGCATACTGCCGTCATCTCTGCCACAACATTGCTCATTGCAAGTAGCGCGGGTTAACGTATACACACATTCCCTTGCTTCGGTCACAGTAAAAACGCCAGCGACGACAAAGAGGAAGCCAAATAACATGTTCATTTTCGTTAAATTGTTTCTTTGTACATACAACCTTATTTCGTTGCCAATGCGCTGGTTATACTCGGTGAAAAATGTCAACGTTGAGAAAAATGACCACACCGAGATTAGAAATTTAGATTATTTCACCTCTCCCCCCCAGGCCCCTATGTGAACTATGATGTCACTTGAGCAGTTGTGCTGAGCATGGCATCCATTTCAGATTAACTTATCGAGTTTGTTTTTATCGAAGAAATAGACATTTGTTTTTGATATGAACGTTCACAAGAGGAAGAAAAACGTGGAGGTTGAAATCGAGCCATCAATTTGGAGCAAAGCATTTTCAGCTGGTTCAAATTGGAATGATAAAGTATCGTTTATTATTAAGGCTTTCACTTTGGTTTTTGATGCTCCAAACTAATTATATAGCATTGACGCCTTAAAGAACTTCTATTTGTATTTGCATTCTTTTTTTTAAAGTCACATATCATGTCATCAGCACTCTACCCTCACCAATAAAGTTCACTTAAAGTCTTCTATCAATTTTGGCCATAACTGCTCTTGTGATCTCCGTCAATCTCAACTAAATTCTTAACATTTTAAGGATGAGTTTCTGGATGTTATTTACTGGCTGCGGCAGGTTTTGGCAATAGTCTTGGGATTAATATGGGCAATAATTCCACTAAAAGGAATTGCAGGAATAGTTTTGTAAGTAATTTGTGTAAAGTTTGTGATTACTTCACTTTTGTTTCTCTCATGAATGTGTCACTATTTTTAACAAACTAGGTTTGGCCTTATAAATGCTGGTGCTTTATTTGTCTATTTCACCAACTTTCAAAAAATTGATGATGAAGAGTATGGTGGACCAATGGAGTTAACAAAAGAAGGATTCTTCACATCTTTGTCACTTTTTTGAATGCGTTTTAGCGTAGAATTAAAGAAAATATGGTTTTGTAATGTGTTATTTCATTTTTAACAGGTCATTTGGATTATTGGCTTTACTGCTTTGCATCATAGTTGATTGATTTAAGAAGGGAAAATTGCTGTTGAAAGAATTCAAGCATATTGCTATGTTGTTGCTTAAGCTGTGGTGATGACCGTGTTTTATAATGCACAATACACAAAGGCAATACACCATCATTGCTGACCAAATATAGATGGAGTTTTTTCATAATACAATATTTTGTCATTTATGAAACTTTCAAACTAATTTTATATGCAAACATCTGATGGAATCTAATTTGCACTTTTGATTTTTCTATCTTGTATATGCAATACAATTGTAAAAATGGTTGATCTATAGAAAAAGAACTACTATTCTGTTTTTATTTGCCTAAATGAACATGTGAACCATATTGTCTAATGGATATTAAATTTAAATTTTTATCTCAATTTACTGAAGATGTGGTACTTGGAAACACAGTCTGCACATTCCAATAACAAATTTCCTAAAAAGTTTATGAACTGTCCGTTGACATTAAATTCTTTTATGTGATATTAAAGTTTTCATGTTGCACACCATCTTCAAAAAATATACTTTTTAGCCATATAATATACAAATTGTTCATAAAAATATAAAATTGATATCTAGAGGAATTGTTGTACTTTATTAACTACAACACCATAAACCTGACCATTTGGCCCTTAGCAGTGACTGATCCAGAGTTATGCAATGAAGTAGCCCATTGATTGGTAAGATTTAATGTTTTTGAAAATCTTGACCAATGATATTGTTATAATAATTAATAGGTATATGCATGCAAGTTTTACAATTTTTACCATTTAAAGACAAGTTTTCATGTTTTTAGGGTAAAAACTTCCCAAATGAAAATATATTTTCACAAAACTGTATACCCAGAACTTCACTATATGAGTCAGTTTACCACGACGATGACGTCACGACTTGGCGTACAGCGGTGTAACCGTTGAAGTAAATTAAAAAATTCATGTACTGAAACTCTTGTTTGATGGGTTTTATCTGTATTTCTTCCTTTGTTGTTTACCTTTTCAGCTGTTGCTTTTAACTTTCGCCATGATATTTGAAGATGTTCAAGAAATGGATAAGTCTGGAACATGGCATAATGTCTTCCAGGTCCGTATAATCTCGAGAAAGATGCGTAGTTGAATTCATACTATAAAGAGCAAACTATCGTTTGTATGATATCAGCAAAAAGTTGAAAGTGTTCTTATGTAAATACACTCGTTAGCGATAACACTAGCGATCATTGAATGTGCGATTTTTTATATTCTTCAGCAATTAAATAACAAAGCAAAAGAAAATGCTGCGTCGCAAGCGATTGGTAAAAAACCCGAAAACAGAAATCTTAATCGATACCGAGATGTTGTTCCTTGTACGTGCTTATAAACCGTAAATCCTCAGCATATCCGTAAAATATATTTTGTTAAAAATATGCTTCACTTAGCTGAGCGCTGGAGTTTGCTTTTGTGCGGCTTCTATCTTTTATATCATGTTTATTTTTGAATTGTAAAAAATACTTTTTCTCTGAAGATGATCACAGTTTGGTTCGTTTGCAAAATAGCGATACAGAATACATAAACGCAAGCTTGTTGAAGGTTTGTATTTTGAAAAAAGTCTAACTAACCACATTTACCTTATCAAAGCTAATATTCTAAAAATTAGTATGATGAATTGTGAAAGTATTTGGTACTGTTTCAACTTTGTTTAATAAACAAGAGCTTCTTCATGCGAAATTTTATGTCAGTCTCACATTGAATTTTAGGTCCCATCAATTGGAAAAAGTATATTTTAACTCAGGTAATATTGTATGTGAGAAAGTTTTTGATGAGTGTTTTAAAAGTGGTTACTGTTCAATTACAATGTTTTGTTTATTTTATACATAAAAGGGACCTCTACCCAGTACATGCACACACTTCTGGCAAATGATTTGGCAACAGAAGTCCTACACTATTGTTATGCTAAACAAAGTTGTTGAGAAGAACCAGGTGGGGGAATGCTGTTGCCTAAAAACCTAGAAAAGACTTCAGTTTTTTCTACTTGTGTTTTTCAAAATTTGATTAACTGCATTTTTTAGCTCAAATGCCACCAATATTGGCCATTAAAAGGATGCTACTGCTGGAACTATTAAGATATCCGTATCAAAGGAAGAAAATTACAATGAATATATTGTAAGACATTTGGTGATTGAGCATTTGAAGGTTAGATAAACCTTTTTATTTTGATTTAAAGTTTTAAGTGCGTATGCTACTTTGTGGAAAATTGCTAAATATTGATGTTTTAATTTCTATAGGAGCATACAACGAGAGACATTCGCCATTTTCATTATGTTGCTTGGCCTGATTTTGGTGTTCCTTCATCACCTCAAGCATTTTTGAATTATTTGCTGAAAGTCAAAGAATATCAGTCTTCATTGAAGGGAGTTGGACCCTTGTAATTCATTGCAGGTTCCAATCCTCACATCAAAATAACTTAAGTCATTTACATACTTTAACCGTAAGACTCTAAACTTTCTTTGATAGTGCTGGGATTGGTAGAACGGGACGTTTGTCTTAATAGATGCTGCACTTACCGAGGTAATGACATTTGTTGTCTAATTTGCATTGACAATTTAAATTGAAGGACTTTAGCTAATAAAATTCTGTAGGCAATTGCTCTCCTAGCAATATTTTTTCAACATACTTAGTCATTTTCAACATATTGAGTCATTTCATAGTAATTTAGATGTGAGCTTTTTTAATAAGTTATTGATCTTCTCTGCTCAAAATTTTAAATCATCATTTTGACCCCCACTCAATTGACGTCCCCTATGTAAGAGGTGTAGAGTATGTATTCCTTATAGAGCAGGGATATTGCTTGTGACTGTTGAAATTGCCATGTTTATAAATACATCATAGATCCAAGCAAAAGGTGATATGATGAAGTATGATGTTAAGAGCAAACTACTAGAGCTCAGGACTTACCGAGCGGGTCTTATTCAAACCACGGAACAACTTCATTTTTCATATGTTGCAATCTTGGAGGGGGCAAACATGGTTTCACCGTCTGCCTATAGTGCTGCCTATTATAGTATGAGTAAGTATATGTAGATGAAAGCTTGACTTTATTTGTAGAAAGTTTAAGGTGTGGGGGAAGGATGTAAGGTCACATGTGCCTCATCTTTTCTGTGGGAGTATTTAGGAAGGTGTTTTTTCCATTTTCCAAAAATATTTTCTCACACACTCCCAAAAGCCTGATTGTGAATCAATGTGCCTGATGGTGTGGGTTACATAATCACATTTTGTTGTTCCATCTGCACTCGTTGATTAGAGTCCAACCTGACGGTCTTGGTGTGTCACAATAGACATAAAATTTTAGGATTCAAGACTGTTTGGTAAAAGCTTCTTCTTATGACCTTAATGGGAGATGTGTAAATAGCTGTGGTAGTTGCTATTTTAAGAAATAGAGGTCAAGCCTGCAGCAGATTAGCTGTAGCGGCATCTCCTAGTTGTGTGTGAGGACACAATTTTGTTTTGGTCTGGTCAAGCATGTTGAATACTTTTTCATTATCAGCTGAAGGAGAGTACTCTGAAGAAGAAGATGATGATGACGATGAAGAGGATGAAGAAGATGATCTTCGAGATAAGAAACACATTGCTCCAAAAAGACCAGGGGATACACAAGATGAACAACCTGGAGCTAAGAAACCACATCACGAATTTCCAGAAAATAAAAGCACAGGTTTTCATTTTGAATTCAACCAACCGTAAACTACCTGATTGTTGTCATATTTCTACGTGTTGTTAATTTATAACCTTTATTATTTTGCGATTAGTGCCAGAATTTAAGAAGGAGAAGGAAAAAGACAAACAACAGCTTAATACAAGTTCCCAAGCTGTTAAAGACACTACCAAAGACAAACTTCAACAGGAATATGGCGATAAATCTGGATCCAAAAAGCAAAAAAACGATGAGCAACATCCAGTTGTATCTGAGAAGAAGGATAACAAGCAATCAGGTATGTAATGCGTGTTTCTTTTATTCGATAAAACTTTTTTGCTGAGAACATAGCTGTTGCTAATCTTATCATATCTAAACCGTGTTAAGTAACCGTGACGTCAGCCTTATCAGACATTCCGCCAGACAGTAAGAAAGACAATTACAAAAAAGTTGAAAAAGATGAGCCATCACCTACTAAGGTAGCTAGTCCCAAAAACAAAGACCACTTGATAGCAACCGATACATCATTAAAGATGAAAACGACAACAAACCAAAAAGTTGAGGAAATACCGGCAACTACTAAAACTGCAAACACGGCAAAGGCAACGAGCCACAAAGAAAACGATTCGGCAAAGAAGGCAAAGACAACAAGCCACAAAGAAAACGAGTCAGCATCTGCTGCATTAGCAAAGACGGCAAAGACAACAAGCCACAAAGAAAACGATTCGGTAAAGAAGGCAAAGACAACAAGCCACAAAGAAAACGATTCGGCAAAGAAGGCAAAGACAACAAACCACAAAGAAAACGATTCGGCAAAGAAGGCAAAGACAACTAGCCATAAAGAAAAAGATTCAGCAAAGAAGGCAAAGACAACAAGCCACAAAGAAAACGATTCAGCATCTGCTGCATTAGTCAAAACGGCAAAGACAACAAGCCACAAAGAAAAGGATTCAGCAAAGACAACGAGCCACAAAGAAAACGATTCAGCATCTGCTGCATTAGCAAAGACGGCAAAGACAACAAGCCACAAAGAAAACGATTCAGCAAAGACAACGAGCCACAAAGAAAACGATTCAGCATCTGCTGCATTAGCAAAGACGGCAAAGACAAAAAGCCACAAAGAAAACGATTCAGCAACTGCTGCATTAGCAAAGACGGCAAAGACAACAAGTCAGGAGGATGACGACTCATCAACTACAGCTTTAGCAAAGACGGCGAAGACAACAAGTCAGGAGGATGACGACTCATCAACTACAGCTTTAGCAAAGACGGCAAAGACAACAAGTCAGGAGGATGACGATTCAGCAACTACAGCATTAGCAAAGACGGCAAAGACAACAAGTCAGGAGGATGACGATTCAGCAACTACAGCATTAGCAAAGACGGCAAAGACAACAAGTCAGGAGGATGACGACTCAGTAACTACAGCATTGGCAAAGACGGCAAAGACAACAAGTCAGGAGGATGACGATTCAGCAACTACAGCATTAGCAAAGACGGCAAAGACAACAAGTCAGGAGGATGACGACTCAGTAACTACAGCATTGGCAAAGACGGCAAAGACAACAAGTCAGGAGGATGACGATTCAGCAACTACAGCATTAGCAAAGACGGCGAAGACAACAAGTAAGGAGGATGACGATTCAGCAACTACAGCGTTAGCAAAGACGGCGAAGACAGCAAGTCAGGAGGATGACGATTCAGCAACTACAGCTTTAGCAAAGACAACAAGTCAGGAGGATAACGATTCAGCAACTACAGCTTTAGCAAAGACGGCAAAGACAACAAGTCAGGAGAATGACGATTCAGCAACTACAGCTTTAGCAAAGACGGCAAAGACAACAAGTCAGGAGGATGACGATTCAGCAACTGCAACATCAACAAAGACAGCAAGGACCACAAGTCACATAGATGACGATACAGAAACTGGTTCATTAGCAAAAAAGGCTAAGACAACAAGTCATCAGGATAACGACAGAGCAACTGCTGTATTAGCAAAGTCAAAAGATACCACAAGCCATGAAGATGACGATACTGAACCTGCTACATTAGCAAAAAAGGCAAAGACAACAAGCTCCGAAGATAACGATTCAGCAACTATTTCAATAGCGAAGGCCTCAGAAAAGATAACAAGCTCCGAAGATAACGATACTACAACTGCTATCATAGCTGAGACAACAAACCTCGAAGATAACGATACAGTAACTGTTACATTAATAAAGACGACAAGCCACAAAGATGACGATCAAATTAATGAACAAATAACTAATTTTAATACATTTGATTATTGTCTTGACACAGATGAACAGATGTCTCCTAAATCTAGCGTGTGTTCTGGTCATTTTTCTAGTGATTTAAATGTGAAAATTTCCCAAGATGTTATTAGTTGTAGAGATACATCATTAGAAAGCTCAAGTGCGGAGAAGATTGTTGATAGATGGGAGTGTGGCGAAGAGGATGCTTCTGGATCAACTGAAAATTTTTCAAAACGCTCTTCAATCAAACAGAGTTCAATTGAATCTAGCAACACTAAGTCAGTTTCGTTTGAATCTTTCCACAAGGAAAAGCAAGTACGTGATGTGATGGATAGGGACGTTGCAGGAAATGTCGAGGAAAAAGAAACAGAAAGGTTTGTGCAGCACACGCATTGCTTGTTTCTAGTCTGGGCTTCGTTGGCTTGGGTTTTGTAATTTAGTAAGTCACAGTAGATGAAGTAGAAAACTTGAGTAGCTTAACTGTAAACGGAATATTCATGCTGAAAGACTTCTTAACACTCAGTATATGCAATCATTTGAGCACGTTTTTACAGATAACGGGCTCATATTTTGTAATTGATTTGTAAAAATTGTAAATATTTTGTTTATTTTGCCGTTTCAGTTCTCACGCTCGCCGCCGAGATGTGGAGAATCGTAAACGAAATCTTGCGAACAAAGTAGATGAAATACGAAAGAAAATGAAAAATAGTGAAGAAAGAGAAGATTCTTATGCTACAACAATTGTTGGACTTGTCTTGTGTGTTGTCGTTGCAGGATTTGCGTTTTTTTACTGTCGCTGCAATCAATAAAGTTCGTTGTATGTATTTAACGAACACGTTGATATTTTTCCATCAAACAATTATTCCCCATCAATTGATCATATCATGGGCAATGATTTCGAATGCTCCTGCCTTCGCGTTAATTCATTGCAAAATTTAATTAAAACCATTCGTAGACTTGTATAGTATTCACTGTGAAAGTAAAATTATCAAAGAGAACTTGCATGTATATCATTGGATAAGAGGTAAAAAGTTCGATGAAAGAATATTTTTTAATCTACGCCGGCCTCATTATATGTTAATAAAGTTTTAATAGTTTAATTACGTCCCACTCATTTGTGTCATACGAATTCTCAGTTACAGCCACTTGTTGACATGATTATTTGCTGAGTTGTGGGGTGCCGTACATTGCCGAGGTAACGAATGTCAACTTTGAATACAAAGAAAAAATATTTTCAACAAAAGTGACTATAGGCACGCCAAAATGTCAAGTAGGCTAACGTCAAAATTTTCCTCGCGTACTGTTGCAAAGTGCGTTTTAAAGCCCAAATTTTAGAAATTTTGATCATATTCGTGATTTTGACTGAACTCTCAAACACGGTCCAAGTTTTTTTCAATACGTCAAACGTGAGCCTAGCGATAGATGGTTCAAGGCCTAAAATTTTATATTTCGTTTGTGCTTTATTTTTGCTTTGTGGTGTAAGTACGAACAACGCACTAAAGGCTCTTTTCCACTCATCGCAAAATGCTCTCGCTGCGAGCTTGCGAGTCTGTTCGCGCGATCAAAAAAATTTGTTCAATTAATTTAACTATGCTGCAAGTCATGGTAAGCTCGCTGCGAGTAACTCGCAGGCACTCGCAGCGAGCTTGCGAGTACGTTTTGCGATGAGTGGAACAGAGCCCTAAGGCTGGCCTTTTCTGCAGAATCTAAAGTTGTTTGGCTTGTGTGACCTGGGCATAAAAGAGGTGTGTCATAGTGAGTAAGGAGGCTTGGCAAAAAACTTCCAATTTTGTTACGTAACTCGTGCCCACTGACACGTTTACATATTGTGTATTATGACGTTACAATAATTTTTTATTGCAATCGATCAAAGTTCATTCTAGAATGGTTCAGGGTTTAAAGGAAAAAATTTGCAAGCCAAGATTCTGAAGCAAAATAAAATAGTTTTGCCCGTTTATCATATTTCATAAGCGATGCAACGTGGCTATATATTTATATGTACATTTAAAATCTATAAAATTGGACTATAACGTTTATAAAAATTGAACTTTGATCGGCGGAATATTATTATAATGACCAATCAGAATGCCAGGAACGAAAAGTGTTGTGTTTACGTGGGAATAAATGTGTATGAAAACATACTTCATTCCACATACTGACAAGGAGCTTGATATCTTCGTTTGACAATATCTTGTGAAATCGTAAGTTATTATAAATTTAATTTTTTGTTTTTCAAATCTTTAAAGTTAACTTACTTTTCTTCCTCCTACGAAAAACCGCTGAGAAATGAAGGTTTTTTTCATCATAGTAGTAAGATTGTAGTAGTGAATGATGTATCCAACAATGTACTACATTGACGATTGTTTCGCATTGATAATGAAAACGTACAATTTTTGAGCTCACTTTGCGAAAATTCCAATGCATTCCTGCGTTGTTAAAATGTTACAAGCTGCATGATTTCTTTTTTTTATGCGAATGCGGTTTGCTTTAAAATATTAATATGAATTTTTTTGCACGATATTTTGATATAAATTGGTAAATTTTTCAAATTCTAACATGAAATATTTCGCTATGAAAAGTATCATTAGAATTTGCCAGCTCAAATTATTTCAAGGTGGTTTGGGGGCGGGCTGGACTTTGAACTTTACAAAATCTACTTGGGTAGGGAGGGACAATGTCGCTTTAGATAACCTTAACAAAAAATAAGAATTAAAGATTTACAACAAACTATAACTGCTTTGTCTGCATTCAAAATCAGATCAAGAACTAAGATCTTGGTAAAAAATCGCGGTTTGCTTTCATAATATACCAAAATAATGAATCAGATATGATTCATGTGGGTACCGTCCCTCCTGTACACATTTATGACGTGCGTCATTCGAGAAAATATGACACATTTACCAAAGTTTCTTTTTGTTTGAATGTTATGAATGACTACGGTTGTGCAGGAAACAGCATAAGATAGCAGTGGATTTGACTGTTTGAACTTGTTATCTTCACCATGGCGATGTATAGAAATATTCTAAGGTATTGTGAAAAGATAGATTGCGCCTTTGACACTCCTTACTAAAGCTTTGCGAAGAAAATGCCGGCTGGCTTTGTTTCAGGCTTTCAGCCAAATCAAATTAACGAATATTCCTTTACTTCCAATTTTATTTATAGATCTACGAATTTGACTTTAAAGTCATTCCTTTATAAAGCAAAGTTTCAATCTACAGCACAAGTCGCAATGAAAGAGACAAAACTTAATTCGCTTGGTCCTCAACTTCAAGCATTTATTAAGGAGAAACGAGAACTATGCCAGCCGGAAAGTGTTCACATTTGTGATGGCTCTGAGGAAGAAAATGACCACATAGTAAACAAGTTGATTGAAAGTCAAATGATGAAGAAGCTACCTTTATATGAAAATTGGTAAAATTTTGTTTTGTATAATTTTTTCTCAGTCCGTGTTTGATATCACGCGTTGTTTCGTAAACAATATCATGCTATTAACAGTCGAATAATATATACAAAAATGTCAGTCGTTTACTTAATCACCAAGGGCGCTCATTCAGTTTCGTTTTTGTAGTTTTCTTGTGCGTACTGATCCCGAGGACGTGGCTCGTGTTGAATCTAAGACTTTCATTTGTACCGAAAGACGTGAAGATACAATTCCGTCACCAGCGCCAGGTGTCGAGGGAACTTTGGGAAAATGGGAATCGCCTGACAAAATGAAAAAAAAGCTTTTTGAGGACAAGTTTCCTGGTTGCATGAAAGGTAGGGCGAGGTCGTTAATTTTGTGTGTTAATTATATAAGTCACCGTCAGTGTGTCACAAGATATTTTTGCTATGTCATGCATTTATTGGAACTGTGGCTAAGTTACAAAGTTCACAAAGCTTTCAAGATGCCTAATTGTGATATTCTGTCAAGGTCGCACCATGTATGTCATCCCATTTTGCATGGGACCACTTGGTTCACCATTATCAAAGATTGGTGTTCAGTTGACAGATTCACCATATGTGGTATCCAGCATGCGAATCATGACCAGAATGGGAGCTGAAGTAATGAAATCTCTGGATGATAATAATTTTGTCAGATGTTTACATTCTGTTGGACAACCCTTACCAGCACCTAATACCGGATATGCTTGGCCTTGTAACCCAAAAGATACAGTGATCACTCATTTCCCCGCAACCAGGGAGATTGTGTCATTTGGGAGCGGTTATGGAGGGAATTCTCTTCTTGGAAAAAATGTTTAGCTTACGGCTGGGCTCAGTCATGGCCAGAGATGAAGGATGGTTTGCTGAACATATGTTGGTGAGAGAAGCTGCTCTTTTTCATATTACATTATTAGGACTCCCATTGTGTAATTTAATGCTAATTCCAGATAATGGGTATCACAAATCCAGCTGGTGTAAAACGTTATATTGCTGCGGCATTTCCAAGTGCCTGTGGCAAAACAAACCTTGCTATGCTCAACCCAACATTACCAGGTTGGAAGGCAGAATGTATTGGCGATGATATTGCTTGGATGAAATTTGATGATAATGGAGTACTACGAGCTATAAATCCTGAGTATGGTTTCTTTGGTGTGGCACCTGGTACAAACAACAGCTCTAATCCTAATGCAATGAAGACTATTTTGAAAAATACCATATTTACAAATGTTGCTGAACGTAGTGATGGGGGCTTCTTCTGGGAAGGTAGCTAATTTGATTCTTAATTTTTTTGCTTTTTAAGAGCAACAATAATGTATAGTTGATCAGAATTCCATTATGGCATTTGTTATTTCAAGGACTCGAGAAAGAAATCCCATCAAATGTCACAATCACCGACTGGCTAGGAAAGAAGAACTGGTCTAAGGATTTTAAGACACCAGCTGCTCATCCTAACTCCAGATTTTGTGCACCAATCAGTCAGTGTCCTGTGATGGATCCTGCGTGGGAAGACCCTGCTGGAGTCCCCATAAGTGCTCTCATATTTGGGGGTAGACGACCCGAGGGAGTACCTCTGGTGTACGAAGCATTTGACTGGCAACATGGGGTGTTTGTTGCATCAAGTATGAGGTCTGAAGCAACTGCTGCCGCAGAGCATAAAGGAAAGGTTATCATGCATGATCCATTTGCAATGCGACCATTCTTTGGTTATAATTTTGCTGATTACATAAAGCATTGGCTAAGTTTTCAAGATAAAGCAGGTCTTCAATTGCCAAAGATATTCCATGTGAATTGGTTTCAAAAGGAAGTGATGGAAAATTTATATGGCCAGGTAATTTCAATTGGTTTTTTTTTTGGTTTAGTATTATCATATATAAATGCTCAAAGCTATATTGTTTGAACAATTTAGGGTTTGGTGAAAACACTCGAGTGCTCGATTGGATATTCCGTCGCTGTGATGGAGAAGACATTGCGATGTCGTCACCCATAGGGTATTTACCAAAATTGAATTCAATAAATCTCGAAGGATTGGGAAAGGTCGACATGGAAGAACTTATGAGCATCCCCAAAGAGTTTTGGCTTGAAGAAGTTAATGCCATAAGGAAATATTTTCATGATCAACTATCGTCAGATGTGCCTAATGACATTAGCAACGAATTAGATAAGTTAGAAAAGAGAATCGGAGAAAGTTAACTTATTAAGCTAAACATCAAGATTTTAAACATTTAATATTACAACCATTCATGAGATTAGGCTGAGCATTCCAATGATGTAATTTAATGTGAATGGGCCAGCCTGTCGATTGTTCTTATCGCCGACTAACGTTTCATCGCCCTTATTGCACATTATAAACGCTTATTTTTTATAACCTTATCTATAATAAGGTTTGATAGTCCACACCAATAATTGGTAATCTCGCAACTATGCAAACTGTATGAAAAAGGGACTAACCCAGATGTAAGTCAACATGAAATCTTAATGTAATTATATAAATTTGCTGTCATCAACTGGTGACTTTTACAGATGGACATTATTGTGCAGGAATTTGCCTTCATTTCAGAAAATTCATAATATTGGTATTATTTATTGATATGTTTGTAAATTTAATACTTTAATCTTCTAGTCGAAAAAACCCAATTGAAATCAGTGCAAGGTCTCAAAATTTCAAAAATATTCCCGCTGCCTCTCTCTGTCATCCCTATCGGTCACTTTTCATCTTCATCTAACCTGCACTCAGGCTAACACATGGCGAACAGTGAACTTGCGAACTCACTAAAAAGAACAATTTGGAAAAGTCGCCTACTATTTATCGTCTCTTCATTATGGAAATTTGAAGCAATTTCTCAATGAAATTTTCAAATGTGGAGCTTGGAAAAAGATCAAGAAGGTACTCTACAATTAAGTCTTTCCATCTCCAAAGCTTTTCTTAGCTAGCAATACGATGAATTTAGTAAAATTTCACCTAATTTGAGGCGCCAAAGGACAAACGGTATTATACCAATTATGTTCTCATTGAAAGTATTTTTCGCTGTTGCACAATTTACAGGCTTCTGTTTGGAAATTAAGTTAAGCATTAAATTTAGACATAGATGGGTCGACGTACATCTTTCTAATTGCTCAATGTTCCGTCAAAAGCTACGCCAGGTCTGGTGTTGAATATTGAGCACTTCAACATTTGCATAAATTTCGTTAGGTGCAGTGAATGAAGGTTCTTATCACTTAACAGTTGGTGAACATTTAGTTGGAAGAAAAGGTTTCATCACAATAATCATGTCAGATATATTTTAACTGTATGTAGTAAGGTCAATTTACTTGTTGTGTTGTCTTCATTAGAGTGTTCAATCAAAATTGATGGCGACCAATCAGTGAGCAGGAAACATGCTCGCATCAATGTTTTAAAAGAGGGACCAGAAAAGGTGATTCAGTGAATCATTGAAGAAATTTCGAGATCAGTCTTTGTTATAGGTGCCCTATAACTGTTGCACATTTATATAGTTTCAGGTTTTCTTGAAAGATGTTTCAAAGTATGGCTGCTTTATAAATGATGTAAAATGTCAGAGTTTTGAAGCTGTCGAGTTGAAACACAATGATAAAATAACATTTGGTTCTCAAAACAGTTCGTATAGGTAAAGATATTTGTTTGCATCATTACTTTAGCAACTTGTCTTACATACTAATGCATGTTTTATGTACATATGTTCCTAGACTTAAGTATGAATCCTTGCTTGTATTTGCATCTTGCTTGAATCAGTCCAACAAGAGACATATGAAGGCACAGCTTTCAAAATTGGGTAAGACAAGTTATGACAGGAGTTTTGTGAATTAGAACTTAGGCAATAAAAATGAAATCCAGCGAAGAGTTTCGCTTTCCTTGCAAACAAAATTTTCTCCTCTGTTATTTTATCTGAATGTTATTTTGGGGTTAAGAGGAGTGTGATCCCTATGTGATCCTACTTGTTATCCCTATGTGATCCTCCTTGTGATCTCTATGTGATCCTACTTGTGAGCCCTATGTGATCTTACTTGTGATCCCTAGGTGATCCTACTTGTTATCCCTATGTGATCTTACTTGTGATCCCTATGTGATCCTACTTGTGATCCCTATGTGATCTTACTTATCATCCCTGTTAGTCACCCAAACAAATCATTATCAATAGGTGGTGCTGTGGTAAATGAATGGAAAAAAGGATGCTCACATCTTATTATGGAAGCACTCAGTTTCACTGTTAAGGTAAGTGTAGATTTTTTTCATTTAGTAGTGCAAAGTGCCTCAAAAATATATATATTTCTTATTCTTTAGGTTATTTATGCTTTAGTTACTTGCATTCCAATTGTTAAGCCATCTTTTTTCGACGACCTTGTCATGGCAGTTGACACAAAGAATGAATTACCATTGGCAAAAAAGTGAGATTTATGATAAAAATAAGACTGGCTCAAATATAATATAATGAATTTGATAAAGTTCTCTACAAAACATGATTAATACTGAGTTGAAAATAACAGCCGGTCAACTGATAATGTTCGGCCAAAATAGCTTGTTGATTGGCCAATTTTTTTACCTTGCCAGTCATTCTGACCAACCACATCTTACATCTTTCCCAAAAGTACTATAGTCTTGCGATACATACGAACATATTGAGAGCTTAAAATGTGAATTTACGAAACATGTGAATTACGTCAAACATGTAAATTTGTTAGGGCTGTGCAAACTCCGTTTTTTGCACTCCGGCCTTTTGCCAAATATGAACTCCGGTTTCAAACTCCGGCTCCGGCTATTGTATAACTCGAACCACTTGTTGTGGCTGGTTAATTTTGCAAGTCACTGTTCAACTTTGAATCATAAATTAGCATGTGTGAACGCAATCTAGCGTCATGTTGTGTCATGCACAAAATGTTTTATTTTCATGCAAGTTTTTCAACTTTAGTCAATAGTTATCGTTCGTCGATACAAAAATGTTTTGATCAGACACGTTTACCAAAGTTTGACAGTATTTTGCAGCACAAACGACTGCTTCTGGAGTTTTGCCGGAGATGAACAAACTTTGGCTCGGCTCCGTCAGTCAAAAAAAGCCGGTGCTGCGGCCTAACTCTGGCCTACGGTACTCCAGTGCACAGCCTAAAATATGTTGTTTCAAAAAATTATCGTCTTACTTTCTGTTGTTCAATTTTTCTATGAAATAAATGATTTGAACCCAAGAGTATCATTACATACATGTTTGTAGATACACGTAGATCGTCCAGGTTAGTGTAATCCTGTCAAGGACTGTTGGTGTTGATGTTGACTGACATTTTGACAACCTTAGCTGCATTCATCTTTGGAGTCAAGCGAGGATTACAAGTAGAAGTCACTCCTCACGTGACTCTGAAGGTGACTACCGCTAAGGTTGTCAAAACGTCACTCAACAACAACAGTAACAGTACTTCTCAGGACTCCACCAACCTGGACGGTCTACATTTACAAACATGTTTTTTATGTGTTAGTAGTGGCCAGTCAAAAGCAACTTTGACCTAACTAAAATGAAGTTGACCTGTCATCTTGACCAAAGACATTTTGGCCATTATTTTGAGTACTGTTGATATTTATTTGTTTTTTGGTAGTATACTATAGGGGAACATGATTTCTTATTGTTTCAGCTATATGCCACCGATAAAGGAAGAGTTAATCGATCCTAAAACGGTCTCATTTCATCCAAACGAGGCTAGAAGATCTGTTTTTCTTGGAAAACTATTTTTATTTTCGGACCAAAAGCAGGTGAAATGTGTGAACGAGATGAAATAATTTTGAGATGAACTCTCATTGTCTTCTTCTTTGTTTGTACACAGTGGAAACGACTTGAGCAGGCAATCAACTTGGCCAGTGGTACAGCAGTTTTGATGGAGACTGGTGACACTTCCGGACTCAATGAAAAAATGTTGGTCGATGAACAAACGTTGGTAATGTCACCTGATTTGTCGACAGGAACATCAGAAGAAAAAGAAGTTTGGCTCGGTTATGTCGGTGATGCGTTGAAAAGGTACGATGTACACTTTGAAATAGTCAAATGTCAAATGCAATGCATAAGTTAGAACATAGATACTCGCCGTGCAACATTTAAGAAATAAAAGATGTTTACTGTGTTTGCACGGGCTTATGCAAACCGAGAAGACCTTTAGGAAAACTCGAGAGCAGATCAGTGCAAGCCCGAGACCTAAGGTCGAGGGTTACACCTGCTCGACAATTCTCACAAACGTCTCCGAGGTTTGTATAAGCCAGTGCTTGATTGATTGATTGCTTGATTGATTTGATTGGTTGAGCTCAGATGTGTTTTGCACAGGCTAATGCAAACACAGCTCTAGACCAATCAGCACTCGTTTCATTGTGTTTATTTTATAACATTTTATGTTTCTATGTAGTGTTAATAAAGACCTATTGCAGAGACTGAAGTGGGTCTTGCTATACTTTATATGTCACTAGATGAATATTGCAATTCAAGTATGAAACACGGTGAGTTAATGTAATGTAAATATTACAACTTTATGTAAACTTTTGTCTGTTGGTGGTGTTGATTTCTTCAAATGAACGTAGTTTATGTAATTTATGTATTAATTAAAGTCGTCTTTCTAAAGGAATGTACTATATGCACATGCTAAAGAAAAGATGAAAATATTTTTCTCATACCAAAATAGTTAGACAATGTTTTTCCATTTATATAGTTCCTCGTATAACAAAACCAATAGTGTATAAAAGTATTTGCACAATGGAGGAAATGTCACAACGTGTATCCCAATCACAAGTTCACACGACCGATAAGGTTTTGTTTTGTATGTTTATGATTGTCGTTGGGTTTTTATATTTTTTTACAAAACTTACCGTGATTTTTAAGTATATACTATACTCAGCAGTTGCCGATATCCGCCATCGTCGATCCTCTTGTATCAACTACGATCCCGCAAAACACCAAAAAAAGGTGGGTGAATAACATTGGCATTCTTTGAAATGATAAGATTTCTGGAAATGTTTTTAATGTTTTCATAGACCCCGTGAGGTCTCCGACGAATTCTCTGATCCTGCAATGATCCCCAGCACACCCGTAGAAATTGACGTTGAAGTAAAGCGATCAAGATTGACAAACCTAACTCATGTTTCTCAGACGCCCGACTTCAAAACTTCTCTTTCGACTTCTCAAAGTCACTTCTCCATGCAGAGTTTACCGCGCGATAAAAAAACACTGGGGAGGAGTGAAAATCGTCCACGTGATAAAAAAGGACTGGGAAGGAGTGAAAATCGTAGTTATCAAGACGTATCCCATGTATCAGAAAGCGAAAAACTCAGTTCTGATGAGAATATTAATGTTTTAAAAACTCCTTTTAAAAAAGATAATACTGTCAATTCATCTGATGTTATACACATATCTGATGATGAGGTTGAAGACATTGCAGTAACACGTAATGATTATTCTGAAGGCACAAAACATCCTCGACTGAATTCCTCTACTACGAACACAAAACGTGATGTTGAACGAATGGCTGTGGAAAAACAGAAGAGAACTGGTGTAAAGCACAGTGGGGAGACAGAAGACAAGAAATCGACAATGCTTCACGATGTGTTTGGTGCAGTTAATGTCTCACTTGGTGAAAAAGAGATCAAGACTACTGATGTTTTGCGGCAACAAAATGATTTGCAAGGAAGTGGTGTACAAGAGTTTGATGATATCTGGACGTGCACTCTAAAACGTCCTTTTAATGACTCAAAAAAGGATGAAATCATCAAGGACCCAGATAGTGAAGTGAGAGGGAAAATTAAAGAAACTACTTCGCCTGTGATCTCGTTGAACATGAAGCGATGCAAAATATCTACAGATAAGTCACATGTCTCCGATACAGAGCGATCATTCACGGAAACCCTGAATGACAAAGAACCTTTGATGGTATCATCTGAAGATGAACTGTTTGGCTCATCAATTAGCTCGAAAAATGTCACGATTAATAATGACATGAGCAAGGATGTTAAAAAATCATTTCACGATAATGAATATCAACTTATTTCAGAGAAGAAAGGTGAAGAAGCCAGGTATGATTAACAGTTGATGTTTACAAATGTTATATATTTACAAAATCATTTTTTTGAGTTCGTGCCTTTTTATTCTTCTACAGTGATAAAGTCAACAATGATTTCACTGGTGATGGCAGTGGAACTGATGATATTTGTTTATCAAAGTCGCCTTCAGATTCTGGTTGGATGTGTAAAAAGTCGTTCTGTATCAAAGAAGAAGAAAAGGGACAAGGCGATAATATCGCGAACACAACGAACGCTGTAGATGCGGACAGTGACATTCCCATTGAAAACTGTGATGATACTGTAAAGGTTCTTTACTTGTAAATTCTTTGGAAATATAGCTATTCTTTTTATTCTGTATTTTCCTTTTCAAGGATATCAAGGAAGAAGAGTACGAAAGAGACTTGATCTCTGTGGAGTACACTGCTTTAGTTATCGTTAAGGTTACTCATTCAGCGGTTGATTCATTAACAAACACACCTAACACCACAGTGTTGAAGAATGTGAAGAAATTTAGAAAGGTTTGTTTGTGGATGAACGTTATAATTAGTTGACAACCATGATCAATGACGATGATCAATCTCTCTTCCACGCAGCAAAATATTAATGGTAATCGTTATGGTTTGCCTGAGATCATTGGGGGCAGTGATTTAGTCGTCTTCTCCTCTCGAAATATTGATACTGAGGAATGGATCCTACAGGTTCAAGAGGTACGTCGTAGAACATGGAGGACGTTGTTTATGGTTTGTGCAGGACATTCTTAGCTTTAATGTAGCTCTAATCCCTCAACCCCCAAACCACCACCTATGCTTTTAGCGATCATGGATTTTCCTTAAATGGTGGTAAGCATAATATTTAGCTGGAGCTGGCTATAATTGACGACTGTGGTGGAAAATCTTTGAAAATTACAGGCAAATGTAGACAATTCCGCATTTTTATTTATAAAACATTAGCCCAGTCGACTGCTTGCACCTTGAATGAATATTCATTTTTTTGACAATATAAATTTTGCCTTATTTGTTAAACTTATGTAGATGAACGAAGAAGATGCACAAGATAAGGATGCTGATAATTTATTTCGTTACAATCCCACAACAAGTAAGAAAAGACATCGACGTTAGGTAAGTTTTTTTGTGAAAATTCTTTGCAGTTCTTTTTTGCTTGTTTTGGACTGTTTGAAGTCGATTTGCCGCATGTAAAACCGTTGTGTTTTATATCTAATTTTCGCGCCATGTTTTTTGAATTCTGAAATGTTCATTAATACAAATGCTCTTGTCTTAAATCTAATCATAGCGTTTGTCTCCTCCGTATTTCCGTCACACTTCGTTTACACCATCTCAGCTATATTGATCGAGATTATGTATTCATTATCATACTGGCGTTTTAACAAGATAAATTACGTGGAAATATTCGGCAGAAACCACACCAACCGCTTCTCACTAACTGCGTGGCAAAGATAACATAAACACGAACAATTCATTTCATTCATATTCATGTTTATAAATATCAGACTGTGTGCGCATTATCTAAGAGCATTTTTATCGTTAATGAATGTGAAATTCAACGTCACTGTTATGATAAAAATTTAGCGAGAACGTATTTGAGAAAATTCTTGAGTAAGTAAAAGGAACAGACGCGCTGACAACAAAAGCAACGTTAATTGTATACAACAATGATATCTCGACTTGTAGACCGTTTTAATAACAGAATATCTCGAAATCTTTCGCCAACAAACAATGTTGAAGCACGATACACAACTTTACCCGAAGAGGCCGTTGAATTGCAGCTCCTTACGGCTGATGAGCAATCGGACGGTAATACGTTTACACCAGATGAAGCCATATCTCACATTGGTTTTGGTTGGTTTCATGTAAAACTTGTAGTTGTTTTAGGCTTAGTGTGGATGGTCGAAGGTATGGAAATATTTGTAATGTCAGTGTTGGCCCCCTACCTAAGATGCTACTGGGGGTTAAGTTATCTTGAAGAGACCTTATTACCTATCTTAACATCTGTTGGTATGATGATTTCATCACCATTCTGGGGTTGGATTTGTGATATATATGGACGTAAAAAAGGACTGTACATTAGCTCGTTCTGGTTTATATATTTTGCATTTCTTAGCACATTTGCTCCCAACTACATATGGTTGTTGTTTCTTCGATTTCTTGTTGGTGTTGGAATTGGCTCATTGCCTCAGGTATCAACCATCCTAGCAGAATACACTCCTGCAAAGGCTCGTGGGAAAGTTCTAACATTCATCACCTTATTCTGGTCTGTTGGTTTTATATTTGCCGCGACTCTGTCATTGTGGCTTATGATTGACTATGGATTTCGTGTGTTGCTTGGTGCCCTTTGCACACCTGGCTTGCTATTTTTGTTTTGTTTCTATTGGATGCCAGAGTCATTTCGTTTCTATGCAGCATCCGGTCAAGCTGATAAAGCATTAGAAATGCTCAAACATATTGCTAAGGACAATCGCTCTAGTTTACCCACTGGTACCCTTAAAGTGTCGCCACCAATGAAAAACCGTGGAAATCTGAAAGATTTGACCTTCTCAAGTTATTTTCGAATGACAGTGACGTTGTGGGTTATCTGGTTCATCAGCATCATGATGTACTATTCCTCAGTTTATGTGACTACAGAAATATTTGACAAGTACAAAGATAACATTTGTGTTGCACCTTCATCTCATTCCATGACATGTAGTTGCAGAGTTTTCTCACGCAAGGACTACATTGACATAATTTGGACATCGTTTGGTGAATTTCCAGGTGTTATTCTAACTCTCGTTGTCATTGATTGGCTGGGCAGGAAGCGTACAATGTATGTTTTGGCATTTGTGGCTATAATATTCCAGAGTTTACTCTTCTTGTGTCTTGATCGAACACAAGCAACTATAGTCCTTATGATTATAAGATGTATTCTTGTTGGATATTCAGCTGTTGTGTTTGTATATACTCCAGAGGCATATCCCACATCAATCCGTGCCATGGGGATGGGCTCAGGTTATGTGTTTGGTCGCATTGGCATGCTTGCTGCACCATTTGTCGCAGAAGCATTGTTTCACATCTCCTTCCAAATTACCAAATTCTTCTTTATTTCCTCTTTGATTATTGGATTTTTTGCAGCACTTGCCTTACCATATGACACTAAGGGTAAAATATTGGTGTAAATGCTTATGAATGTTATGCTTTACAGTAAAGCACCAAGGCCTAAGTATATCTCTTCAATTTTGCATGTTAGGCACTGTTTTTAAATAATTTATTTTGCGTATTGTGCAAGGTTTCGCACTTAAATAATTAACATAATTTAAATGGTGAAATTTCAATGTCAGATTTTCTGAATTGTTCTACTGGTGTTTTGTTCATTTGCTAATGGTGTTTACCACGGTTTTTTATGAGATATTTTTAGAGTAAATGTAAAATTGTAAACCGCACGAGACAAAAATGTTGAAACGTCATTTGAATGTATAATTTTCGTTTTGACGATGACGTGTTGTTGACATTGTTAAATTGCAAACTTTTCCTGTCGGAGAAGAAAGATATACATCCTTCTCGCTCACACTTGCGTTGTGCAGCATTCAACAAAACAAGGTATGGCCTGAAGAATTATTTTATACAGTTTTCAAATGATTTAATTTAATTTTAGTTGCCGCGTGATTGTCAGTATAAGTTGTAAAAAGCAACATAATATTGAAATGTCAAACTATGAAAGTCTATAAGTCTAACGTTGATGTGAAAGAAATTTTGCGAACACGATGTATCATACATTACGCCCTTTAAATGACGTGGATTTATCGTGCATGGGCATACACACCATTTTTACGCTATCTCACGGTGTCATATAATATTTTGTGTTCGCTAAAGTTTGTTTTGTTTAGAGAAGATGGCGGACCAGCAAAAACATGCCTATCCACCAACTGAGCAACCTCCTCATCCATCTCAAAGTGCCTACCCACATACTATGGTACTTGTGGCAAAATTGTGGAATTTCATTAATGTTAAATTTTGCTTTCATTTTTACCCAAAGTCTTGTGTTGCAGGGATACCCTCCTGGGCCATATGGTGCAACCCCTCCTGGGCAACCTGGTTATCCTGCTCCTCCTGGGCTGCCTGGCTATCATGGGCAACCTGGTTATCCTGCTCCTCCTCCTGGGCAACCAGGTTATGGAATGCCCCTCCTGGGCAGCCTGGTTATGGAATGCCCCCTCCTGGGCAGCCTGGTTATGGAATGCCCCCTCCCGGACAACCTGGTTATGGAATGCCCCCTCCCGGACAACCTGGTTATGGAATGCCCCCTCCTGGACAACCTGGTTATGGAATGCCTCCTCCTGGTTATCCCGGTGGATATGCTTACCCTTCGAGTTCTGGATATCCTCACTCTCATGGTGATAAAACAGTATGTTTAGATTTTTTAATTGCCGTACATTGTCTGGTGGTTATTGTAGATGATGTCTATAAATTAATCTGTTGGTATGGATTTAATGAAATGTTGCCTTATTGTATTCGTAGAAAACTGGCAATGACAGTGATGACAGCCAGCCAGGTGATTCAGGTTGGTATTGTATTTCTCATTTATGAATGTGAATGAAATCAGTGAAATAAAATGCTCTTTTGGTTTCTCTCAAATTCATGCAACAGCTTTCTTGTGTGTTTTGCTTTCCTCTATTTGCTATAACAATGTTGACTATATTTTATGCATCAAATCCTTATCTTGAGCTGACTAGTGATAAGAGCCTTAGATGAAAACAATTTTATCAGCAATTAATGATGTTTATTTTTATAGCATTAAGATCCAAAGGCCAAGGGAAGAAGATTTATTGCATTTTCCAAAACCTAACAGGGAAAAAAGTTGAATTGTATCAAATTGATGCACATGGCAAAGTTCATCGTCTTATAAAACTGAAGGATGGGAAAAAAGAGAGGCTGGAGGTGTATGAAGGTGATGTTTTTGTGGCAGGCAGTACAAAGAAGAAAATGAGGCTTTTGATTAATAACAATACTGTATATACTGCCATGACTGAGAAAGAAGGCGAGAATACTGTACTTGCTCACATCTCTCGTGGGCCAGGTAATTTTTGATATTTATACACACTGCCATCTTTCAACATCTCAGACACAACTAACTCATTTTACATATTTATAACTCACTGCTAAAAAAATATGTGGTGAATTTTAATGTGATTCAAAATTCAGTTCTGGTGTGAAGATATTTTACACAACAGTAATCTACCCCATGATTCTTTATCATTAAGATGAAGTTGATGATCTCTCCTCCGATGAACACAACAATGTTGAAGTAAAAGTTAAGTTCGTTAATCGCTCTAAAAATACAGTACAATTGGTGCTAATTGATCACAAAGGAAAGTGGCTAAATAAAAAAGTCGTCATCCCTGGAAAATGCTACACAACAAAGTCATACGGGGGTCATAAGTGGATAGCACATGATGTCCAAGACGAAGATGAGGGATTGTATTTAAACTACGGTTTTTTTTACTCTCCGTGGAAGTCAAAACTTGCAAAGGAACGTGTGATTATTACACACGGTAAATTATACTATCTGTCCTAATTTATATTTAGAAGGACTCGTTTTAATGTAGAAATGTTTGAACATTTCTCAACAGCATAAATTGCCCACGTTAAAGTGAAAGTAACTTCCAAAAAAAAACCCCACGAATTTAACAATCAATTTAGCTTTTCTAAGTATTGGATGTTTTCATTTGTTAGTGATTCAATGGCCAACTATTGTATGTTAACGATGTTCTACTTTTTAGATCGACCATTTTCAGAATCTTCGAGTAGTGGATCTTCGAGCAGTAGCGATTGAACTCAGACATTTAATTTTTGGAATGTAATTTAAGGCAATTTGTAAACATTTTGTTACATGAGGATTAGCTTAGATCGTGAAAATCAATATTAAAGAGAGTGAAGGTAGTGAATTTGCGCTGTGTATATTGATTTGACTTTTGCATAAAAATAATCATGTTAGCAACAAGCAGGCATTATTAAAGTGATGAAACATCAAAATTGTTTATAAGTGTTATGTGCAATTTTATTGCAAGGCATAATTTTGCATGAAACTTAAGTTACATGAAATACCTAAATGCTAACATGTTCCTGTTACATCATATTGCTAACGTTTGGAGGTGTCATCTGGGGTAAAATACCGCCTTTTGGCTGACATCCAAACTATCTTTGTAACCCAGTTAGCTCGTTTCCTTTTTAGTGTGTATCTGCATTTTAATTCTGTCATTTACAATGAAAGGCATTTCAAAGCTTTAAAATATTTAATTATAAAATGATTATATCGATGATATGTTGATACGTCTTTGTGCGTTCAATTTACGAAGCTTAACGCTAAGCAACTCTTTTAAACTTAGTCGAAGTCACATTGACATTATTCAAGAATAAATTTGCGTTTTTACGGAGTCCATTATGTTCTTTGTCAGTGTTTCGCAATATTAAAATTTTATTTGTAACTTATCATATTTTTTAATCAGTGCTTGTTTGTTCTTTATCGACGTTTCTTATTCGCTCGCGTAATTGTGCTCAAAAACAAACAAATTTACATAAATTGCGCAGGAGACGACTTATATTCTGATATTAGATACTGCATCTGTTGACGGTGTTAAAAATACAGCTGTAACTATACATATACCCAGCACTGCATGAACATATGTTGCCCTGGGGGTGGAGTGGAAATTACACGAAGAAAATCTACAGTTGTGTTTTTGAAAACTCTATGAATGAAACAGAGTTGTAGAATATGCGCATACAGCAAAAACACGAATGACCTTTTTTTGCCAAAACAAATAGTTATTTCACATAAGTATATGTTGTTTTTTAAAAGTCTTGTTTTATCCAATTAAAATTGTTTTTCGCCATATCTAAATGATGCGAATGTTTCTTTCAGATTATTAACTTATCTAAAGAAATAAAAATTAAAAATACTCTCTTCAAATGATGTGGTAAAAATATTTTACCACATATTTGAAGGATGTTTTTCAGCACTTCAAAAAAACGACTGCCATTATGGCTTGTTCAATCTGTTTGATATATGCCGATCTAAGCTGTCCGGAAATTGTTAGAATACATGATGAAATGAAGATGGTTTGTATTTTCCCCACAAATCACAAATTGCTTTGTAATGTCGTTGAAAAGACAACAGAACATTTTGTTGTGAGAACCTTGCTTTTGTGTGACCCATTATGGACTAAATCCCTTTTCTAGTCTTTTCTTTTTTTAATTGACGTCATGCTTTATATTGGCATTGGCATTTTGTTGCCCCGGTTTCATTAATTCTTTGTTCTTATTGTGGAGAATGTCGTCCATGTTCATCATCTCAAACTTAAACATGAGAAAAGAAACGGGCTGGCAATTCACACCTTTTTATTAAGTAAGAATAATTCTCATCGTTTGTCTAATCTCTCTTACTTTGAGATGGACCTGATTGTAGCAAATGTCCTCCTTCGCTTCTTATTTTTGGCCAAAATTGCATTTTGTTATGAATAAAACATAAATATGTGTTGTCATAGGGGCACTTTTTCTAAAGACATCACCCCGTTGACGATTGCAATGGCGGTCTCTCTTCGGCCGTCTTTGGTGCTAGTGGAATCATCAACAACAAAATGTATTTAAAAAAGCGACAGAAAATTAACCTTGGCGGTGCAAAAAGATAGTCGACTTCTCCCTGTTGTTCTTGTCGCTTTAAGTGAAATATGACCATTTTACACCTGTATAGGAGCAGCAACACTCATTTTTCCGTTAAAGCGACAGAATTTTTCTTGGGTGATGATCGACTCAACGATCGAGCTGAATTGTATTTCTACTGATATTACATGTAAAACATCCATTTTTACATAAAAGTACGCATCGCGCTTGTAAATTTAACATCCATTGCACTCTCTCATTTGCATTGAAAGTACATGCACTCCGAGCATTCGACTGGCAACGAACAGACATGGCGAATGACATTTGAAATCCGATTTAAACATTTTCGTCAGAGTGCAATGTGTTTTGTATTGTTTGTTGTTGGCATTCTTCCATACCGCCCAAGACGAGCTTTCTATTGGCGCTTAGCACACGGGTAAACAATGGAATTTTAAAACCGGAAAATACGAGTGGTTGTAAAATTGAACTGAGCATGGCAAAATTGGACCGAAGTTAGTAATGAGTCCCATGGTAGATATTAGAAAGCATTACCATTTTTCCTTTGTAAATGAGATTTCAATATAATGACATGGCATTTGCTTCAAATCGGCCGGCTAAACTGCCCTTGTGCCCTGGCTGTGGCAGACCGTTCGAAGCTCCTAAGATTTTGCCTTGTTTACACACGTTTTGCCGTAGGTGTCTGATGGAAGCCATCGAAACAAATCCCACGAAGTCGCTCTCGTGTTTAACTTGTTACCGGCATGTGGAGTTGAACGAGAACGGTGTAGATGGCTTACGTGCAAACATGTTTATTGAGAATATCATGGATATCATTTCGCCACATCATGAATATGAAGCCAGAGAAAGAGGTAATACTTCAACAAATGCTAGAACAAATCTCGCTTCTCATATATGTAGTAACTGCGAGGAAGGATTACAAGTGACATCACATTGTCGAGTTTGTAACGAAGATTTGTGTGACAATTGCACACAGGCTCATCAACGCGTACGTATGACTAAGGACCATGAAATATTACCTCTCCCTGCTCAAGATGATACTACGACACACGAAACAGTGAATAAACGCAGTCCCGAACACAACGAACGTTGTCTTACACATAAAGATGAATTACTTATTCTATATTGTGACACTTGTTACTCTCCAGTGTGCCGCGAGTGCACCTTAAATGAACATCTCGGCCATAGTTTCATCTATTTGCAAGATGCTGTGACAAATAACGTGAGTTCTCTGCATAAACTTATAACTGAAGCTGGTCGAGAGAGTAGTGCTATAGACGAATGCATAGCTGCATCCCGTGCTATGAGTGAACGAGTGCAAGTTCAAGCCCAAAACATAGCTAGCGAAATCCGTAACACAGTACGAAGACATATGACTGCATTAGAAGAGAGAGAACGTCAATTATTACGACGTGTGGAGAAGATTGGCCAAGTGAAAGGGAAAATATTACATATTCAGATAGACGAGTTGAAAACAAGTGTAGCTGGTTTAAATAATGCCCTCGATGCAGCTCATAAAGCTTTGGAACATGACAAAGAAGACGAAATTAAATCGGCAAAAAAATCTTTGACAGATAGTCTGAATGGGCTTCGAGTAAAACGCGACCTCATGAAAGTACACGAGGATGATTCTATCGGTTTTAGTCCACCCGATCCCGCATTACAGACGGCCATTAGATCACTTGGCATAGTGAGTAGTAATGCATGTGCTATGTATAGTGTAATCCATGGAAACAGTCACAAGCGAGCGATTCGCAGTAAATCGGCAATGTTTATCGTCCAAGCAAGAGATCATCATGGTGAAAATCGTTGCACGGGCGGTGATGTTCCACATGTAACCATACAAACACCTGATGGTCTATTATTACGTGGTGAAGTTTTCGACCGGCAAAATGGCACCTATGCTGTCACATATCGTCCTCAGGTTGAAGGTTCGCATATTGTTTCTGTTGCAATACGCGGTCTACAAATCAAGGATTGCCCTTTCCATGTTGACGTTAAAAAAGGACGAAATTACCAAACTATCGGTGTTCCTGTTAGCTGTTTTGGTACTGAGGGTGAAGGTGACGGTGAGCTGTGTCGACCATGGGGTGTAAGTTGTACTCAAGACGGAAATATTATAGTTGCTGATCGAAGTAATAATCGTATTCAAGTGTTCAATCGTCAAGGACGTTTTCTTTACAAGTTCGGATCTGCTGGGTCTCGTAATGGTCAATTTGACAGACCCGCTGGCGTGACATGCAGTATGCAAGGCCATATTATTGTCGCTGACAAAGATAACCATCGAGTACAGGTGTTTGAAACTGATGGTACATTTGTGTTGAAGTTTGGTGAACGAGGGAATAAAAACGGGCAGTTTCATTATCCATGGGATGTAGCAGTGAACACGGAAGGGCAGATTCTTGTCTCAGATACACGAAATCATCGCGTCCAGTTGTTTAGCTCTGATGGATCTTTCGTGAACAAATATGGCTTTGAAGGCTCCCTTTGGAAGCATTTTGATTCCCCACGTGGTGTTGCTTTTAATCACGAAGGACAAATGGTCGTCACAGATTTCAATAACCATCGCTTGCTCGTCATCGGTACAGATTTTCAGTCAGCTAGATTTCTCGGCACCGAAGGAGTGAATAATGGTCAATTTTTACGGCCACAAGGAGTTGCTATCGATGAAGAAGGCAACATAGTTGTCGCAGACTCAAGAAATCACCGCATACAGATCTTTCAAGCGCATGGTGTTTTCTGTTGTAAGTTTGGCTCGCCCGGATCAAATCCTGGCCAGTTAGATCGGCCTTCAGGTATTTGTATCACACCAGATGGATGCATTGTTGTCGTAGATTTTGGCAATAATCGCATTCAAATTTTCTAGATTTAAAAATCCGAATTCAAATTTAGTCATAAGTGCATGGAACAAACATTAGACGTTATTGCTTTGTTAACTTTTTGGTTCTAAAAGAACTTTGTTGCATTTACATTACCGAAGCGCTATTTATTTTGTTTCTCATTTCACATTTGGTACATATTTGCCACAAAATGGCTTTAAGTCTTTGTCCTTGAACATCTCGACCAGTGAAACGCATCTTAAGTGTGAAATGTTTGGTTTTGATCTTAAAGGATATTTGCTGTTTGGGAAACAAAATGAAAGCGTGTCTCTAATAAAAAAATGTGACAGTTTCCACACAATTAGAGAAGTCATAAAATAATTTAAATTGTGCACGATATTTTCATATTTTCGGTCTATGCTTTCTTTGGCATGTCTTCCATTGATAAATTCAACCGTTTTCTGTGTATTTTTAATAAGTTGGGGCATTTTCATATTTTTCTTTTGATTATAAGAATGTTTAACAGTCATCTCCTATGCTATTATGAAAGAAAAACGATCAATGTTTGCCTTTGTGGAATTACGAACTCTTTTGCTTTCGTGTTTTTTTGACAGGTGTTATCGGAAGCAAGAGTAGTTATAAGCAATATTCTTTCTGCTGTAAAACTAGAATATTAGATTTGCCTTCAAAGGTTATTGAGTATGACTTGGCAATTTATTCACAATACACGATATTTATAAAAATGCTCCAACTTAAAAATTTACAAAAAACAGTTGCACGAATGTTATATCGAATTGGCATTCGTATCAAATCTAAATCTTATCTTTATTTACGTAGTTTAAAAATTTTGCTGTTAGAAAAATACCTTAGCTATATCTTAATTAGGTGAAAATGCTATCAGTAATAAGTTTGATTTGTTGCATGGATTACAAAATAGGGGAGAGGATGAAGCCTATCTTTTATAATTATATATATTATTTGAATTTCAATTTACTACAATGCATTTGGGCATGAACGAAAGATGAATAGGACCGTTTTAGAGCTCAAGTGTTCATGTTTACTGCGTGCTCGTATCAAAATTATTTTTTGTTGAAGAACAACAGTGATTTTCTATAAACAAGTAAAGTAATTCTCAAAAGCGTCCTAGATGCGCATTAATATTGTAAATTGTGGATGCGAGGCAAAAATTGTAGGTGATAAGAGCATTATATTAGAACTTAACATCATATTCACTTTATACGCTGATAAGTTCTTCATAAAATGTGTTTATTTACATTGCAAAGCAGAGCTAAGCAAAATCTTATGAAGTACTATTAGCGGTATTAGCTTGAAAAAATTATAGACTGTAGATAGAAAAATTTTTGTAATTATCATAGGACTTATTGTTTTTGTTTGTCCAAACAATTCATTTGTTATATACCAAAGGAAATTGTCTCTTTTACAGCTGCCTTTCTGTAAATACTAGTAAACAGCTGAAGTTTAGCATTGAATATTTGATCTTCAATGATACTTGGCAATATGTGCGTGCAATATTTTTGGATATAGTCCAATTGTGCATAACAGAGTAACATAATATGTCTCTGCCTGAGGCCGGCTTGGTTAAATACATCATCGAGTATATTATTGACACTTGTTGACGAATTTAATTCGAGTCAACGTGTTTTAAAGCATAAACTTGTTTGCCTCAGTTTACCAACAGAAACGGCTGGTCTAAGAATGATTTCCTTTAACGGTATTCTTATTTTATTATAATATAAAGTATAGCTCGAAGAAAAATATCTAAATTAATTAATCGCTTGTTAGTTATAATTTGCATGGTAAAACAGTACCACATAGAAATCAAATAGTTTAAAATGAACACAGAGGGCACAATTAAAGAATTTACATTAAAATATTGTCTTTTATTGTTAGTGCTGCTTTGAAAATTTCTTCACACGGTAAAATGCTATATTTGATGTAGTAATCAGCTTTGACTGTCTGCGCTATCCGTGAGTCATTCACTCCTTAATTATCTGTTAGTGAGGAATACGGTTTAAACTTTCCCCGCATCCTGAAACGCGACACTTGTTGAGGATTTTCTCTTCGTAGCAACATCTTATTCACATTCAATTTTAAACATCAATACTTCGACATTTTTTACTCAACCGCCTGTCGCTTTTTGCAAGGATAGTGCACAATTGTCGACCCGGCCCTACTTCGTAATACGTTGTCTCCTTAAATTTTGCGCCTCGCAATCTTTCCATTATTTTTGTCCATTGTACTGGTTCAGCTATTTGTCTTGAAAGTAATCTGTTGAAATTTCAAAAAAGTCTGCTTCAACATCACACTGTACAGCTGCATGACATTAAAAGTCCGTTTACTTACCTCCTAATATCACTTGCTGATTCGTATTTTTCACCAGTTACATTAGAATAAACGTCAATCTGTGGCTCTTTTATATCGATTTTCTCCAATGCGTCGGCAAACTTTCTTTGAGCTGACATCATATATTGCGTATGAAAAGCTCCACTCACCGGTAATTGGGACATCTTAACACTAGACTTAATAATAAAAATTGGCACATCATTCTTGGTAGTGGCTTGAAATTTTCATGTGCCCTACAATTTTGAGATGTTTCATGTAATTTTCCATACATCGTTCTTGTTATCTTCGTTATCTTTTTTCAACCTTAAGGGGGAAGCTGGGAGAGACGTTATCTTTTTTCAACCTTAAGGGGGAAGATGGGAGAGACGTTATCTTTTCAACCTTAAGGGGGAAGATGGGAGAGACGTTATCTTTTTTCAACCTTAAGGGGTAGTGAGGAGAAGATGAGGATAACTCAGGAAGTTGACACGAAGATCCCACGATTGCTACATCTGTACACCTATTTATTGGGATTGATATACCTTCCTTTTCACGCCTTTTCGTACGAATTTTTCTTACTCAGATTAACGATGGATGATTGCTTAGCGTGACTCATAACATATTTGTACCCCACTTAAAAAAGCAGTCAGAAGCATTTTGTTCCCCCTAGTCAGCACGTCCTTTAACTATCTAACACAAACGACTTATACAGTCTTACGTGTTTTCCCATATACATAAGACGATCAATCGATTTCTTTCCTCCTGCTACAACAAACCCTTTCTTATACAAATAACTGGCTATCTGTATATCAGTTTCATCTCCGGACAACGTCTTGCGAACTTCATTTAATAATTCTCTGATTTCTTCTTCTTCAAGGCCTGAGATTGCGACCATTCCACTTGACGTTTTATCTGAAGCTTGCTGCATTGCTTTTCCTCTAACATCGATCAGAGATAGTCCTGTGTTATAATCAAAAGTTGAAGGATAGTTCACTTGGTTGGTGTTTGGACTTGGCAGTCACTGGTCAACATTCATAACGAAAGAGACGCTATTCCAACAACATGAATTTTTGTTTGTTGTTGAATGGGAATATCGAGAAAAGAAGGCTCCTCACAGAATGTTGGAAAATTATTTGGTAACGTTTAATGTGAAATGAGAATAAAAGTGAAATGAAAAAATAAATCTTACCATCTTCAAAACTCAAAATATTTGCCAGGACAAGCGCTGCGATCTCTCCAACACTGAAACCTGCAGTTGCAATGTTCCCTTCAGTGAACCAATTTTCCCCTATGTTAGGACCAAAGTATGAGTCAGAAATGTTATTGTCGTGTAATTAGTAGGGTAAGTTTGATAATTTTCTACAGCCTTGCCTCTTTGTTTTCACACTCTATTAGTTATGGATTATACCTTTCAACTCCTTGTACTTTTCTAATGCTGCCAAACTGGAAGTAAATATTGCTGGTTGGCAGTATTCAGTTCTATCAAGTTTAGTCTGAGGACCACATAGACACAACTCCAACAGGTTATAGCCCAAGATTTGGTTAGCAATTTGAAAGAGATGTTTTGCGGCTGGCATGTTTTTTAGTTTCTTTGTCATACCGACAAATTGGTTACCCTGCCCTGGGAATAATATGACATCTCTTGTTGCCAAACTTGAGCAAAAGAATCGATTACATTTTTCAAGTTCTTGGCATTTGATTGCAAAATATTTGATGCATTGTTTCAAATATACAAACATTATTGAATGTCTTGAAATGGTGAAAAGATTGTGGAAGCTAAGGATTCTGGTACATATATCATGAACAAGTATACACAACCATTAATTCTGATTTGGTAATTTTGATTTTGATTACTAACACAACCGAGAGCCAGGGGGGTCAGATATCATATCGCAAGTTATGAGTTGCCGGGGGGTATCACATTCAAAACACGAAGTCTTAAACAATGTCATGTTCACTTCGTTCAATTCAAAAAACGTAGTTTTAAACTATTGGGAGTTTCTTTCATCCCTGAAATTACTTCAGCATGACACCTTTTATCGATGTGTGCAGTTTAACAGAACAATTAACTTAAGCTGTTGGTGTGGTTTTTGTCAAGTATCTCGTGACATGTGAATGGTTATGGTTGTGTAGTGTGTACAGGATCTTTCTCTTCTTTATGGCAGCGGGTTACGACGAAAATGTCCTTGAAAATCCTTTTTTTAAATCTTTAAAGGGAAAGTTTTCGCAAATATATGATGATGCATCTTCAAAGCGTTTGACGGTGAAGTGTTTTTTGATATAATTAAATTAAGAAAATCTACCCTAGGTTGTCAGGCTATCACACTATCTAATATAAAGCTGTATTTTACAGATATGTGTTCCGCGTTATGGCTCCTTGGCTCGCCAAGTGCCTAACCTTGTTGATATTGAAAATCACATTCTTACTCCAATACCAGGAAGTGAGAAAACTTTTCAAACATTAAATAATCGAGAGGTGATAGTGGATGGACATCTTTTGCGGACATCGTCTGGTTTTCATGATGTTAGACAGGTCCATCAATACACACATGTAATCTTTTTTGCTTAAATACATCATAAACCATTTTTTTTCTTTTAATTTATGTTTTCAGGTTGAAATCCTATTTGAAGAAACATTTTTTAATGCTAACAAAGAAAGCTTCAGTATTTTATGTATTGAACGGCCACTGGAAGGAGGAAACAGTATGGAATAATACCATTGAAAATAATTTGTTTTATATTTTGTGTAACTATCAATGCAGACCTTGGCATATCACTATTTTGTTTCTGGTGTAGGTTTTACCACAAATACTCTTGGACCATTGGAATCAATTCATGATTGCATTGAGTTTCTTTGGCCACCTCATGGTACAAACATGTTTAATTTAACTTTTATGCCTTTGCCACAGACTGCAAAGACTGTATTGTGCACTTCAGATCTTGCGTGTAGAGTTAACAAACTTTACAGTGTGGTCTTTGCTGTTGTTTCTGATCCAAAATTATAGTGAAATTATGATAAATAAATGAAACAAAGAGCGACATCAAGTAATGATATTTAAAATAACCATACAAAAGTAGGATAAATTTAAAAAAGTGAAAGCCAAGTGAAGAGAAAAAACTATGAAGTAATTTAGCCAATCAAAATGTTTATATGGGAGGAAGTTATCATAAGAAAGTTAATATTAACCAATCAAACTGAGCATCTACTGTGGTCAGGTTTTTGTTTGTACTTACCTGGGAGAAATGCAATCAAGATCCCGCAAATTGTCCTAGGATCCTATCAATTTTTAGTAAGATCTAGCTCATATGAAACTTACTTATCCCAAGTTTTAAGGTGCCTATTGCTGTTTGCAGTCTGAATGTTGTGTTTATTTGATGAAGACTGTTATTCTCATGTCTTCGCTTACATTTAAATGTTTAGGTGGGCCATATACATCAAGACGAGAAATAGATCATTTTCTTGACTCCTTTCTTCAAACTTGGATTGTTGAATTTTCTCATTTGGGGTCGTTAATGGTAGGTAACGAAGCAATTAGACTGCCTTCAGTCAATGTAATAGTTGTCATGTGATACTTGTTTATTTTGAAGAAGTAAATATAAAGCTTTAAAATTGTTGTTTTTTGTTTCAGTCAAGTGTGATTTCTCTTTTAAATCGACTCTTTCCCATGTTGATGAAAGAGTCTCGTTTGGTAACATAACATACATTTTCTATGCATTTGGTGATTGTGATGAAGGTATCTTAAGCTATCATTTATTTTTTTGTTCTCTTATGCAGAGAAAAACAGCAAAAAGTGGAAATTTTTTAGAGACAACCAAGTTGGCATTAGAAGTGAGTTGTTAATGGAAATATTTTCAATCGATGAAAAGCCTGGGAACTAATATTATATTTAATTTTCAGACATATGTTATGCACAATTTGCATGGCAAACTTTTTCCAGCTCTATGTTCTCTTTCTTCACAGAAGGTAGTGAAACTACTTACATATATTATACATATATTATACATATATTATACATATATATATATGTATTATATATTATGCATATATTATACATATATTACACATATATTATACATATATTTTACATATATTATACATATATTATACATATATTATACATATATTATACATATATTATGCATATATTATACATATATTACACATATATTATACATATATTATACATATATTATACATATATTTTACATATATTATACATATATTATACATATATTATATATATATTATAAGTTTGAAAATTGGTAATCCAGGCATTTAATACATAAAAAATGAAATTTTCTCTGGATTGTTTTAAAAAATTATTTTATTGAGCTTTCGACTGGTTGCTTCAAGCCTTCATCAGAATGAGCTAAAAGCAAATGTAAATAATGATTTCCTCATTCTGATGAAGGCTCAAAGCAACGAGTCGAAAGCTCAATATAATAATTTTTAAAAACAATCCGGAGAAACTTTCATTTTTTATATACATATATTATATATAAAAACATAACTAGTCATAGCATAAATATAAAACCCTATCATTTAATGTTTAGGATGCTGCATTCAACAAGGTTGTAAGAAATCTTGCAGATATTCAACTCAAGGACTTAGGAATCAAACCTTCATTAAGGTACACATATGAACACTATGTTGTGATCCCTACAATATGGGAATAAAACCTTCATTAAGGTACACATATGAACATTATGTTGTTGTGATCACTACAACATGGGAATAAAACCTTCATTAAGGTACACATATGAACACTATGTTGTGATCACTACAATATGGGAATAAAACCTTCATTAAGGTACACATAGAAACACTATGTTGTGATCACTACAATATGGGAATAAAACCTTCATTAAGGTACACATAGGAACACTATGTTGTGATCACTACAATATGGGAATAAAACCTTCATTAAGGTACACATAGGAACACTATGTTGTGATCACTACAATATGGGAATAAAACCTTCATTAAGGTACACATAGGAACACTATGTTGTGATCACTGCAATATGGGAATAAAACCTTCATTAAGGTACACATATGAACACTATGTTGTGATCACTACAATATGGGAATAAAACCTTCATTAAGGTACACATAGGAACACTATGTTGTGATCACTACAATATGGGAATAAAACCTTCATTAAGGTACACATAGGAACACTATGTTGTGATCACTACAATATGGGAATAAAACCTTCATTAAGGTACACATATGAACACTATGTTGTGATCACTACGATATGGGAATAAAACCTTCATTAAGGTACACATATGAACACTATGTTGTGATCACTACGATATGGGAATAAAACCTTCATTAAGGTACACATATGAACACTATGTTGTGATCACTACGATATGGGAATAAAACCTTCATTAAGGTACACATATGAACACTATGTTGTGATCACTACGATATGGGAATAAAACCTTCATTAAGGTACACATATGAACACTATGTTGTGATCACTACAATAGACAACATATGCACACTGTGTAGTTAAAATAATTACAATTTTACTTTGCATGTTTTATGGTACTTGTCACTTTAGGTAAAATTAACTGCAGATCTCAGAGAGATTCCCGGTTTCACATATTTTTTAGCAAAGCAGTTTTCTGTCTTTACTCATCATTGAGAGAAAACATACTTAGTAGTTTTATTTGTATATCTAATCTTTGTAGTCACTTGAGTTCAGTTGTAAAGTTTGACCAAAGATTGTGTCATGTCCTTGTAATAATTGATGATGTTAACGACCAAAGATTGTGTCATGTCCTTGTAATAATTGATAATGTTAACGACCAAAGATTGTGTCATGTCCATGCAATAATTGATAATGTTAACGACCAAAGATTGTGTCATGTCCATGCGATAATTGATAATGTTAACGACCAAAGATTGTGTCATGTCCATGCAATAATTTATGATGTTAACAACTTTTCTGTAATCTTTTTTGCATATTAGATGTAGGGAAATTTAAAAGGGTTTTTTTAAGCTACATTAAATGAGAATCTTGATTGATTTCTTCCAGGAATAATATTCCAGCTGCAAGAAGAACTTTATCCAGTTTAAATACTGTAAGTTGGAATCTTATTTTACCACCATTATGTTTCAAATTGACAATAATTATTGGTATTGTTTATGTAGTATACTACACCTTTGGAAAAATTTAATTGTCTTAAAAAGACTATTGTTGGTGTGACAATGACGAAGGAAAAGGATCAAGGTCTACCATCAATATTTCAATCTTTGTATTGAATGCTATGATGATTTTAAATGTACTTAAAATTATTTTATGTTGTAGTTAAATTTATTATATTTTTTGTATATATCTCAGGATTTTCCAGTAGAGTTTTTACTGTGACAGCTGATGATCTTCTACCTGTGTTGGAGTGTCTCGTCATTAAATCAGATTTACCAAATTGGTAAGAATAGATTCCATGCATTTGTTGTCATTGTCATGCTATCGAAAAAACATTGTCAAAGAAAGATCAATTATTGGGGGGGGAGGGCTATATACATTAATTTGTACATTCATATGTTGTAAACTTTAATCACAATTGATTTCAATAAAAACTAATACAATAGAACATGCATGTACAAATATTAGCCCTCCCCTCTCCCCTACTTGTATTTTGTAGTTTGTGTCAGCTTACCTTTTGAAAAAACATCTCTTCATTTTAGGATGGCAAACCTTACTTTTTTACACAACTTTCGATTCTCCAACAGAACATATGATGAATTCAGGTAACTTGACCATGAAAGGAATTCTAGATAATGTAGATTGTAGATGTTTTTTGTTTCTTAATATGAGCGTTTGCCTGCTACACTACAATAATGAAACAACTTGTAAAAACAAAATGTTCTGTTTATTTAACGTCGATAAACGCTGGTTTTGCATAAAACATTTCTGTGTTTGGCGGAACAAATTTGTTTTCAAGCAAGTTCATGCGGAGAATTGATTTTTTTAGATTTTACATGTCTTCATTTGAAGCAGCTGTGGAGTACATTAGGAAGTCGTATCGTCACGACACTCGACTGGATGTTTCTTTAAAACCTGTATGAAATACACTGTAGTAGTAATGTTGACTTGGTGTAATGTTGACTTGGTGTAATGTTGACTTGGTGTAATGTTGACTTGGTGTAATGTTGACTTGGTGTAATGTTGACTTGGTGTAATGTTGACTTGGTGTAATGTTGACTTGGTGTAATGTCGACTTGGTGTAATGTCAACGTGTGTGACGTCATTTTTGTCGTGTAATATCGACGTGTGTGACGTCATTTTTGTCGTGTAATGTCAACGTGTGTGACGTCATTTTTGTCGTGTAATATCAATTCTTGTTTTTGTTTGTGTACGTGTCAACCATGAAATGTTTGTTGTTTTTTAGAAATTCTTGGAATCAACAGCTTCTAGTTTCCAAGATATGTTGTCGAGGCGAAATTCTATGGAAGAGAAATATGACATACCATCACGTGGACCTTCGCCATTAGAATTATTTTTTCAAGTAAAGTAATCCGCTTTAGATTTTTGAAGCTTTACATCTCTACTTGTAGCTGTATACTGTGTTGTTTTTACAGCATGTGATGAACTGTCATGATTCTGAAGTGAAGAGAATCTTAAACAAGAGTTCAACACTCGTGAAACTTTGTCATCCGCTATGTTCTTGTGATCAATGTGAAAGTGTATTAGATCGACATCGTAACGATCCCGAGGCTGTCACGGTCTTTTCACGTGATGATCTTGGAAGAACCGCTCTACATATAGCAGCAGATTACGGTTTGTATTTTGCAGAAACTCAATGATTACCTTAAACAAAGTATATCATGTAGGTAATGTTAGAGGAGTTTGTGAGAAATTGCCATGAACAAAATACTGTTGGATACATTTTTGATCAGAGATCATAGACTTATAGTTTTATAATGTACTAAGATATTTGATCCTCAGGTCATACAAGCACGATCCATCTTTTGGTACAGAAAGGTTCCGTTGTCAACACAACAGATTATCATGGAAGTACTCCACTTCATTTGGCTTGTCAACGTGGACATCAACAAGCTACAGTAAGTTCATAGATAATGATTTCCCCAAACCTCTCGCTATACGTAATGTTTTCGTCCACTATGTTGTTCCTTTCTTTGCGACCAATCTTACCATGCTTCCATTTCATAAACACGTTTTTCTAACGTCCAAGAAATGAAAGGAAAAGTCTGTTTTTCTTTAAGATGTTGTTGTTGCATTATTGTGCCGATATCTTGGCTCAAGACAATGATGGGAATGCCTCCATTCATCTTTGTTGTTCAAATGGACATGAAGAGGTTTGCGTTTCTGATTATTTAAGGATTGTCGTTATCAATCTTGTTTACTTTGAAAAATAAATTCTCAATTTTAACTTCAAATCGCAAGACACAAGAAGTGTTTTCATTTATGTGGAAAAATGAAAACGTGAAACAAAAAATGACCACATGATAATCGTGTCAATCACATATCATAAAATTCTTCGTATCACACATTGTTCCTGGACATAAATTTTTTGCAGTTCTGACCTCAAAGCGCACATGCAATAAAACATGTTAGTGTAGCTTTATTTCTGTTCGTTTTCACTCCTGTTAATCATTATAATCATTATATGATAGATGATTTTTCCTCTCATGATGTAGTGTGCTAAAGCACTTGTTTTCTTTGATCTTCACAATAATGATCTTGACCTCAACGCCATCAACAAACATGGCGACACACCTCTCCATCTGGCAGCAAGATGGGGCTTTGGTAAGTCTTTAGTTCTTTGATGCATTTCTCATTCAGCTCGTCATGTTTCTGTAAAAGTGTTTGATTTGAAATTTGTAACATTATGTTTTTACAATGGCAACATGAAAAATCTTTTAAATTTACTAGCATATACCATTTCACTAGCTGTTTTTGTACAATTTAATTATTTTACAGAAAATATTGTCAAGCTGTTGTTGGATAACGGAGCATTTACTGATGTTGTGAACAAAAAGAATGAAACACCAATGAATTGTGCCAACAATACTCAGGTAAGAATGGTCAGCAGACACTAGCAGTTCTACTGGTAGTTACTTTATCTGACCCTTCCTCAAGTGTATCGATATGTTGTCATAAACGAACACACGTAATACCTTCCCTACGCAATCTTAACCATATTTAACATACGTAGGAAACCTTAGCCATACTTAGCCATACTTAACCATACATAGGACACCTTAGCCAAACTTAGCCATACATAGGACACCTAAGCCATACGTAGGACACCTTAGCCATACGTAGGACACCTAAGCCATACGTAGGACACCTTAGCCATACGTAGGACAACTTAGCCATACGTAGGACACCTTAGCCATACGTAGGACACCTTAGCCATACGTCGGACACCTTAGCCATACGTCGGACACCTTAGCCATACGTAGGACACCTTAGCCATACGTAGGACACCTTAGCCATACGTAGGACACCTTAGCCATACGTAGGACACCTTAGCCATACGTAGGACACCTTAGCCATACGTCGGACACCTTAGCCATACGTAGGACACCTTAGCCACACGTCGGACACCTTAGCCATACGTCGGACACCTTAGCCATACGTAGGACACCTTAGCCATACTTAGCTATACTTACACTACCTTACTTATACTTACAGTACTTTAGCTTTGCTTAGTCATTTATATCAAAAGAGTCCTCATCATTGTCCCTTACAAAAATAGCTATCTATATTTTCAATCATGGAAAATGAGAATGTTCATCACCATATCTTACTATAAATGCGATGATATGTTAAATCAATAGAATGTTCGTCACTATCCTTTGCTATTCATATTTTAGATAAAGAGATTGCTGGGTACGGAAGGGTCGACGCAGTACATTATTATAGAAGAATCCGTTATTCCATCAGTAAGAAATTTAGTTAAAGACTAATGAAATTAATTTATAGCAATAACTTCAAGGAAATGCATGTGTTGTTGTTAATACAACTGAATTGTTTTCAGAGAGTCCGTGCGTATAGCACGTCGTCAGATAATGAAAAATACAAAAGAATCGAGGCCAACCAGCGTCAGGTGAGTGGAGTTTTTCGTTTTTACTTGTGTAGTTCGCAGGACCGTTGGTGTTTATATCAGCATATTATATGTATATTCTCATTTCTTTCCTGATATACAGGTGGAAGGATTTTTGAAAACTGTTATAGAGGGAGACATAAGAATGGTAAGAAGCCAAATATTTGTTAAGTCGTAGATCTTACATACTTTGTGTGTGATCTTACTCTCAACTACATAGTTTTATCTCAATAACTTATGTTCATTTGTTGAAGATTTTATCTTGAAATACTCACTATAGTTTTTCTCAAACTTTGTATTTCTTAAACGAATAGTTGAATTTTTCTAAAGGTGTACCATAAACTCGGTCTAGAAGACGATTGGGACCTGGAGGAGGAAAGTGATGAAAGTTCATCATTGTCGCCCAAAGATTTTACACCCAATCTCTGTCATCCCCTTTGTCAATGCGAGAAATGTCGAAAATATCATCAAGTATGCGATATGTTTTTTGATATTTACATTATTAATTTGTTAGAAAAATGTCTATTTAGATTGAATAATATCATATTATGTTTAATCTCCATAACTGCATGTGAATATACTTAGGGCTGTGTTTGTACAACTGTTAATAACAAATATTACGTATACTTGTATAAATCTCACTTTTTGTCAGTATTTTTTACATACGTTGATTTTATAAAGAAAAATCAAGGTGTTTTTTTATGTATGTTTGCTTATTCATATGTGCTGCCATGTCATTGTTCAATAATAAGTCCACTCAATAATCTGTTATGTATATTATATCATGTTTATACATATATATATATATGTTCTATGGCAGGATTTCACCCCTTCACCTTACCGTAAAGTTGATATCAACAGTCAGGGTGTAGATGGAAAGACGGCTCTTCATTATGCCTCATTGTATGGCTATGAACACATCGCTAGTGTCCTTCTAAAGAATGGCGCCATGGTTAGCCTGACCGATTATAAGAGGAAATGTATGCCATTACATTTGGCTTGTCAGTACAACCATCCCAAGGTAAACAACTATGTCGACATTTTATTTCGTAGCTCACAACATTCTCTATCGTAATAGAGTATACAAGTACTAAAGTGGTTATATTCAAAGCATGCTACACCTACACTTTACTTGCACGTTGTCGTAGCGAGTATTTTGGTTCTCCGATTCTCCGCAATGATAACTTCCGGCACGATACGGTGAAGCTGAAAACTGGTTAATTGTGCACTACTGACCTAATGTATTCCTTTGAGTATCGCTTCAATAGTTTGTTTTAAGATAAAACTTTTTTTCAAACAACTGTACATCAATGGACTCGGTGTGTAATTAATTATGGACTACTTTTCTGGTAGATTGTAACAATGCTTCTCCAGCATCATGCTGACGTCGATTGTCAAGATGCGAGACGAAACACGCCATTACACTATTGCTGTCAAAATGGCAACATTGAACCGGCAGAAATACTTATAAAGGTAACACGAGGTGACATTTTCTGTAGATGATTTTTCATCTCATCAATTTATAAATATTTTTCATATAACAGAACGGAGCAACTTTGAGTATTGTAAACGAGCGAGGAAATACCGCACTTCACGATGCAGCAAGATGGAGTTCTGTGCAACTTGTTCGTCTCTTGCTTAAGAATAAAGCTCCTCTCACAGTCAGAAATTTACATGGATTAACACCATTGCACATGGCAAAGGTAAAAATGTTTCTTTTTTTATACTACATTGATCAAATAATATATATGATTTTATTGTCACTTGAATTACTGCATGATTACTTGATAATTAAAACATAAAAAGCTTAGTTGTCAAGTAGCTATAACACAGAATCGCTTTTCACAAAATATTATGGAAAGGAATACGCGATGTTTAATATGGCAGGGTGTTTCGAAAAATGTCAGATTAGTTGCAACGCCATTTTTTTTATTTTTTGATTATGTTGTGTTAAGTCACTATAATTATGCCTTTAAGCACGACGAGATAGTGAAAATTCTCAACGAGGGAACCATAGCAGAAAAGCAAAATACAAATCATAAAAAGGAGTTCGTTTCGCCTCAAACAACGAAACCAAGAAATGTAGAAAACTTTGATGTTATGTCAACATCATTGGATGAACCGGCGAACCTCACTGATGACACAACTGATGGTTCTCAAGTCTCATTTTTTGACTCTTCTTCACCAGAGGTATTTGTGTCTACGACACAAAGTGAATCATCTATGTCTAGTATACCATTTCCAAGAAAACTACCAGAGATTTTAAATGGTGACGATGACGATATTCGTCCAAGATTGTTAGCGATTGAGAGACTAAAACATGTCTTGGATGGGATTAAATACTTCGACAGGTAAGGCAATGTAATTAGTTATTATCAGTGAACGATTGTCAAGGAATGAAAACTTGTTTCTTTTAAGTTTTAAAAAGATATATCTTTTTTTGGCTAATTTTAAAATGTTTCAAAGCGTGTAGGAATAATATAGAATTCTAAAATCGACCAAGTTTAAAAGAGGGTTTTACATGTGGCATTGTCATTAGTAGTAGGGGGCTGACTTTCGTCATCAGTGGTAGGGGCTGGCATTGGTCATAAGTAGTAGGGGGCTGACTTTCGTCATCAGTAGTAGGGCTGGCATTGGTCATAAGTAGTAGGGGGCTGACTTTCGTCATCAGTAGTAGGGGCTGGCATTGGTCATAAGTAGTAGGGGGCTGACTTTCGTCATCAGTAGTAAGGGCTGGCATTAGTCATTAGTAGTAGGGGGCTGACTTTCGTCATCAGTAGTAGGAGGCTGACTTTCGTCATTAGTTGTAGAGGTTAACATTGTAAAAAAATTCAAAAGATTTTAACGTCATTAGGTCCCTAGATATTGCTTCAAATGAATAGTCGTTTTGCTCCCATGTTTCATAAAAAGATATAAAACCGTTGCCTTCAAAATGTTGAACGAATTTTACTTGTCACTACACTTAAGATTATGTTTGTCAATTTCAAATACTGGAGAAAGAAATTTTTGCGAATTATTTAGATTCACTCGCAAACAGCGAGTTATTTTATTCACTCGCAAACTTCTCACACTCGAGAGTGACTCGCAACTGCATCGCGAGTCACTCGCTCAATGGCCATTGTATACTCGCGAGTCATGTCATGTTACTCGAGGTCGGTACTGTAGTAGGGGGCTGACATTGGCCATTAGTAGTAGAGGGCTGACATTGGTCATAAGTAGTAGGGGGCTGACATTGGTCATTAGTAGTAGGGAGCTGACTTCGGTCAAAAGTAGTAGGGGGCTGACATTGGTCAAAGTTATGTTCCATTTGTGTGTACGTGTTTTTGTTTCTTTAGGAAAGCTGGTTTGAGGAGAACCGAAACAATGGATCGAAGTAAGCCACTAGTTAGCCCACTATTGAAACTTCAGGTAATTTACTTACTATTTTATCATATTCACCTGAAGGAGGGGGACTTTATGTTTGCTAAGTCAATTTCAATTCTCGTTGTAGTTTTCTATTGAACATTTTGATCCAACAAGACTTACAAAAGTTTCCGAAGTAGAGTTTGATCAGGTAAAAAATACATCATCTTTCAAAAAAGAAACGAGAAACTTTATTGAAAATGGAAATAAAATAGACTCTACATGAATGAATGAAAATTGTTTTAAGTCACTTGAAAGTGTGTATATATTAAGTATGAAAACCTCAAAATGAATGATGGTAATGTTTCAGAATAATACCAATCATGTTATATTAATTTTCTGTCAATTCATTTCTGAGGATTCTATCTACTTGTAAATTTTCTCTGTCTGCTATTTTGTTATTCAATAACAAAAATAGTTCTGTCAGAGGTGATTTGTAATGATTTCAACTATGTTCTCTCGTTTCCTTATATAACATTAAATTTGATGATATGTCTGAAACACCATACGAGACAATTTTGATGTCAACATACCTACGACAAGTTTCTACAGTCCTAATGTTAGCTGACTTAGCTTGCTCTTTCTGATGCATCCTGGGTTACAGTCGCACCAGTATATATCAAGGATGAACTTTATGGCGATTAAAAGCAGGGAAATAGTTAAATCGGAAAGGACTTGACAGCTGTTTTTCACGTTTTATGTGGTTTAAGTTTTTAGTTAATCCAGTAATTAAATAGTTCAGTCGTTCAAATGTTTTGACGTCACAACGAGTAAAAGGTAAAAGGCGGCAAAAATCAACAATTTCAAGTGTAGTTTTCAAAAAGATGGGATGAATTTTAAAATACCAAGCAAAATTCATAATAATGGCGTGAACTACCGTTGAGATGATTCTTAAAGGTAGGAATGAATTCGACTTTATCAAGTTTATCATTTTTTAACAAAATTTACTGTATACATCGGGAAAAATGAAGATAAAGACGAGCACGAAGCCGTGTTCGGTACATGCAACTTGAAAATAAACAGTTCCAAAACCAGAAGTCCCAAAGTAATAAAAGTATTGTAATAACGTTCCTGTGAAATGATTTACAAGTCATACATTAACTACTTCAGTACTAAGGAAGTTTCGCCGTCCTCCTCTGCCCCATTACTTGTATTTTCCAAAGTATTACCGTATTTACTTGTCTCCTTTCATATTCTAGAAAATGACAACATCAATATATCCATCAATAATAAAGTCAACGAATGGTAAGTTGAAAATTTGAATGTTTCTTACAATTAAAGCTTGTTTGCGTTCGTACTCTTTTTTGGCAAATTCCTCCTTAATCCATCCGGGTACGTCAGGTATTAAAACTGCGATCAAAAATTTTATGCCCAATAACACGTGCTTGAAGGGAAAAACAACGAAGTGATTGTATGGTCCGATGTTAAAATATCATAATATAAGTTGATAAAAAGATAGCTAAGTTACCTCAAAAGCCACAAACACTAATATCTTTTGCAATGTTGTGTATTCTGGTGGGAACCATTTTTGTACTGTAGGTGACATTCCCAATAAGGCACAATTTGTTATAACAGCTAGTATGCCCATTATCTCAAACGCCGTCTATTAATTAGCAAAAACTACATTTAAAACGACTGATCTTTGGGCATGTAAACTCGTTAATGTAATATAATGCTGTAAATATCGATCTATCGATTGTGCTTTGTCCTTGCCTGCCACGACCCAATTCCCTGGGAAGGTTGTACGAAAATTCTCTGTGAGATCTTGCTGATTTTAAACGCATCCGTGCGAAGCTCACAAATATTGTTGAAAAGTGCCCAGAATGCAGCCATTGGATAAACAGAGGAAAAGAGAAAGACAAAACCAAACTGGAGAAATAATTCCAAGTAATCCCAAAATACACCCTGCGTGGGAAATTATGAAACTGTTATATAGAGGAAGAACGAAATATAAGTTCTTACATAACATCACATCCATTATCCTTATCAATGTGTACGAAGAGTCTGAAATTTACCAACCCAGTATGGTTCTTGTTTCATTTGATATTCAATATCGTCATCACTCTTGCCAAACAATCCCAATGTCTTGCTATCCATATCCAGTTTCGTTGAGCGAGATTTGTATAAAATGAATGGCATCAGTTGTTCTGTAACTTGACCAGTCAATTGAGAGGTAATCATCAGCGCTGCTAAATGCTGTTGTTAAAAAATAAATTGGTCGAACATCGACGAATTATGATGCAAAGCAAAACCGAAAACTGAATTGTTTTTTTATCTGCTTACGTTTCTTAGCAAGTCCATATCGCCAAGTACGAATGCAATGTAGAATAATGAATAGAAATTATTGATGAAGTAGAACTAAAAACGGGATGTTCAAATTACTTAAACAAGTAACCTTGAATTACAACGTGAAAATGCACAAAACTCACTGAAATTATTTTAAGAACAAGATGGTTCTGGTAAGATGATTCCAGTTTGTGGTTTTCTGAAAATAAAAAAATGCAAAGATACCGTTTTTATTGGACATCGGTGAAGAGTTATTGAAAGATCTACCGACCACTACTGAAATGATTTGAGATGATTAATTTATATTATAGCGTTACCCCAATCATTTAGTTTCGTGGCAGTCCTGAGAAACAAGTTGTTGAGAACAAGTATGACAACAGTATAAACAACACTAGGCATTGTTGTCATAAATGTTGCTGTAACTCCATTCTTCTTCTCGTATGTTTCATTCAAATTTTCCTGTATTCGTATATACGTGGACATAACCGTGAGGGCAATGTAGATACAAAACATGACAACAGGAACGGAGACACAGCAGATCTTAAGATAGCGATGATTTGGTGGATAATGTATCTCCTTCTTGCCCGTGATGGGATTTTTTCGCGTTTCACCTGTGAATAACGGTCTTGGATCCTCTTCCGTCTCTTCGGCTACAGAGAAAAGAATGAAAGAATAAATTAACTAAGAGACAAGATTTAACACGATCACAAGGATGTTGAAGACAAGGAGTTTTTTTTAAATAAGGGAATAGATTTACATAGTGTTTTGTAACTGAATGCTAATGAAACAGGAAACAATCGTTTGTACAATACGAGATCACAACAATCGTTCATCTACTAACATACCTAAACTAAGTTTGAGAGTTCCCCAGCTGTGTGTTAAAGTGGCACAATTTCTTTTCCAAAATTCCAGGAACAGTGTTCCCCACAATACGTTGATGAGAGCGAAGATGATGTTGGACCAGATCTCGTCCAAAGTAATGAATGAGAAAATAAAAACTAGAACAACCAACGGTATTAGTGCGAACGTGTAATACTCCAAGAAAGCAAAATATATCGCGATTGTCGAGCCAAAATAACTTTTAATTTCGTCTATAAAGATTGCAAAAGGTTGACAATTTCATTGAAAAATTCCTCATTTTTTTTACACACAACTAGGAATGTCTTACCTAAAGGTTGCTTCCATTGAAATGATGTGTACCATTTCTTCTTCAATTTACTTAGTTCACTTCTTTCGTGCAAAGGAACGATTTGGGTGATTAAGCCGTACGCTAGTACCAAAGGAACTTAAAAAGAAATAAAACATCGTTACATTCAATGGAATTGTACAAGGATAGAAAACATCTTATCTGCGCATGACAGTCAGCAGCTTTGCACCCGAATTCCTGGAATACAACTTGATCTTATAGAACAGATTGTTACACTTACTAATCGCCTGTCCGTTGTGTAGTTTTTTATCAGGACAACCAGGTATTGCCATATCATCACGTGATCTTAAGCTATTTAAAGCAGCCATTATGATTTGCTGTTTCTCTGAAGAGTTAAGCAAGCACAAGTTGCTGTTTTCACATGTTTCCTGTAATTCTTTCCAGTTTTCTCTCGTGACATTTTGAAGTTTGTTGTTCTTATCGCGTTTCTTGATTTTCAATTCCTCCGCTCCAACGATGAAACGTTCCGCCATCGCCGTTATATGAAATGTTTTCTTTGAATCTTTTCGAACACAACTTTAACTTGTAGTCCTGCTCCTTGTGGTGCTGAATAAAATAACATTGAGCTGTCAAGTTTCTACCTCTAAAGCCTCTCAGCTTCTTCAATAAAAAGGAGTGAAGAACAAGCGGTTTCTGATTTGAATTTTCTTTTACAAACGGTACCTGGTGATGAAAACATATCTTGAAGCCATTGTTTCGTTTCATCAAGACAACTGTCAGAAAAAGCGACTACAACAAGCGGGCTCGTATTTTCCACTTCACGAGTTTCAACTTTTTCATCACTCGAGAGCGTGGACTCGGCCGTACTGGATGCTATACGATGTTTGACTTCCATGAGCTAAATTCACACAAATATATTGATTAAAGTAAATCAGATTGACCAATTCAATTGTAAGAAGGAGCGCAGTGGTGGAAAGTGAGAGATGAACGAAGAAAGCGAAGAAAATTTTACGATCCCCTCTCTCGTGTCCTTTTACAAGTTTATACATTATTGCTTTACTAAATTATATGCAGTTTCGTCGGTTGATGGCGAAAATAAGAAACTGGAATCAAGCAAAAAAATGGAATGTAGAATTTTGAGAATGTTTAGTTGTTAAGTACAGCTCAGAGCCCACCTACCAGGGTCCGGTTGCACGAAGCCTGGACAGCGCTATCCATAGGATAGCGAAAATTTTCAAAATTGTAAAAAAGGTGTTTATATTTTTCTCGCGACAAAGAAATTTTGTAATCGTCGAAACAATATTTTATTTCAGCGATTGCACAGTTCAAATCGTACACTTTTCTCTTATAAGAGATTTTTGAACGTTCAGAAAAATTTGCTATCCAGTGGATAACGCTATTAGGCTTTGTGCAACCGGCAATTGTATTGCTGACAATAGTAAATAAATAATAAGCTCATGTAATTATTCATTTTAAACAGGTCACACGGATGTCAACAAAATATCATATATCGCTTTTATAATATTCTATCTTAAGCCTCCCATTGATTTCGTCTTTTCCTCTGTGTCATTTTCTTAAGGAATTATTTTATTGATAAGATCTACCGTCTGGAAACATGAGTTGGTATAAGATTTAATCACATTTTTTAAGCTATTTGCTCTGCACAGCTTGATTCATCTTAGAATTGTAGCCTCTTGCCTTCATTTCAAAATTTTAGTTAAAACATTCGGTGCATTTTATTTTCCCAGCAACTATTTTGACGTTAAATATTGCTCAATAGATTTAGTTTTCAAAAGTTTGCTATGATGATATTGATAAATAATACAAAGAAAGTTCGAGCATTTTTTTATATCTTAAAACAAGAAATCCGTAAATGTTTATGTTTTTAGTCAGCGTCAACGAATCTAACACAAGCAAACGACTTTTAGCAGCCGTTTAACGCAAAACCGTATTTTATTGCTATATGCATTAGAATTTTGTGTAGAAAATTGCCACTATTAAAACATGAATAATTTTAAATTAAACCACTTAGGTTAGTAGAAAGTATCTACATGATAACAAACGACAGTGTTTAACTTCTTTAGAATTACCTAAGTTGCGTACACCAACCTTTCAAATCTTCGTTTTGTGTGGTATTACTTTGTAGTATTTAAATGTTATGACTTATGAGACAATGGTGGCAGTCCAATGCATAGGATAGGGTCAACAACAACATACTGACTGGGTCTGTATGAATAATTATTACACTGATTAATGTCACGTGATGCAGTGTCTAACTTTAACGAACCGTAAAATAATTCGCTGACCAAATTGTATTTCTATTAAAAAGAAACAAGTCCAATCACCTTCTAAGGATTTGACGAAGACACTACCTATCTTCTCCAAAAAAACATTCAGAATAAGAACTATCTATAGAGCATACTTCCACCTCCTACGGACCTACACATATTAAATTAATAAAAACCTGAAAGGTCTGGAAACCCCAATAAAAGTTTTAATATGTGTCAGTATGTGTTAGTGAAATCGAACAGTCTCACTGTCTCAGCACTATATAACGACGTAGTTTACAAAGCGTTCTGATCATTAAAAAATTTACATTGAAACATCAATTATTGTTTTTACTTATATGCTATTTACACACAATTTATGTTATCGTATCAACTATATTACAGAGAAACTCGGAAATTCTCCTTTTGCAAGTCTTCGATGCAGTTCTAAGCGCGGAATTATAACGGTTCAATAATACAAATAAGATATGCGTGCATATAAGGTCCTTTGCTTACGATATGACAATAAAGTCTGTATATGTTATGTATTATAAGTTTGAAAATTTGTAATTTTGCGTGCATATAAGGTCCTTTGCTTAACAATTTGGACAATAAAGTCTGTATATGTTATGTATTATAAGTTTGAAAATTTGTAATCCGGGCATTTAATACATAAAAGATAAAAGTTTCTCCGGATTTTAAGTGATGTATTGTTATGTATTATATATATATATTTACTAAGGAGTTAAAATGTTCATGACGTGTTTAAAAATTTATCATGAAAAATTTTTTTTCCCAGATTATAGGGGTATTTTACTTGTGATTTAAAAAGGGTTCACGATTTTTCCTTTCATTCTCTTTTTTCACACTTGACGAATTTTGATTATGTAATGTCTGAACAATGTCAGGATTTCTAACTTCAACATTGTTCACGCTATCATTTGTATAGCTGGAGAAGCCATTGCTCCCAGTGAAGGTACCATTATTGCCAGTGAAATTGCCATTATTTGCATTGTGTCCGAAGTTCAAAGAATTAAAGATGGAATTCTGTGTGGCCAGTCTTGGCGACTGCATGCTTGCTTGAGCTAGTTGATCCATGCCATGATGTGATACTTGTGAGGAGCCATTGAGGAAGGCTCCTGTCAACAATGTGGGAGAAGTTCCCCCACCGGGACTCATTGCTTGCAGCGATGCAAGTTGATCCGGTAAGGTTGAACCTGGAAAAATTAAGGTGCAAATTTAATGTAAGGATAAAAATCATTCCCTGTTTTGTTCTTCGCCAGAAGCCATTTTACCAGTGATGATGTGTCAAAACTTACCTCCCAACAACATCTCCTGCAGTAAGTTGTCAATTCTTGTTGTTCCAAATAATCTAACAAATTGCAGCTGTTCCACCATTTGAGCAGCAATAGACTGAAGTGAAGGCAAAAGCAGTAACATTTCGCCAAAACGACCTCGTTTCTCATATTGGCGATCATTTATGTAATCTTCTAGTGTTGTTTGGATATCAAAACGAATCTTTTTTATTGTTTTTGTGTCAGTCAAGCCTCTTGCATCTGCAAAGTGCAAGCAAATAATATATTCACATTAAATTTGGGGTAATTTAGCAGTTGACTTTTACTGTAAGATCACAAAACCTCAGATATTTTACATAGATGAGTTGCCAACTTTCCCCTCTAAGAAAGATCAGTTGCTTTAGGAATGCTCTCAAGCTGATTTGGCCACATTTTTAAAATGTATAACTTCATTACTTTGTTTAGGTACAAACATACAAAGAACTGTGCAAAAGTGCCAGCAAAGTGAAGGTATGTAAGGACTTAATGCCAAGTATTATCCATTCCATACATGTCACTGAATACATTTATACCTGGGTTAAAGAATATAATAGCTTTGAGACATGAATATTCTGTATCATCCATGTTAATATGATTCATTTGTTCAATTACTTCATCCAAAACTCTGCTGACAATTCTTTGAATTTCTGGCTCTCCTGTTGTGCGATAGATTACCCAACAGTTTGTGCCTAACAATAGCATATCATTGAGTTTAAGTGATCTTCGAGCACAGCCCAACAGCAAATGTTCACTTGCGTGAGCTCGAAGAAGGGCTACTTGGTCATCAAGACTGAGTTGGCAGAAATTAGGAATGTATTTTGCCCATTCCACTAATATAAGTAGTTGTTGTCGCATTGATTCACAAATTTCCGATTGATTTGCTTCTTTGCTTGGGTTCATTTGAGCAGCTTCTTCTAAAGGTTTTTAATTAATTCATTTAACTCAGCAAATTTTTGCATGCAGTCAACATCAGACATAAAACAAATACGATAGTTCTTCCCAAATATTACCTGCATTATTCTGTGGAGGGCGAGAGAGAAGCTCCGCTTGCAAAAGCATATTTGCTGTAATTCCATTCCCATTGGCATCTTCAGATGGCCTTCTAATGATTCTGTCCCTTTCATTCTGTACAGCTGCAATTTTAACGCAGGCTAGTCTTAGGAATAGGTTTATTGTTTATTGGTTAGGAATTGGTTATTGTATATAAGAAATAATAAGAAAATATATAAGAAATAAAATTTCACTTTTCTGAAAATTTTATAACTATAACTCATATCTTGCCGAAGTTCAGAGGAAATAAACTTGAAAATAATTGTTTTCATTTCATCACGGTGTTTATCATGTGGATTGTGTAAATTTTAGTACGCATTTTTTTTTGTTAAGTAATACATACCAATGATACCATCTTCTCATACTTTTGTCGGAAGTTTTATTACAGTAGCTGTTTATAATTTTATTTTTTTATCAATTATTAGACTAATACGTAAGAAATGATTTTCTTACAAATTATCGATTTTTGTTAAATGACGACATTGATATTACAGACGAGAACAAACATCAGCAGGCGACACAGCAATTTGATTTGACAGCCCATTTTGTTAGCTTTGATCTAGAAAGAACTGTCGCACAATACTTGCCTTCTTTTCTCATTCCCGCACGGAAACATTTTTTCAATCGACAATATCGGCATTGATTTCGCTTGTCTCTGTCTATCTCACACGTACGCTGAAATCTGCATGAATACTGATGGTTTTTCCTCACGCTTCGACGAAAAAATCCTTTGCAACCATCGCATGATTCAGCCCCGTAATGTTTACCAGTGGAACGATCGCCGCAGATAAGACAGTTTCCTGTTATCTGTTCATCCCTCGCACCTACCACGGCACACCAGTTAGAAGTAAACGAAATGATATAACATAGGCGTGCAACAACTACGAGATGGCAGGAAATTAAAGTTATGCGGTAATAAAAGACGACATGTTACCTTGTAGCTGTATGTCAATTGAACTGCCTAAATTCTCGTCCAAGGAGTCCAGCTTTGTCTCGTTTTGATCGTTGTTCATTGGAGAACATTTAAAATACGGCGGTGTGTTTAACGGAAATAGAATTACTACGAAAAACCTGTACTTTGGACCTTCTTGTATGTTCTCAATGTAACAACGACAAGGGAAAAAGCATCGACAAAGCTTACGACGACCAGTCATATGACCGGAATTGCTGGAATTTGACGTTTGTCTTCGGTAATTCAGTCGTGCGTTACGTAACATTCCGAAGGTAAATCAAGTAAGCGCAGGAAATTCGGATAATTTGCAACGACGAAAGTATGAGGAGAATTGCTACTCGGAATTCGCAGTATATCCCTGATTCTCTCAATAACTACACATACATATTGATTCAAAATGCAAAGATGGTTTAATAGGGCATGTGACATCCGATAGGACTCAAAGCGCCACGTGAGTTCATCGCAGTGTGATACCTTTCCGATGCATGTGATTTGTGTTGCTGTAGGAACTTCTAGCCAGCAATTTCATACATTTTTTCTCAGCAAGTGTGTGGGAGTACTTACAGTTGAATTGGCATTTTATAAAATATGCCATTAAAATATGCGCTTTTCAAAAAGCGCCAACGGAGAAGATCAATTTTTTAAGATCTTATTCATTATTACATAATCAATCTGTAGTCACAAGAGGTGGCAATGCGTCAACGATGAACGACCTTCTCACGCGTTTGTACGCAAGTTTAGGAAATCAACATTCCCGAAAATAATACCTTTCTGATAAAATGTTTTTGATTAAAAAAATGTGCTAAAACATGAAACGCATTAAGCTCCATGCGTCGATTGTTTTCGTATTGCCGTTTCTTATTCGGAAAGCGACGACATACGCTCGTTGCGTCATGGCAACGTCCTGAAGGATTTTATTCATTATTTGTAAATCTTGTTTACACGTTTTCGTGATTTTGACAATGAACTTTATTGTCTTAGTTTTTGGCTTTAGTCAATGTCGATTTTTGTACGGAGAACGCACTCACCCTGATTGATAGTAAATTGTAGGAAGATGGTTGATGTAACAGACGAGTTCCCATCAACTAGACACGTTTCCAGTCTGGTTTCCAGTTGTACTGAACATCCTATTGTTTTAAACAATTGCCGAAATGGAATAGGAATTAAAATTGTTGGTGGAAAGACTAGCAATGGTGAAAACCATGGGATATTCGTAAAACGCGTTGTCTTTGGTAGCGTTGCGGAAAAAAGTGGTTTGTTAAAAGAAGGAGATAAATTATCTTATGTAAACAATGAAAGCATGAAAGATGTCACCAGCGAAAGGGCCATTGCTATACTATTGAACGCCGCAAGAGGAGGAACAGTCACCTTAACTGTTGAAAGAAGTTTGAAATCAATTAAAGAGTATGAAAATTTAGTTGGCATTGTCAAATCTAGTAGTCTGTTTGATCAGAATTCCAACAGATCTATGGTTGTTTCTCCCACATCACTTGAGAAAAGATCATGGATTTTAGCGAATGGAAGGATGTCTCCTATGTTGTCCGAGCCCTTACCCAAAGCAGTTGGCACGTTTTACCATAAAAATGCACTTGTCACTGATGAACAATCTGGTTTGTCAGCTGAATCCATGGTCGATTCAGGTTTACAGTCATCAACTTCAACCATGAAGAGCTTAAGTGATGTGAAAGTTGCACATGTATTAGTTAGAAATGGACTTGGCATTAACATTACTGGTGGAACTAATCATCCTGATGGTCCTGGTGTGGTTGTCAATGAGCTGGTATATGGTGGTGATGTTCATCAGAATGGTAAAATTAAACCAGGTGATCTATTGGTTAGCATTAATGGTGAGACATTTCTGAATGCAACTCATGAACAAGCCAACATGAAGTTGAATCAAGTTAAATTGAAAGCTGAGAAAGAGTTTGTAATAAACTACTTACCACAAAGAATAGATACGGGAAATTCTCTTTTAAAGTCTAACAAATATGATGAAATTTTTTCCACAAACATTTCAGATTCTAATTTAGGTAGTCATTTCAACTCTATAAATCAACCTCCCCTTCAGAGTTCATCAGTCCCTACTTATCTTCAGCAAGATCTTGAAATATCCCAGGGTTCCCCTAAAGTGTTGTTAAATTCTACAAGAAAACCACCAAAACGTAGATTATCTTTGCCACCATCATCAAAATTGCAATATGACAAGCTTGAAGTTGCTTTGAGTCATTTAGGAGTTGTTCTGAGCAGCGAACAGAGCACAATGATTCGTGACCGGATGAATATTGATTTACATGGGTGTGTTTTATATGGAGATTTTGTTGAAGTTGTGCGGGATGTGTTACATACTGAGGTCAATAGTAAGAATAATGTGTTTCATGGTGGATGTGCATTGAATGGAGAAGATTCTTTAAAAAGTCCATCAAGACAGGAGCAAAATTCTAATGCTATTGAAATTGAAATGAATCAGATTAGAAAAGAACGCGATAGAGCTTTTTCAGAAATTAAAATACTAAAGCAACTACTTGAAAAGCAACAGATAAAATCATACAAAGCAGAGGAAATGGAAATTATGAAAAGGACAACAGAAGAAGCTCTTGAAGAAAGTTTAGCATTTAAAGATGAGGTGCATCTTGCACAACAAGCCAACAAGGCTGCAGCAACTAGAGAAGCGGAGTATGAAGAAATTATTAAACTTTTGGAAGATAAGATTCACCATCTTACTTTGCAAAAGACTTGTGACCAAAAAGAATATGAAGAAATTCAAAAAAAGGTTGTCATACTTGGTTGCCAGTTGAAAAAAAGTGAAGTTGCTCAAAAAGTGTATGAAGTTGTAACTCAAAATTGCTTACATTTGCTGATCATGTTAATGAGGTCTTAGGCCACACAGATGCATCTGTTGTCCTCAAGCCATCGCTTCAAACATCCAGCATGTCACATAAAAAAATTTCCTCCCCTCCATGCAGGTCTGAGCACAAAATATTGAAAAACTTCAAGAAGAAAGTGTTGATGTATCTAAAGCAGTGAGGATGTTACTTGAAGAACAACCATTGCCATTTGGTTGGGAGGAAGCTTACACTGTAGAAGGAGATAGATATTATGTCAATCATCTTGATCAACTTACTTCTTGGTTGCATCCAGTTACACATAGTAATACAGCTGCTGATAAAGATTGAGCATTTTTGAAGGAAATCAAAACTATGAACAATAAATGGTCATAATGTTTTATAAATATAGTAAAATTCAGTTATCCTGATTACTGACTTAATTAAATAAAAGCAGTTGTCTAGTGTTATATATTATATTCAAATGACAAGTTTTTATAACAAAGTTTAATTTTGGAAATGTAAAGATATATTTTCTTATGTTAATGCATGCAACAAGATAATTAAATACATTTTAAATATATATTTATTGCTTATTCACTAGCATCACTTTTCACCCTGAATTGTTGAGCAAGTTCATCAAGTTTAGTCATCAATAACTCGTCATCTCCAGATGAAGATTTAGTCCATGCAAGAGGAAGATGTTTAGACACAGCTTGCCGGTCCTGGAAAAACTCACCACTTGGATTCTTGATTGCATCTTGTGATATACATAACCAAAAAACTGTATCAGCACCTTGTTCAGCTGTCCTTAATTTCCCTTGCATTCTTCTGTGGAAATCTGGCATTGATGATTTTACAGCAGGAGTATCTGCCCACCCTATGAAAAATTTGTCAAAGAACATGTGATACAAGTGCATTGTAGTAATCAGGCAAATCCCACTAACCAGGGTGCATTGCAGAAAAGTGTATTCCAGTTGATTTGTATTTCTTAGCCCATTGCTCAGTCATAACAACCTGCTGACGCTTATTTTGTGCATATGCCATTGTACCATCAAAAGGATTCATTTTGTCAAACTGCAAATCATCAGCATCAAGCTTTACCAAAAGCATACCACCTAGACAACACAGAACAAAGTTCAACACCTTCGTTTTCAATAATAAAAATGGGTTGACTTACCTGAAGACACTGTTATGATCCGAGGATGTTTGCTCTTCTCAAGAACAGAGATCAAGCCAGTTGTAAGAATATATGTTCCCAGTGTATTAGTGGCAAAATTTTTTTCCAAACCATCATCAGTAGTTGTCTTATCGTTTACCATACAACCAGCATTATTAACCAAAGCATTCAAAGGTTTACCAGAGGCAGCAAATTTTTGAGCAAATTCCCAAACTTTTTTTGGCATTGACATATCCAGAAGGTGCAAATGTACCTCCTTTTGAGGACTAACTTCCAGCAATTGGCTTTGAGCTTCCTCTCCTCTTTTCTTGTCTCGACAGACCATGTGAACAGTTGCACCACGCTTAGCAAGTTCATATGAAACACATTTGCCGATGCCGCTATTGGCTCCTGTCACCATAAAGGCTTGATCACTCAAATCTTTGTAGATATCAGAGTTCAAATCTTCGAATTTCTTTTTCGCGTCCAAAAAACCATTTAACGTGTATTCCCGTAAACCACGAACAAACCAAACTGACTTACGATAAACTGTCGACATATTTCCAGGTTAAAATATCCACGATCGAAAAATTTTGTTGTGTAAACTCTTATATCATCAAGAATATACATAATCAGTCCATGATGTCAGAAAGGAGAAGTGGACTGTGAAATATCAAATATTTGGTGAAATGGTGTTTCCACTTCAATAACAATGAGTACAAGTTTATCAATGTTTATCTGTGAATGTGTTTTTTAACTTTAAAATACTAGTTGCGCGTTTTTTTTGACGGTTCTTGGCAAGAGAAAATGACTGTACGCTAATGGAAAGTAAAGGAAATGTGTCCCCATTTTTGAAACTAGAGTCTTTCACAGATGATACTGTTACTGTGGTACCTGAGCAGTATCGATTTGGAAACTGTCGGAATGTGGTTGAGTTTGAAAAGCTGAATAGGATTGGTGAAGGAACGTATGGTGTTGTGTATCGGGCAAGAGATACCGTTAATGATTCTATTGTTGCATTGAAAAAGGTGCGAATGGAAGAGAAAGAAGGTTTGGCCATAAGTGGTTTACGCGAAATAGATCTCTTACTAAACATCAATCATATCAATATTGTTCGTCTGCATGAAGTTGCTGTGGGTTTTCATCTGCAGAGTATCTTCCTTGTAATGGAGTATTGTCATCATGACTTGGCATCATTATTAGATAACATGAAAACGCCATTCACAGAAGCACAAGTGAAGTGCTTAATGCTTCAACTGTTGAAAGGTGTTGAGTATTTGCATAAATGTTTTATCGTACATAGAGATCTGAAGGTGTCCAATTTACTTCTCACTGATAAAGGTATATTGAAGATAGGTATGTTAATGTTATGTTGTTCTTTGATACATTAATTGCATTGTTAGTGAGCAATTACATTTATGTACGTTGCATTTTGTTTCAAGCTGATTTTGGCTTGGCGAGAAAATTTGGTTATCCTTTAAAACCAATGACACCAATAGTTGTCACTCTATGGTATCGTGCCCCTGAGTTGTTGCTGGGAGCCAAGGTTCAGACACCTGCTGTGGACATCTGGGCTTGTGGCTGTATTCTGGGAGAATTACTTGACAGCAAGCCTTTGTTACCTGGGAAATCAGAAATCAACCAATTAGACTTAATAATCAACCTTTTTGGCACACCAAACGATCAAATATGGCCTGGATTTTCTAATTTATCAGTTGCCAAAAACTTCAACCTAAAGAGACAGCCTTATAACAACTTAAAGCATCGTTTTTCATGGCTTTCCTTTGCTGGCTTATCTTTGCTAAATCAAATGTTTATGTATGACCCTGGAAAAAGAGCATCTGCTTTTGAATGTATGGAAAGCTCTTATTTTTCTGAGATTCCGCTTCCAGTTCATGCTGAGATGATGCCCACTTTTCCTGAGCATCGAAATCTGAACACAAAAGTTTCGATTTCAAAAAGAAAGCAAGAACATCCCTCTTCAAGTTTTTCTTTTATTTTTGATAGTAAAAAGAACAGGCTTCAGAAATAAGTGACGCAACTGCAGGGGGGGAGGTGAACTTCTACTTTTATGAACTTCTACTTTTGAACATGTATGAACTTCTACTTTTATCTTCTCTAAAATTTAAATTATTGATTGACTCATTAAAACACTAAAAGTTTTTCAAGAAGTTAACTTTATTTTTGCCAAGACAATGATGAGGAATTACATTCTCTTTTCAACACTCTGATCATCACTAGCAATTATGTGTTGTGGTTAAGCTTAATCTTGGCGATTGTCATATGTATTTTGGTGTATGTGTGTGAAGTAGATGACAGCAAATGGTGAAGTTGATGAGAGCAAATGGTGGAGTATATGACAGTAGCTAACTGTAAATAATAGTAAAGGGCTAGTACAACAGAAGGTGACTGTAAATTACAAAGTAAATCTACTTTGTAATCACCAGAAATAACATTAGATAAATGTAGATGACATTACACAACGGAGTATGGCAGGGTAAAACAGTCCAGTAGAGAACTATGTAAAGACAGTAGATGGCTATGTGTGATTATAGATTATGGGGCGGGGGGGTGGACGCAGATCAATACAGCATTTAGTCGATGTAAGTAATGTGTGTAATTTATTTATAGTGTATTATGCAATTTTCGCCATTTTCTTCAGAGTTTTCTCGTGGACTTTTCAATTCTTAGAATTTAGCACCTTTTTTAAAACTCTATAAGCTAATATTGACATTTGGTGCTTGATATTTGGCTGGGAAGGTAATGGGCTACCCCTAGCCCACCCTTGCCGGTGCCATAAACAGGTTGTCCCCAAAAAAAGCAAAAATTGACGAATCCTGCTCAAAAAAATAATTTGTTGCAACTTGTGGGAAATGTTAAGTGGCACGTGCCCACATGTCTATTTATAATTTTATATAGATCAGTGAACCAACACCAAGTCACGTGATTAACCATGCATGCATGGCGTTATGTATCTTTACGATGTTGTATTATATTGATTTTCCATCACGAGAGGTTTTGAAAAGGTTGTTTTGTATCACAGCTAATAAAAGTAATCCTGACAGAAAATATGATTACGTTTTTGTGGATTTTATGACTAAGTTAAAGGGGCTATCTTTTTATAAAGCTTTTGCAGTATAAATTAGATGAAAATCACTGTATGCATTACTTTGTTTTGCTTTAATTAATCAGTACAAATATTATGAAAAAAACTGTGAAGCTGTCAAAGTGTTGTGAATTGTTGTCTTTGGGAGTAAGGTTGCATGAATAATACTATTTGGGAGATGGGATGCATGAACTTGAAGTTTAATCGTAACCTCATTATCACACATTTTCACACATTTTCATGCCAAAGACTACTGTCTTCGCAGTTTCACACACTTTCACACCAAAGACTATAGTCTTTGCATTTTCACACACATTCACACCACAGACTATAGTCTTTGCATTTTCACACTTTTACGCTAAAGAGTATAATCTTTTCATTTTCACATACTCACACCAAAGACTATAGTCTTGGCATTTTCACACACCTTCACACAAAAGACTTTGCATTTTTACACACTTTAACATTTTTACACACTTTTACACAAAAGACAATACTCTTTGCATTTTTA